GTGGAGAGGGCTACAAATACTACAGGACTACAGGATAGGCACTGGCTATGCGGCAGAGTCCCGCATGCCGTGCCCCTTGGTGCACTTTCATTAATTTAATTGAATGAGAAATGGTTTGCCATAGCTCACACGCAAACACACGACTCAATGCCAGAATAGGGAAAACTGAAATGGAAAAAACTTTGCTGCAGAATCACAGAAAAAGAGAAAATCCTTCCTTTGGGATATGGATCGGGGACGGGGACGCGACCAGCTTTGGTTGAATTCAATCTGGGCCACATTTCATTCACGAACAGCCCCGGCTCTGGCTCTGGCTCCTGCTCCGTTCGGTCATTTACGTAAATCCAATTAACTGGGATGAGGCAGGGATAAGGGCGGGGGCAGGAGCAAAGGCAGGGCAACTGGCAACTGGCATCTGGCATCAGGCAGCTTTATTCGAGCGTACTCTGGTATTAAAAGGCAACAAAAACACAAACAAACCTGCGCGGCAGGGACATCAAATGGAATGAAATCCAATCAAATCGATACAAAATACTCGGTATGAGAATGCCAAGCGGCAGGAGGAGGGTCTGGAAGGGGCAAAGTGGCAACAGGAATCCGTGATAGATGCCAGGAATTTCGTCTTTACTCTCATGCTCTCCTTGGAGTTCATGGGTGGGTTGGGGAAAAACGTTGCCTGTGGCATTGCTCATACGTAATGTTGCCCCGCAAATCAATTGAAATAAACAGGATACATATGTATGTGTCTGCCTGCCTATCCTCACGAATGTGTGTCTGTGTGTGTGTGTGTGGCTGGAGGGGTTAGGGGTGAAGACAAGAAGGTTTTTTTCAACATATTTGTTCTATTTCTTTAACTACTTGTGTTGGGGTGGTGGTGGGGGCTTTTGGCAAGGCTTTGATTTTATTCGTGTGCAGTTTTTCCAACTCCCTCCCTCCCCCCTTTTGTGGGCCATTTATTGGTCTGTTTGCCATTGGTATCCAGAGCCAGGCCGTGGAGCCTTGGGGCAAAATTGGTCAATTGTCACGACCCAGTCGGCTATGGGATGACGACCCATTAAAGCCTGTTTAGAGTTACACGCAACATTTTCCCCAAACAAGAGGTTAAAACCATCCAAATCGATTCGGAATACACAAAATTAAAAAAAAATAGCTATTACTTGAAACCAAGTGTAGAATTATCAGCTATACTCGTATTGAACGATAAGATAGAGTTCTTATCGCTTGAGGTGTACTCGAACAGTCAACAACTAAGACAATCCTAGGATCTTTTGAGGAGCACTTCCAGTCAAGAATTATTTTACTGATTAGCAAAATTAAATCTTTTAAAATGTAACTTGCTGTCGAAAGCATTTCTGCACATATTTGCATTTGTATTGTACATTTTTATATAGTTGGACAATTTGTAAGATTTAATTTGGTCGCTTGCCAAAAAGTCGCGTCATTTGGGGGCTTAACTATTTGTGTTTGCTTTTAATTAAGACGTGTGCGCGCCTCTGCTTGCCTCTGTACGAAACACTACGGAACCTACTACTACTACTATTTCCGCCGTATAAATATAGTTTTTTTTTATTGTATTTTGTATAATATTTTCAGAGAGGCAGAAGTTGAAATGAAAAACATTTGGCGGCAAAGTAAATGTCAAACACGAGAAAACTCGGCCAGGCCACTACATCGATGTTCTATAATTAAATGCAGTATATTTTTGTATATAACTTACGCGTGAAATTGGCTAATAAATGAACCGTAGCGTAATATGCCGCCTCCTTTGGCCAAGTTCTCCTTTGGTTGTGTTGTGTTGGTGGATGTCTTTTTGGCTGTTTTGAGGTTCGTCTTCTTGTTCCGTCCGTTGGCACGTATTTACCACGAGGCACCGTTTCCAACTGAGGCAGAATTGTTGTAAACAAACCAATTCAACCCCTCGAGTACTTTGGCGCTTAATTTTGATATTTGTAACACTCAAATGGCAACGGACAACCCCAAAAACTGTGGGGCGGGCGCTGCGTCCACTAGGGAAGTTCACTCGGAAGTGTGTGTGTGGGGGGGAGGGGGTTGAAGTGGGGTGTAAAAGCGTGAGCGAGCTTTTCTGCTTCCACTCGCACTCACTCGAGTTGGAGCATTGCTCGATAACAGCAGCGGGTGATAAGAAAGCTGGGCTCTCAAACACGCCATGTTCGTCCTCTCATAAAGTACATTCTCGTATTTGTTTAACACAAAGATAGGAAATTTTAAGCAAATATAGTAGTAGTGGTTGGGACCAAGCCTTCACTGGTTAAAGGTTCTTATCAGCGCGCGGCACATGGCCATGACGAACCGAACGCGGCAACCGTTTGACAAGCTTTGAGCCAGACAGACGAAAACACTCAATTGCCGAAAACAACAGACTGCAATACCAATTTGTGCTGGCTTGCAATTTCATTCATTTAATTTAGTTAATGAACTTGTCGTGAGTGCACTGAACTGTTGGATCTTTTGCTTTCGTTCTTTGTTTGTGCATTTCCGCTTAAGTCAGCAAAAGTGCATTTGCTTTTGAAAATGTAACGTATCTCGGCTGTTAAGCACAACAGGAATTCTCATGTTACGCTTAACAGGAGACTGTTAGGCGCACAGTAGTTCTGTTTGTTTTTACAAAATATGTAGTTGACATGTAGTTAATGGCTATGGCGATGAATATCGCCCATCTCTAGTACGTATGAGAAATTTCATAGTTCAATAGTTCAAAAAGTTCCTTCGAGAACTGAACAATTGCAGAGTTCCATAAACAGGCGCAGCGGGAATTTTAAATATGGCGCCACTGAGCATTTATAATTATTATAATAATATTATAAAATTTAATACAGATAATAAGGCGTATTTATAATTATAAAGTTAAATGAAGCTGTTAAAAGGTGTTAGCGAGTCATTTCTGCGAATTTCGGCGTGTTTAACAACAATATAATGGCAACAATACGGGTGACGTAGTATAATTGGTCATCTTTTAGCTCTGCCATTTGGTTAGCCAGATCATTGGAGATCTGTTCGGCGTCAAGAAGTACTTCTCCACCATCTTCCGGATGGCCTCCACCTCGTTTTTATTTCCATCGTCGGTCGGCGTCCCTGAGAATACTTCCGCCCAATTAAGGGCAGTATATTATTGCTCGTATAACTTCTGTATCGTTGCATCGGTGTTCAGGTGTAATGCTGCAACATAACGCTGTTGAAATATATCCCAAATGACTGGGTACTCCTGTGCAGCCGACCTTAGGGCATCCAAATTCGCTTTATTGTGGTCGGACGCTATGGCCATTATTTTCTTGGCTGATTTTCAGGCTCCAAGAAATTTTGCAGCTCACAGTCATCAAATCTTGTTCTAAATTATTATTTTTGAATTAGGTAGCCTGGTACAGTACCAGTTTTTTTGTGCTAGTATCTGTAAAGAATAGTAAAATAGAATCACAAGTCAGTTGCAAATCATTACAGCAGCTCATATATTTATCAAAATTCCCAACTAAAAAGCGAATATTCGGCAAGCAGAGTCAGTCGTATTTTACGCAACCAAACTTGGAGCAGATCAACTGCAGCAATACAGAACCAGACAACCATCATGGCGAATTTGGCTGTATCACGCATCAAGCGCGAATTCAAAGAAGTTTTGAGCAGCGAGGAGGTAAGTCCATCATCCCATGTGACCAGAAGCTTACCCGTATGACTAGCGTCGCCATCGCCAGCGGCAGTGGTGGTGGCGGCAGTAGCAGCGGACGTTGCTTTCATTTTTGGCGTGTGAAAGTGCTATGGGTCATTGGGGCTTCTGCTTCTTGACCAGTACCGCACCTGGGGGGAATTGGGAGGAGTGTGGAGGAGCAATAATAATAGTGACCCAATCAATATCTGTAATTTTCTCTGACAGATCGTGCAGTGCGGTATCAAAATCGAGCTTGTGAACGACTGCTGGACAGAGCTACGGGGCGAAATATCAGGCCCCCCCGACACACCATACGAAGGTGGAAAGTTTATGCTGGAAATTAAAGTGCCCGAGACATATCCGTTCATTCCGCCAAAGGTGGGTATCCCTAAAGCAGCACACTAAACCGCAGGTTTAAAACAAAATGCATCTTGTCGGCAGGTTCGTTTTACGACGCGCATCTGGCACCCCAACATCTCATCTGTGACTGGGGCCATTTGCCTAGACATACTCAAGGACAACTGGGCAGCGGGGATGACGCTTCGCACGGTTTTGCTCTCCTTGCAGGCCTTGCTGTCCGCTGCCGAACCCGACGATCCGCAGGACGCTGTGGTAGCACACCAGTTCAAGGACAATTACGATAGTTTTCTGCTGACCGCGAAGCACTGGACCAGTGCTTACGCAGGCGGACCATGCACCTTCCTTGGCTGTGATCTAAAAATTGAACGCCTCAAGGAAATGGGCGTCGACGAACATGAAGCGCGCAGCGTCCTCTCTAAGGAGAACTGGGACTGGGAGAAGGCCATCAAGTGCCTGTTCGATTAGCTTGCTAAGAACACGGTAGCAGCACCCACACCCTCAATATATTTTTAATTTGTTCAATTTGTTCTTTAATAAACCACAGACCATGTTTCATGGTTCTGTTTTGTTTGGTTTGAATTGTACATTTGGTCGCCGGTTCTCCTGCTACAGGTGGGCCTTAGGACCTGCCCGCGAACCTCTTAGTCAATTAATCAATCATGTGTCATATTTCCGTTTATATTTCTTTTCACTCTTTTCTTGCGATGCTTGTCGACCAGGGGGGTATTTAATATTTCCACGAAATTTATGTAACTTTAACATATTTTACGCATTACAGGTGAAAGATTTCGGTGGTAATTTTTGTTTTGTAAGTAAAGAGGAGGATGGAGCTACAAGGAGTCTTTACAAACAGTATTATTTTCCGCGGTTTAACAAAGGTTGCTCAACTTTTTAAATAGAGGGGTGTTAAGTGGGTTAAGTCTCGTTTGATCGCCGGATAGAGGTGGAGAAAAAAAAATTAAAAACATCGATGCATCGATGTTTCTCCACCTCTATCGCCGGATTGCCCTGGTTTTTTATGGTATTAAATGGTATTTATTTTTTGGCCGGACGGTGTTTTTTCAATTTATTAATAATCAATAAAAACTTAAATTCATAGAACGTTTCTCATCGTGTGCGCTTAGAGAAGATACACAGCAAGATTGACAAGATGAGCGGGAGGTAGGCCAGCAGTTCGAATTTGTTCTATAAATATCTACTTACTATTACATATATATGTACTTGTATGTTCCTCCCAGTCCCCTCTGTGGCGTGGAGCCGACCGACTTCCAGGCAGCCGCCACTGCTGCAGCTGCTGCTGCGGCAGCCGCCACCAGGGCCAACAGCTCCTCGGACCGGGATGAGTGGAGCGTGGGCGAATGCGGTTTTATGGATCCGGAAGTGCAGCGCACAATGCGGAGTGGAAGTGCCGCAGAGGACATAACACAGTATCCGCTGCGTGGATGGCTCGATGTGACCAACGAGTTCTACTCGGCCTGTAAAGAGCTGCTACCCGGCGAACTGGCACAGGACATGATGTTTGGTCTATTCGAAGCCATGTCTGCGATCGAGATAATGGACCCAAAGATGGATGTGGGCATGGGCTTCGACAAGTCGGATTTGCCTCCGCCCTCCTTCGAGGTAGCCATCAAGGTAAGAATAAAGAAGATAGCCAGTCTCCGTCTCCTGCCTAACCTAACTCAATTCATCAATTCATTGGCACCCATTCCAGATGGGCGTTATCAAGCTGGACGACCTGACGCCCACCGAACTGATTGGGATCTTTGATGCTCTTTTCTCCTGCGTTGTGTCCTGGCTGGAGGGCAATTCAATGGATCAGGTGTTGTTCACGTGTCTCTATCTGCACGCCCCGGCTAAGATCAAGGACAAGGCGCTGCGCGTCTTCTGCACTGCAGTGCGTAATCTCATTGTGGTCATCAAGAGCATCATCCTCATAGCCGGTGTAAACGAGGAGGAGGATTTCCAGCTGTACGGCAACTCAGCCCTGCTGTCCGCGGAGAAAGCTCACCCCGGCAATATTTTTGGTTATCTGAAGGAGGTAGAGGACGAGCTGGTGCGCAAATGCAAGCAGCTGACATCGCCGGAGGACCTGATGTCCGTGGTGCATCGCCTCCGCTTTATGCGGCACCTGTTCCAGGTCATCTACCAGGTGGAGCAGATGGCAGCCCATGACAGCGCAGTGGATACAATGAGCGAGATTTACAAGAATCTGAACGTGGCTTCCGAACTGCTGCCGCTTATACGCAAAACCATTGATCGGGGCACCCAGCCCGTGGAGGGCTGTAAGTCGAATCCCAGCGATTGCTTTTCTGTATTGTCTAACCAATTGTATTGTATTCTCCAGCGGAGGCCCCAAATCCCATTGGCTTCTCGACGCGCATTCATGACCGCAGCCAGCCGCCCTCGTTTCCTCGCAGCATTAAGATCCGAGACCGTCCAGCCAGCTTTCAGTTTCTGGAGGAGATGATCTCGCGTTTCAAATACGCCTGCAAAGTGACGCGGAATAAGGACTACTTCTCAGCGCTGGTAAGGCTAACAATTTGAATAAATAAAAATTAACATTTAAGTGCTGTTCCTCCACTTGCAGAACTTCTTTATCGAGTACAGTAAAAAGTCGGGGCAGTGCATCCTCTCGAGAAGCGTGCTGCAGAGCCTATTCAACGCAAACTTGCGGCTGGTGCATGGCAGAATGCCGATGAAGCTGTTTCTGCGGCACTCGGTGCAAGCCTTCAACTCCCCGCCGGTGCTCAGTGCCAAGAACTCGGTGTCCGCTGATCCCAAGGTGCAGCAGCAGCTGGAGAACTTCTTCCGCTACTGCATCAGCCTGAACACCTTCACCATGTTTATACGCATCTGTGGCTTCAATCGGGCCAGGCAGCGGGACAAGCTGGGTCGATTAATTGAGAATTTCGACGCCATTCAGGTCGATGCGGCCAGACTGGACTCGTTTATGAACCAATTGGCCAACGAGCGGGCCATGGAGGGCAACGAGCTGCACGCCACGGCCCTTAAGCACAGCACCCACTTCTCCACGTGGGTCCTGTACAACTGCTTCCGTGCCATGCTGATCTACCTAATGTCCGGCTTCGAGCTGGAGCTGTATGCTGTGCACGAGTTCCTCTACATCTACTGGTATCCGTACGAGTTTCTGGTGGGCTTCCTCGTTTCGGCGCTGACACGCACGGAAAATATACTTTTGGCCCAGGAGGAATACGCGGAGCATCTGAGTAAGATTCAAGCGAATGGCGGCAGTGCCTCCAAGAACCGCAAGGCGGCCAAGCCCAGGAAGAACAAAAAACTACAGCGACCGTATCGTTGCGAGATAGTCTTCTACCACGCCCTCCTTAGCCTCTGTGGCGGCATGTACAAGGCCATGGGCGCCCTTACCAAAGACGGACGCGTGCGTCTGCCAATGGCCACATTTGACAACGAGGAGGTTCGATACAATCGACGATTCCGTCCCTTTGGTTCACTCACCAGTCCACCGCCCGTCAGCTATCAGGAGTTCAAGAGCATCCGCGATCACATGATGCTTGCCAGCGTCGAGGATCTGTACTCTGTGGCAGCCAAGCATTTCGATCAGGCCCGAAACATTTTGGAAAACATACAGAACCCTGACCAGGAAGTAAGTTTACAGTTCCATCTCTGTCCCAAAAATCTCGCTCACATTCCAAATCCGATCTGTTGCAGGTGCTGGACCTTCTTCAAATCGCTCGCACCAACTTTGTTGTGATGAACGTGCTGGCCCGTGGCCATCAGAAGGATGTGAAGCGCCAGCCAGAGTTTGACTTTTCCAAGCATAGCTATTTCCCCATTATTAAGTTGAAATAAGCGGCTGGCCATTAGATTTTAAATGTGTTCAACCTCCACCAACCATAATCGACTAAATTAAATGTATGTATGGAGTTTAATATCATCAATGTTGCTCTTCCGACGCAACGTCCTGCTTGACCATGTGCTCCTCTACATACCCCTTAATGGGGCAGCTCTTGGCACAAGTGTAGACCGCCAGTACGCCCCAGTCCAGGAACTCTTCCTTGAGCAGCACCAAGGTCTGGGGCATGATCTGAAACTCGAACTGACGAATTCCGCCGCAATGGCTGCAGTTGGGCAGCGATTTCAGTTGGTCCGCCACAGTGGCGGCTGTGTTTGTTATCCAGAGTGGCTCCCCGCCGCGCTTGTAGCGCACAATCTGCTCGGGCTCGTCGGCGATTTGCTTCTTAAATTGACGAAACATCTTGTCATCTGAGCCAGCTGTATTTCCAAAGTACTTGTCCATCTCCGCCTCGGAGACGTTGCTCAGGTCGCCGGTGTTGCCACTGGCCTGTAGCGCCTCAAACTCTGCCAAACGGGCGTCGTCATCCTTGACATCTTCTTCAACCGGCCTTGTGGGATTGCTCTCTATCACAATCTCAAATTCTTCGAATTCTATCGCGCCCAGCGGCTTGTGCGGCGCCGGCTTCGATGATCCGCAGTTGGCCTTGTGGTGGGTCCAATGTGCCCGCTGATGAGCAGAGGAACAATAATAGATGGTTTTGCAGCGGCTGCAGGCGTGCGGAGCATAGCAGCCACAGGCGGCACATACTTTTTTCAGGCATGGTATGGGGGGCTGGAAAAAACAATAAGAGAACGTAATTTCATCCAAAAAGTCATCGTTTCATTGCTTACCAAAGGTTCACCATCGTCTCCAGCCGCCTGTTCCGAGAAGAATTTGTTTTTCAGCGGCAGCTGCGACCTCAGCACTGTGAAATTTCTGCAGAAGCCACGAACATGAGGAGGATAATCGGGATAATTACACCAAGCTTAACGCACTTACTCTGAATTATGTGCCTGCTGGCAGTCTGCGTTCCGGCATACGAAAATATAAATTGAACGATGAAAGCTGAACTCTTCCTCGTGGGGAGCATAGAGCTGAGCCAAGAAAACTTTGGGCGCCTTGCACTTGTTGCACTGCAGTTGTGCTGTTGGTGGGAGTGCCTCCAGGTCCAGCCAAGCGGGTTGTCCACCCAGTTTGCTAGGGAAGTAACGGTTGCTCAACCATGCATTATTCTCCCGTTTCTCGGCAAAACCCAAATCAATTTCCATGTTTTTAAACGTGCAGAAGTAGCTAGGGATGTTAAATAATTGACTATCAGTATATCGATGTAAATATAATATCGGTATTTTTGTGCGATAAGCGCATAGTCCTACCACTAACCATACAGTTTATACATTGAAAATGATAATGTATATTTTGGTATATTTCTGAGATTCCAGTCACACTGGACAGCACCGACAAAACAAATCAAGTCAAATATTTAATTTTTAATAAATTAAGATATTTTTCAAAATGACCGCCAAACTCCATTTAGCGCACAAAAAATACTGACATTTTCCCCTCCTTTTCGTGGTGTGACCCGCATGTTCTTAACGGGAACCGTATGTAACGTAGATTCATTGCTGCGACGTTCCTACGCGTTCCCGTAAGATACATTTGATTTGTATGGGAACATTTTCAGCAGCATGAGGAAATGAATAGGCAGCATTGTTCCGCAACTTTGGCACGAAATGAGAAACAATCTGCATACCTTGGGAAAATGGATATTATGGACTTGAGATATTGTTTGTAATTTCAGGCTCGAATTAATGCAGATACTACTCAGTGTCTGTTTTAAAGATATTAACGAAATTTTTAAGCTCACAGGTACCAATAATAGGTATCAGAACCAGGATAAATGTATTTATAAAACAAAAAATATGCATTAATAGGTAAAAAACATGTCAATTTAGGATAAAATCATTATTAATGTTTCAATGAAGCTTGTAACAACAAATTAAACATCAATTAAAGGAAATACGGTACACACAAGCCCATACGCATAGAAGAAACTTGGTTGACCAGCAACAATGACGTCTCATTTAGTCAACATTTACGTTTTTGTTTGAACCTTTTTATGTAAACAATGCAATGAAAAAAAGGTCTGAAAACTAGCCAATTCTGAACAAAATTTATTGAGGAATTGGATAAAATTATTTGTTTAGGGCCGAGAGGGCCAACTAGCTAGTAATATTAAACGGGATATCAAAATCAAGGAATATCAACATTGAATGTTAAAAAAAGCAATCGATACTATCGTAATAGTATCGGGCTCAAATAATTATTAAAAAACCATTAAAACCTTTTAGGAACTTGTGCATTGTAAAAATTAGATGCCACCTGTCGATTTGTTAACAAATTTTTCTTCGTATTCTAGAGCAGCCAATTCAAACATATCAAAAGCGCAACAGCTGTAGCTCGATACTATCATGATAGTCGCAAAACCGTCGATAGTAGCAGATAGCAGCAAAACATGCATACTATCGATAGTGCCCTCGATGGTTTGACACCTCTAACGGATACGTGTTTTGGGAAATAAATATTCACTAATTTAGAAATGCAGCAAATTACGTGTGACTCCATTTCCTGATGCAAGCGAAGAGAGCAGCAACAAGTTTGTTGTAAGGGAATATTGTGAAAGCGTAGCAAAGATTTGTCAACACATAGAAGAAGAGGCCACCAGCGCCATAGTATTTGTTAATAATAAAAATAATAAAAAGCTGTCGCAGCAGCTGCTGCCGCTAAAACGCCAATAACAACGACAACGGCAGCCCCAGCCCCCCAATTGCGGAAGCTGAAACTGCCTTATCGTGTGTTGCTTGTTGCCTTCGGGAGTGCTAAAAATAAAACCCACCCACCCACACGACTACAAATTTTGGCAACAGCACGGGGCAAGGTGAACCTGGTGTGGACTCTCTTCCAGCTCGCTTCTGTCGGTGTTGCCAATGCGGAGACAATGCAGAAATGAAAATCATAAATACAACGTACAACTCGGAATTTCTGTAAGTAATTTGCCCTTTCCCTGCCATTCCCGATACTGTTTGGGTTAGATGGGAAATGAGAATCCGGTTGCCAGCAGAGGCAGGTTGCAATTGCAGGAAATAGATTCCTGGGCGGGATGATTAGCAGAGGGCACCAGCGGAAAGTATTCTCTTTTCTGGTCGTATGAGCTTTTATTTGGCTATATTTAGTGCCGCATTGCTGAAAATAAAAATTGGAGCACCCTGCCCGACACTTGCCGGCTGTCACATGCACAACCATAAAGTCTATAGAGTTGGCCAACATCGTGCCAAGTCTGCTAGCACATCGAAGAGACGACTGACTACCACCATCTTATTGCATATCCAATCCTCTGTTAACCTGAAATGGCTAATCAATATTTCATTTAATAGACCAACCAGAGCAGCAATGCAAACATTCGCCATCAGCATCAGGGCCCGTACCCCTAAATCAATAAAAGCTTCCAATCCCGGCCACATTGTGTCCATTGTCATTTTGTCAACACATGATTTTGGGCAAATTTTCGGCCAAATTCAAAGGCTTGTTGGCTCGCTTCCACACTGCCGCAGTCTGTTTGCCCGTAACCGAGCTGATGCTGCCTGCCTCGGCTTCTCATGGCCAGGCCATTCTGACGGTTTTAGATGGCCATCACCATGTGTGTGTCAACCGCTTTATGACATCAACTGACATCCCTACGAGGATGTACTGAAAATTCAATTACAATCCAACTCAATCGCAATGCAGACAACTGGATGGAATTCTATGAAATGGCTATCCATGCTGGTGCCAATCCGGAAAATTAAGGGGAAAACTGGCTCAGAGAATGTGCGAAGCTCCGACATGTCTAAACGGATTTCGAACAATTGGTTCAATTTGCATGAGAAATTCCTAGCCCAGTCCCAGCCATTCTCAGCCAGTCCCATGTTCTCAGCTGGCATCTTAGTTGCTGCGAAGTTTCCGATTTATTTCTGCTGCTATTTTGTTGCTGCCTTCCTAACCTTCCCTACATGCCATACTCTCGTATTGCACTTATTGATTTAAATTCCTCATTTATCTGTTAGTTCACATCTGAGTTCTATACTTATTCCATTACCCCGCCCGACCCCACCACTGTTTATCGGCTTCTGTTTCTGTTGCTCTTTCAATTTGAAATTGAATAAAATGTAATTTCAAACGGGGAAAGTAGAAATGTAGCGAGATTCTTAGCTAGAGGGGGAACTGACATCCAAATACTGATGTCAGTTACAACACACATTATTTCATTAAAAATGCTTTCAATGATTTCGACATTTAATTAAGGGTAATGAATTTCGCCAGCAGTTAGAGTTTTTGCATTTCAATTAGCTTTATAACATATTTCTCCCGACCAAAGAAGGACCTGTCAAATCCTCCGTGCAGATGAAGCCTTGCCCTAGACTCCTACCATGCAGCAGCATCCTCTGAAAGTCCTCCCTCCCTCGTTGTCACTGGCAACAGGAAGCTGGACCCTGAACCTGACTGACGGTGGCTGCTGCATTTACGAGTATTGCTGAGCTCTCGCTAATAAGCTTATGCGCCACTCAAGTGAAAATATTTTGCATCCAATTAAGAAAACCTTTGACAGCATAGCAGAGCAGAGTGCAGAGCGCGCACTCCACTCCACAGCAGCTGTAACATAATTTATTGGTTTAACGTTGCTTTTCCCCCTACGTACTACCTGCGCAATATTAAAAAGCATTCCCTTTTCGATGTGGAATCATTTAAGGCTCTAAAATATACCATTCTTGATCAGAATCAACAGCCACATCCCTGTTGTTTTTAGATAAAGCACTCAAACATTAGTATAAGCTGTAATTAAAATTTTTTAGCCAATCCTACAATCCTGTTTATATGTACATAAATACATACGAGTACATACCAAAATGAAATTCATAAAGCTCTATTGGAACTCTGGGTGTGTTTCTAGTGACATATGATTGTTGCCGATTCAAATACTTGTAGAGGTGAGGCACATACACTTGTACACTCCGCACCACTTGAATAGTGCATAGGAAACAAAGTTCAACAGAATAATACATATATGTAGTATATGTATTGTGATTATTACGGAGATAAATAAATATTAAAATTAAAACCATAAATTCATGCTTTGAAATAATAGTTTGGCGTATTTATGTAGTGTAGGGGAATACGGCCATTAGTGATGTCAGAATTTAACCTGAGAGTGAGATGTGCTATTTAAATGGCGCGAAGTGTTTTGTGTGTACTTTCAATCAACCGTTATCAGTGTTCTCTGTCTCCATCGCCATCTCTCTCCCACGCGCTTGGTCACCATTCATGCCGTGACTTGTTTCCCTTCTTCCTCTACTTTACATACTTCGCATTTTCTGTTTTAGCTTAGTTACTTATTCTCCTCTTTCACTTCACGTCACCCTTTGCTTTTCTGTTCTGGTTTGCATTTTGATTGCACACCAAACCGTGAAGTGAGTCACTTCTCAAGGTTATTCCAACGGTTCCCTCCCGCTCTCCCTCTCTCTCCGCTCTTCCCGCGTGCTGTTGTTGTTCTGCCTAAAGGCCAATGTACGATCTTTGGCTTATTTTACGATAGCCAGCCGATATCAAAATAATTATAAATGCTTTAGTGTTGGTGTACGTTTGTTTGTTGGTATAGAGAGATAGTGCGTGTGTGTGTCCGTGTATGTTTGTGGCTCGCATCGTGAATCCGTGGGGCTTCTCTGGGACATTTGTAAGATTTCGCATTGTTATTTGAGGAGCAGGCAGAACTTTTAACTTCTGGGAGGGAGCACACTGTTAATTATATTGACTTGGAATTTCACTCTCAATTGATGTCATTTAACAAAGAGAGTTATACTCGCAATCCATTTGTGATATCCGATAAGGGGAAATCCCTTTTTCCATTCATTCCGTTAGTGTTGTTGATTGCTGATCAGATCATCCCTGTTAAGGCAATTATTCTGTTATCCAATCACCTCTGTGTGTTCCTTTTGAATGATTCATTGTGCAAGTCGTTGGTTGAAACACTAATAACAGGTAAGAAGTCTGGTTTGGGTGGGTGCACCACCTCCTTGTGGCCAACGCCAACTGTTTTGCTCGGAAAACAAAGGCCTGCGAAGCTCCAGGCTACTATTGGCACGGCACTATCGATGACGGGCCACAACATGTGCGGGCTGCACATGTCCATTGTTTGCTCTTATCAGGCCAGTTATTGTTACTCCACTTGAGCCTACAATATGCATTGTTTAGTTAGTGTATGTTTTGTGCGCGACAGACGGTGGGTAGTTGGGGGCGTTGGGCCGGCGGTGTATCACACTAGCTGATGCGATGCATGTTGGTTGAGTGGCAAGTGCAGTCGGGAGGGAGGACAATCATTGTTGGGTAATTGCTTTGCCCTGCCTCCAGGCCCATTCACACATATGCATTCACATATATAGCCATCAACATTATCCTTGTGAAAATCAATAGCAAGTGAGATGCAAGGCATCTCGAGACTTGTTTTGTAACCTTGTATCGCTTTTGTGGCCTTGTTGCAGGACCATAAGGCACGCTGAATGAGAGTCCTTAAAGCAACATGTCGGATTTTTTGCCCCGCGACATTCTGCCCGACCTGTGGCAGGAGATACTTAAGCGCCACTGGTCGTTCCTCGAGACGGAGGAGAGCGTTCAGAAGCTCGAGGAGCGCAAGCAGCTAGAGGGTGTGTATGCGCGTTTTGCTTGAATGCTGGAACAATACTAATAAATTTGCTATTTGCAGGCTGCCTCAAGGAGTTCCTCTGCGTGGTGCCGCACGATCGCAAGTTCTTTCTGCCAGAGACGGGGCACATCCTGCGCAAATCAGTGCGAGAGCTGACCGAGTTCACGGCACAGAATGCCATCGTGGGATTCGAGACCATCAGCCAGTATGCCAACAACTTGTTTACCAAACCCTGGCGCAAGGAGTACCGAACCCTCAAGGTTGGCTTGTGCACCCAATCCATCTATCCGTCTATTGGCTAATTGCCCACTCTCTGCTTTCAGACATATTCGGGATGCTATCAGCATGATATACTGTCTCGCCTGCTGGACGCTGACCAGCTCTTCCTGGCCATGGGCTATAGGCGCATATCGGACGATACATTCGTCCTGGAGGGACCCATCTGCCCCGATCAGGTGACAAATGTATCGCGTGATGCGATGGCCGCCTACGTCGAGTGCCAGATCATGAAGCACATCCATGCAGGCGTCCACGCAGAGGGCTTCCCCTGCAGCTGGAAGGAGATTTTTCAATATCGAGAGCGCCACATTGGCGGAACCACACATTCGATCAAGGAGATTGTCTACCACCTGAATGAGAAGCGACTGCGCAAGGAGAAGATGTCGGAGAACACATACAGCAATGTGGCGACACTTTCCACCCAGACCCAGCCTCCGAAGAGCAGGGTAGTGGGTGCGGGCAGTGCGGGTGCGAGCCCCTGCGCTTTGCATGGCAACAACCTGGCCTATCCCACAAGCTCAAACAGTTGCGCCATGCATCACAATGTTGGTTCCCCGAATCTCAGTCTCGTAGGCACCAACGACTCGTTGTCGGGGAAATACTTGCCGCCATATCCCGCCCCACCACCGCAGCAGCAGCAGACGGCTGGAGGAGGGCTGATGAGCCACTCGCGCAGCCTGGAACACTACCAGGAACCTCACAATGTCTTCCAGCATCGACACTCTTTTGACCAGCAGTGCCAGGCCATGCATCAGCACTCGCATGTCTACGAGGCGCCCTACGACTGCCTGGACGGACTGAGCATGGGCAGCAGTGTCTCCTATGCGGCGGTCGCCGGTGGCTACAATGCGCCCGGAAATCGTTATCCCCTTCCCTACAACATCTCCAACCAACTGAATGCCCAGTATGCCACGCCCGCCGATGTCTTTACGAATGCGGAGCACAATATGTACGCGACCATTGAGAAGACGGGCGCGTCGGCCTCCGGTCCGATGCATAGTTGTGACTATCACAGGCGTCAAGGTCAGGCCCCAGCCATGCAGCACAGACAGAGCACGTATCCGCCGGACCATCACCTGATCGATTTCGACGAACGTGCCCATCTGACGCAGCACGACTATGGTGCCCATGACTACGATCCGCGGCTGTACGAGCACCGAGGCCACGGCGGCCACCTGCGTGGCAATGCTGCCATTTACGCGCCACCGCCTGATCCGATGTCATATGGCGGCTACGATCTGCCCACCACTCTGCCGCATTCGCAGCCGCCGCCACCCACTGCTCAGGACAGGTATGTCTATGCCCGGCCTGTGCCCAAGGCCAGTCGGACGCGGGCCCTGGCAGAGTCTGGCTTCGATCCGCGACGCGCCGATCGCGACCTGATGCAGGTAAGTGCACAAATCTGGCTCTCATTCTCATTAGATAGTTGTGCAAAATTTGACTTCTTTTTGGCAACAGGATCCAATGGACAATAACCGTAAGATGCACAAGGAATTGAAGGAGCGGGCCAGTCGGACGGCGCCCGCGGATGCATACCACAGCAGAAGGCAGCAGACAGTCAACGATCCTGATATACCCACCACTGTTGCGGACATGACAGCAGCATACGAGACGGCGAGTCTGGATGACTTCGCAACGCTGAGCAGCGCCTCACCGCCGCTGATGCCCAAGGTGCAGGAGGGTGTCGGCAGCTTTGAGTCCTGGAACTATGTATTTAAGAACCTGGAGCGCTCTGGCTACTCCAAAGACTTGGGGGATCGTGAGGATTTGCTGGTGCAAAGCTTGGATCTGGACTCGTTGACCATATCCAATGGCAGTGCGAATCCTGCTGAGAAAACCTCGCGACGCGACACAGCCAAGACACAGCCGGTAACACGTGCAGCTAGTGCCGCTGTTGTGGAGGCAAGTGGTGGCAAGGGAACACGTTTCAGTGCAGCCAATGCGGAGACAAGTGGCGGGAAGACACGCACGCTGGAGAAGAAGACTGGGGCCATCCGCAGGGAGGCCAAGGTTGTGCAGGCGCCAGCGCCCACGTTGGTGCCGAACAGCAGCAGCGCGGGCGTGAAGAAAGTGAAGTCCGCCTTGAAAACGGCCACAATAGACAATAGAGGAACTGGGTCGCGCAATCGCACCGGGGCTGTGCCAAAGCAGCCGCCGCCAGTGTCCACGCAGCTGATTGTGACGAGTCCGAATGAGTGGAGCTGTCGCTTCTGCACGTTCCTCAACCCAAACACGAAGCGCATCTGCGAGATGTGCAGCCGCAGCAAGGACTTCAATCTGGAGGCAGCCACAGCGGCGTCGTCATCGGCAGCGGCTGCAGCGGCGAGCGTCTCCCATGCTTCCTCAACCTGCGTCTAGGCGATAGTCTGGACGAATTCCCCTTCCCTCAAATACACCTTCACCCCCTTAGTGATACAAAACAGTGCAGTGTAAAGCTAGATATATTTTTATACGACCCATGTGCAGCCCTGTGCGTGTCTCTAGGATCTAGTCTCGTAGCGTACGGATTGCAGCCACCTTTTGTTGTGGAACGGAGGAGCATCAGCAGGACAGGACAACAGGACTGGACAGGACTTGTGCATACGAAGTATTCTATTTAGTTAGCCCTACCTGTAAACACACGCTTTAATTAGTTATAGATTGTTTCCCCATTGTTGAGGGCGTCGCTTCTGTTTCAAATTTTGTGCCTCCCCCCTGCTGGCTGTCTGCTCTGCATATGGGCATACAATAATACTATTGTATACATGCAAAAGCAAATTCATTTTATAGATTTGTACGCGCGTGCCAGACAGAAATGGCGATGGCGATAGCGATAGCGATAGCGACAGCGAGAGAGGAGAGAGAGTGAAACACGAACTTTGTATATTTGTAGGCAATGGAAAACAACTGATAATTATATACCTTATATTCATAGTTTCATTCATAGTACGTACGAGTATAACCGAAATTGAACGAAAATGAACTTAATACACACACACACACACACACACACATATTCAGCTAATATACCTTTTCGACCATTTCATACTAAATACCTAAATACTAAATAATACCTATAACTACCTACCTATAGCCGTAGAGTAAGTAACTAAAATTTGAGAAACGATCAAGCAGAACTGGTCCGGGTACGGGTACGGGTTGTTAACTTAAAATTTTTGATTCGAATTTTACTGAAACGAAGGGAAGTACGAGAATAGTGCAAATTTCTACAAATGAACTATTTAACGTTTCCTTTTCCATAGTCCTCCACTTGATGAGAGGAGCAGAGGGGCTCAAAGGAATTGGGAAAGGGGCATAGATAAAAGTGCAAACTGAAAGCAAACAGCTCATCCCACCCACCCAATGCTAGATAGCCAGACCCCCCGCCACACAGTGTCCACACCTCCCCCTCGTCCCACACAATGCAATTTGTTTGTTGAAATGTTAAGATTAATGTTGATATATTAGGAACGGAACCCAATATTCTAATTGCGCTATCCATGAGCGGTGCACGATGAACCCAATCCTGTAAGATGCGCAAGCATAGCCGATATTTTTATAAAGATAAACGAAACCACGTACCTATTGCTCTTTGTTAGATATATACCTACCTATTTAATTGGGTTTTATTTGATTTGATTTGATTATTTATTTATTGTTAGTAGTTTGAGACCCAAATGCCTTTTATAATAACCTTTGCAGACAAATCCACATAAGATGAAATAATATAGGTAGAGAAAAAATATAAAAATTTTGCTGAAACTTTCAAGCGCAATCTTCGCTCAAAATTATAATAAAATGCAAATGCAAATACAAAAACTAAAACTAAAAGTGAACTTAATTTAATATTATGGCATGCTATTACCGAATGAATTTAGAGGCAATCTTTTTCCCGAAACCTTAAAGAATGAAAACAATAAAAACATTTGATAAACATTTGACAGTGTTTAACTTTTCGAAAATCAGACAAGTACTCACTCGTGTTTAATTTTAGTTTTTTGTTTTACTATAAATTTCGCGTTCAGTTAAGCAGAATGCTCCTGGTACTCTTGGGGATGATGCCACTCCTGCCGCACATATCCGCCTATAACTATTGCCACAATGAAAGCCATTCCTGCATTGCGGCCAACAAGCTTCACTTCATGTGCCGCCTGGATGCAGAGCTGCCGCCCGTTGCCACTTACAGGGGCACCATTCCCGACACCAAGCTGATGCATAGGATAATACTGAAGCTGATAAACGGCTATCGGGACAGGTTGGCCAGCGGCTTCCTGGAGACGCGCAACAAGAAAATGTTTCCCGCTGCCAAACGAATGCGTGAGCTCATCTGGGACCAAGAGCTGGGCTACATGGCCCGCAGCCATGTCGCCACAGTGTCGTTCAAACACTCAGAGTGCCGGTCCACCCAGCGGTTTCCGATGGCAGGCGAGGCGCTGGGTGTTGTGGGCTCCACAACCGATAAGCGCAGCATATTCCAGATATTGAAGTTGAACTTCGATCGGATGTTCGATGAACACCTATTTGTGGAGGATCCCGAGTCGCTCGTATCATACTTCGATGCCAGCATACACATGGATGCCGGGCACTTCTGTACCTTAATTAGCGATCGCATTTCGCGTGTGGGCTGTGGTGTCGCTATGGCCACAGACTGCGGTTACGATAAGTCCAAGGGGCATTGTCACTTCATAACCTGCCACTTTGACTTTACCAATATTCACGGTTCGTATGTGTATAAGGATGGATCACCAGCCAGCGATTGCCAGATCTGGGGGGCGGATCCCAGCAAGGAATATCAGCATCTCTGTGGCAACGAGCAGGGAATATTCGAGCAGGTAATCGGTCAATATCAACTGGTGCTGGTGCTCTTTTAACCCATGGTGTCTCTTCTGCAGGATCATGGCGATGAGGACTTGAGTAATAAAACAAAAGTCAAGGGTGTTTAATGCACATATATTCTGTATTCTGTATGCTATGATTTTTGTTGTTGCACGAGTACCAAAGCTCAAGCGTAACATTCGAAATACAATTTTTGTACAATTCCTACGATCCTTTTTCAAATTGAACTAACATTGACCAGGCCTGTTCGGTTCGATTCGGTTCGTTTGGTTTGCGATTTCATTTGTGATTTAAATACACATTTAATTGGAATTTTAAACTATTTCTTCAACATTTCTTTTAGTTTTTGTTTGTTTTTGTTTCATCATTTATATCCATTTAATTTCCCTCTAATCGCTAACAGACTTAGTCAGTTTTTGCTTTTACTATCGATTATGATACCTTTACTATTTTTTTTTTTTTACGAATGAAACCCCCCCTCCCCTTCATCGGCGTACATTACTTCTAGCGTTAGAGTTAATACATTCAAAGATTCTAATTTGGGACAATACGAATACTTTTTTAGCTTCAGACTACGTTTTTTTTTTCAGATCGTTCGGATTAATAATAAATAATTAATTAACATTGCACCGTTTCATATCGTGTCGTCTTTTCGATGAAGTTAAATTGGTTTCGCATTGACTTTCAGGGAACAACTGACTTGTCTCTAAACACCACAACGCACAAAAGTGCCGACTAGCTTAATTGTTTGGACAATAACAACTAGTAGTAGTAGTAGTAGTGTCATTCCATCTTCTTCTGCTTCTATATTCTGTCTCTGCGTAATCCAAATGGCTTGATATCCCCAGACAAAAAAACTACGAGTGAGTATGCATTTTCAACGGCACTGGAACTGGAATGCCACCCAACTACACCTTAATGTTGGATCTTGTCTAGAGTAATCCTTCTAGTTTTGCTATGCATGTACAAAAATACATATAAACACTACGGATAAAGCAAAGGTTTGGACAAATCCTGTTTGGGATTCCTTCCGGATTACGATAAGCTCGAGCGAAAGAGCCTAGTGCATAGGGAAAAGGTTCCACATTTCGTTTCGTTTCATTCAAGGGATACAACACCCTAAAGGAAAGAACACACATTAAATATATTCATCTGCAAGGTGGGTTAATGCCTATAATATAATTAGTTCATCTTCGATTCGATTCAATTCAATTCGATACAATTGCAAAACGTTGCCGAAATCTTGGCCTTGCTTAAACATCTATAAATCCTACAGTTGACACCAAAAATATATGTACTTGTCGCCGCTTAATTAGTTTCATTCCCTTCCCAATTGATCTCTTTAAAGCCCATCATCCGCTGGCTGGCCAACGCCAATTGGCATTCCATTCTATGAATTACTTTTGATACTCTATAATAACAAACCTACATATGTATACATACTACAATATATGTACTCGTATCAGTGCACTTGAACTGCAAATTAGTGTGCAAACATTCAGTGCAAATTACGTGAAGCTGCTCCTTCCGGTACTGTACCAAACGGGAGGAGTACTTACTACATAGAACATTCACATCGTTTGCTTTCGACTAATCTTCGAATAATTCTATAAGACAATGGGACATCTTTTTCAGCAAATCTATAGCCCACCAGTGGGTGTGGTCTGTGGATGCGGGTCTCGGGTCTCCCTCTACAAAATGGTGCATCCAGAGCCATGCATTACCTCGCTGATGAACATGGGTGTGCCGGCGCCCAGGCCGCCGTCTGTCTTATGGTGTTCGTTCTGCAAGAAATCGGGACGGAACTCTCAGATGGCATGGGAATGGCAGTGGCGCATTCTACTCACATCATCGTAGTCGCAATCGAAGTAGTTACTCTGGCAGTCCATGCACCGACAGCTCTCGGACATTTTGCATGTGATGCCCCATTGCTTGGCCAGATCCTTGTAGATCTCCTTGCTCGTCTTGTTGCTCATCATTTCCGGTGTGAGCAGATTGGTGTGGCAATTGGATTGTTGCTGCTGCTGCTGCTGCTGTTGCTGGCGACGTCCACTGCGGGAACGGGAAGCCACCGAACCGGAGGCGGAGCCGGAACAGCAGGCTTCCTGGCACAGCTGACTGTTGCTAGAGACGGGCCTCGAATTGGAATTGCCACCTGTGGTGTACGGGGGTAGATAATTAATTTATTCCTTGGGTCAAAGGGCGTTCGGCCTCACCCTCGTTGTAGCTGACGTAGCTGCCGCGATTCAAAAGTGGGTCGTAGAATGCTGCTGCCTGACTGCTGGTGCTGGCCTCGTCCCCGTCGGGAGCCGCCTCCTCTCCGGCCGCCCCACGCTCCTCGCTGCACTGGGCACACTGGTCGTCCGTGCACTGGCTCTGCCCTGCATCATTCTCGTCTCCGGCGTAGAGGTTGTCCGTGCACCGGGAAGAGGATGCCGCCATTTCCGTTTCCAGTAGAAATTCGTTCACGCTAATCGTGTTGAGGTCGTCCTCCGGACAATCGAACTCCGTGTCGCTCTGCTGCTCCAGCTCGAACACTCCCTCGCGCTCCCCCTCGTTGTTGTTGTTGTTGTTGTTGTGGTGGTTGCCCCCGAGGCTGCTGCTGGCGCCGCAATGTGAGTAGTTCTGGTTGAGATTCTGCTGGCAGTCCGGATCGTTGCACAGGCTGCTGCTGGTGCTGCTTCTGCTGTTCCCCCCCTCCAGCTGCTCCAAGGTGGCGCTGTCCTGGGACACCTGTCGCTGATGCTGGGACAAGCGCGTGTCCTTTTAATGGAATTCCGGAATGGGTTAGAAAGTCAAATGCTACGGGATAGGGATCCATGGGTACTTTGTACGAACCTCCTCTAGCACATGCTCGTAGGAAGGCGGTGGGGTGGTGGGTAAAATCTCGGCATCCGTGTCCGTCAGCGACTCGTTGATGCACGGCGTGCGGCTCTGGTTGAGGTAACCTGCAAGAGATCCAAACAATTGAGCATGCAGCCACGAAGGGGTAAGGAATATTCCAACTCCAGAAGACTAGCAAGATGGTGCATTAAATGGCTGAATTAGAAACATGCACGAAGGTACAGTAGAGGATTCATGCGGCTAGTAACTAATTTTGAGAGGACGTTTAAGCTGGCAGGACTCTTCAGTCCATTCCTACTGCTGGTACTTACGCATGCTGTTGCTGTTGCTGTTCTGTGGCAAGAGACGCTTTCGCTCGCTGCTCATTGGACCCAGACCATTGCAGTCGGCCAGGTCTAGGCTGGAGCTGCTGCTGGCCTCCACTTCCACGTGCTGCTGGAGCAGCTCTTGGTTGTTGTGGTGCTGTTGTTTCTGAACCTCCTGCTGCTGTTGCTGGTTGCCCAGTAGAGCCTCGTTCACCTGCGGATCCGGGTCGTGCTCTTGCGATGTACTCCGGGAGCTGCCCATGCGAAACTTCAGCTTAAATGGCGCCATGGCTCTTGGTCTCTCTAAATGTGGTTATGTATCGGCGGAGCCTCCTCCTTTCAGTTCTGTCTAGCAGCTGTGATTCCCGTAGATGCGTCTTCTAGGGATATTAGCATTTGGACCTTGTCTTCTTCTGATCTCACGACATTGATGTGAACGAAACAATTACGGTAGAGAGAGAGAGAGAGTGAGAGAGAGAGAGAGAGAGAGAGTACGAAGAGCAATAGAAGGAGAAGGAGAAACATACAGATACAGATACATAGAAGGATATACATGATATACAGGATACAGTTTCAAATAGAGTGAATAAATAAAAAACAATACTCGAGCAGACATGGACACAGGGATTGGATGGGCTAGCTGTGTCCCACATTTGAATTAAACCGATTTATATGCATTTACATACTCGTAGTGGCTTTTCAGTGGAGTTTACAATATGAATGGATTATTGAACAATTTGTGTGTGTGTGGTTTTGGCTTTATTCGCTGGTCTGCTTGCATGCACGGGCTTTGTTTTAAATAAATTACTGTACTGTAGCTTAATTAATTCCTCTGAATATTTTCCACTTACCCAGAATGCAGAATGCCCTGCCCTGGCCTGCTCGAATCGAACCGAATCCAGTGAGCTATAATTAAATTATAGAATTAATTATAAAATTTCATAAATCGGAGGACACGACTGCCAGATGCAGCAAATGAAATGCGCAGTAGGTGGCAGAATACAACGAGAACAAAACAAAGACAGAGAGCAGACGGAAGTGGGGCCACATTCCACATTCCTCTCAGATTTGGAATATTTGAGTACATCTTATATATATAAGTGCTATTCTATTCCCAATCTATGTACATCAAATATATCATTAAAAATATATAAAATAATTTATATTAAATGAAACAAATTCTAAAGTTGAAACAATAAAAAAGGGATATTTAAGTTGCTAAAAACACCCCTGTAATGTGCTGGTACTGTACACACTTCCGACTTGAGGAGGCCTGACTGTAACTGTTTGACCGCGTTTACCAAATTTAAAGCGCCCCCCACACTTGAGCTGTTTTTAGTTTCCATGAGAGCAGCACGCGACAAGTTGTTGCAAGTTTGGATCTCCATATGCGACCCACTCAAAGAGCAGGCCAGACGATGACTGTGTTCTCATTATTATGCAGATTACACAGCCACCCAGTTTTACATGCAGCGCCAAGGACCTAAGATGAGATGAGATGAGACTCCACACCTATTCAAGGAAGGTCCTGGAACCACCTACGCGTGGGTGGGTACTCGTAGTTACGAGTGTGTGCCGAAACTATGATTAGCTTTTTGGGGCTGGCTGCTGCACTGCGAGCAAACTCATTTCCTTGGGGACTGTGTTCCGCATTTACCGGATGATTCGATGATTGTGTGTGTGTGGTTGAATGTGACTGCCAATTAAGTCGGCAATCAGAGTGTGGCAAACATATGTACATATGTACAATGCACATACATAATCATACTTTGATAGATTCTCTACTGATTGCTCAACATATTCCGCGAATCATTCTCTTTGCATGTTAATTCTGCAAACATTTACATTTACCACTTGCATGCGAGTATTTGCAGACAATAAACTTCCAATTGCTGTTGACTCGGCAAGCAGCAGCATCGGATGGATCCTGACTCACAGTCCAGAGCGGGAGTGCTCCGCTCAGTGCCCTGATTGGATGCATGCAAATCCCCAGGTTATATATTCATAAGCAGCACTGCCATGAGATGGGATGAGGCGAAGCGAGCGAAGCCCGAACAATGGCAAATAGCAATCATCCGCCATCGAGCCTCCCCACCCATGCCTATGTACACAGGTACTCGTCCTGTACTGTGCCTTCGTTTCATGGAGAAGTCCCCTCCCTCCCTCCCTTTCCATGGAGCAGCTTGCGTTCTGTGGCTCGGAGTCTGCTGGCTCTCACTTGAATATTGTAGTACGAGTATGCCGCACCTTAACCGAAATACTCTGCAGCGGTGACAATCTATTGTCGTTGGCATGTCCTTGGAGCAACAGTTGGTGACATTCCCCACCCCCCCACCGAGAGGTAGATGCCTGCATTTCTAATGTACCCCCAACCGCAACCGCAACGTCTTGGCAGCCAGCAGAGCCATTGATTATGAATTCTTTATGAACCCCACAGAACGTCAGTCAAACGCAAGGAAGTGCAGATGCAGGAAGCGGCAGGAGAGGAAGGGAAGGGTGAACGGGTTCTATAGAATAGGGAGGGAATACCCCCTGGTATGGGAAGTCTTAATCTTTAATCGAAACTTTTTGACTTGCAGCCCCATGGCAGAAACAATCTATCTGACATTCTCATTAATTTCACAGCAAGGCAGCTAGCAGGGGCATCGATCCTATCTTCCTTCCATGGCCCGGACAACTTTCCTGTCCCTGCTTACTGCTTACGTGGGCAGGAAAGGAGGGGGGGCCAGCACGAACAAGTTGAGTCCAGGCTGCCGTAAATTGTTTTTCTCGTTGCTGTCGCTGTCGCAAACAAAGACATTACAAATTGGCCGTGAGAATTAATCAAATATAAACGAAAGTGGTACGAGTATATGAAGGCCAGGTCCGAAGAGTGCACCGTACCCGTACCCGTACCTGGACCTGGACCAGGGTACATCAACTGCTATAAATAGTCGTCCAGTCTGACCCAGATAGTATTTGTATGTTACAGCACAAAACAAAACAAAACAAAAAACCAACTGCATTCTATATTGCCATTCCATGTGAGCTGCCTCCCGCTGACAGGCGCTCCATGGTCCAGCCTCGAGGTCCTGTCAAATACAAAGCATAAATAAATGCATTTCAACTTTGGCCACCGTGCACACCGTACACCGTACATCGTACAGTAGGTGGAGCAGGAGGAGGGCTAGAGCACTGGACTGCTTTTGACGCATCCGAGGACGCTCCCCTCCCCAGCCCTTTGCTGGTTTTTCAGGCCACTCACTTCTGCGGTCTAAATTCATCGCCTGTGGAATTGTATCTGCGGAGTGCAGGAGATGCAAATTGCTTTCCCTTCTTTGTGGCCATTGGATAGCCCATCAGCCATCAGCATCAACATTATCCTGTACCCCCACGCCCAGGTCTGGTCATAAAATCAAAAGGAAAGTGAATTCTCGTTTTCTTTTGGCCATTATTGGGAACGAAAACGAAACGTTTGCCGCGAAATGGAATCGAATGAATATTTAAGTTCAGTTTTTTATGATCGCTGGTTTTTGGGGCTCCATCAAAAGGGGATTGTCGCCGAAGCCCAACACCCATCAATGGTTGAGTCGGAGGGAGAGTCGGACAATTACGCAAATTGGATATTAATTGGCTGGCTGGCTGCTCTGCACTGCTCCCGCTGACACTCGAACCGCAATTACTGGCACAGAAATGGGCGACGGGACGGGACGGGGACTGAGACGGGGCCACCACGTAAGCAAACACACGAACAAGTGTCAAAAGGGATGGGTGTGGAATAGGGATAAGGGATAGGGGATAGGTTCATCATCGATATCAATACCATTCCATTGCTGCGACAGAAGCGACACCCGACGATGATGGAGTGGCCGGACCAAGTCAGGACATGGCCAACAATGGCATCATCAGCATACGGGAGGAGACTGACTCACTGGAATGAAGGCGACGCAATACGCGAAGCCACGGCGGGTGCAGACAACTACATGCACATCCATTGTGGCCGTGGCTTGACGTTTGTCTGTGCTCTGGAAAGCTGATACCTAATTGTGTAAACAGCCTGGGGCTTGGCCGTTGCCACTTTATTGTCTTATTCTATCCACACTCGTATTGTGGTAGCCGTACACGGACGGACACTCGCTTTCACGATTCTTTGTGTCCGCAACTGACACTGGAGACTCCCTTCTCGCCAGGCGATGAAAAATCGAAAAACACATGTCAAAGCCTTCGGCTGAAGCTGGTGAAGCTATGGGGGCGGGGGTATGGGATTGGGAATGGGAATGGAATGCACTCACCTGTCTAGAAGCCTACAATCAAATGCACATTCTCATCAATTTATTTGGCAAACACATTTCCTCGAACCAGGCGGCCACTTTTGTTCCTCCGATTTCACTTTAATTACAATGGAAATTACTCTTTTCCTGACTGCGTTTTTGGGGTTTGTGTGTTCGTTTATTTTTCTTGCAGGCATTCACACAACTCGGCCTCCTGACTGCCACAGACTGTGAAAAGGTGGCCGAAGGACGGAGCTTTTATTGTCCTCGGCGGACGAGAAAGCTTTGGAGAAAGTGGAGAAAGCTTGACAGAGGACGACGCCTGCGCTGCTCTCCTTCCGGCAATTCTGTTTCATTGTTTTGCACCGTTTAGTGCTTTGCACCACAAATCCTTGCCTCCTCTGCTTTACCTCGCCCATTCGCGTGGATGAAGCACCACTCCCGCTCTCTGCATCACTATCTTCCTTGATCTTTTGTAATCATTGTTGAGACTTTATTTGCTGTATCCTTAAAAGGTCTTATCCTTAATGTCCACAATAATCTCAACCCCGCCGACCTGATCGTTGTTATCCAAGATATCCAACTTGGCCTTCATCAGTCCCCTGGGCAGGATGGCGGCCCAGTCTTTCGTGTTAAATAAAACATCTTTAATCCAATACGTACCGTTGGGAACCATAAACAAATTTCCGTCCTTGAAGTCAAAGCTCGTGTTGACGCCCGTTTGCAGTGAGTTCTTGATGTATTTGTGGTAATATGTTCGGATGACAGCACAGAAGGACCTGGCGGTCACCTCCATGGGCAATGGCTTGTATACCCCAATGCCCGAGCTTGAGTACAGCTCCAGCGTGAACTTGTGATGGTCATACAGATCCTCGAGGAACGTCAGAGTCCCATTGAGGCGGCGGTCTCGGCCAACGATTTTCAGATCGGTAACGACCACTCTTCCGGGGAAATTATTCGTAGCTATGTTGGTCAAGTAGTACGACTGTTCCCAGGCCTGTCATCGTTGGGTTGGAAGAGCATGGGAAAGTGGCCGAAGACAGGATACAGATGATACTCACGCTCACTGTCTGACACACCTCCAGCAGAGCCACTAAAACAGGCAGCATCCTCATGGAAATCTGTGGCAACATTTGAGCTTCGCTTCCACTTTGGCACTGTCCCCGGCATTGGATCGTTACAATTATTTATACACCATTTACACAAACTTTCGAATCAAATGAAACACCGAAGCGGAATTATTCCAGAATTAGATATCAGATGCCCGCCCAAATCATGCTGGCTGGGCCATTTTTCACTCGAACCTTCAATTAGAACTGCTCCGCACCCCACTAGATTTCAATCATTAATTACTTTTATTGGTAGTTTAGTTTACGTTCCATTAATTAGAAATTGTCTGTCCGACCCCTTCGATGTAGAACATTTCTGAGCTTCAAAATTTTCAACTAATTTATTTGATTAGGATTTGATTCTTCTTAGACTGTAGCAACAGGCGTGGATCATTTTTGTACCGCAAAAATATTTCGCTTTTAAAAACATCGAATTTCCTGCGATTCACATTGTTCTGCTGCTCTCGCCAGGCAGGTCTCGCCTGCTTCCTCTGAAGGCCCCAATGGCCAGTAAAAACAGGCGTCAATACATAGAACTGATATCCAGCAATATGCATTTCATACACCTGCAAAATGTTCATTGATTGATTTATTGTTTGAACACTAACATAAATCTATTTATATTGCTGCTTACCTGGGAATTCCTGGTGAACCCATAGCCTGTGAATCGTTCATCATGTGCCGGCGCACTGTCGATTGCTATATAAAATGGTTCATATAAAAATTCAAAGTTTGTAACGATGTGGCTTATGGAGACCTCCGTATCATTTGTAGTTGACGATAACCATCTGATATATGAGAATTGAAGCTTTATCAATAAGAAATGCTGCACTTAATTACTTTTACATAATAGTACCTACTTGGTAAAGTTTGTCGCGTACTGGTTGTAGATGAAGACTTTTTCGTGAAATGGTCTCGCCAGGCCCTTTTTCAGTAACCTCTGTAGGCCATACTTTGAGCGGGGAAATGAGGCTCGGACGTCTATCTCGAAAGTAGGTATTACGTATGCGCAGTTTTTTGAGCAATTGGCGGTTTTCAAGAACTGGTTGAGCAGAGGAACACTGTTCGTGCTGGGCACTATGTCGATGTCGGTGAGAAAGGTGTACTTTGTCTGGCAGCCTTTGCGGGCTAAGTTTCTCATGTGATTCTGAGGATAGGGATTCCTTTGTCGCCACTGCAAGCTTTTCAGACTCCGGAGTTTCAGCAAAGCCTTCAGCGTTCTATCTGGATACTGGCAGTCGAATTTTCCCCGCATATTGAACGAAATGGATACGAGTCGGGGCAGCTTTTCGTAGTCGGGTGGAGTCAACAAGTGGAATGTGGCGTTCTCCCTTATGTTTGGGAAACACAGCCGCATATATGTCACAAAGTATTGCAGGACAACAAATTCCTCGTGACTAGCACAGAAGACGGCCACCGACATCGGTCCGTGCCAGTTGGCCGCAACCTGGGGCAGGGAATTCAACCGCTCGACCGAAGTTTGAGTGGCGAGACAGACCAAGGATGACTCTGAGGAGGACTCCGTGTACTGTTCGCCCAGGAGAGCAAAGTCCTTGATCTTGTACAAATGCTGGCTATCCCACCGACCATACCTCAGATCAACATTGTCGAATGCCATCGCGGCCGTGTTGTTCGCAGTGAGCGAGCTGTCCAGTCCTGTGAGCGGCTGTATCAACGAAAAGGCAATATCTGGATGCTAGGGGCAGTCCACCGCGATGCGACTTCGAGCCGTTGGAGCGGCGTGCTCTGCTGTCTTGCAGTTCGTTGATGCATCTCCTGCTGGAGGATACACCTTAAACAGCCAGAATATGTTTATCAACAAAACCGCCAGTGCAATTTTTATCCAATTTGATATGTGGCACTGAGATGAAAGGGATGACATTACATTTAATGCATTGTTGAGCTAGCTGTGGCTTTTACTTACCATAGTTCTTTAATTTGTTTAAATTAAATGTTGGTGGAGAAAAAAAAACATTTGCTGTGTATTAAGGTGGAGAACTATCGATTGCACTAACGTCACTATCGATTTTAACAATTGTGCGCATGCGCGACTCGTCGTCAGCTTTTACAGCACTGTCAGTCATGCTTCGGAACTTATCTTCTTTTGGCCCGCTCTTTAAATTGGCCACGCCCCCCGGTTGTTCTTATTATAAAGAGTACGCCAGCTTTGATGGAACTTGTTTGATAGTTTCAACAATAAATAATATATTATTTTGGTATTTTATGAAGCTACATTTATTTCAATTATTATAATTTATAAGTAAATCAATAGTAAAAAATGAGAACAATTAAACTATATGTTTCCACACGAAAATAATACATTTATGTCCTATATTTATGTTCTGTTGCCATTCGTTTCGATATATTCACTTGCCGTCGCGTGTAGCAAGCTGTCATACAGACTGACCGTATATCAGGGCAAATCAGTATTCTATCTATGTAGAGTAATGTATATACATTATATACATATACACATATGAAAACAGTGAGAAAATACAATCGAAATTAAGATTTTAATAAAATATATTAAAGCATGTGCTAAATGCTACTCTTCCAACATGTATTGGACCCTATAAATTGTGAATCTCAACATCCTACAATAGAAAAAAACTGAATCTTTAAAAAGTGCATAAAGAAAAACATCCATATGTATGCACTAACAATAATTAAGAACCTGTGTTGTTAAATCGTTCATCTTAAATCAAATTCGCCGGCTGTATGTAAATGTATGTATGGTAGTGAATGCAATTATCCTTATTTATTTACATATATGTATGTATGTAGTTCTTTTAATTTGTGAAGAAAAAAAACCCACGTTCATGCCCGTTTGTAATTTAATTTGTGTGTATTCGTATGATTGTGTTTAATAATGTTCACCATAAAAAGTCGCTGTATACATACATATGTACATACATGCAATGGTATATAAGAGCTAATGATTCCATTCCGGTTACGATTTCTGTATGCATGCATGTACATGCATGCCATTGTATGTAATATGTACATGCATACATACAAATGTATGTATGTGCTTGGTGTCCAAAGCAAATAGCAGATTATTTCGGCTTTAAGTCATAGCTGCCATAGAACTTTCAGTGTCCAGGACGTATTTACATGTACCTTTAATATGCCGAGTTAAATGTATGCAATTATATGGCTGTATTGACTGAGCACGTCATGGCCTGTATGTACATATCATTTTAATGCCGCTGAAGAGTTGTAATACGCCTTCTTCTGATGTAAGACCACATTCTCATGGCTGTTAACAGTGAAGTGTAAGCGGTGATGTATGTATGCCTACATACACATATAAATATGTATGTAATTACACTTGCTTTTACATACATACATGCATGCATGCCTACATACACATGTATGCATGTAATTTAACTAATATGATTCTGACCCAAGATCTACTTGCATTAACCACACATGCATACGTACATACATATGTAGGTATTTATGTACGTATGGAATAATACAAATCTAATTTAAATATGTCATGTTTATTTACAACCCTTTGTTTCTCACATATCAAATATATTCGTCATCCGTCATTTCCAAGCAATTTAATTCGATTAAAAAATTCCAATTGACGGATCCCTTCCATTTCTTTGCAGGGATACGTCATCATCACAAATAAACATGGAGGACCTAAATCCCAATTATTCGGGCGCTCATCGATTGCAGAACCCAGAGGCATGGCCCAATGTACATGAATTTCATCCATCGCTTATGTTTCCGGATGACCCGAGGCGGTATTTTCACAATCCCCCACCAGTCGATGCCATCGATGGATCGCTCATGCCTGCCAAGATGCCGATGCCGGAGATGAATACAGACATCAACATTAACATCCCTAACCCGAACATGAACCTAAATCCGAATCCGAATCCGATTGTGGAAAACACATCCTCCGATAAAACAAAAATCCCCCATTCAGGGATCGCCATCCCACAGGAAGTGGGGAAGAATACTACAGCAGTACCTCACGGCCACAAGCGAAAGAACTCTGTGCAAGATAAAGAGGAGAGCACGAATAAGAAAATCGGCCTAAATCTAACGGCTGCCGAGGAGAAGAAGAACCTTCTCCATCTCAGGAAGAACATTAGGGATGTGATGAACGAGAACAATCTGGACACAACCACGCTGGCGGCCCAGAAGGAGGAGGCCGAACGCTTGGCTCGCGTTGCTGGTCAACAGAAGTCAATGCGCGAAATCCAGAAGCAAGTTGTCCATAAGCAATTCTTTCGCATATTGCAGCTGGACGAGAGCGATGGAATTGAGAGCTGTTCCGTGTCCAACCACGTGAACGTCAACATGAACGTCAACGCTAACGATACGCCCGTTGAGTTTCCCGAAGAGGAAATCGTGTCGGACACATTTGATGAGACGAACAGTAGTTTAAGCTGTAGCATCGAGGACGTGCTAAATAAGGAGGCCAGCAGCGTGGAGCCGTCAGGGGAAGTGGTGACCATTGATGACAGTTCGGATGACGACTGCATACTCCTGTCGGAGGAAGAGGAGGAGGAGGAGGAAGAGGAGGACTTGAATGAGTCGGACGATGCCCATAACAGTGGCATGCATGTCAAGGATTTGTATAATGTTCCTGATGAAAACGGACAGGTAGTGGTCAATATTGCGCATCCCGAGGGCGAGGAGACCTTGTACTTGGCCCCACAAATAGCCAAGGTGATAAAACCGCACCAGATCGGAGGCGTTCGCTTCTTGTACGACAACATCATTGAATCGACACGAAGGTTCAACAAATCCAGCGGCTTCGGATGCATTCTTGCCCATTCCATGGGTCTGGGCAAGACGTTGCAAGTTGTCTCCTTCTGTGATATTTTTCTAAGACACACCTCCGCCAAGACGGTGCTCTGTGTAATGCCCATCAACACGCTGCAGAATTGGTTGAGCGAGTTCAATATGTGGGTGCCCCGCTACACTGCCGATCCGAATGTTCGTCCGCGCAAATTCGACATTTATGTGCTGAACGATCAGCAGAAGACACTCACGGCGCGCGCGAAAGTTATCTTGAATTGGGTTCAGGAGGGCGGCGTTCTGCTGATTGGATACGAATTGTTTCGACTCTTGGCCCTGAAGCTGGTGAGAACTCGCAAGCGGAAGGGCGCCAACGCCTACAGGGCCGATGGCCACGATGCCAGCAGTGATCTTATGAACCGAGTTTTCGAAGCACTCGTTAAGCCCGGTCCAGATCTAGTTATATGTGACGAGGGGCATAGGATCAAGAACTCCCATGCGGGCATATCTCTGGCTCTAAAGCAAATAAGGACACGTCGCCGCATTGTACTTACCGGCTACCCCTTGCAGAATAACCTACTTGAGTACTGGTGCATGGTGGATTTTGTGCGACCAAACTATTTGGGAACCCGCACAGAGTTTTGCAACATGTTTGAGCGGCCCATCCAGAACGGGCAGTGCGTGGACTCCACCCCAGACGATATCAAACTGATGAGATACAGAGCGCATGTTCTGCACTCCCTGCTGCTGGGCTTCGTGCAGCGGCGTTCCCACAAGGTTTTGCAGATCACGCTGCCCCAGAAGCACGAATATGTTGTCCTGGTGAAAATGACATCGTTCCAGCGGAAGCTATACGACACCTTTATGACTGATGTGGTGCGAAAGAAGGCATTCCCCAATCCCCTGAAGGCCTTCGCTGTTTGTTGTAAGATTTGGAACCACCCGGATGTATTGTACAACTTTCTAAAGAAATGTGAGACTGACTTAGATTTAGAAATCGACGAAGAGCTTTCGAAGAGCGCTCCCACTCCCACAACCACAGACTCCAATCAAGAAATCAATCCTTCCTCGAACATGGCCCCATCGCCGTCCCCTCTCTGCGAGAAGAAGAGCAACGAATCCACTGAGGTGGCCAACGAAAATGAAGGCCTGTTCAATATGCCTCCGGTAGCTTCCGAACTGAATACCAAATATTTAGACAAAAGCTGCAGCAGCCCCAACCTAGCCTATGGGGAACCCCTTAATTATGGGTCGTTCGGTTCGGAAACCATCGGGAAGAACAACTATTGGATGGAGTCAAGCTGTCCCATCCTGTCCAAGCCGGCCTGTGTTGAGGTGATAAAACAGACGGATACGCACATGACGAAGGGCTTTGAAAGTATTACGGGATCTTCTGAAATTGTGGATCTCGACACAAATGAGATAAAAACAGTCGAAACGAATATCCAATCATCGTCATGTACCAACAATCAGATGGACATTGAGGCCCTCAATGCCCTCAAGCCAAGTGGTGGATGTGGTGTCGTCCCGGGCCTAAAGAACGTTGGCATTGGCTTTGAGGCAAATAAAAAGCTGTTGAAGACCAAACGTAACGATGAATTCTCGTGTTCATGGGCAGTCGACCTCATGAGAAATTATGTAGCTGGCCAAATTGAGAATTCGCCCAAAATGGAGATATTCTTTTGTATCCTGAAGGAGAGCATGCAGTTCGGCGATCGTATATTGCTGTTTAGCCAATCCCTTTTAACATTGAACATACTCGAGGGCTATCTGAAGACCAGTTACGTGCCCGGCACCAACCATTTTTGGGCCAGACATTTCTCATACTTTCGTGAGTGCTTCGCAGAATAAATATCACCTTTTTATCAAACCTAATTAATGATTGATTGCAGGTCTGGATGGGTCCACCTCCTCGCAGGACAGGGAGCGGCTAGTCAATGAATTCAATGCAAATAGTCAGGTGAAGCTGTTTCTAATCTCGACGAGGGCTGGCTCATTGGGCATCAATCTTACTGGTGCAAATCGAGTTATCATTTTCGATGCCAGTTGGAATCCCTGCCACGACACGCAAGCTGTATATAGGATTTATAGGTAAGTAGAACGAAGAAAAGAGCCATACAGCCAATCAAATAATAATCGATTAACTCGTTTTAGATATGGACAGACAAAGCCATGCTATGTGTATAGAATTGTAATGGACAAATGCCTGGAGAAGAAGATATACGATAGGCAAATCAAGAAGCAAGGCATGTCTGATCGAATTGTCGACGAATGCAATCCCGAGGCACATCTCTCCATGAAGGAGATAACCAACTTGTGCCACGACTATGACTCTGATGATGAGGCCGTGGACGCGCCGAAAAATCCAACGCCAACGGAGGAGCCATCAAAGGAGCTAATCAAGCCGAAAGATGAGCCAGAAGCGATACCAGAAGAAGAACAGAAGACGGCTATTCAAGCGGATGAGAAAGCACTGTCAGCAGCAGAGGAGCCAATAAAGCCAAAGGAGGAGAAAATAGAGCCAGCAGATGCAGATGGGGCAGCAATAGTTGAGTCTGAAGCACAGAATGGCACTTGTGAGGACTCTCCACCCAAAAAGGAAAAGGAAAATGATAAAGCAGAAACCCCGATCCCGATCCCCCATGTGCATGTGGACCCCATCATCAATACCCTTCTTGAGCTCCACAGGCATTGTGTGACTAAAGAGCCATTCTTGCACGACAGCCTGCTGGTGGATCAAAAGGATAGAAAATTGTCGCAGGCCGAGAAGAGACAGGCTCATCGCAGTTACGAGCTGGAAAAGAAGGCTGCCGTTAATCAAAAGTTTGCCTATGCTCCCGTGAAAACGCATTACAAGATTGTGAATAACGATGGGACTATTGTATCCCGACCAATTGCACCGGTAAGTACTTAATACACTAAATAATTCTAATATAATTTATGTAAATAATCGAATTCAGGTAAAGTCAACCACTTCTGTGTCTGCTGGAGGACGCACAACTCGTTGGATTCCAGCAGATGTGTGGCAAAGGCAGGGAATGACGGCACAGGAAATGACATTGCCACTTGGTATGTGATTTCATTTGAATTACCCCATGGAATTCCCCTAATAATTGCATTTATTTTCAAGATGTTGTCATACCCACAAACTCGTCGGACAAGGCCAATATTATTCTGAAGGCTGGCCAACGGGTGATGGTTTTGAAGTCCACCAAAGGCATCTACATGCAGTTGGACAGTGGAAAAATAATAGCTATAAGGACTACGGCTAAAAATGAATCAGAAAAGCCGAACAAGGACGATGTAATTGACATAACATCCGATTGTGACACAGATATAGCGAAGCCACGAACACCTGAGCAAGGTATGACCTTTCCCGAGTACAATTATCAAAATTCATTTAATTTGATTTGTTTTTATGATGTATGTATTACAGAAACTGCTAAGGATTTAACCACTGATGATGAGCCACATATCGTGAAGAATAAGGAATGCACACAAACGACAACTTCAAGCCGGTTAGACATGTCCTCGAAAGAAAGAAAACAACCCACAGAGAATCTACAACAATTTAAGCCACAAACGCAACCAAATAATACTTTAGCCGCCCCCCCTCAAGTGGGTCCGAATCCACATCAGATGCCTTGTGACTTGAACTTTCCGCAACAGCCGCAGGGGCAGCCACAGGCGCAGTCGCAGCAACAACAGCAGCAGCCATACAAACATCAGACTCATTTACCTGCAGGCAGCGAAGGCTACAACAGTGCCAATCCAGTTCAGCCGAATGTGACACTACCGCATCCGCACCCGGCTATTCCGAACGGAACAGAGACACCAGAAAGTTCATATTTCCAAGCCAAGCACTTTCAGCACTCATATCCTCCCCAGTACTACGATTACTATGACAATAAGCACAAGGCCACACCGCCAGCATCCGGCGGGTATCACATTAACAACTACACCTCCTATGGAAACTTGAATTTCTCACCCTACCATTCCAACCTGCACCCATCGACAGGCTATATCGGTGGGCCGTCGTCATATGTCAACTCAAATGTATTTCCCAGACCACATTGGAGTTCGGTTGTAAATACTCCAGCGTCAAATGAGTCTATTCGACAGCCCTCGTACATCGGGAGCACTACTTACCCAATCAACGAGTGGTCGTCGCAATAACGAATGTAAATAAATGTTGCTCCCATTTATCTGTGTCCAGTTAAGGGCGAAGAGGCCGCCGCCGCCACTCCTCAAACTTAATTTTAATACAACAAAAAAGAAGGCTCTTTTTGTTTTCTTTTTTTATGGCGTAGGTTCTGTGTTCTTTTAGTTACACTCAAAGAGCAACAATGTTTTTTATTAGTTTAAGAATCTGTTCTGTTCGAAACCATTAGAAAAACTGCCTGCAAACATCATTGTATCATTAGATTAGACAATTATTCAGATCATCATTACTGATCGCTAAACCAAACCGAAATGCTTCCTAATCCTATTATTGTATGTATGATTAACCAGACTTTAAGCTGTCAGGCGTCAGTTTCTACTTTGTCGCTTTGGGTGTGAGCTCTTGACTGGACACACAGATGGAGGTCGGGGGCTTTATTCCTTACCGTTAAGGTTATTTTTCATTTAAGTTATTTATTACAATATTATAGTGAATTCCCTTTAAATGGATAACATTAATTTATACATTTTCATTATGAAAAGAAGCAAACGAAACATGAATAAATATTCTTATCTTAGATTTTAACATAGTCTTTACACAACTCGTTCTAACCAAGTCTATGTAATTTAGAAACCCATATATATGTATGTATGGGATAGTAAAACTCATTCGAGCAAACATTCGAAGATTGGTCTCTCTTTGGCTACGGGTAGTGTGTGTAGTGCCCATACCCATACCCTACCACTACTCTGCCCCGAACTAAATAATACAACAAAACACACAAAAACACATTCGAAAACATAAACAAGCTTTGATTAAAAAAATGTTAGCTGTAAGAAATAAAATAATGGTATACAGAAACATGTGTGTAGATCTCACTTCCCTTCCTTATTCCCTATTACTACAATGTATAGCCAGAGCAACAAGGCCCTCACGTTGCACTTGATTTATTTTGTATTCTTACGGTTCCATGAGAATCGGTTATATTTTTGATTATTATTATTGCAAGTCCTTGATCTTGGTGATCTTCAATAGAGTCAAGTGCATTCATTCGCATGGGACGTGCGCCGATGTTTCCTTAATCAACAGGAGTGTTATCACTACCTGTTCAGGTGATATCTCAAATGAAAATGCCCTGTCGCTTCTTCTCCCGATAATATTTATCTTCTCCAAAAGCCTTTATTCTTATCCTCCCGGCCTTACGAATATAAAAATTCGATTATTAGATGCCAAAGTAAAAGCTCTTTTGGATTGGTTTTATTAATTGACAATATATATTTAAGGTTTATTTACAGCACACATTTCTATAGGAATTATAGTCAATACAATAATATATAAAATGTGTGAACCCATTACCTGCGAATGGAGCCGTTGAGAGGTAAATAGGGAGAATACGTTGGATACATCGGATTGGATTGTGAGGGTCTCTGCAACACACATGCATCTTGGTACTGAGATTGCATATTCATGACGCCCATTTGCATCGGTATCTGGGAGTTGGGATACTCACCCCCCGAACTGTAGCCGCCGGTGGGGGACTGCTGCGGCGACATCCTGTAGCTGTTGATCGCTCCATAGGAAGCCATCAGATTGGGACTGATGTGGACATTGGTGGTGCGATTGTTTGTGCTGCTCATCGGCGCCGAGGTGTGCTGCACGGGTGCGGACGGTGTGTTCCGCGTGTTTCGGCTGGAGTTCTGCGTGGACGCAATCGGGGCAATGTTCATGTTGCCGGGATAGTACTTGTGGTACTGCAGCGGTGCCACCTGCGTCTGCAGCATGTTGGGTGGCGTGGAAATGTTCCTGTTCTGCATCAGCAGGTGGGGGGGCGGGGTCATTGAGTTGGGTGGAATCGGGTGATGCGGTGACGGCGCTAGATTCACTTGGGCCCCCGGCGACGTATTGCATGGCTGGCTCTCTAGGCAATTCGTGAGCTGTTGCAGCTTCGAGAGACTGCACAGATTGCCCGCCAGAGAGGAGCCGCCACTAGTGCCGCTAGTGCCACTGCTGTTCGAACCCGATATGGACTCTTGAGTTGCCTGCCTCTGGTCGTTGTTGTTGTTGTTGGCTCCAGCAGATGGCGGCCCCAACGAACTGGACACAGGCACCCGGGGTGCATTCTCGCTGGCGGGCATGTTGTTTTGCAAGTAAAAATTGTTGACGGCGCACGCCGATGACGGCTGCTCGATCCGCTGATGGCTGTTCGCCAGCGGATGCACCGAACTGTTGAGCGACATTCTCTGCTGGATGACCGCGGGTGGCATGCCCACAATGTCGTAGTTCGAGGGATTTGTCGCAAAGTTCTGACTGATCTGTGGAATCGGTACATAGTCCAGTGGCTGCATATTCTGCTGGTGTCCGTGCTGCGAGAACTGCAGGTTGTGCAACGACTCCTGGTGCGACTTTGGAATATTTGAAGTGGCGCCCTGCGGAATCTGGTGATGCGCATTCGTCGTTGTGGTTGCCGCAGACGAGTTTTTGGCGTCCCGCTGCTGGGCACCATTGCCACTGCGTATTTGCTTGGGTGTGGTGGCTCGATGCGACGGTGTTGGTGAACTAACATTGGCATTATCCGCCTGCAAGACAATAAAATAGAGATTAGAACTGCTGCAAAGCTACTGTATTTGCCATAGCATTACCTGAGTATTCAACTTCCTGGTCTGATGCTGATGTTGCTGCTGCTGCTGCTGCTGGGCATTGCCCAGCAAACTGATGTTCGGTGATCCCTCGGGAGCTAAATTCATGTTCAGGTTGTTCTGTTGCTGCATGTGCGAGTTCTGGATGGACATATGCATGGGCGTGGTGACTGGCTGGTTCTGCATGGAGCAGTCCGAGTACTGCCTGTGCGGCTGGTGCATATGCACGTTGGACGTGGCGGCCTGGATGTTGTCGGTGCCGTGGTTAATGGCGCTGCCAATGTTGGGCGGTGTGTCCATATTTATCTGGGCATTGATGCCGCAGTCGTAGTGCTGCTGCTGCTGCTGTTGTTGCTGTTGCTGCTGCTGCTGCATTCCTGCATTCGCCGACGCCTCCGGGCTGTAAACCATATTTGGATTGACCTCGGATTGCCCGGGCACTTGCAGGCTCGAATGTTGCGGAGCCGCGTGAATGTTCGGGTGACCAATTTTGATTTTACCCTCGCGCGAAATGACTGGAGCTGCGTTGACGCCGTGATCGAGCTTCTGTTTGGGAGCCGCGGACCCCCCCGCCTGTGGATTAACCGAGTTCGGCAACAGAGCCGACGCTTCAGCCTGGTTGGGATTGGGATTGGCATTGGGATTGCCCTGTCGCTGCACCGCGTTCTGGGCATTAGCCAGAGACTTCATTTGCTGCGCCTGCTCGGGCGAGGGCTTGAACATCTTCTGCTGCGGGGCACATTTCTGGTTGTAGATCGCTGCCTGATTGTTCACGCCATACTCGTTGCAGCTGCTGTGGCCATGCGCTGCCTCCTCGCGGGAGCTGCTCACCACATTCCCGCTGGACATAAGCTTGGGATGCTCCTCCTTCTTGCCCGTGCCCTTCCGCTCCAGCTTGTGCTTCTCCTTGGCTTGGTGGATCTGGTGGTGCGTGGCTGCGTGGTGCATGGCCAGGTGGTTGGCGGACTGGTACAGATTCTGGGTTAGGTTGTGCGTGTAGGCCATGGTCGTGGCCAGGTCCTTCTGGAACTGCTTCTGGCCCTTCTGCGTGGCCGAATCCAAATGGAGATTGTAGCTGTAGTAGTCCCACTGCCAGTACTGCGAGGTGTGGTGGTAGTTGGGCATCTGGTTGATGTTGAACTGACTGGGGATCGGGTTCTGTAGCTGTGTGTGCTCTGGTATCCCCTTCAGCTGTAACTTCTCCCGCACTACGGGCACTACGTTCGAGGGAGCAGGAGCAGGAGCGGGAGCGGGGGGTCCTCGTGCGCTCGATTTGTCCTCCTCCTTCACTTGTACCATGGCGTGTTCTGGCTTCAGCGCTTCCCTTTCGGGAACCGCTTTCATCTTGGCACTGTCAAACTTCCTTTCTGCGGCATAGGCCTGGTGGACTTCTGGCTTTACCACAGGCGTCTCTTGCACGGGCTTCTTCAACGGCTTCTCCTTGATATCCCCATTGTCCTTGCCCATAAGGTGATCACTCTTTTCCCATGGTGTGGGGCTCATTGAATGCCTGTGCTTGGGTCTGCGGCTGTGGCTGGGGCTGAACCTGTGACTGGGCCTGGGCGTGTAGATGTGGCTGTGGCTTTGGCGGGTCCACATAGGAATGTGCAGCCTCTGCCCTCTGGTTGGCGTTCGCATTGGCAGGTGCTGGATGTGTGGGGACCACCACATCGAATCTTTTCACTTCCATCGGTTTCTGCGTCACAGGGACCGGGACCTCGGGTATCATTACAGGAGCGATTTCCTTGGTTTTTTCATGAGACACTGCCACTGGCACTGGCACTGCCGCTGCTGGCTGTACCGGCGGCAGAAGTTCCGTGAACACAGATGACTCTGGTTTCAGGCAGCTCATGTCCAGTTTCGGTTTCTTTTCTTCAGCCATGCACACGGGATTACCAGACTTCTCCTGCACAGCCAGAGGCTGCTGTGGTGCCACAGGAGGTTCTTCTTTTTTCTCCACAGGGCTACTATGAATGACAGGACTCTTGGGTTTAACGATGTTCAGCTCAGGAGCAGCTGGAGCTGCAGCTACAGCTACAGCTGGAGTTTCAGGCTGCAGTAGTTTATGTTCCTTGACATCGGCCTCTTTTCTTGGTTCGATTGCGTTTTCTGTTGGCTTTTGCGTTGCGCTATACTTGACTTCGCTCTCACTGTTCACATTGTAGGACGCCACATCGGAGAATACTGTCTTTTTAGTTTTCTTAGCCACGGCATCTAGGACCTGCTCGTTTATGCTGCCGTTGCCTTCGGCCTCGCTCTTTTCAGACTCGCATGCTTTGGCAGCGACCTCAGTGTTGGGCATTTTCATCGACTCTTCGTTGGCTGCCTCCTTTCTGGGTGCTGGAGCTGATGCTGAAGCTGGATCTGCAGTTGGAGCTGCTACTGCGTCTGTGGCTTCTGTGAACTGCGACTCCTCGGATCGTTTTCCATTGGACTGCTTGCCCCTCAGTTTGGGTACGATATTGACCGGCTTGTCGGTGTGATCGGCCTTTTCAGCCTGACTTCTGCAGACTTCCTTGGAGGGTGGCTCTTCCAAAGTGGAAGATTCAGCCTCCACTGCGGGATCCGCTGCAGGGGTCGTCTCTGGCTCGCAGCTCTGTCCCAACGACAGGCTCTGGTCGGCACTATTGTCCAGCTGCCGCTCGAAATGCTTGCGCTTGTTTGTGTGCGGAATCATTACGCCGTCGTTACGCTTGGCCAATCTCTGGGCCCGTTTGGTCAAGTGCTCGGAAAGCTCGTTGGAATTCTTTGAGGACTTGCAATCGGAAGAGTCCGAGTTGTCGCCAAAGGAGTGTTCGTCCGCCGCCGCTTGCTGTTCCAGAGCCTGTTTAATCTTCTTTCCCACGCTCGTGGCCAGCTTGGACAACTCCTCACTGGAGCGGCGCTTTCGCGGGTTCTCCCTCTGCTCTTCTAGCCTTTCGCCGCTGCGGTTTTTGATGTGCTCGTCGCCACTGACAGCTGGACTCGCTCCTGGCTTCGCAGTGGTAATACTTTGTTTGGTCACGACTTTAGTGTCGGGAGAAGGGAGCTCCTTCTCTTTGTATTCGGACCTCTGCAACAGCTGGTTGTTCAAGTACTCCCGATTGGAGATCGGCTTGATGATATTGGGCAACTTGGAGACGGACAACAGGGGACTCCAGCGCAGGCAGTCGGCCTCGATGAGTATGCGCGTCCTACTGTTCGCCATTCTATTGTTGTGGGCCAGGACCTTCTTCCAATCGATTCTCACGTTTATCTGATACCGAATGTCGCCATCGTTCTTCCTCAGTTTGATGAAGTTCAGCAGCTCGAACGCCAACGCAATGTCCGATATGGCTAGGCCCGTTTTGATGGCAATGTCCTTGAAAGTGATCTTCGACTGATTGCGATACTTGTACAGATACTCGAGGACCACAGACTTCCAGTATGAAAAGTACGAGAGACGCCCCAAATCCGAGAGCGGCTTCTCGGGGGTTCCCAGCTGACCCTCCTCGCGACTCAGCAAATAGCTAAAGTCAATCAGGAATCGGCCGTATCCCTGCCTTTGGTACTGCGGCATGGTCAGGATGCAGGAGACATTGTACTTTTGCGTGCAGTGCTTCTCCTTCGAAAAGTAGCCAACCAGATGGCAGCCGCTCTGGTCGTTTTTCGTTAGGATATAGAACAGAAAGGGCTCCACGTCGTAGTAGAGCGTCTTGTGGTCCAGAAAGAACTTGGCCAGCAGGCACAGGTTCTGGCAATATATCTTGTTCACATTGCCATCCACCTCGAACACCGAGATATTCCCCTGGCGAAATATCTCAGTGCCAGGCGGCTGCTTCCAGATGCACTTGTTCTGGTGCCTGTCCAGCACAGACCGACTCTTCGTGTACTTCAAACAGAATTCGCACAGAAACAGTTTAATGAGCCTGCAAGAGATGGAAAAGATCCAAATGTTTAGTAATTTGATTTGTATTTGGCGCCTAACTAGAATGTAGTTACATGCGATATGTAGATAAACATACAAACATACGTATAATTGTAGTCGAAGGTATCGGGGGACTTTAATGGCTCAAACAAAATTGGATATATACCTGGCATACTCCTGCGGAAACGGGCTGGAATACCATGTCTCAATGTCCCACTTGCCGATCTGAATAGATTTGGGACTGAGCGTGTGCTGTCCCTGCTTCTGCTGGGCCACGTCAGTCATCTTCTGGCAGTTGTTGGACATCTGGACAACGGCTTTGTGGAGCACTTCCTGATACAGATCAACATCCACGGGATTAACGCATGGCGGTAGCGGCTGATTCTCTATAGATAATAGTTATTAATGGATGGAATAGTTATTGGCCTTTCAGTTAATTACCAAATGGATTCGTACGCTTCAGGTTTTCCGTGCACATATCTTCAGAATCTGGATTGGTTTTTCCTTCGCTTTTTGTGTCTCTGCAACGATCGATTTTCGCCATCATTTGACACTTTAATACAGTCTCCTCTGTGAGGTATGGAATGTCCTCCTCCTCTTCCCGTTTCTCGTACGATTTACCAACATCGAGAGGCATCGACTTCAGGGGCACAATCTTTTTCCTCTGCAAGTTTCCCGATGATTTTGAATCTGCCTTATCGGCTGTCGAAGCCATTGTCGAGTTCATTGGCCCGGCACCCTTCGTTGGCCTGGCGAGTGGCGATGCAGCTGCTGCTGCTGAATAGCCTCCTGTGTCTGCCATTTGCTTGGCATAGTTGATGCCTTTGGCACCAACACTGTTCTTCGATTTCACAAATATGTCAATTGGGTTCTTGGCAACTGCTGCGAATCCCCAATTCTCATTCGCCACTTCATTGCTTTCCGGCGAACTCAGGCGTTCACTGGCGCCGCCGGCATTCAGCTTGCAATTGTTCTGTTTATCATTCTCGAATAGCTTCCCCTTTAGCGTGCTCCGATCGGTGTCATAGTCCTCGTCGTCGTTCTCATCATCGCATTCCGAACTGTCGCTGGAACTTTCGCTCGAGTCCGAGTCTGAGCTCGAGGAAGTGCATGAATCCGAGCTGGTGCTCTCATCCTGATCATTGTCGTTCCTGTTCCTGTCATCGTCCTCATCGTCATCGTCCTCACTGTCACTGGAGGAGCTAGTCGACGATAGATCGGAGAATGTGCGCTTTCGCGTCTCCTGGCTGGCTTGGATGTAGCCTCCCTGTAGTATTTGTGACTTCCTTTGCTTCGAGGGGAACTCGAATTGATCCTCACTTATGTTTAATTTCCTGGCATTCAGACCAGACCCAGACAGTTTCCTTCTCTGTCCATTGCCATCATTATAGACGCAAAGTTTCGAGGTTGAGGGACTCTCGGCGTTTCCCTCCCTTTTGATTATCTGTCGCTTGCTGAAGGCGACTCTATCGTACGATGATAGCCTGAAAATAAACATATTAGAATGCAAATATAGCTTAGAATTTGCTTTATCGTAGCTTACTTCTCATTCCCATCCTCCATTTTGATCTTTGTGGCATCCTTTTTCAATAGTTTTGGATTCTCAATGCTTTGCTTTGAGCAAGTCTTACATCTGAAACAGAACGTTCATTAATGTCAGTGCAATATACGGAACGAGAGAGGTGTAGAGTGTACCTGTAGGGATGCTTGGGTTTCTTGTCGGGTATCGTGTCGAGACACGTCAGGTGAAAGTGATCCTTGCAGACAAAACACTGCAAGAGACAGGGTCCACGGTTGCGCATCTTGCAGACAGCGCAATCGGCGCAGCTCTGACAGTCCCACAGGGTTCCCTTGGTGACCAGCATGTAGAGCAGCACATACGACTGCGACTTGCATCTGCCGGCAATGTTTGCGCATGTGGTGTGCAGCGAGATGCCACACTGCTTGCAGGAGCTCAGGGGCTCTGGAATGCCATTGAGGTTTTTCTGAGAGTTTCCGGAGCAGTGGGTGCAAGTGTCTTCTCCCTTAATGACCACATCCGTCTGTGGGACACACTTTCGTGGCGTGGTCAGGGACTTGCCCTTTTTGTAGAGTTTACCCTCCTGCAGCAGAAAGCCAGAGTCCACGGCCTTCTTGATAGACGCCTTTATTACCGTCTTAAAGTCGACATTGGGCGATAGGTCGATGCAGTTGAATTTCTGAATGTAGTTCTCGATGCTCTTCAATGTGGATCCCTCGCACTCGCCCAGATCGTGCACCGCTTTGGCCACCAGTTTGCAAAGGTTGGTGTTCTTGTCCACTTTGACCCGACGCTTGGCCATGGGCGCTTTGTACGAGTGCAAGCCCTTGTTGTAGACCTTAATCACGGCTCCCGAGTCCACAGCCTTCTCCAGCTTTTCGGCCACGATGTCCTCATGAAACTTGTGATGCGTGCCAATGGCCTGGCATATCCTCTGAACGGATGGCCTCTGTTTCTGGGACCTGATCTTAGATATCGCATCCAAAATCCACTGTATCCACGTCTCCATGCCGATATCGTGTGCCGACTCCCTCATCATGTTCACTGAAGAAGAGTACATACATATGTATATAAGAAAACAAATTTGTATTAACTCGGGGAGTTGCGGTATTTTTAAAATAATTTGCGTGCGCACATTTGAATATGCAAATTGGTTTTCAAGTTCCGGGTAGACCGATCTAAAACAGCGTTCATTTCACTTTATTTTCTGTTTATACTTGTACTCTTTTAAACAGGTACATCATATATAATGCAGATAATCGTAAACGCATTATTCAATTTCAGCAATAACATCAGATTTGATTTTTTATAATGCTTGCATGCAAATTGTATGTATCACTTTGCACAAAACTAACTCCCACTAGTGGAAATACATATGTATTTACTTTGCATATGTATGCAATTATGATGTGTACGTACATTTAAAATTCAAATATTTGGGAAACAAATTGATAGTATATCGCGGACGATAAATATATCTTAGCTCCTAAGAAAGCGCTAACCACTGCATGTATTTCCAGGCATTTAATATGTTGTAACTAAATCAATTATTAATTTTTAATGAAGTTTGATCGCCACTGAGTATTAGAACACACACACACACATACATAATAATATGTGTATAACTCTTTGTAGGGCTTTACATACATTTTTCGATAACACCGACTGCGATATGTAATTTGGCAAGACGTTGGAACAAAGAAATGAAACACGAATATGTATACGGCTACCAGATCAATTTAGTTTGTGCTTGTTTAATAAATAGCTTTATCACATGAGAAATTTAAACCTACTTGCCAAATGGGATGACAACATTTTTGAAAACGGCGAGCACCTAAACATCAAGAACGGATCGTTTTGGTTAAAAACGCAAGACAAAAGACCCTCGACTGCATATTGCGTACGACGATCCGGACAACGACGTCTACTGCAAGACTTTGCATGTGGATATATATGGTTTCCTTCCTTATGGTTTTTAAGCCGATTGTGTTAGTGTCCCGACACGACTGCGAAGGCGAGGGCTGGACTAGGACTCCGTCACCAACCATACATTGTGAAGGAGCAAACGGCTCCATCACAATTTTCTCCCATGAAGGGAACCACAGACGGACTTACTTTCTTGCCATTCCCACTGGAGGGACAACATTCTGTTCCTACAAGGAGACACCCCAGGAGGGACTCCGCAATTTAAATTAAGACCCACTCTCCGCCCCGTTGGTGGCTCAAGACTCGGAGTCCCGGCAAATTATAAATATTTCTGTAATTTCGACCCTGGCGTGACTGAGAGTTGTACCCCGGCCTAGATCGCTTCCTTACAACATTATACCATATACTCTATAATATAGAGTCTATATGAATATAAAGTCTATATGATTAGTGACTCCGTGCATGCATGCGACGCTCCAGACGATAACATCTACTGCAAGCTGTGCAAACAGCAAACCGGCCACTTAGTTCAGAATATAGACATTTAAATGGTTATCACATTGTTATATTATAATTCCATAATACAAGGTAAAAATTTAAGTGCATATATACAAATTGATAAACATTTAAATAAACTCTTCAGAACCACTAACCATACAGTATACTGTATACTGTATGGTTAGTGTCAGAACGGAACGATTTGGCTATCGGTGGATGCTTATCGATAGACCTTTTCATATCGGGACTCTCTCACCCCCAGAACGAACTCGTCAGTCCAGTTCGGCTTTTACACTTTTGTTGGGAGAAATATGTCTAAATATAAGCATTAAAAATGGAATACGAATCTTCCGATTTCAGTGGTAATATTTTAAACGTGACACGTGAATGTGTTACGAGAATTTGTGTGTTGTCTGTATGCTGACGCGTCTGTATTTTTGCACACTTGCCACACACACACACACATACATGTTCATATAAACAATTATTTATTTATATCTGCACGGATGAACGGAACAAACAAACGAACGAACGAATAGTAGCCACAATATGTGTATACTTATATTTCATATTCCTGCACGGGGGGTCGGAGCACCCTAAATGTAGTTTAGTTTCCCGCATACGCATTTGAAAAATCGAAACAGCCCGATTGAACTGTCGAGATTTTTGACTGAATAATTTGTGTTTAATGTGCAAATGGTGAATTCCAATAAGAAGGAAATGGTTTACTTCATTAGGTGCCCATCCGTTCCGTGTTATGAATGGAAACTCAAGTTGTCTGTATGTTTTGAATACCCAACGTAATCACATTTTGGGTCAATGCAGTCCCTTCCTACCACCAACTTATACCTATGTATGTTTCGTTTGTAAACCTCTTCTGTCTCGTCGACACCTCCCCGTTAAAGCCGAATACGTCACCCACCCCCATCCCTCCATCTCTATGTTTTCATGTTTCAAAGGAGCCGCCTTGTGACTGACTGGGTGCGGCGTTGTTTTGGAAACATTATAATGAGCAAAAATACAATAACTCAATTATCCTTTTTGGCAATATTTCAGATATAACCACAGGAAGCTGCAAGAAAAGGCTCAAATTTCTAAAATATATTCTAAGCGATACAACAGCCGATCAAAAATGGGCATCCGACTTGGGCGAGGACACGGAAGGGCATCAGTTCTCTTTGGACTATCTGCTCGACACCTTCATCGTGCTCTACGACGAATGCAGCAATTCATCCTTACGTCGAGAGAAAGGAGTATCGGATTTTCTTAAACTATGTAAATACTTAATACTATTAACATATTTGCATGGAACACAGATATACACTTTTTAATTTCCGGATCTTTTTATACCCCCCGGGCAGAAGGTAATATAATACTATTTTCGATAGACAGATAGAAGATTTTCCATAGTCCCTTGCGCTTTGTCTGTGAAACTAAAACCATTTGCATCGAATCACTAAATCATACAGCTTTCATTTAAATGGGTATTTGCGAAAGGTTTTGTCTCTGTTTTGTTATATTTCTGTGCTTCTTGGAAGGTCTTACGAATGAGATGATTGCTCATTTATTCGTATGGTAGATTGGTTTTATCTGTGCAATCATTGGAGAACCTTTCATGATGCCCCCCTCCCTTTTGTTTTGATTTTCTTTTTCAGCTAAACCTTTCGTTCATGTGGTGCGAAAACTTCGACTAGGTCGTGATGATTTTGACATATTGAAAATCATCGGGCGTGGGGCCTTTGGAGAGGTGTGTGTGGTCCAGATGATATCCACAGAGAAGGTGTATGCCATGAAAATACTGAACAAGTGGGAGATGCTGAAGCGGGCCGAGACGGCATGCTTTCGGGAGGAGAGGGACGTGCTGGTCTTTGGCGATCGACAGTGGATAACGAACCTGCATTACGCATTTCAGGACAATATAAATTTGGTGAGAATACAATAGAATTCAATGGCTCTGCTGATGCTAACTCTTGCCTGATTGCAGTATCTTGTCATGGACTATTATTGCGGGGGCGACCTGCTAACGTTGTTGAGTAAATTCGAGGACAAGCTGCCCGAGGACATGGCCAAGTTCTACATCACCGAAATGATTCTAGCCATCCACAGTATTCATCAGATTAAGTATGTCCATCGGGATATCAAGCCGGATAATGTGCTGCTGGACAAGCGGGGGCATGTGCGGCTGGCGGACTTCGGCTCGTGCCTGAGACTCGACAAGGACGGGACCGTTCAGTCGAACGTGGCCGTAGGCACGCCAGACTATATCTCGCCCGAGATTCTGCGAGCCATGGAGGACGGCAAGGGTCGCTATGGCACGGAGTGCGATTGGTGGTCCCTCGGCGTGTGCATGTTCGAAATGCTGTACGGCGAGACTCCCTTCTATGCCGAAAGTCTGGTCGAGACCTATGGCAAGATCATGAACCACCAGAACTGCTTCAACCTGCCCACGCAGGAGACCCTCAACTACAAGGTGTCGGAGATGTCGCAGGATTTGCTTTGCAAACTGATCTGCATACCCGAGAACCGGCTGGGACAGAACGGCATCCAGGACTTCATGGATCATCCCTGGTTCGTGGGCATCGATTGGAAGAACATACGCTGTGGCCTGGCCCCGTACGTGCCGGAGGTGTCGAGTCCCACAGACACCTCCAATTTCGATGTGGACGATAACGACGTGCGACTGACCGACTCGATGCCCCCTTCTGCAAATCCTGCCTTCTCTGGCTTCCATTTGCCGTTCATTGGCTTCACCTTTTCGCTGAACACCAGCTCCCCCGGGGACTCGAAGACCAATCAGAGTTCTGGCTTCGAGGACGACAATACCTCGTGCAGCCTCCAGCAGTCTTGCAATCTGCCGAGCAACAACTCTGAGGCATCGGTCGACTCCGTTCAGGAGAAGGCACAGGTGAAGGCGTTGACCGAACAGATAACTGCCTTCAAGCAGGAAAAGATCGAGTTGACGAAGCAGCACAGTGAGATATTCGAGCGGCTGAAGACGCAGGAGGCGGAGCTGCAGGACGCCGTTTCGCAGCGCAATGTGGCCATGGTGGAATACTCGGAGGTCACGGAGAAGCTCTCTGAGCTGCGAAATCAAAAGCAGAAGCTCTCTCGGCAAGTGAGGGACAAGGAGGAGGAGCTAGATGGGGCCATGCAGAAGAACGACAGTCTGCGCAACGAGCTGCGCAAGTCGGACAAGACGCGCAGGGAGCTGGAGATGCACATTGAGGATGCAGTCATCGAGGCCTCCAAAGAGAAGAAGCTGCGGGAGCATGCCGAAGAGTGCTGCAGGCAGCTGCAGCTGGAGCTGCGCAAATGCAACTCCAGCGTGGAGACAACTATGCCGCTGAGCATTTCCTCGGAGATGTCTTCGTACGAAATCGAAAGATTGGAGCTGCAGTACTCGGAGAAGCTGAACCATCAGCAGACGCGACATAACCTCGAGATGGAGACGCTGCGCGAGCAGCTGGGCGAGATCGAGAGCTCGAACCTGGAGCTCTCCAAAGAGCTGCATCAGACGCAGGACAGGCTGAAGTACACGCAACTGGAATCGATTACGGACTCGGCCGAGACGCTCCATGAACTGAGGAAACAACACGATCTGGAGAAATCCTCATGGTTCGAGGAGAAGCAACGCTTGAGCTCGGAGGTGAATCTCAAGGCGAAGAACCTGAAGGATCTACAGGCCGAAGACGACGAGATCTTCAAGGAGTTGCGCATGAAGCGGGAGGCTATCAACCAGTGGGAGCGCCAGATGTCGGAGATCATCCAATGGGTCTCCGACGAGAAGGACGCTCGCGGCTACCTTCAGGCGCTAGCCACCAAAATGACCGAGGAGCTCGAGTATCTGAAGCATGTTGGGACATTCAACAACAATGGGGTGGACAACAAGAACTGGCGGAACAGACGCTCCCAGAAGCTGGACAAGATGGAGTTGCTCAACCTGCAGAGTGCCCTGCAGAGGGAGATCCAGGCCAAGGCCATCATATCCGAGGAGCTCAGCCAGACACGATCCGACCTTATATCCATACAGAAGGAGGTGCGCGACTACAAGAAGCGCTACGATTCCATTCTGCACGACTTTCAGAAGAAGGAAACCGAGCTGCGCGACCTGCAGAAGGGCGGCCTGGAGTATTCCGAGTCGTTTCTGAATAAATCCACGCACCAGGGACTGAGCAGCGCTTTCTTCAGGGATATATCCAAGAGCGAAATGATTGATGCTGCGGATAGTTTTGGCAACGACTCCAGCGACAGTTTCATAGGAACACCCAATTTCTTCCAGTCTGGGAACTCTGGCATGCTCTTCAACTACGAACCAAAGTATGCGGGAAAGAGCAAAGATGGTGGCTCTCTGGCAGCCATGAAGGACGCCTCGGTGAGCGACATATCTCGCGAGGACGCCGAACTGCTGATGAAGGAATCTCAAAAGAAGGCGGCCAGCAACAACCCCTCGAACACGGCCATCCATCAGTTTCTGGTGCGCACATTCAGCAGCCCCACAAAATGCAATCACTGCACATCTCTGATGGTCGGTCTGACGCGTCAGGGCGTGGTGTGTGAAATCTGCGGCTTTGCCTGCCACACGATCTGCTGCCAGAAGGTGCCGACCACCTGCCCAGTTCCTATGGACCAGACCAAGCGGCCCCTGGGCATAGATCCCACGCGGGGCATCGGCACCGCCTATGAGGGGTATGTGAAAGTGCCCAAGTCGGGGGTGATAAAGCGCGGCTGGATTCGCCAATTCGTTGTCGTGTGCGACTTTAAACTATTTCTATACGATATATCTCCCGACCGATGCGCCCTGCCGAGTGTGAGCGTGTCCCAAGTGTTGGATATGCGCGATCCTGAATTCTCAGTTGGCAGCGTGCGCGAAAGCGATGTCATACACGCGGCCAAGAAAGATGTGCCATGTATTTTCAAGGTAACTATTGCCTCTAATCTATCGTGAATATTTTTCATACATTATCTCCATGTACATATGTATTGCAGATCAAAACAGCGCTCATTGAAAGCGGTCTCTCGCTGAATACCCTGATGCTGGCCGACAATGAGTCTGAGAAATCAAAATGGGTCATTGCCCTGGGCGAACTACATCGAATATTGAAACGAAACAGTCTACCAAATACTGCTATATTTAAGGTCTACGAGATTCTGGACAACACGCTCTCCCTCATTCGGAATGCCTTGTGTTCAGTCATCATATATCCCAATCAAATCCTATTGGGAACTGAAGATGGACTCTTTTACATCAATTTGGATCAGTATGGTACGCCCATACCCATCTCTCTCCCCCCTGGATGGGAATTATTTGATTTCTACTTGTATTTGTCTTGCAGAAATAGCTCGTATTGGGGAGAGCAAGAAGATCCTCCAACTGTGGTACATCGAAGAGGAGCAGATTCTCGTTATACTCTGCGGGAAGCAGCGCAATCTGCGGCTGTTGCCCATCAGAGCGCTAGAGGCTAGCGATGTTGAGTGGATCAAGGTGGTCGAATCGAAGAACTGCATATCGGCCTGCACTGGCATTATCCGCCGTTTCCCCAACATTGTGTATTCGTTTATAATTGCCCTGAAACGGCCCAATAACCACACACAAATCGTTGTCTACGAGATCAATAGAACGCGCACAAGGCACCAAAAGACCTGCGAATTCACAATTGGCTACTTGGCCCAGCATCTGCAGATATTGTCCGATATGCGGCTGGTTGTGGCGCACCAAAGTGGATTTACCGCCTACTTCCTGAGGGGAGAGGCCACCGCAATGTGTAAGTGCACACCCACACCCCACTACATATTCCTTGAATCTTTCTCATATCTATACTCTCCTTATTCAGCTCTGGTTCACCCTGAAAATCAGCTATGTGCATTTTTAAATTATTCCGGAGTGGATGCTGTTCGAGTCATTGAAATACTCTGCCCCAGCGGGGGAAACTTCGGGGAGTACTTGTTGGTATTCCAAACGCTGGCCATTTATGTGGACCTTCAGGGACGCAAGTCACGCGACAGAGAAATAATGTATCCCGCTTTTCCCACATACATAAGTGAGTAGTGCCGATTGCAGCTGCTGGCTGGTAAATGACTCAACCTGTGCCTTGTTTGCTTACAGCCTTTTGTGATGGCCATTTGTTGGTGTTCTCCGACACACATTTGGATATCTTCAATACACAAACCGCTGAATGGGTGCAGTCGATTGGCCTCAAGCAGTCACTGCCCCTAAATAATCAAGGAAATGTGGTACTGGCCTCAGTCAATGACACACCTTTGATTGTTTATTTGTCCAATATTCACACAAGTAAGTCGATAATAATTCCCACAGAATATATATATACAAGCGTGGAGTCTTTATCTGGTTTCATTTTTCCTATAGAGGGACTTTTGCAATACCGTGATGGAAATCGAAAGGGTCTGGCGAACATAAAGCGGAGATTTTCCATTCGAGAGATTAACAAAACAATAAAAAGGTATGGCAATGGCAGCAGATATTTCATCAATTAAATACTTTTCAACTAAATGCATAAACATTTTTACAGCGATCGAAGATCAAAGATGATATCGGCACCGACTAATTTCAACCACATTTCGCATATGGGCCCGGGCGATGGCATTCAAAATCAGCGACTCCTGGATCTACCAACCACTCTCGAAACAGCCGACCAGGCCTGCAGTCCCATCATACATTCTCTGAGCTCCATACCATCTAGAAAATCAAATTTTCTAGAACAAGGTAATTATATTATTTTGTGTTCATCGAAGTGAAAATCATTGATTAAATGTGTCGCATTTTTTAGTGGATGCTAACTCTGATGACTATGGCAACGATAATATAATCTCTAGAACACCCAGTCCAATGGCATCGTCTTTCATGGACGGCTTAAGCAATAACGATTAGTTTCAGTCAATCTCTACATATACTTATCTAATTTAATCAATTTTTTTAAGGAAAACTGTTTGTAATAAACATATTTAGTTTCTCGAGTATCCCATTCTGTGTGTTCCCGTTTTTGCAAATTACCCGGCGATGTTCCAGACTGTGCTAATCGAAATAAGTGACTCAAATATTTTACAAATTTCCTTGGGTGTGTGTGTGGGTGTGTATTTGTTTTTATTTGTATGCTAGAGTCTGCATGATAAATACATACATTTAAAAATCTTTGATTTGTACACAGAAATCATTAGAATGAATTACATTAGTATTTATAATTGTTGCAGCTTAGCTTAGACTAAACTAAACTCTACTACTTCTTCGACTTTTTCTTCTTTTTCATTATCTTGCTCTTCCGTTTGCTCTTCAGCTCCTTGCGCTTCTCGCTCTTCAATGAATCGGTTGACGAATATTTTGCATGTTTCTTAAGTTTTTTATCCTTTTGTTTCCTTTGTTCAAAGCTGCTCTCTGGGGCAGAGCGGCTGCTTGCTGGATGCGAAACGTCATTCTGTATCGTATTATCATATTTTAAGACTAAATTATTCGACGAACTGCTGTCACCGGCTCGTCTAAACGGATTATCTGGGCGGCATGGCTTCGGTGGCATGGCTGCCACAGACACAGACGATACAATACGGCCTTCGCCGGACTTGACATTTCTGACTCCTCTTCGATCCGAATCGTGGATATTGATCTGATCGAACTTATCGTGCTTGGCGTCTTTGTATGGCCGCCTTTGTCTATCGCTCTCGGGGAGTGTTCTCTTGTATACCTGTTGCGAGTGTCTTTTCTCTGTGGATATGGCTCTATCCCTATCCCTCGATTGCTTGTCCCTTCTTCGGGACCCACTGCGGGCGTCCGCTCTGCCTCTGTAGCCATCATCATCAGCTGCAACTTTAGCTAAAATCTCCCGCCTTTTGCCTCCTCTTGATTTGTCCTCTGAGCGACTTCTCTCACGCACTACCTTGTTGCCCAGCCGCTCCTTCACCGACTTGCTGCTGGGGCGCTGCTTCGGCGAGAGCGAGCGGTCTTTATTATCATTTCGAATGGATACAGAGCGGTCCTTGCTGTTGCCCTTGGAGTTTATTACAACTTGAAATTCGACAGGTCTGATGGCGTTTATGGCTTTGGCAAAAATCGCGTTTTCTGCCTTGCGTATAACGTCCGAGGTGATCTCACTGTGCTCCCCTCCCGAATTAGCAGAGCCTGACCTCTTAAAGGGATCATCGAAATTGCAGGACAAGCTGTTCTCCTCCAGCTCCCACTTGGACAGGTTGACCGCATTGACCGCCGTCGCATCACTTCGCTTGGCACTTCTGGCGGAGACACCGACACTCTCGTCACCGAAACTATGCTTGTGGGGAGCCTCAACGGCAAACAGAGCCTTAATGGGTTTCACAACTTCATGGCTCCTGCTCTGGGCTGGAGAGTTTGACGCAGATTCATATTTGTCATAGCTCTCGGCCATAGCCCGTAAGGGCGGGGTTATCTTACAGGTCTGCTCGATTTGCATGTGGTTGATATCCGAATCGGAGCGATTTATGGACGAGCTCTTCTTGGCTCTTTCATGCTTCTCCTTTTCCTTCTTGCCCTTCTTGTCTTTCTTGTTCTTTTTACGTTCGGTCTTGTCCTTCTTCTTCTTCTTGCGCTCCTTCAACGGCACAGGGCTCTTGCTCTTGTTCTCCTTCCCTATATTCCCCATGCTATCTAAAAGATTGCCAGCAGTCGCCTCTTCGGCTGCATTCTGTATCACTCGCTGTATCGGCTGCATACTATACTCCTCCTGTCCTCTTTCTGGCGTCTTGGGAGACCTTTCGCCGTGGTCGTAGCTGGGGCCAACAGTCGGTTGCCTGGCGGCGGTAACGGCCACTTTCGCTGGGGGAGGGGTCAGGCTTCTGAAGCTAGTGTCGATCAGTTTTTGATGCGGTTCCTTACTTCTGCTGCGCGACCTTTGTCGCTTGCGTGGCACCTCATCCTCAGCGACACTTCTCTTGGAATGCCCACCACTGCCGCCCAGGTGGTGCTTCGTTTTATAAGCTGCCGCATCATCAAACAGTTGCATGCCCTCAAACCCTGGCGGAGGCGGTTCAATTGGGTCAAGTTTTGGAGCACTGGGCTTGGCATATGACTTATCCCTGAAGTCTGATTTATAAGACGGCTTAGGGGATATGGAACGACGAGGCGCAGATCTGGGTAAATCACAAAATACAATGAATTATTTATAGAAAGTTCGATGAAGTGTGGAGTGGTGTGGGGTTGTACCTTTTAATTTTGTTAATTGGCGACTTTGATCCATCGCAGGGCTGACGACTGGGTCGATTGTGTCGCGTGTGTCGCTCGTAGCTGTATTCGCGCTTTCTTTCCCGCGACCTAGGCCGCTTATCCTTCAGATTTAGGTCACGCAGTGACTCCTTTTCGTATACGGGGGACTTGAAGCGATGCGACCTTTGCCTATCCGGGGACCTGGACCTGTGGTGATCTATGCTCCGGAATCTCTCTGATTTCTGTCTCTCCTTCTCCTTCATAATGCGATTAAAAGCCTCCAGAGGGTCGTCGATAAGGCTGAGTGCGAAGAAAATGAGCAAATAATGAAAGGAACTTGGAGACCCACCACAGAGATACTCACCCGGAGCCCACCTTTGCTGCCACGCCCTGATATATAGAGGCTAAATTTGGAGACTGAAACTGTTGGGACATGTTCATGTTCATATTTCCGCCTGAGGGTCCATACTGCGCCCGAATGGGATGCACAGGCTGGTTCTGGTACGGCACAAAGCTGCAAATTCAAAAGTTATTTGGGGAATCCAAAAGCTTAAGTATTGGCTGGTAGGTGAGAATGATGTTTTAATAAACCAAAGCTTAAAGTAATGTAACGTAATAGATCATAGATAGTAACTAAATTACAATTGGAGTTGTACTGCGGGAGTAGTAGCCTCTGCTCGGAGATCCACTCTGCTGGAGATCCCAAGTGGAATAGGAGGAAAACATACCTTAAGGGCGGCCGCTGTCCCATATTATTGTATCCATTGCTGTACGGCGGCGGTATATGGTGGCCCATCATATGCAATGGGGGAGGACCCCGAGGCATTTGCATATACGGCGGCTTGTACACATTCCCGCGATGCACTTCATCCGACTCGTTCACCACATGGTGACCCTGGTAGCTTTGATGTGTCGAGATGGGCGTGGGCAGAAGGCTCCGCTCGCCCCGTTCTCGTTCATTGTGGGGCTTCCCAGAATCCGATTGCGATTGCGTTGGTGGACGTCGCTTCATATCGGACTCGGACATGTAATCCATTTTATGTTCACGTCTGTGGGATACGTGATGAGCAGGAGGCTTCCTTGGAAACGTTGGGGACAACTGCAGAGATAAAACGAGTGGAAAGTGAAAAAAAGCTATGATCTGTTCGCATAAGCAAGCACTCACCTTGCTGGAGACAATCGAAGCTGAATCGGACAGTGTTTGAGGCATCGTAATAGTTATGTTATCTTCATAATCTGAATCATATTTGTCCTTTTCTTTTTCTTTTTCCTTTTCCTTTTGTGACTGATCAGCATTACTATCTGTGGCTGTGGCTGTTGCTTTGGCCTCAGCTGGTTCCGGAGATGGCACCTTGGGGGGATGCTTCTTGCCATTTGTCTCTGGCTCTTCCTGCTTTAGAGTCTTTTCTTTGCTAGCTACTTCCTCGGGCTCCTTCTCCGCCACAGGATTCTCCACAAGGGGTTTCTCTTCAATTTTTGGCTTCTCTTCGATGGGTTTTTCCTCACTACCTGGCGGCTTCTCCTCAATGGGTTTCTCCACTTTTTTAACTGCAACTGATTTGTAAGGGATTTACTTCAATTAACTCCCCACTTCATAGTCGATTGAGTTGAATATCTTACCCGATTTTGCGGCACGCATTGTATATCCAGTTTCGTTCTTGAAAGCATTCACAGAATTTCTGAGGAAACGATTTGGTATCAAGGATCCCGGTGAACAGTTCTTCTCCTTGCAGTCTGGACATTCGCTTTCCTCGGACTCCAGCAACGAATTGCGCACGCCTGCAAGTGTAGTAGAGAGAAAATCAATTAGGCTTCAGGAAAATCAAACCTACTACTAGCGTAGTACGTACAGTCGTCGCAGAAGGAACTACCGCAGCAGGGTATCATGACTGCATCAACAAAAATGTCCCGGCAAATGCCGCAGATTAGATCTTCGGGAATTTCCTGACTCTGTTCCGCTGGCATTACAAACATGGCTGCCTCTTCCTCTGTTGCCCTAAGAAGTAATAGGAAAATAATGTATCTAGACGAATCAAAGTGTATCCTGTCACTTACGTGTCCGTTTTGTCCCTGAAGGAGCGCGGTATGCCAGTATTTCGTTTCACTTCAAACTGATCTTTCCCCGCTGTATAAGGGCAATTCTTGATCCAGTGACCAGTTTTCTTACACTTGTTGCAACGATACGAGGCGGGAACTTCGCCCACTTGAGATTGCCCCTTAATCCGATGATACCTGAAACAGAAACAAAAAAAAACTGTAGAACTCGTTTTCAGTAGAGGGCCACTACTTACGTCTTTGGATCATAGTCCACAGTACTCTGCATCATCATTGCATGGATTTTGTCCTCTTCAGTGCCTTGCATTTTGGAGAGATCGATATTGAAGCTCTCCTGCTTATTGGAGGAGGGAACAGGGGCCGCATTTTCGGCTGGTGGCTCCCAGCCCTTCTTCGTTGGATGGGCCAAGGGTATTCGTGAAATGATTAGAGTGGTGTTTTTTGGAATAAGGACTCCATCATCCTTGTATTCTAAAGGGACATAGAGTAGGGCTTGTCATCAATTTCACTTTTATTGCAAACAACTTCAAACATACCTTCTTTAGTCTGCGCATTCGTTATTTGAAGATCAAAGTCTATAATTTTACCCAACCTCTTCTGCTGCACAATTTCCCTTTTCAGATCGCCCACAGAAATATGAAGTCCATCGAACGTAATTGTATCGAAATTGAGTGTACTTTTAAATTTATAATGCACTGACATTTTCAAATGTAAATATGATCTAAGGTAGAAAGATGCAATTAGGAGAATTTGAATAGATAATGTTCATCTTAAATGGGCCACTAACTACTCGTGTATACGATTTATATAATGGAGGGGGCTTGAAGCAAGGGATCCAAATGATAGCTTCTGACTTGGGACTTTGTATTACATACATTTTATACATGATATGGGAATACATATGCATGCATGTATATAATATATGCACCTAAGCCGTACAGAAATGTGAAGAAGAAGATGGTTTCGCAAGTAGCAGGTAGATTCGATGGCCAATGAACTCGAAATGGCATGAGCACCATGATGAAAACCAAATTGAAATAGCTAATAACACGCTAAATACATACGTTTGGCCTTTATAAGAACAAAAATAAAAAGGACATGTTGTACTTTCAGCAATTTTCTTTTATTTGCACTGATTGGATCACCACGATAACATTGCTCGAAGAAGCATTTGATCATTTTCATTACCCACAAAATACATTGGCACAATATTCGTACAGCTAAATACGTACAACTAAATACATGCAATGACGCTAGGTAATCTCTTACACCGTGGAAGGTACATAGGCATATGGAAAAACACTGTTTGAACTTTCAATTTATGCTACAAGCATACAAATGCGTGAGCATATTTATACGCACATTGTTACATCCACATGTAGACATTAAATAGATAAGTTAATGTGATTTGAAGAACGTACGGGTTAGGTTTAGCAAAGCTACCAAAAGACACTGGGCATTTACAAGATATTACCGGTAAAATTAGCACACAAATTGCAATTACTTACACTACTTCACAAACATAAACGTCGGAGTTTTTATTATTTTTGCCTCGACACTATTTGACAGCACTGCACTGAACTATATCGATACCACGGTACCTATCGGATGGGATTCTGAGGATAGTATTTTTGGAACGATGGAGCTGGAATTGAATGGCATTTAAGTATTCATTCTGGGTATTCGTGAAACTGATTAAGGCTAGATCTCGATTTATTTACATCACATATATGGTAGTATCGGATGTTTCCGCTCAGATCAAATATAACCAAAGACAATATAAGAATAAGCTATATAACGCCATACAAAATTTTTGCACACTAATTTTTCAGGCTGGCTCTAGAGCTGGCCCCAGGCTCTCTTGAAATTTTTTTGAGAGAGAAAGCGCGGTAGATCCATTCGCTATCTTGTATGCACACAGTTTACGAAGGCACACGAAGTTGGTTCTCTGACGCTGCGGCAGCCGAGTCGAGTCGTCGCGACGACTGTATGTGTGCACATATATTCTTAAGCAATCTAGATCTGCCAGCATGCATACGTTTTTTACAGCGCTGTCGAAATATACCCTTAACTTTATAAGTGTAAGTTAATTTTGCAAGACGCTTACCACCCCAATATTAAAAAACTCTTATATTGTGTATCCCTCCAATGATAATTTCTTTTAACATTGTACATTCGATAATATATAAAAATATATAATATATTTAATACATGACTTTACATTGGAATAAATGTCATTAGGGTATTAGGGTATGCGACGTATTCAACGACTGTAAATAAATTCGTTTCTCTCAGAATTTATTTTAGGAGTCAGTTAATTGAAAATAATAATCAGGGAGGCTCCGATTTTCAGTTCAAACCGAAAAGTCAGGCGCTCCCGCATTCGTAAAACGAAAGACTTCCGTTTTCAAAACGGCAACATATTTCTCGCCGAAACGAAAAGTAATCGGCTTTTTACACAACAAAACGAATCAAAATTGCAAAAGCAAAAAAAATAGATGACTAATTGATGCATTGAAAAGAATTTGACACCTTTACCATGGCAATTCAGCTCGTGCTGTTTTTATAAATTTTTTTTTTTCACCCATCCAAAAAATTGGATCTTTAAAAATTGGTCAGGGCAACAACAAATAGTGAATTCCTTCAAACAGCTGTGGCATTCCAGAGGGCCTTGAAATCAAAAGTATGACTTTTTGCTGAAAAGTAAAACGCAAAGTGAATGTGAAAAACGGAGCCTGTCTGAATATACTTAATTGCATTATAATGCAACGAAATTTTTAGCAAAGGCATTTCCGTAGTTTCCACTATTAGACGTCAGTGTTCTCCTCTGATGTGATATGCTGGATAAAAAAAGTCATGGATTGAAAAGTATAAAAATTTATTATCCGAGAAGTTGAACCAAAACTACGACCATATTTACGCGTACGTAAATAGTTTGAATACAGCTTATCTATAATCTTAAAATAAATATATACAATTACATCTGAACTTTCTTGTGACAAAGAGAAGCATATTAAAACTAATAAAATCTATTGTATTGCATTTTATCACCGCCTTTCAACATTTGAACACAAACTTAATCGTTAAAACAAAAATTTATAATTAGTGCAATAGAGTATTGGTTTAGGTGCTCGTCCTTACATCTATTTAAATATTAACCAACATATGCAAATGGATTATATGGGGGTGGATAGAAGTTGGGAAAAGATCCAGAGTGCTGAACAGGAATAGTTGCAGTAATTAATTTAGTAACTTGTGTTGGTACAACGGAAGTTGAAAATATTGTGGTATATGCGGTTCGCGCACCAAATGTCAATTTCAAAACCTTCGAGCTAGTCTCTGTTGCCATTGTTTGCAGAATTTCAGTAGACGTTATCAGCTGCTGTGGCTGCATGGGCAACAAAGGGTTGTAGAAAGGATTTATTGAAAATGGAAATTGTGATGTTGGCACTGAAAGTGGGGTAATGTCGGTAACGTATTCTGTTTTCTCAACTACTCCAACAGACTTGGAGAGGGTTCTCATAATGGTCTCAGTCCCTCTCACTAAAGGTACAACATGCGACTCCCAAATTGTTTCAAGCTTTATAACTGGACGCGTTGAGGTTATAAAATTGTTTTGGATTGGTTGGCTTTCGGTAAAATGTAGATTTTCGGGAATCAATGGGTTGGTTAGGGTTAGGTTGCTTCCACTCTTGATGTCTACTTTATTTTTCGGTTTTATTTTCGCATCAAACTTTCCGGTATTATCCTCATCGCCAAACTCCAGATCCAAGTTCAGCTCGGAACCAGCTTCGTCTAAGTTTCCTTCGAAGTCCTTAAAGTTCTTAGAAGGACTAAAATCTTCGCTCAATGGTGATATGGTTTGAGTAACTGTTATAAGGCTGGTATAATCATATGTTTGCACCAATGTTACTTGAATCGTTTCATTTCTTTTTTCATTAATTATAGGAAGAATCTGCGTTTTAAGTTTGATTTTTGTTATGGAAAACGATTCGGTTATTGTTTCCAAGCTAGGCGTCTCTGAACCATCTTCAATATAAATGGGTTTCAGCGTCGATATACTTCCATCTAATGGTTTCTCGTCTGTCTGAGCCGTCGACTCCAAAATATTCTCGGTCAGAGGGCCATCATCTTCAGAGTATTCTTTTGTGTGCTCTTCCCTTATTACCTTCTCTATAGTTGATGTGACGGTCAAGAATCTCGTTTTTTTTACCACTCCCGCCTGAAAAAAGGGCATAAATGTTAATATAATGGAAGCGTGTTAAAGAACAAAAACCAATTAGAAATTACCTGGAATATAAACGGGCTTTTAATTGTAGCAATTTCATAGTAAGTGTCAATAAAAGGCTTTGGTGTCGATATCTCTACATTTAATGTTTGCACAAAGTACTTTGATTTTTGATCGTCGTTTTCGTTATTATTGGCCACAGGCCCATTTTGGGAACCAGAAGCTTCCAAATCCCTTCCACTGTTTAAAGCCTTCAGAATCTGCTCTGAACCCTCGCCGTTTATGGGAACCTCTGATATGTTTTGATCCACGTGGACCGTATCATTATTTTGGATGGCGATCGGACTGTTCGAGCTTGTATTTTTCCTAATATTAACTTTGGGCTTTGCGGAGGTTTTATATTGCCATCGACCAGGTCGCCTATTTAGTTTGAACGTGCCTGCACTTGGAGCTGTAACGGACTCTTCCTGTAGACTTGTTACTTTGGAACGATATGAGTGACGGGTAGTTTCCGTTGTTGATGGAGTTATTATTATCTTGCTGTTTTGAGTTGATTTATGTCTCCTAGGAAGAAAAATGGAAAATGGACACGATACATACGAGTATTTCTAACTAACTTGAGGCTATTATTACCTTTTTCCTTTTGGACGAGAAGATTTTCTGGTGCTGGATACTCTGTGATCCCGACTTCCTTGTTGATTTTTCCGTGAATTTTTTGAGACCAGAGTCTGAGATGATGTTGATTCTTTTATAGTCTTACTGGGCTGAATCGTTGATGTCTTATTAATTCTGGTCTGCCTAGGCTTGCTCTTTTTCTCGGCATTCGATGAAGATATGGACTGAGGAACTTTTGTAAAACGACCAGATTCCTTTGTTGAAGTTACACCATTTCTAGCGTTGCCATCAGCTACCCGTGTCTGATAACCATGGACACTCTCCTTTTTGGACAGATAATTTCTTTGCCTCTCAGCTTCGTTTTTGCCCTTAAAGTTAACCACGCGATACGATTCCTCGGCAAACTGCTCGGGCTGTCGCGAAAGCAAATCGTATTCGGGGGTGCTCAGAAGTGTTTGGATTGGGGAATTCGATATACTTGTATTGTAGGATTCGCTCTTGGACGTAAATGTTTCGGGAGGAACATTTGACTGACTCAAAATTAGAGGCGTAGGTTTAATTACCTCCTTTTCCTTTTCTTTTTTCGAAAATTTTGGCTTGGTTTCAATAATATTAATAATGTTGTTTGTGTTGTTAGGTTTTAGTTCTAAAAGATACAAGAAAGGTTAACGTTGGCATAATAATATAAGACCATTGTTAAAACAATTTAAAATCAGTTTGTACCCCCAAATTAAGATTGCAAGGCTCAAGATTTGGAAAAAAAAACTCACCAAAGTGGGGGGAGCTTTGGGGAGAAAATACCATTACGGTGTTCCCAATGGTAGTGGTAAAGTCCAAAAATCCATAAACAGTTTGAGTAAGCAACTCATTTTCACCACAAGATGCTGAAATTGAAGTGCAGATAATAATAAAAATATTTTTAAACTTTTATTGTTTGGTTTTAAATTTTATAAAATATTAAAGCGTAATTTTTTTTAATAAACTTACCGCTTTTTAAAGCACAAAGCATAAGCAAGTAAATTAACATGTTTGTAAAGGTGCACAGACTTAAAGTTGGGAAAAAAATTTAATTAATCTGAAAAAAAATTAAAAATTACACAAATTAACCATGTAAAATTACTTGAATATCATTCGAGCTATTATAATTATGTTGGAATATGTTAGCGAACTTCAGGCTTTAAATTAATGTGATGATTTAGCCATCGCTTCAGTTAATTATCTGTGGGCTTTATGCAACTTCTTGGACAATGTGCCGTTGTCATATTAATAAGTTTGGTTTCTTTCTTTTCCGGCTATCTCCGTATGTTATTCAATAGTCATTTGGTAATCTCTGCACGATGCCACAATCAATGCAGTTGATCTTTATTGAGATCAATAATACCTCGAAATAAGTAGGACGAACTTAGCGATATATAAACGCAACACTAGCCGCACCGCACCGCACCGCTACCATCCACCATCCGGTGGCATTGGCTCACCAAGCAAGTGATCGTTCACATTTTTAGTAGGGTGTCTCTTTGATACACGAATATAAAACACTTTTTACAGTGCCTTTCGCCTGGTTGACTCGGCTAGGGGATGTGGGTTTGATTCTTGCTTAGGTGGCTTTGGTTTGGTTTGGTCACTTGTACATACTCCACATTATGCGTCAAGGTCTACGGACAGATTGTCAGTGTACTTGTAGACCTGCCTGCTTATCCATTCAGCGATCAAAAAAGTCTATGCACACACATTTTCCAGCCAAAATGTTGGAACGGGACCGTAAACTTTTGTTAGCCACAGTATGTAACCACTCACAAACACAAACACAAAGACATGGCACACCGTAGAGACAATGAAACATTTGGTCATTGAGAAACATTGAATAGAGAAAGGCCTACATACATATACAATTATTCACGTTGGTTGCAAAAACACAAATTCATTTAATTGGATTGAATTATCCCACACAATTATATACGAGTATATATGCAGGCATACAGATATTTTATGTTTCTACCAACAAATCTACACCACAGCTACATAAATAGATACATACATTCAATGCATTTGGAAATATACATATCACTTCACTTCGTTATATGCACTGATCCAACCACATATTTCAAACACACACTATTGTGGGTGTTACAGCAATGTAACAGAAACAAAATACGAGTATATACTATTAAGTATATGCTTTTACATATATATTATTTGTCCAATGCGATTTTGTCCGCTGTCTAAGCCACGACGAAGCATAAAAAACCTCTGACAAAGTTACCACTGCACACATGCGCAGGCGCCACGAAGAGAACGGAACGTCAACATCATTAAATTGTGGTACCCCGAAGCACTAGGGTTACCCACGATACGAGACAAACCAGTTTTGTTTCTTCATTTCAATACGCCCCATGGGTTTCGCTTCGTTTCGTTTCGAACAAATATCGTTAGCAATGAGAGATTTCGCATGAAAATCATGGGGTGGAGTATTAAAAACATAAAAATACTTAACTGAGTAAAAAACATTTGTTTATCTAATATTTAATCTAATAGATGCACTAAAAAATGAAGAATCTGCATCAAAAGAAACTCATTGAGTGAAATTCATGCGTATGTTTAATATTTAATATGTAAAAACCATTTTGAAAAATGATTTAATTAAATATTCTTCTCTCCGCTGATAAATTGAATTTGAATTAGAAGAAAGTCTGAATTAGCAGTTAGTTAGCACCGCTTTTGGAGGAGTTTCTACCACATAATGCACTTTCTTTTTGTGGTATTAAGTATCGCCTGGTCTGGTCTGGTCTGGAAAGTTACTGCTGTAAGTAAAACTCTCTTGTTAATCCCTATCAAATATACGAGGAATATTACTAGATTTACTTGCCTAGATGTTCATTCTGCGTGCGTGTCATTTTTGTTGATTATCGTCCACGTTGGCCAAACGTCTCTGGCAGCAATCGTAGGCCAGGCCCATGCCGATACCCATGCCGAACCAGATCGGATAGGTGCGGGGCCGTGTGAAAAATACCGTGAACACCGTGCCGATTATCATCCCGCTGCCACCCTTCATAACAAAGTCCGTAATGCATTTGTCATTGGTGTGGCTGATGCTAGTAGATGTTTCCGACACGCGAGCTGCTTCCACTTTCTTCGCCTCGGAAGTTTTCCGATCTGTACTCATTTTGATATGTTATGCAGTTTGAAAAGTTTTATGTTAGATTGATATATAATCAAATGGTTACTATCTTTCGAATTGATTTATAAAAGTAAGTTTATACAGTTTTGTTTGTCAATGTAGAGATGCGTTTTAGTCAAATTATAAAATAAAATTTGCAATCATTTCTTGGGTCGGAAACGGATTGGGGGTCCAACGGCTACAATGGGTTAACAGCATTCTGGCGGCTGACGTAGCCGAAATAAATAAACACCAACCACAGAGAAAGGCGAGATGGATGGAATGGATGACGATGACTGCCTGCCAACTGCCATAGTTACAAAATCCTAGCAACAATATTTTTTTTGTGTATTTTCACCATAGCAACCAGAGGCTCGCGTGTCGTGCTGGATTTCAGCAGTGTCGTTTTAACTTCAAAACATAGAAAGATGTGAAGGATACGTACGGAAAATGAAGTGCAAAAGGAATTTCCTAACATGTTTAGCTTTATTTTTCCATTTAGTTAGTAGCTTTTTCTGTATATACGTGCTCAGTGTGGATGCTCCGTTCATACATATTCCGGGAAATGGAGTCATCTCTGGAACATATTTGAAAATGTTTCGAACTCAAAATATTAAAGCCTATCTTGGTATTCGGTATGCCCATGCTGGAAGATTTTCGCCTCCAGATGTCGAGCTAACACCCTGGAAAGGAATTTTCAATGCAACCTCTTTCGGAGCGGACTGCTTGCAAAATCCTTCCATGCCTTCCATGGGCAAAGAAACCGACCAAATCCTGAAAATCTTGTCCTCCGAAACCAATCAGAATGGCAGTGCCAGGAAATACGAAGAAAACTGTTTGTATCTGAACGTTTTTGTACCTGATGGTGAGCTATATCCAGAGTGCACTGTGCAAATTACTATAATTATATTCAATCATTATTATATGTATATTATTCAATTATCATTTGTAATTGTAAGTATTCAACTCATTTCATCTATTTAACAATTCTTATTTTCAGGATTGCCTGAAATTAATGGATATGCTGTCGTTGTGTGGATCCATTCAGGGGATTTCTCAACCGGAAGCCCTGTTGATATTAACCCATTCCAATTAGTCTTTAAGCAAAAGGTGATTGTTGTAACCTTTTCGTATCGGCTGAACATTTTCGGATTTTTTACAACCGACGATGGCGAAGCCCAGGGAAACTATGGCTTAATGGATCAGGCAGCAGCCCTGTACTGGGTGAAAAAAAATATCAATTTTTTCGGTGGAGACACAAATCGCATCACTCTCATGGGACACGATGCCGGAGCAATTAGCGTGGCTCTGCACATGACCTCGGGCGAGTGGTCGAAGGGGGGCTTCCATAAGGCCATTATAATGTCCGGCAATCCACTGAACGCTGTGAAACTACCATCGGACTACGAAGGCTCGTTGGACCAAGTTTCGAGCACTTTCGGCTGTCCACGCCGGCCCACGTCTGCGTTTATTCAGTGCCTCAAGAAAATTGACGGAAAGCGACTCTCGGAAAATCTTCCCTCCGTGAGTTGGGGTCCTGTTTTGGACTTTGGATTGAGCAACACCTCGTATCCGTTCATCGAAAACCAGCCGGAGATAATATTCAAGAGGGGGAGCCATCACAAAGTGCCCGTCATCATTGGCGTAACTGACATGGAGGAGGTGTTGACCTTGTTTAAGGACAATCTCGATGCAGAAATCAGTGCCGCCGACCTGGAGGGCTTCTACAATGACATAGCCGTGAATGATATGCACAAACTTGTTAAGAACTACGAATGGTGCTCCAACTATGAATTGATCTCGGAGGCAATCCACTTTATGTACGACAATGAGACGGACAAGGATATGAGGAAGGCGAACAAGCATATAATCAGTGCACACACCGAAAAGTTCTATATCACGCCGATGCAAATGTTCGCAGACATGATCAGCAAGGATCAGCCCGTTTACAGCTACGTGTTCAAGACACGCCCCAAGAGTGTGCTCCAGGATCTGCCCAGCTGGATAAAAGTGCCCAAGTATTTCGATCAGGTCTTCGTGTGGGGCAACCCCTATATGACAAACACCGTGGAGTGGAAGTCTGCCGATAAGAAAATTGCTGAAATTATCATGACCTTGTGGGCAAACTTTGCAAAAACCTCGAACCCAACCAAGTCCAACGTATACGTCAAGTGGAATGCAATGACACCCAGCAACGATTCGGTTCTGCTGATCGACAAGAATTTCAACACAGACAATTTACTCAACAATCAGAGAATCAATTTTTGGAAATCATTATACCCCAAAATTCTATACTACTCAGCCGATTGCTGCAATTCCACAAGCTCAGGATGCTCATTGATGATCACAAAAACCCTCACAATACTATCTACTATTTCTATACTTGTTAAGATATTTTGAATAAAGATTTCTTGAAGGAAAAACTCCAATATTATAAAGCAAAAATTGATGATGTTTTGTCGCATTTTCAGAATATATTTTTCGTTTATTTTCGACCGCCATTAATATACATATCATTTCTAGTTCGCTTCTAAGGATATACGTACTTAAGTTAAGAATGTATACAATCTGTAGTTGTTATATATAATCACCACCAACGACGCTTAGTTTAAAAAAATGTATGTATGGCTTTGGAGCTTTTATCCCATACATAAACTGAAAGGAAACTATTCGGAGAAATACAATACTACTCGCACAATTAATCGATTAAAATAAGTGAAACTATTTCACTGCCTCCTGCAAAGTGTCCATTTAAAGACTGAAAACCAGAATATCCATTTGGAGCTTGTTGGCATTCTTGGTTCAGTCTTGTAAACGCACTCTTTGGTTCGTTTAGGCCATGGTCAAAGTTCCTGCACCGATTCCATAGCCCACACCCTTAGGTCCATAGTTTTTGCCGTAGCAGGATCGACAGTATATGTTGCCATCGGGCCCATCGTTTAGGTTGGTCGAGTCCAGATACTTACGGCAGTCCGAGCAGTAGAAGCACAGCTTGTGCCATATGCTATTCTTGCTCTTCATCTGCTCGGCCGCGAACACTATATATCCGCATCGGGGACATCCGTCCTCCGACTGGCCACCGCAACGATTAAGCTGACCCCAACTGAAACAGAAACCACGATATGTTTACAATCCCCACAGTCCAGAGTGATGATGTGATCCATACCTGGTGGGTGTATATTCGTAGCTCGTGGAGACCAGAGCTGGCGTGTGACCGTATCCAACGCCCTTGGGGCCATAGAGTTTTGCGTAGCACAGTTTGCAGTAGATGTTATCGTCCGGACCGTCGCAGGCCAGCACTGAGTCCAAGGGTCGGTGGCACTTGGCACAACTAAAGCACGTTCGATGCCACATCTTTCCTTTGGACAACTGGAGCTCAGCGGCAAATACGGCCCCACCACAGCGCGGGCAGCCCTCGCCCTCGGGTGCCTTGATCGAAGTCGTGTCGGGACACACGAAGGGTCGCTGCGATACGTCGTCACTAACCCCATCGGTTTGAAGGAATCCATATCCACATGCAAAGCCATAGCCATGCGGCCCCCACTTCTTGCCATAGCACGTCTTGCAGTAGACGTCGTTGTCCGGACCATCGCACGCAATAATGGAGTCGAGGGTCTTTGTGCAGTCCCGACACTTGAAGCATTTTCTATGCCAAGGCCTGCCCTTCGACAGGACCTGCTCGGCGGCGAACACCACACCTCCGCATCTTGGACATCCCTCTCCCAATGGCGCCTGAATTTGATCCACGTTTATGGCAGCGGTTTTCGGAGCCAGTTCACTATACAATTACAAATGAGGTCAAACGCATGCCTAATGTTACTAAAGCAAAGCAATAAACCTTAATGGCTAAATAAAACTCGAACTTCATAGCGAATTAGTCATACCTTTGCCACTCGCAATCTTTAATGTCGGACATTAAGCCATTAAGCTGTCCATAGCCTCTGGTGCCGAACTTTGGGGCATAACATCCTGAAAAATTATACTTGTTGATACACTATTAACCCAAAACAGGCCAAAGACAGTACCTCGACAGTAGATATCTTTATCTGGGCCATCACAGTGAATAGTGGAGTCTAGTGTCTTGTTGCATTGTACGCACTTGAAGCATCGGCGATGGTAACCCTAGAATCGAAATGAAATTCCACCCAACCGATGTACTCAGAGGCATTAATCATCTACATCCAAACGTATGTTTATTACCTTTCCTCTGGCAAGCATTTGCTCGGCTGCAAAAACCGCCACACCACACCTGGGACAGCCTGACCCATCAGGCGCTTGTGGCGGAATTTTCGGTTGAACAAACCTATAATGAATCAGTGAGTGATTCAAATGCTTTCCTCAATTAAACGAGTCGAGTACGAGTACGAATACGAATACACAGACCACTGCACAATACAATACATAATTGGACATTCAACAGGGGAGAACATCAACGAAGACAGATAGATACATCCCTTAGCAACCGATTTGGGGCCCGGACCACCGCAAGGTCATTGGGAGAAACAATAATTACCAAAAAAAAAAATGAGGAAAATACGTATACCGTTTATTAGTTTTTTGTTACATTTTATTATTGAATTATGTTATTTTGATCATCAAATACATTGTGTATATGTGGACAAATACCAACAAAATTTTCAATTTATTACAAATTTCACTTCGATTCGAACTGTCCCTCGGAAGGCGGGGGATCCATTCCAATCACACACACACACAGAGAAATGTGCATAAAGGTGACAAGTTTAAAGACGAGAGGTACCCATGTGGGGGAATTTAGACGCAATAAAACAAATAAAAACATGTAACACATACAGGTTTTAATAGCAAGCAAAACTACACATTTAATTCAGGGAATTTTACACTTTTCATACAAAAACATATTTTATTTTAGTCCTTACTCTCTGTTGAGGTGAGCGCCAGTGTCCGTGGACAGGCAGCCGGCACCACCACCGAAACCATAACCCTTAGGTCCGTATTTTCGTCCATGGCAGTTTTTGCAGAACAGTTCCTTCTCATGCTCGGTGCAGTTTGTGGAGTCCAGAGCCTTGTTGCACATGCCTTTTTGTGATTAAACAGAAAGGGGAAAGCGAAACGTTATGGCATGTTGCTCCAGATATCCGTTGGATCGATCGTTCGATCGATTCAGGTTGATGTTTATGGAATCTCCCGATACTTACTGCACTTGAAGCATGTTTTGTGGAACTTGTAGCCACCAGCCACGCGCTCCTCAGCGGCATACACCGACTTTCCGCATGCTGGGCACTTGGGAGTTTCCACGGGAACGAAAGGCATTTTGATGTGTGTATGTGTGTATATGTCTGCGGGGGAGGGGACAGAAACTTCGGTTAAATGCAATTTGATTTTGGATGACAGCGTTTCAGTAAAGTAATATCCCGCGAGTAGAGAAAACAAAAAACTTTTGCATATACATATGTATATGTAACTGCGCTAGCATACGATATACATATATGTATATATATATATATATATATATAAGTATATAGATGTGATGTATACCTTCGGAGGTACTCTTGTGAAGTAGTTCCTATTCGTCGGAAATGCCGCGGACTAGACTGGAAAGATTCTGTACACAGGTAGTCTATATTTGTGGATGCACACGGCACAACTAAGAAAATACAGTTTGCGTAATAAAAACAGCACTTTCTGAATATATCATTATTTATCATGCAATACATGTTCATGGTAGTATGTATGTATGTACATAAAAGCATACATACATACTTATGTGTACATCGCTTTCGGCTGAGTAAAGCTACTCCAATTCTGGGCGGTTGCAATAATTTTAGTAAGTAACATTAGTTGCCAGAATTCGGAAACAATGGGATTTTCCATTGTGTATGTCCGCTGTACTGTGCAAGTATTTCCATATATTGATCCATAAGATTCTAAATATGTATGTACATACATATGTATATATAAAATGCATATGCAAATTGTATCTAAAAGTGTGGGTCCGTACGTGTATCAAAGTAATTCTGCACAACGGACAATTTATTAGCTGTCTGCACGCACACTAACCCATTCTATATATGTACAATCATCTATATATTTAGGCTATAAATACATACATACATACATATATACATGCATACATACGTATGTAGGATATGTATCAAAGTACATTCATGGCCTTATTTTAGGCGTCTCTAAAAATATATTCATAACTGCTCAACCCAGTTCCATAAATAAATACCTTACGCATACATTTGTTCATATTGAAATATTGAAATATGTATGTAAATCTGTATGTTTGTTGTTTGTACATTGTATGTATTTACATATACATACATATGTATGTATGCATCTTTTTGGGGCTTTTCATTTCCTAAATTCATACGAGCATTCGTTTATGGTAATTGGGGGGAGGCGAAAAGCTACAATAAAAACAAAACACAGATTCATCTGTTCATCTGCCTTTATAGATGGACACTGTATGCTACGTATGTATGTACATATATATAGTTTTGAGAGAGTAGTGTGTATGTACAAATATGTATATCGAATAAAATTAGATATGTACAATGCAGACCGATGCGAACGGGGTCAAAAGGCCATGTTTAAATCCGTTTGTAATAAAAAAAAAGTTCATACATACATATGTACAAACTTACATATATGTGCACATGTATTCCACTGCTCCGCGATCTATCAATTCCATTTGATCGAATATACACACTCACAGACATATATATGGATATTGTGTGCAAATAATCCAGTTTGTAAATACATGTACATATGTATGTCAGTTTATCAAATATGTAGCCCCCAAGCTTTTGACTGCCATCTAAATGTACATATGTATGTGTACATGTTTTTATGGAAAATAACAATGATCTCTTTTGCAGATTCGAAGCCATTAAAATATTAATAATCTTGATACCCTTCGAAATTCAGTAATTCATCAAATGTATGCATGATGTGGGTGGGGGGTGCCCACATACCTACATATACAATATTAAATCTATAAATAAGTATGTATTTATTAATTGTAAAACGCTCAATTGCGATTGGCAATGAGCCTAACAATTTATGAAGGCCAGATCTACGATCCGATCTACGGGTATGTATGACTCGTGAGGTAAAAACAACAACAACAAGCACTGATTGTGCTCGGAACTGAAAAAGTACACTACACACGCATCTGAAAGCATTTTCAATTTGCTTCCGCCCAAAAAAAACGGTGCTTAGATCGATGGTGTGCTGTGCTCATAAAATATTGGGAATTCATGTCGAAATATGAGTACTCCTTTTACAATTAAAGCGCCCAATTAAACCATCTATCAATTGGTGCAATATTTAAGCAATTCAAGCGGTCGTTGACCTGGTAGCATCTTTTTGACCAGCCTGGGCCTCACCTTCAAAATAGACTTCGAGTCGCGAGTCGCTGTCTGTGACAAAAGCACGACGACCCCACCTGGCTTAGCACCTTAACATAACAAAGAAATCAGTGAATGTCATAGCTCGGCTCGGATCAAGGTAACACACTCCATATTCGTATTAAGATAAGATAAACATTGGTTTGCTGGGTTACCAGTATATCAAATATAATTTAATCAGTTAATATACTCGTTCGAATAGCTATTTACATTTGACTTCATCTTTTATTTAAACCATGCAATAATTAATCGTAATTTATACATATTACAAATTAGAAAAAAAATTATTTATGTACATACGTATTATGTATGTATACATATGTATATGTATGTAAATTACAGTCACTGTAGAAGTATGTATTTTCATTAAAATTATTATCATTCCGCCTTCAACCGATTCGCAAATTCAACCTGCTGAATTTCCTTCCACTCTTTTTTTGGTTTCATCCTCTTCAATTGTCCGTCCCAGACCAGATCAATTAGGCCTCCTTGCTTAGCAATCACACCCTTGACACGGTTCGCGAAATCAATCGCCGACTCTCCGTCCTGTCTGTACATTGGCGGGAGGTACCAGACATCGCAGACAATGGCCCATGATGTCATCATCATGTAGAGATACTGCATCATCGAATACTTTGCGCTGTTCCAGAATGCATCGCCAAATCGTGGATCGTACCTAAGGAGAAGAGAGGACGAATCAGAATTGTATGTTTCGAACAGAACTTCTACTATACGCACTTTATGGCCACCGGGTATATGACTCCGCCGACTTCAAAGCTTCCCTTTTTAAATTGCATTACGGACGTGTTGTTGATGCATGTGCCCTCGGGGAATATAAGAATTGGTGGATTGTTTGGGTCCGAAACATGCTGCTTTAGCCTCTCGGCGACCAAGTGGCGATCCTTTGCCTCGCCTCTCTCAAACCAAATGTGGGGCGATGCTCTGGCCAGAGCTCTTTGCAGGACGCCAAGAAAACCACCATGACGTTGGCCAATCTGAAATTTATATTCGGATAACTCTTTAATGTGCCTGCAAATGAAAGACGACTGTTTCAACGAACAGACAACATGCCAAAGTACAAATACAACCAAACATTAAAACATTTAAACAAGAATCAAGCACCATAACCCAAGGAAGTATTAGTAAATTATTACCTACATGTGTGCGAGGCGAGGAATGACAATTTTAATTGGGAATTGAATATGTAACCTTAATTTGAATGGTATGAATGCCCTCGAAATGGGCAAAACCATTATAAAAGCTACATCCAAGAAAAAAGAAAAGACTTAGAGCTCTCACTCGGAAGCTCGCTTTTAAAGGCTGCAGTTTAAAGTAGTCCCATTACTTTGTCTCTCCAACCGCATTCCAACCAAAAAAAAAGGCATTTCAAGAAAGAATATTAATTAGTATATACAACAAAAGAAGGGAGAAGAAATAAAGGCTCTTTGCTAGATGCATCTAATCTACCATTCCACTACGAGGTTTTACTTATGTAATTTACAGAAAACTTGAGAACTTAAAAGGATTGTTGTGTAAATTATAAACGAAAAGAAATTCACAAGTGTTTCCATACAAGGGTTAGTATCTTTTAGGTCTAAAATTGCCTTACCAGGGAATAGGTCGAGTCACACATCAGCACCAGCACATCGATGGGGCTGGTATGATTTGCGACGCATATGCCAGACAATGGGCGATTCTCCTCATTATGGTATGTTATAACCGCAGAAATAGCACTGGACAAGACACCAAAGCATGTCCCCAGTACTAGATTCACGATAGCGCGCTTGGTTTGCCCGTCCTTCAGATAGCCCACAGCGGCCGTACACACTGTAAGCCATACTACCTAAGATGGCATAAAATATTGAAGTAACATTATGGTAATATTTCGAGAGCAGCATTGCATTCAATTAAATAGTGTGTTGCGGGGGAAAGTCTGCTGCAACTTTGCTGAAATACCTTAAAAGGGAACGAAACTCCTATAAAGTGGAAAAAAAACGCATTGGAAGCAAGAGTAGAACATTCCCAGGGTACCATAGACCCATGGACCAGCGATGTTCCCAACAACAGTCAGTACTAGTATCAACCCAAGAAAATATCTCAATAGATCAGTGCGGAAACTGACCAAATGTAGACGGCAGAGAAACAGCACCACTTTAGGAGTACTCAACGTAAAATAATTAACTAAAATTTTAGTAATAAATTAAATATATTCACTCTTCTTACCTGACTCTTAACTTTGCTAAGAAATAAACGGTGTGGCAATCAAAATGTAAATAAAGCTTAAAAGAACAGAATGCACAACTACGCAAAGACAATGACAAAAGCCAAGATACGAATACAGAAACATAGAATAATACACATAAAACTGAACTTATTTTAATTAAATTCATGCATGAATTCTCGTCTCGAATCGTTTTTCGTCGCTTTTCCCAGGCGCATATTAGTTAGGTCTTAACTAGTCACCAGGTATAATTAATGATGAAATTATCGTTAGATAAGAGGCCCGTGGGGGTTATCAAAACGTACATATACTGGTACATTCCAGGCCTGTATTACTACCGCTTAATGAATATATATATGAGAGAGATACATATGTATGAGAGAGAGCTACGTTCTGCAAATCCATATATACGAGTAGAACTCGTATCCCAGGGAGAGACGGAAGGTCAGTTTGTCTGCTAAGAATGGGATTGAGATTGAGAATTGAGATTGAGTGCTTGTTACAAAAGATATGAATGTACCATTGAAGAGATGGACGAGAGTTCGGGGTCACATGCATGAATTATACAATTAAAATCAATCCATTTTTATATGTAGCAGTAAATAAAAAACTTCTTTCTCACCAAAGAAAAGGTACGGTCTGTCGATAATATTGCCACGTCCAATGGAGAGGTATGATTTGCTACACAAAACCCGGATCTGGTGGGCCTGTATTGTTTATTATGAAACTTAATAAGGGATGACAGAGAACTTGCTATAAGACGGAACGTAATCTTAAACGATAAGTCCGCTAAGAGGAGCCGCAAAAATCGATTGGGTATTAAAGCCACAATAGAGTTTGTTAAAACTGCAAATAAAACCTAGGAATCAAATATTTGTATTAGAGAAATGTTAAATAATAAATACAGGCACATAACACAAATAAACAAAATAGCAATATCAAACAAAATATCTTAAAATCAACATCTAAAGTATTGAAAATCGGCAAAAGGGATTACAATATTCTTTTACTCGTACTTTACGCAAGAAAGTTGAGAAAAACAAAGCCATTAATTATGCTACAAATAAATTCTTGGCACAAATAATAAGATCTTTATACAAAGTCAAACTAAATAAACATACAAATTTTCAAGAGACATACGAAGTGGTTGAGCGCAAAAACATTTCATTACAAGAATAAAATTTGGGAATTTTATTCTACTCAATTATAATACTTATACTCATAAAACGTTAGTTCTTGCACGACGCAGTTTTGTTTTCAAGAACTCCAGAAAGACCAAAGAGGTATAACGCATGGTAAAGGACTACCCACAGCGGTAGTCAGGCTTTTTGAACAACAGAAAATAGTTATAAGCGAAACTCGAGTCGGGAATCAATTTGCGCGTCATGCACACGCCATGTTTATTGTTTCTTCCATTCTTGGGAATTTTTTTTTCGTAGCATTCGCTTGTGATTGTTTAAGTCGAACATAAACTTGCCACATCATGCACACTGTTTTTATGTATGCTCTTTTTCCAATTTGCTGGCATTCTCTTTTACAGCATTTGCTTGTGCGTCTCGAGCCGCCGAATGCACACCCAATGTATGCACATACTTATGTTGTTTTTTCTATGCTAGGGGATTCTATTTTACAGCGTGTCGGGCATCAATGTGCCATCATGTGGGAGCAAAGAGAGCAGTTAAAAGCAATCACGAGGCTACAGCCAGAGCCCACATTCCAACGATGTCACATTCGAAAAGGGTTCAACGTAAGCAATTCAATATTCGGATTTCACAAAAATAAAGCTTTTAATGTCATCCCTGAAGCCCAAAGAACTTTTAGCTCAATTCAAGGGATCTAAGGTCTATAGCCAAATGAAAATCCATTCCACATAAGTCATCATTTTTCCAGGTTTACCAATCATAAATGGATCAAACTATTCTCATATAGGTTTCCAAAAGACGGATGCCTAAATTAACAACTATGTATACGTGTAAAACATTGGAACCAGAGTAATCTGTTTTACCTGGCGGAAGGGTGCATTGCACAAGGTAAGGCATACTTAAATGGTAACTGTTTTAACTGGTCGCTTTGCGTCTATTCCCTTGCATAAGAGTAGTTATACCACCACTTGATGTTTGCCAATCAAATTTTCGAATATCCTATAGGGCAAGGGAATCCCAACAACTTTTCAAGTAGTTGTTGTATAGCAAACAGAAGGATAACAATTTATACTTACACCAACAAAGCAAACTAGTACACGCAATGGCATCAAAAATACATATCGGATTAAAAATCCAACCATCCAAATGAGCGTTATCTTCCAGGATATGAATTCGTGGTGCCTGTTGGTGCGTGTGAGCATGTTCCAGCTCTTCAGCTCCTCCGCCTCGAAACGGGACGTTACATCATCTTCAATTATGGACTCCACTCCCGACTTCAGATAGTCCAGACATTTTTCAAAATCAAAGACAATTTCTTCCTGAAGTAATACAAGAATTAAGATAAATATATGTCGTCCAGGCGATGGTTATCGTTATCATAGACTAGATGGATGACCTTCCGTACCTTTTTTGAGGACACTGGCTTCTCTGGAGCAGGCTCTTGCGGTTGTGGAAGCAGCACGGCATCTCTGGTAATTAATGTTGTTCCATTTGTACTTTCCTTGGAATCGGCATTATCGACGAACTCCTCTGAATGCTTATCGTCAGTCTTAAAATTATTTTGTTGATGTTCTTTGGATGCTGTCTCTATGCTTACGCGACCATACTGAAAGTATAATAATAAAAAAAAACAAAACAATACATTAGTAATACATGTGTCTGGGCACAGTTTCGAATTGAAAAATGTTAAGAGTTATGAAAGCACAAGGAAACAGGTTGATAATAATAGTTCTTCCGACTGGCTGACCGACCGATCATAAAGATAAGCCCGTAGCAACTCTTATATGAGCATGTGGGTCGGTGGGTAGGCTGAAGGAAAAAGCTGTCCAGTTTCATAATTAGTCTGAACACAGCCGGAACGCTTTGAAATTGCAATAAAATAACACCCTTTAGCATAGGTATGTTTGCATGTACGGGTACGTTCCGTTCGGCTGTGCGTATCAATCAATGTATGCATGTACTTTAGGCTGCTGACTATATTTATGGACTTTGGAATAGCTAACTATCAGTTGGCCATGACAGGCCAATCAACTGAAGGTTCGACAACGAAATTAATGTCTGTTAAATATGTCGATGGGTGGGTGGCTGTCACAGACACAGCAAATTTACCTCAAATATCCTTAAAAGAAGATTCACATATGCCCTCCGGACGCCGATGGATTTGTTGATTGCTGATATGAATATCAGAAATGATATGAATCCAGCAAAAGGTATCCACAATATGTTAAGTATTTCGAAGATCATTTTACATTTGCTTGATTTTACATTAATTTATTAGAAGAGACTTAAAATATTAAGAAATGTCTGAACCCTTGTCTGTCTTTATATACAATCAGTTTCGATATCGATTGTGCGGCAATCGAGTGTTTACAATCACAGAATACCGATACTTTCTGACACTTTTTTTTCTGTTCACTGTGATGCGACTAATTTTATATATTTATAGCAATATGACACTGGACTTAGCCAATTTTGGAGCCTAGAGAGGGATAACATGAGAGACAAAATGCAACATTATTGTTCGTAGACATGTCTAATGGCTCTCAGTCGAACAACTGACTGATACAAAATTATGTTTTACTAGTTTAATCAGGTGTGCGTGGCGGAAAACTTAAATAATTTCTGCCGCTGCGCCTTGCACTGGACTAAAAAAGCAATTTAACACATATATATATTTCTCTCTACCTCTATCTGTCTTAGCAAAGCCTACACCATGTCAAGACAAATTGTTCGTTGAAAGTATAATTTTGCAGCTCCACTGCTAAACTACCCCACGACCCACAAGCGGATATTCCATATTTACGTTAATAACTACTGATGCCTTTGCAGCACAACCATATTAATATAGTAGACCGGAAAAGACATATTTTTCATAAATATTTTAATGTTCATTTTAACTAGACTTAATTTTCACATATGCGGTCACATTGCTGTGTGGTATCGATACATAAAATGAAGTAATCGAATAATAGTGTTGACAAAGCGTGCTGGATGGTGTTCCCGAAGTGTGTTTGTTTTATGTTGGCAGTTCCATTGAATTATTATTATTACTATTATTTATTGCAACGAAGTTTTTTGAACAATTTACATTTACATTTGCCTATAATGACGGAGTGATACATGTATTATATGGATAAACATATATATGCGCATACATGATTGAAAATAATTTTAATTAGTTACATTTGTATACAATAAGTGTTCTTTTTATGTTAACGACAATGTCTACAAGCAATACAAACAACATAATCGAGAAAGAAATCGACGATGAGGATATGCTCTCGCCCATTAAGTCGTCCAACAATCTGGTTGTGCGCGTAAATCAAGATACAGATGATAATTTGCAGGCCTTATTCGATAGCGTGTTGAATCCCGGAGATGCAAAACGCCCCTTACAGCTCCCCTTTCGCATGCGGAAGCTTCCCAATTCCTTTTTCACGCCCCCAGCCCCCTCGCACTCGCGAGCAAACAGTGCGGACTCCACATACGATGCAGGCTCCCAAACCAATATTAACAAAACTGCGCAGCCCGTGGACGTGCAGCAGCCAGCCATCTCACAGATCCAGCCATCACAACAAAGCCGCCTGGCGATACATCACTTTCGCGCTCGCAGCAGCCCAGCCTCATTGCAGCAGAACTACAACGTGCGCTCCAGGAGCGAGGCCAATCCGGGAACCAGCAGCCAAGGTCCTTCGTATCCCGAGAACAGTGCCGAGTTTCCGAACAGTGCTGCCAACAATATTGAGCTAGATGGCATGAATACCTGCATGGGGGGCCAGGACATGCCCATGTCCACGCAAACAGTGCATAAAAAGCAGCGTTCTTACGATGTGGTAAGCCCCATCCAGTTGCAAAGCCAACTGGGAGCATTGCCACCAGGTTGGGAGCAGGCAAAAACTAATGATGGCCAGATTTATTACTTGAAGTAAGTAATCACATATACATACATATGTACGTATGTGTTGAATGTATGTATCTAAGAGACTTTGTATCACGGGATACATATCCAAACATACATATGTAGTTGTATCTGTTTTATAATTGAAAGGGCCCGTTCTTGATTTAATTGTAAACGTTTTAAGCGCATAAGCATATAATTCATAAAAATCTGATTTACTTTCAGTCATACAACAAAATCGACGCAATGGGAAGATCCAAGAATTCAATATCGCCAACAGCAGCAACGACTAATGGCTGAAAGAATCAAGCAAAGCGGTAGGTCTTTAATAAGTACTTGAATCGGGGCTAGAAATGTGTACTGATGCTTCCGTTTAATTCCGAACCGTTTGATCTCACTAACCCTCACTAAAGAAGGAAAGGGCAGTTGGCAGCTTAGTAAAAAACCGAAAATGATTCAACCTTCGAAACAGTTTAGATACTATGTATATGGGAACTTTCTGTTAGTAACCCTGATCATTCATGTATACAACTTTCCATGAAGATTTCCATAAGAAATCTTTATCTACACAATCCTCTGAATCCTAGAAAAAATTCTGCAGTGGATTCTAAGTGAGCGTTAGCAGAGAGATTTGGTAGAGTCACTTGAAAGATTTGCGAGATGCGATGCGGTTCTCGAAAGAGAAGTCCCAATCTTAGATCTTAGAGCGGGTGTTCTTTGGTGTATCCGCCCCATTTTTACATTTTCCGAATCGAATTATATTTTCCCCAATTAACACGCGTACTTATTTCTTTTAAAAAGACGCCAGGCCAATTCCAATTCCAAATCGAATTCCGCTTTTGTTTTGCTTTTAATTTATTTTGGTTTGTAATACATTGTTTTTGTTTAATAGATGTTTTGCAAACTACAAAACAAACTACCACATCGACTATTGCTAACAGCTTGGGTCCACTGCCGGATGGTTGGGAACAGGCAGTTACTGAGTCCGGAGATATATATTTTATAAATCACATTGATCGAACGACTTCATGGATTGATCCCAGAATGCGTAAGTCTTGTTCCACCATAACCACACTAGCGTAAACCATAGGGAATTGAATATGCTCGTCCAAGTCCAAGTGCAAGTGATCTGTTTCGCTATCAGTTATCTATCTCAAGATAACAATTGATATCGTGGATCTTCTGTGTGGGGTTTTTGTGGGCTCTCAAGGCTCTTTTGTGCGGATTTTTGAGACAGTTTGGAAGTGAATTAAAGCTGATTAGGTTGAATAAACAATACAATACATACATACATATGGATTCGAACAAACGTTTATATTAATACCTGTTTCCCCCCCATCTGTTTTTCTCTTTCCAGAATCTGGACTTACTGGGCTTGACTGCCCAGATAACTTAGTGTCATCCCTACAGGTACGTAACTGATCTATCAGAGAGTTCTTGGCACTATAGTATGTATATTTTCTGTGTATTTTTCAGATTGAAGATAATATATGCACTAATTTGTTCAACGACGCACAGACCATTGTGAATCCGCCGTCTTCCCACAAACCAGACGATTTGGAATGGTATAAAATAAACTAATTCACATGTATACAAACTGTATTAGACCTAAAAGTTTTATATTTTGTATTATTCTAAATTAAATATTTTTCAAATTTTATAGTATTTATTTCTATACACATTATTGAAGTTTCTATGTGTGTGTGAGTGCTTGTGGTGTGTGTTCATTAAAAATAAACGTATAAAACTATAAGCTCTGCTATGCTCCATACCCCAATGATTGCAGAACATGTTTGCCAGATGCATCAGTTGGAAGTTTAAAAACATTACTAAGCCATTTACAATGGCTGGCGGTGGCACGTCTTCGGATTGTCGATCGCACAGATTTGATTATGGTTGAGTTGACCATAGGCGTGGTCAGCAGTAGATGACTCATTTCGAAGAATGCATAGCCCACCTCTCTTTTGAGACACAACTTGTAGCACAATAAATTGTGTGATGTGGGAGCTAGCACCATGTAATCGATCCGTAATGCTGTCTAAAATGTTCTATATGCAGGATCTGGCAGGCCATCAAGATTAATGATGAGTTAAAATTCAGTTGGGCGTCGAGGAAGCCTATCTATTGGAGCTGAAAAACTTGTTCATACAATGAACAGTCACAGTTGCAGTTCCTCTTCAGTTTCCTCAGCCTTTTTTCAATAATTGTTAAAACAACGCACAACATGTTCGTTATCTATTAAATATTAGTACTTTTATTTTTAACTATAATAATCTTATAATCTTACAAAATTTCTATAAAAGCGTACAACAACAGTAATTCTTTTTTTGCCGATTCTCTTGCGTCGAATTCATTTCGCGAACAATGGTTGCGAATACTTCATTAACGTTTATCCGATCCTTTGCTGATGCTTCGATAAATGGGCAGTCCCACAGCTGTGCCAAGGCATTACCTAAAAAATAAGTTCAATTCAATTAAATTAGGAATCGTTGAATGGACGGAGAGGCTGCTAATGCACACAACTATGAGACTATTTATTCAAGAAGGGAGTTTTGCAAAGAAAAAGGAAAAGGGATGGATGAGAGTGAGCATGGATAATTGAATATTGATTGGAATATTTCTTCGATGTTCCAGGAGTAGGAGTCTGCTGCATCTTTTTGTTCTGTCTCAACGTGCAATTCGTTTATGGAACTTATGTACGTCTATACGTACATATTCTTAGAGGCCATTTTTTGACGCTCATCGGATTATCAAGTTATCAATTTAGATGACTAGGTCTGGGGAATAAGCAGGGGCTCTTAATGATTTAGTTCAATTTGTAAGCTTACCTTCAGCGGTGGATACCTCTCTTTGGCAATCTAAATCAAATTTATTCGCGACTAGTAGGATGGGTGCTGGCTGACTTCCCTTTACACGAGTGATCACATTTTTCATACTAGAAATATCCTGTGGGGCAAGCAACAAAGGAAGAGATAAGTATGAGAAACACTCTACTTAAAGCTGATATAAAGCTATAAATACCTGAAATGTTTGATGGTTCGTAAGTGAATACATTACAATAAAGCCATGTCCATTCTTGATATAGAGATCTCTCATGGAGGCGAATTGCTCTGTTCCTGCTGTGTCCAATATTTCCAAAACACAAGGCGAGCTATCTACCTGTAAGTAATAGTAATATATGCATATAATTAAACTGATGTAACTTTATTTATTAATTACTATCATAGCGCACTAGACTCGTTTTCAATATAAATTTCAATAAATTAAAATTGCGCAGATGCAATGACAAAGTACACACAAAAATGCTTTAAACGCCTTCAAAGGTGGTTTTGGCTGGGAATAGTACGTGCCAATCTAGTAGTACGGGTTCGGTCTTGTAATTTTATGGGATATGTTCTATATCGTCATTGAATACAACGGGGTTCTTCCACCTATTAAGGGTTATTTTTACGCCCACCCTGTCTGTGGAAAACGTCTCCTCCCTACACCCTCCTGCCAAAGGAAAAGTTAAGACAATATGTATGAAATATGTACTTTGTATGTACTGTGTACGTGCGTCTAGTATTTCTTTTCCTAGCATCCGGACAATATTTTAAGAGGAATGACATGCTGGCGAAATCTTAGGCGCATAAATAAATACATAAATATAAATGTCTTATGGATAATATATTGTGAATCGACGACATAAATTGATGTTGAAATCGGCTTTTAAACCCTGTCCTCTCGTTTCAACACCCACGCCTACGAGTATGCATAAATGTGCACATATGCATGTAAATACATATGTACATACACACCCGTGGGCACGGTGGGCACATGAATTACATAGTATGTATGTACGGTGTTTACATACATATGTCTGCATATATACCTATATTTGAACATTTAAAGGAACATATAAATATACATATATGCATATATTCTCGCATTAAGACATACAAACATACGTATACATATTTATATATGTATGTACATACATATATATTTGAGCAGACGTACATATATATATGCATGCCTTTTGTGATTACGCATATGTATGTATGTACAGTACATATCATGAGCGTGTGGGAGTGTGTGTGTGTGTGTGTTTCATCTACAAATTGATTATGTCTGCTGCTTTGATATCCATATGAACATTTACGTACCTCTATTTCCTTGCGATAGAAGTCCTCAATTGTAGGATCATACTTTTCAATGAAGCATCCCGAAACAAATTGAACGGTAAGGGCCGATTTACCCACTCCGCCAGATCCGAGCACAACAACTTTGAATTCGCGCATATTTAATCGAGTTTTTGTTTATTAGATGCGAATAATATGGATGAAATGTATGTTCTGTTTATACTGTGCACTATTTATGTATATGCTATTTAAGTTAAAAACAGTTTACAAAGCAAGATACTTCTGGTGGATTGGCATTGCGTGTTAATGCATTTACTGCATGAATACGTTGTCGAATTGTCGTTCACTGTTTCATAATCCTTACAATGGATTGTATTTTATATTTATCAAACACATATTATATTATAAAATATAATGAAATGATAATTGATAAATGATGACACTGACACTTATTGAAAATGGAACGATGCATATGTATGGAGGAAATGAAATAATGGTTTTAGAACAAAATTTCTTAGGGCAGTAGCAAACGATGGTGTGCCCAGATTTGCGCATGCCCACGATGGTCATAACTTTGCTTGGTTGGTTTTACTTGAAATTAAATAAAAATGTGTTTGAAAATATTTTTACACAAATTGTATACGAATAGATTCTATCCAATAAAATTAAAGATATTATATACCATAAATTTGTAGAAAATAATGTGTGTGTCTAGTATATTTGGGCCAAAAATGTTGGTTTGAACGCCTATTTCATTTCATTTTGTGTCATTTTGTAGAACAAGATATATGGAATATCGTTGCATTTTTTATTTAAAACATTTTTTTCATGAAGAGCTGTTTAGTATGATCTATATTTTTAATGCATTATTTAATACTTGTTTTTCATAATAGATATGTCATTTGAACGAGGAAACATAAAATCTTATAAAAGCGTCGAAGGGAAACCCAGCTGCAAGAGTAGTGTTTACCGTTGATCACACTGTGCCGCTTGCAAAAAATTTAATTATTTTTGTAATTATAATTTTTCAACTAGTTCCCATCTTTTATTTGAAGCCTACCAGGGTTAAACTGCTCAGGCAGCCTAGTTTTACTTATATAATTAATTCCGTAGAAGAAATACATTTCTTATAAGGGCAAGCTGAAAAATATTCGTTGCAGGATTAGCGGCTTTTATTGTGTCAACGAAGCATGGTTTTATCTCCATATTGAATAATAATTTATAATCATGCAGGCTCCAGTTTTCACATTCGCAAAAAATTTCAGATTTACTTTTGAAAACCTTAAGTTAGGCGGAATCGCCTAACGTAAAACGCAAAAAATTTTCGTTTTCAAAACAGTAACATGTTCCTCGCCTAAATAAAAAGTAATCTGCATTTTATACAACAAAAATAATCTTAATTACAAACCCGACAAAATGAATACATTATTGATGCATTGCCATGAATTAAACACTATTATTAGTCTAATAGAGCTTTTGCCCCCTTTATGTATATTTTTTTTACACCAACCTCAAAATTGGTCTGTGCAACAACAAATATTAAATTCATCAGTACAGCTGTGGCACACTGATTTGGTTATCGATTAATCTCTTTTAAACATAACAGAGTCCTTTTATATGAGCTGCCACTAGCGCGTGGGTATAACAGCAGAAATTTTTGAGCTAAGCAAACTACACTTTTGGTGAATCTCGGAGCGCCTTACAATGAAAAGTATGACCTTTGGCTGAAAACGTAAAACGCAAAAGTAAGTGAAATGCCTCAATATATAAATTTCATGTAATCGGCCTTCATTCAGTCATGTACTCAGACTTCGCTGTCGAAAATGTCATTCGCTATATTTGTTTATATTTATATAAAGCTTTATTTTGCTAGCGGCAGGGTGGGACCAGTTTTACAGTGCTCAGTCAGCTGTTTTTTGTTTACTAATGAATTACTAATTAATATATTGTGGTGTGGAATTGGTGGCTTTTGCTGTGTCACATAGGAAGACGATTAACTGAGTTAACGCAGGATATATTTGGGGTTCAAAATGTTCTTTATCTCAATATATTTAAATAACATTAATTAATTAAATATTCCTTTAATTCGGCCTTCATTTGACTACCTTAACTATGTTGATTCAACCTATCTCTACTTTAGTCAGCTAAAATGTTCGATAGAGAACATTAGGGATGACTTCAAATAACTTATTTCCACATGGATTGCTTTATTGCGTTTTGCCTAAGAAGCATATTTTTGTACACTTAATATATGTATATATAAGTAACACTATCAAGCAAGGCTTTTTACTTACACAAAAAATTTTCAAAACGGAAAGTATGTTGCTCCCGCACGGCAACATATTTCTCGCCTTAAATAAAAGTAAACTGCTTTTTAAACAACAAACCGAATCTTAATATCAAATGGAAAACAATAGATGACTTATTGATGCCTTGCCAAGAATTTGACGCCATTACCAGTGCAATTGCCCTTTTTATAAATAATTTTTAACTAACCTCAAAATGTTTCTGTAAAATTTTGTCTGTGCAACAACACATAGTTAACACGTCCGAAAAGCTATCACAGGCCGGTTTGGATATCGATAAATCAGTGCTACACATAACAGAGGCCTTTAAATATGAGCTGGCACTAACGCATGGGTATAACAGAACTAAATTTTGTGCTTAACTGTACAGGAGTAAATAAATCTGACTTTTGCTGATTCCAGAGCGCCTGAAAACGATAAGTATAACTTTATCTGAAAAGCAAAACGCAAAGTGAAAGTGAAAACTGGAGCCTGCCTGTTTGTGTTAATTTGGCGAAATAAGTAGAGATATCTATAAAATCCATAAAACAAATATTTACTTGAAGATAATCGTAAAATTAAGTAAGAAATTTTCGTGCACGCTTTGGCCATAAGTAGTACATATATAGGAGGAAAACATGCATGGGTTTCTTGATGTGCGATAGTTCTTTATATTTTATATTTTTTATATATTTTATATTTATATTACGTCTACAAAAATACAGCTGAAAATAGTAAATAAATAACTGCCCTTTATTTGGCGAAAAATTAAACTTGTCAATTTACTAGGACTATATTAAATAGAAAAAGGAAAAAAAAGATCAATGAAAGTGGAATAAGTCCGAGAAAAATGTATTAGGCAATCTTTGGGGCGATAAATAGAAAGACTTGCGTCAGTTTCGTAAACACCCACATCTGGAAAGAAATTAAAGTGGAAACTGGCCTAAATTGCTTCCTTGACATCAAACTGTGTTGAGCGCATATTTTATATTTGGGCTCCGACATAGCTTGATACAACTCCCACTCCTCCCTCTGAGGTTGGATCGTATCTATATTATAGCGGTAATGGAGGCAACAATTTCCAGGGGGTGAAACAAATGTCTCTAGCACTATCTCTCTCTCCAACTTACTCTTTTTCCTGCTCTTCATCGATAGTTCTTTTCTACACAGTAAGTTTGACCTTACTGCACTCCAGAAACCAACTCTTGAGAAAAATAGTCAGATAAAGTGTCGAATAGACTGTTATCCGAATGTTCTAGTAAAATATCGATAGAGGGTTAAGATAAAAGTTATTAAATGAAACATTTCTGCATGGAAAAAAGCTTGTTTCTGGCATTTTTATGGTGTGCATATATTTAAGTTTTCTTATCGGTAAGCCTAATATTGATATTCATGATCTTAAGCTAAAAGTATATGTAATATCTTCCCGTAAGAACTATATGCTTTAATTTGAATTTTAATTATTGAAACCATAGATTAAATTCATACCAATAAATAATAGGTTGTCTGGTCTGTAACAGTTGTGCGTGTTGGAGAACATAGTTTTTTACATAAATACGGCCACAGCCCTTCTGCAATGTGGAGGCTGGTAGCTAATTTAGCGTTTTGTCTCTCATTCGTGAAATATATGCATTTAGGCAATAAAATAATAATTATTGTTTTTCTTGTATCTTAAAATCACAGCGTATAAAATATATATTAGCCAATATCTCTTCACAGCTTATATAATTAAAGTTCTTCTTTTACCACCGTTCCGAAATTTTAGTATCGCTAACCCCTATTAGTGTTCTTCGATGAATACATGCGAGTATCGGTGGTTGCGCACCACTACCCTTTCCTTCTTTCCGGTGTGGCTCGTTGAATCGGTCAGACAAAATGGTACGTAATCAAAGAGATTCTTTGAAATCATAACATTTTATGTAAATGTTCAATTACTAAAACGAATGTACTGTCTTTCTTCACTAGGCTGCACATAAATCGTTCAGAATAAAGCAGAAATTGGCTAAGAAGCTGAAGCAGAACAGGTCGGTTCCGCAATGGGTTCGCCTACGTACTGGCAACACAATCCGGTAAGTAATGCTAATATTTTATTTTATTTTATTTGTGTGCTGTGTCTTTCTTCTTTGGCGGGTCTTTCCTATTAAATCACCTAAATTGTGCCAACAAACTAATTTGTGCGCAACGACCGTCATGTTTTGTAGAACTGTTCATGTAAATTGTATTCCTTATGTGGATATTCTGTTTTTTATGTATTCATCAAATTGCTAATCCGAGATATACAAATTTTAACGCGTTGTCACGTGAATTTTTGTGTAACTCGATTGTGATAACACTGAAGTGATAGTTTTGCCGCCACGGCTGAGACTAAAACTAAAACAAAACGTCTGGCTGCACCTTGATAGTAGGCACACACAAAATATAAAACTCTTTCCAAAATTCTAAAATAGACAATATGATTATTAATATTCATTCAACTTTTATTTCTAGGTACAACGCTAAGCGTCGTCACTGGAGGCGCACCAAGTTGAAGCTGTAAGCAGCTGATGATTGAAGACGCATTTAATCCTGTGGAAATGCTAAATATCTTTTCAAGAACATAAAATAAAGATTCGTTACCGAATTTCGGATTAAATACATCGTTTGATTTATGATACAGATGGATATGGGATGTCCGCAAATCGAGCGGACTACCGGCCACAGCTGATTCAATAGCTTTCTTTTCAGCCACTAAGCTAACTGCCTTGCTACGAATACTGCCCGCTGACAATACAGCTATAAACTTCGATTGATGTTTAATAATATGTAAATGTTTTGGCTAAAGTGTCTGTGGCTTTAAGTATTAGCCAAGTAAATGGAAATGTACATACAACTTAACTAGGTTTGTCCTGTGGGATTCTGATGTTTTAGTGAAGCTGAAGGAAATATAGCGTTTGTTACGCAGCCCGATATAAGTCAATTCCATAAATCAAACCCAGTGGTGCAGTCTAAAAAAATCCCCATTATTGCTCATTAATTGCCCACTGTACCAAACATTATCATATATGTAGTACCTTAGCTTTCACATAGCAGCAGCCTGTGCAGCCGTTATTTCGTGTCATCATTTCGCCGTCTTGGAAGTCTTCAATATTACAGCGTCTTAGATCGATCTAAGCCTTCTTGAACTTGATCTACATAAAAGCCCAACTGGAACATTTCGCTGTCGTTATACATATCTGGAAATCTTTCGCTACCGTTCGACTGCTTTTCGTAGAAGTTTCTGAAAAGCTACTAGTTGGCTCACTTTGCTATAGATCCCAGTCTGAGCTGATTTTAAACATTTATTTTCACTCAAGTCACGACAATGCTCACTGACATTCTCCATATACTGAAAAGAACCCATTCAGAATCTAATCCTCGACGAAAGCTCTTCTATTTTGGAATTCGTTCAATTTGTTTGTCACTGTGAGCACTATTTAGACGAAGTAAATGAATCCCAGGGTATTTCAATTATTACGAGTGTAACACAAACGATTTATTTAGTCTTTGTCAAAAAGAAATCGTTTATTCTGCGGGGACCTCGAGCGAGCCGTCATTGAGCTCGTCAATAACATCATGGGGATGTTTGCCATCGACAGTGCATCCAACGCTCTGGGCGGTGCCCAGGACTTCTTTGCATGTTCCTTTCAGTTCACGGGCCATCGACCTGGGCCTCATTGTACGTGCAATGGCCAAGATATCTTCAAAAGCGACGTTGCCACTGTGCTTAACTGGAATGAAAGATGAATTTAATAAACGGATACTGCATTGGATTGTGGAAAACACCCAGAACTATATACTTACTATTCTTTTGCTTCTTGCGATCACGTGGAGGTTCCTTCAAAGCCTTGATGATCAGCGATGCAGCCGATGGAACCACGGAGATGGTTGCCTGTCTGTTCTGAATTGTCAGGCACACGGTGATCTTCAGACCTTTCCAGTCGGAGGTAGCCTTGGCAATATCATCACCCACTTTTTTGGGGGACTGAAGTCATTTTGTTAAGACCGTTCCGGCAGGTAAACAAATCACATATGTACTCACCAGACCAAGAGGACCGATTTTGGGGGCAAGGGAAGACGTAGCTCCAACTTCGCCACCCACGCATCGCATGTACACTGAAATATGAAAGTAACACAGCATTTTTAATTGACATTTTGTATGTACATTAGTATGCACAAATTCATGTATATTTATTCGAGTAATTTTGTAAATAGATTTACAAAGAATACTTAAACGTACCCAATTTTACTTCCGTAGGATCAAATTTGGGAGGCATTGTTGTATCGTGGCTCAAAAGGCTGCTGAAATGTTAAGATTACATTAAAATTAAACGATTTCTTTATAGACATATTAGCTCTGTACTGTACCGCAAAAAGACACACAGAAAAAGAAAGAAGAAGCTTATCGATTTCCGGTTAGTGTGTGTTATTACCACCTATCGTACAGACTTATCGAAAATAAAAATAATAAAAATAGTGAACTTTACTATCGAATGGAACGTGGAAGTGAAACTAATTACAAAACATATGTGGGCGTTTTCTGTATAAATAGGCAATTAATTTCGTTGTAATTTATTTATTTAAGGCCTGTCTCCAGCACCGTGAAAAATCCCTGCCAGGGATTTGCTATATATTCCGTCAGGGTGTGGAAAATAGCTTAAAACAGGGTTGAAGAATCTGCTGTGTTTTGTAAACAGTGCCAATTGTAAAATTCAACTAAAATTTAAAACGGAAAAAAATACACTCTTATGAATTGATTGTGTTGGTGGCGGCATATATTACTGCAAAACAAAGAAGAATAATTTTCATCTCTCATTTTGGTTTTGCGCACAGTTTTTGCCTACATCTTTCACCATTCACTTCAGGAATAATGGTTGAACATATATTCCTGAGCTCTCAGTCCACACACGGTCCCGATAGGCAACTATCGATATAAAGATTCCGCTCGTGTTGTTGGATATATGCTGTTACGTTGATAGGGTCACTCTAAAGAAAAGCGTGTCTGCACAGGGATGGTCACTCTGTTCTTTGTTGATGTTTACATACAAACATACCGTTCCTGTATACATATGCATACATACATACCTACCATGTTTTCTTTGCTATTAGAAAAGTACAAGTATGTACTTACTTGTATTTATGCTTATTTCTTATATATGTTCATATATGCGTTTATCTTACGTTTAACCTTTCTGTGGCCCTGTAGGTCTGTGGTGTGCATAGATTTCGGCCCAAGCTATCTATATACATATGTACGTTTAGGCGGTACTCCAGCATTGTATTGATCAAAATATTCTGCGTCTACTCTTCCACAGTTTCCTCTTCGTCACGACCTACCCTCACGAAGAAATTTAACACCGAATCAGCAATGTATATGCCTACGTTCATATGTATGCCTGTTTATATTGCCGGCCGGTAGCCGGCTGTAGACAATTTCAAATGTTTTTGGCAAGAAATCAGACGTGACTTTGTGTGTACATATGTCCCTCAGATATATTTCCTCTTATTCAATCGTTTGATTTTAATATACAACTAAAATTCATACAGCTTGGCGATAATTCATAATAACCGAATTTCCCAAAAAATATCTTAAATAGCATAATATCGTCTACATGTGTATGAAAGAAAGTTGTAAAGGTAAAAGATAGCCAAGTCCTCATTAAGATTAAAACTGTAGCAATTGATGTTGACGTTTAGGTAAAAAATTTTATTGGCAAACGTTTATTTTGTTACTTAGTTATTCAAACATGGATGCTTCGAGTTTCTGTTTTATTTATTACGATCTTCAGAACCAGATTTAAGATGTAGAGCCAACTAGCCTATAACAGCATCTTTGAATAAATTTGCTTCAGATGTAAATGCAACAGAAATTAACGGCAACACGTTTTGTTTATTTGTCCAGAGCCGTATTGTTCTTAGTTGCAATAACGCACTCCTCTCCACATGCTTTAAGCACAGTGCACTGTAAAAAGGATAAATTAATAAATATTAACAAATGCCATTGGGTGAAAGTGTCGAGAGTATCTTACCAGTAACTCCTTGCCATTATCAAAATCAGCACGTAATGATTCGCCAATCTCACCATCTGGAACCTTCAAGTCTTCACGCAAATCGCCGCCGTCCGACATTAGGGTCAGGAAGTTGTCGTCACTAACGGCAATCAACTGGAAGTCTTCACGTTTAACATGGGGGACATCCATGTTATGAGTAGATGGGCAAATATCCTCATATCTGTAATTGGAAGCAATAAAATAAAAGTGTGTTAATTAATTGCAATCATCATTTAAACTCAAAATGCAATATGTGTTGGTTCGAACGACGCTTTCAATTTGGTTTCTTCCTTTAGAGGTTTCGAGATAATTTTGAGATAAGATTATCACGCCATATACTCAGAACGCTTGAATTATACATTAAACGTACATACTATATACATCTATGTATGTATGTACGACCGAGCAAAATTGTTAAGAAAACGTTGGTTTCGCGTTAAATGAAGCATGTATGGTATACGCCTTTATTCTTTGGTGTTCCACAGAAAACATACTTACTTCTTGTTGGAGAAAATATCAATTCCAACCATATGAACTTTAGCATGTCCGTGCTTTCCGGTTTTGGATGTAGACATCTCGACGATTTTGCATGGCCTCGACTTCAACATAACAAATCCGTTTTTGCGTAGGGCCGAACATTGCATCGGATAAGTGGTCGATGCTCCGGAATCGGTAGTCTCAAAATGATCGTCTAAGTCTGTCATATCTGCCACGACACAAGAATGTATTGATTTAGTTAATTTATTTTTACCAGCGCCGCACAAGGGCACTGCAGTACATTCACATGTATATATCCATTCATAAATTTGCAAGTTCATTGGCATCTGTATGTATGATACATACATATACATATGCCCAAGCGTATGTAAATACATGTCTGCATATGTATATTCCGAAATAGATATGTACGCACACACTTAATTTAAAATTAGCAAATTACAATGCAATGTTCCGTTATTTACGTTGCTATAATTGTTGAGACATATGCGAATGCAAGGGCCTGATCATTTTGTGTACTCAAGATATGTACAGACATATCTGTGTATGTCTGTATGTACACACTTTCTTCCACATATAATTGCACATGAATGCAGTCATAGGTTAATTTTATTGCGGACAACATTTCAGCATTTCAAGTGCAGAAAAAGGGGGTTAAAACATTTATCAAGTATGCCGAATGAATTTGCAAATTTGCAAGCCGCAAATTTATAAAAATAGCACACCTACTTGTGAATCAAGCGACTGTTCCAACCGAAGATGTAAAACGAAAGAACCCTGCTATCGAATGAGACTCACGTTTTGTTTCCGGTCGATAATCAACAAAAGAGGCACCACTCTGAAATTTTCGCAATGCGCGCAACCGATAGGTAGTCATTTGTTTGGAACGATGAAACTAAGACAGGGTAAGAAAATTGTAATTCGAATTGACGATAGTTTGTGAAATAATTTAATGCGGCAGCCATTTGATGTCGTTAGAACCATAATAACCTATAATAAAAATCACGTTTTAACTGTGCGAATAATATCTCTGTAATTTTATATATTGACATGTATAATTGTAACCTTAATATTTTGGTATAATCAGCTGTTTTCTCATTGTTGGTTAACTTTTTTAAAATAAACTTCAATTGGAAGGGACGGAATTGCACTATCATTTTCTATATAATTTATCTTTTTTCCGCTGTGTTGGTGTGACTTAAGCTTCAATATTGGTTGTTTCAGTTTAATGTTGCCGCTAGATATCGTCATAATGGCTGATTCTGTGACCAACGAGGCTTTGTCTTCCATTATTCCGTCTGCCCGTGACCTAAGACCGTTACTATTGGTCGATTTTGTTGAGTTGCGTGAGTTTGCGTGTTCGGTATCTTCAATAGTCTTGGACTTGCGCGTTGTAGTAGTTGAACGACGTTTAAACTTGCTGCTTTCACTTTCAATTGTAACATTTTTTGGCGGTTCGCTTAAAATAGTGGCATTCAAGTGTTTGCGTCTTTCAAAGATCCTGCTTGTCTTCTTATGCTTCAGTTTCAAATTACTTGTTTCCGTAGTGCTGCGTGGAATTTGAGCGGGTGTTTTTGTTGTTGACGGTATAATGCGGACTTTTCTAAAAGTCCGCTTTGGATGAGTCCTGACCGTCGCGGGGATCGTTGACGTTGAAGTTTCATTTAATTTATTATAATTCTCACTACTAGCTAATACGGTCTTATTTTTTCGGTATTTCGGGGTTTCTTTTGTGGTTAAAATAGTTTTGAAATTTAATTTAAGCGATTTAAATTTTCTCCGCATTATTGATGTCATATTTTTTCTAACTTTTTCCGGTTTTAGGATGGGCTTATACGATTCTGTTGTTATAATTGGCAGGAAAGACGGCTTTTCTTTGATTGTTTGCGCTGTTGTCCAATTTTTGTAGTTTTCAAACAGTAGTGCGAATTCGGTTGTTGTAGCGGTAGAGCTAATTGGATTCGCGCTGCTACTATACTCGACATCAACAACAGTCGTTGTTGGTTGTGTCGGGATCGGGGCTTCTGTGGTTGTTATCACCTTCGTTGTGGTCTGAAGAACTTCAGTCGTAGTGGCAGGGGGCATTTCAGTTGTTATAATAATTGGATTCATACGATACTCATTGGTTTCTTTTGCCGAGTTGTCTGCGAACCTATTTCCAGAGCGCGGTAGAATTACATCATCAAGGGTAAAGTAGGTGTGAGTAATGTAGTTTAAGTATGGAAGACTAGTTGTTGTAAGTGCTATATCGCTTGCCACGCTATTTAAGCTATATTCCTCTCTTGGGAAACGATTGAAAGAATTCTTGTAACAATCATCTGATGTTCTTGCACCTGTATTTGTTACACGTTCTTGGCACAAGGACGACCAGCCGTCATTTGAAAGGTTCGAAAAATTACTCTTATTCTCGACGCCTTTCAAAAATTCAGGATTGGGTATCGTTGCTGCCGTCAGAGGTACAAAGGGGTGGACAGGGCCCAGGCCCACCAGACCCTGGTTGTAGTCCGTTGTAGTTGCGGGCGTAGTTGGAATGGTGTTTAATTTTCTGAAGACGCTTCTAGAAGATCACATAGACGTAAATGATTAAAATGGTAAGAAATTAATCGTTTATTAATTAGTTACCTTTTAGAAGACCCATATAAATCATATGGTGTAGGAGAATGTACATATCTAGGCAGCATGTGGATATTACGCATAAAGTTTTTTAGGCGCATTTTTCCAACTAAAATTGGAGTCCTGGCATTGTACCAATAGAATTTTCTCAAAGAATTTGGCTGCTGTCTATATAACATGTATGGTGGATCTACAGGCCACATCTAAAAATAAATTGTAGTTCATTAAAAAGTTTTCGTGCCCTTGAATACATGTGTTGAGTTCATACCTGTCTACTTGGTGCAATGTAGGTAGAAGATGCATTTATGTTAACTAGAACATAAGCGATTCCTGATGGAATATAAACCAATTTAAGTAAAAGTATCCACAGATGTTAGGTTCTTAGCATCTCTTACCTATTGTCATGTAAATGACAACAATATCGCCTTTCACTTTCCCCAACATATTGGTCAATACCTTTTTACTGCAGACCGCAAAAGACTATGTGCACTAACTAGTAAGCTCAGTATCTGAAGCACTTCCATTTTGGCATCTTGTTGTGTCTATGTATGCAACAGCGTTAATACAAACGACTAAAATATTGTTAACCTGGTAATCATTCACTCTGAAAAAGTAAACTTTCATTACATTCGAATGATGGCCTCTTTCATAAATTTTGTAGACACTTAATGTGGTTTGATCAGCGGCTGGGTAAATCGATGTAAATAATTATGAATTGTTGATTGCTTATAAATAACCTTTTCACATATAATTCGATGTAAGTGATATTGTTATTGAAGTTTGCAGATGCGGTTTGGAATCTCTTATTTCTCAGCGTGTGGGCTATGAAGCATGAAAATACACGCTTGGGCAATCTCATCTTCTCTTTGGTAATTATTGCATCTCTGCATCATCCTTATACCCTTGCCTGGAGTACGTTAATTTAGACGATTAGGTGGTATGATTATTTGAATAAAAATATTGTACGTTAGAGGATTCACCACCTTCAACAGAAGTATGTATGGGCGTATTCGGGAAGCACACAATATACATGTAGAAGGACTAATTGCACCAAGCACGCAATGTAGGTGGTAATTATATCATTGCGTTTTGATATTGATTTCAACAAACTGCAAAGCAAAGCAAAGGAATAATGGCTGGAAAATATTGTAAAGCTGCTATAGGATTTCTACTAAGAAGCTTTTCCAACAGAAGGTACATATTTTTAGTTAAACAAATATACTTACAAAAGGTTGGCACTTAATCTCAAAAAATATTATTAATTAGAAAAGAGATACTTATTTTGACCATAACGAATCGATTAATTTTATTTAATTTCAGATTTTTTTGGATATGTGTGATCCTTCTTTCTGCTTGGAATATGGCAACGATTTTTATTCTTATGAAGAATAGATCTGATACAGATTCGACAAGCATTGGCATAACAACGTCATATATTAGCTGGATAAATACATTTCCGGCCGTTAGGTATATAACTTTGTTAAATGCCGGAGATACATATATATAAAAAAGTTCAATTAAATACCTTTCCTTTTTTAGCATATGCTTGTCAAAAAACAGGATTACAAAAGAGTTTTCGGAGGCTGTTAAACGTCGTGTTGACCAATCCCCTTCCTATACATACATAAGGACATTGTATGATTACCTCTTTATTAATCCGAATAACTTATACTTAAAACAAGAATATTGCAAGGAATTCAATTCGACCTGTGGTGTTGATATTTTAGATATGCGGAAAGAGGTACGATTCTTCATTTGCACAGATTTAATTGTCTATTAACTCACTCGTAATATTATACCATAGTTGCTTGCCAGCTCGTGTACAGAATTTATTGAAAAAATCTACTTCTCTGAAAAACCTCTGCCGAACTGCGAGGAAATATTTAAGTTTCACGAACTAGAAATGGGATATTGCTTTCTAGCCAACAATTTGATTGACTAGTAAGTACAAAGACAGCAAAGAGATCAAAGATATATCTTATCTTAATAAATTAATTAAATTGTAAAATGGTTTTAGTCAAAATATTGAAAAAATGCCTTTGGTATATTCTTCATTGGACGAATACCGGAATCTAAGATTAGTTCTACGAAGTGGCCTAATATATCGATACGATGTATGTGATATTTATAATTTAAAAACATATATATATTTAAAATAATCTTTTTAAGCTATACATTCACAGCCCTGAAAACCAGCCATATTTTAATGCTTTATCCTATACGATTACATCGGATCCATCAGTTCACAGTTTTAATGTGGAAGGGATAGAAAACCATCACGATGTTATTCAAGAACCAGTCTCTCAAAGAATGTGTAAATTCGACACGGAGACTACTGACAATAGCGTTTTATACAGGCAGGTCATCAGTTATGCTGGATTATTTATTGTAGATATTTAATTGCATCAATCTAACAATTTTCCAGTTTTTCCACATGCATGTCCGAAATTCGAAGTGAGATTGAAATGAAACTCTGCAATTGCACTTTATTCAACAACAGTGGAAAAAGTATGTGCATTTGAATTAAATTATTATAAAATCGGTTTTTCTAACTTAATTTAGATACCACAAAATATTGCGGAGTCGAAGGGATATCGTGCTTGGATAGAGGTACAGAGAATATTTCTAGTTACTCCAAAGTGACTGTAGTCTAAAATTTCACAAAATTCTTTCAGAAAATCTAGCAGCAAGAGTAAAGAGTCATGTGGGTTCGAATATGGCATGCTTGCCGTCCTGCATGGAACAGCAGATAAGCTACGTTGGGTAAGTATACACATTTAGTTAAAAACGGATTGCGCTATTTATAGGTCAATCTTAGGTCTCGAGAAAAAAATTATAACGAATATGGAGATTCACACATGGTCGAAATCGAAATAACATCACCGCCAACAGCCAAATATTTCAGAACAGTCACTCAAACAAAACTGGATTTAGTTGGTAGATTGGTTTTTTAAATTATTCTTGGATCTATGTAGTATTCTCATTTTATAATACATTTTTTATTTCCAGTTGCCATTGGCGGTGTAATCGGCCTTTTCACTGGTGCATCCTTGCTGAACATCTTGGAAGTTATTTCAATGATTTTTTCTAGGATAAAGCACATTTTTACACATTAAATTAGTCGTAACGTGAGTAACCGCACACGTGCTTGTGCACTGGAATACCCGATACTCCTTCAGTATACATATGTAGTACATATGTACATATATGTAATCTTATGATGTATGTAACGCATAGAGTATAAGTATATTCCAAACACTCCCCCTATCCTCTTTCCATATCGCACATTCCGTCACATCTTTCGCTCTATCTCGTTCCACCAATGAATTCCCATCCGGCTATTATTTAGCGCTCACTCCTCAGGGGTGCACACTGGTGTGTGATACAGAGAGACCGACACGATCAAATATGACCCTATACATACACTTTAAGTACCGGTTAAAAATACATTTTATTTAACTTTTGGATGCTAGGTGCTTGAAGCATTTATGCCCGCTAAATCGAATGTATCTGTAATTAATTATTATTTTCAAATAGATCCAAATGATAGTTTGCAATTTCATTTTCGATGAAAATATTAAGATCTCGGGAGTTTTCAGTTTTCACTTTATGGACAGACGTATTTACTTTATGATTTTTGTAGTGTAATCCAACTCTGAAATAAAGCGATACGTTATAGCGGCATGTTTAGTTTTATTGAACAAAGCTCACATTCTTATGGAAGGTATATCACTTGAGCTCCTCATATTATCTGAATTCCTTGCTCTCAAGTAGCGGTGCTTAATGTCGACACCACAATTATCGTCCTGTAAGATGTGTGATTAAAATTAGTACATGTTGCTGAATATACGGCGAGGAAATTACAACTTACATCTCTCATATTGTATGTTAGAACCAGGTTGTTAACAAAACTTTCAAGAAACTCGGGATACAGATCCAGAACGTCGAGCAAATCATCTCTGTGTATCTTATGAATGTCGCAATAGGTTAGCGCTCTAACGACACCATTCGATTTTCCAAGCGTTGGGTAAATGCATGGGTTCTCGCCAAATATGTCATTTTTTCCTGAAACAAATGATCCAACAGTAACAAGGATAGCCTTCAATAATTTTAGTTAGACTCATTACCTAAGACGACAATCATGTTACTGTTTCTTTGAATTTCAATCGAGCCTCGTGCTATAAAAAACAAAGAGGTAAGAACATCTCCCCTGTGTACTAATATGTCTCCTGGTGGCGCATGAGTTGTTTTGAATTTAAGAGAGAAAGCTCTGGAAATACATAATTAAAAAATTTGCATTCTATGAGAAGTGTTCACAAGAGTTATTTCCTATATGTACCTTAAGCAGCCTGGGCTAGCGTTTGAGAAGGCTGGACAAGTTGTCAATAGCTTTCTATTCAAATGCAAGCAAATATCTGCTTGGAGACACTCGGGAAAGCCTTTCAACAGAGAGTTCATGTCAATTCCATTGGTGTATGTCCATGCATGTTGAAAATATTCCTCCAGTCTCTGTCTCAGAGGATTTGGAATCTAGAAAAGCGTAACAATAAACTTAAATGGTTGTAAATATTTTCAAAACTTTTCAAACTACCTGGTGAAAGCGTATAAATTCCCGAACTCGTAACATTTGAGTATGATACCTCGCTGTTCCCGAGTAAAGTCTTTGTATTATAGCCGACACGTTTCCAAATATACTTGCATACATGAGAGCTTCCCAGATAAAAAAGAACGTGCAAAAATTGTTATCATTAAAAATGTTCATTTAACATGGAAAGTGACTTATTTACGTACATCCAACTAGCATTACACATATTGTAAATGCTTTTTCGGCATCCGTGTTGGGTGCAACATTTCCAAATCCAACAGAAGTGAGTGATGTAAATGTGAAATACAAAGCTGTAATATATCGTGACTAATGCACGTAACCCAATCAGTATTAATGTTTAAAAAAAAATATTTTAGTACCTTTATTGAAGGTCCACCAGTTTTGTTCTCAAAATAAGGCTCTTGAATATCAAAGGATAGGGAATGCAACCAGCCTATGTTTTTCGTAGCCATCGATTTTTCTGCATTTCCAATTGCGTACCTGAAACGTTACGGTTGTAAATGTAGAATTCTCATGGCCTCTGGTCTGAAATTTCACAAGGAAATTTATTTTTAAGAACGTACCAAATGCAGGCAAGCCAATGAGCAATCAAAATAAACGTGGCCATTAGCAATATAAGTACAGCGGCACCGTATTCCGAGTAACGGTCAATTTTCCGCGCCACACGAACCAATCTTAAGAGTCGAGCTGTTTTTAGGAGTCCGATCAAGGTAGTTGTCTGGTAAATATGCAAACATTTTACTTGTATTAAAATACAGGCAAATACAGGTAAATCTTATCTCACCTCATCGCTTACCTCATCGGTATCGTCTCCAACTAATAGCAAGTCAAAGGGAACCGCTGCCACCAAATCAATAAGAAACCATCCGCTCAAATAGTGAACTGCTATACGCCCTGGATGGGATACCACTTCATCCTGACCGTTTACAAAGGTAGTTCGAAAGTTAATAAGAATGTCGACGATAAATGTAACGTCCACTGCAATAATTAATGAAAATTAGTAAGAGCTACTAGAACGGTGCTAAGGGTGATTAAGGGTGCTCTAAAAGTACGTACCGATTAAATCTATTATGACAATGGGATCCGAGTTTACATATTTGTTATTTCTTCTCTGGTAATCTTTTTCACCCAGCAGAAATGCAGCAACATAAGGCGTAAATATAGCAGTATACATAACAAGTATTAATATTATCCAATCCCATACAGCTTTGAATGGCGAGTAGTGCAATAGAGTCCATTTATGGTATTTGTTGTTTTGCAGCTTCTGGTCGTGTAATATGTTTCCTCGCAAAGAAATAATCTGAAAAGTAATTAAAAGGGTTCAACAGCAGTATTCGGTTGATTAAAATATGATCACATACCGTCTCAATGGGTTCTTGCATCTTTGGTTCACTCTTGGATCCGAGCAGAGCTTCTTTGTCCAGAACATCGTCGAAATGATCGACCAATCCGTTCTCAACTGTTTTTTCAATCGGGTTGTACTTGATATTCTTAAGCATGCATTCATAGGAGCTGTTGCTGCCCTTGTGATTTCGATAGATATCATTATTATTTTTATACGAGCAAAACGATTCGCATTCTCTTTCCGAACTCTGATACCGAAAATACAGTTTCTTTTTGTCACACTTCACACATTTTTTGATCGTTTTTTTATGGTTGTGACTTTTGGATTGGGTCGACTTCGTAGTGATTGCAGATGGTTCCAGATGGGGTTCACTTCTATTTGCTTTGACTCTCTTCAAACATTCTTTTTTATTATTAATTCTTAGCAGCAGAGGCGAAAAGTAGCAGTCGGCTATGTTCCTTTCGCTGTGCTCATATTTCCCTTCAGCATTCGATTTTATTTTAAGATCAATGGAAACGCTACTGTCACTGGCCCGCAGGAATTTATGATAGACGAGGGTGCCGTGCTCTGCCACGTTCTTCGGGAATCTTGCTAAGCTCTCCTTTTTATCATCGAACATACTGGCGTTTATCAAAATATCTGAAACAAAAACTTGTTTCTTTTCAGTTTTGTTTAGGTTGCACATGAGGGAAAAGAGTTCTCTTTCAACAAATTTATTGGACTTTGTTACACAATTTCTTTTAAACTCTTTCAAAGGCGGCTTTTTTGCGGTATCGTTGATATTGTTATTGGACATGTACAGCTCACACTGTTGCACTATCTTATCCAATTTTCGGATTTCGCTTAATTCTACACAAGATTTGTGGGACATTTTAATATCTGTAAAATATTGAAAATAAAAATAATATGATTTAAATTTTGAGCTCGAATGCCAATCGCCCACTGTAACACACCCCACGAATAATCTAGATCTACAAATATTCAATAAGGCTGGAGCAGTCTATGAATCCAAGTTTCGTCCTCGGCCTCTTACCTCGATTCACTGCACTGTTTTATTACATGTATAAATAAGGACGTTAAGCTAAAATTTGTACACCTGTTTTGTTTCGAAGTTATGTTGCCGAAAAATAATACATGAATGTACCCCAAAGACTTCTGTTATTACGAACGCAATACACATGAAAAAATCAAAACGAGCTATAAATGATTGTTCGTAAAGTGCAAAGATACCATTATTTTTTTAAGTAAAGTTACTGTAGCCGGTAAGTAAATGTAATATAGAAGTCACCACATTGGACAATTTTTAAAAATATTTTGCTTAGTTGTCAGAGCTTGGGACAACCATTTCTCAAGCTAGTTAAACACCTTTTTTTCGAGTGTATGCATACAAAACTGGAACAAATAACGGGCATGCGCTTCACATCACAGTATACAGTATTTAAATATTAAATACCATACTGTATATAAGCGGTGGTATTTTATGTCCAACACTCGGCTACACTAAAATTAATGTAAACAATTGATTTTTCATAAAATCCACACAACTTTGGGAAAAAATGTCCGCTGCCAAGAAAATTGCCGAAGCGGAGGAGTTAGTTAGACAGGCAGAGAAGAGGTAGGTGTCAAGGTCGTATATACATAAATAAACAATTAACAAAACCAACCAACCATCAATTACATTTAAGTTTGAAAACTTCGCTCTTGAAATGGGTACCTGACTATGACAGTGCAGCTGATGAATATTCAAAAGCTGGTACGTATACGTTATATACGTTAATATATTATTAGCAGGTATTATTTCGGGGCTAAGTACATCAATTAACGTAACAAAGCTTTGGAAAACTTTTTTCACGCCTCTGTTGGATTTTTAGATGTGCTATGTGTACATACATATGTGTGTTGAGTGGTATATATGTATGTACATATTAATGTATGTTTACGTATGTGTATGCCAGACTAACATTTCTCCAATGTTTAACTTATTAAGGTACATGTCGGACTATAACTATTTGGCACTTAATTATTTTCAGCTACTGCTTATCGAATAGGAAAAAGTTTTGATAAAAGCAAGGAGTGTCAATTGAAGGCCATTGAATGTTACAAAAACAATAAAGCTTGGTTCCATGCCGCAAAATCATACGAGCAGGTGTGTATAAGTACAAAAGTACCAGCATTTACCTGACAACTTGAATAAGGTCTTACCAGTTAACATACATGGGTTTTCAATAAACAACAAGCTGACTTTTGCACATTTTTTAGATTATTTTACTATCAAAAGATACAGACAAACTATTGGAGATCGAGGAGTATGCTAATAAAGCTTGTAGCTTATATCAACAACATGGCTCGCCAGAAGCTGCCGCATCCGCTTTGGATAAAGCCGCCAAATTAACTGAACAAAAGCATCCTGAGCTGGCTTTGCGATTCTATCAGCACGCTATAGAAGTAATAATGGTAAATTAATGCTCTGATATACAAGTTAACTAACTTGTTAGCTAACTAGCATATTTTTATAGATTGAAGACTCAACCCGTCAGGCTGCTGAATATTCAACCAAAGTGTCAAGAATACTAGTCAAACTAAGGAGGTAAGCCAGTTACAATTTCAATCACAGTATTACACTAAAAGTCTACCACTTATTTCAGATACGAAGAAGCTACACAAGCAATTAAAAGAGAGATTGGGCTTAATCAGCAAACGGAGTCCTATGGTCAAATCGGGCGCTTGGTTGTGGCTTTGGTGCTGGTTCAATTAGCCCGTGGTGATTCAGTGGAAGCAGAAAAGGCATTCAGGGAATGGGGAAGTTGTTGCGAGCCCGAAGAAGTGTCCACACTGCAAACACTTTTAAACGCATTTGATGAAGAAGATGCTGAAATGGCGGCCAGAATGTTGGCAACTCCATTTATCAGACACATGGATGTGGAGTACTCGATCTTAGCTAGGAACATTCCATTACCTGAAGGTATGCAACTGGAGAAGAAATCGGATGATAATGCTGGCAATGTAAGTTAAATTTACACGAGTTGACAGCAGAGTAATCTTTTTTTGTACCGTCTTAGGCAACCAACGAAGACGAGGACGAAGGAATATGCTAATTTTGTTAAAGTTTTACAGCTCTCTTCCCTAGAAAAACATATGTATCGTTAATCAGCAAGCTAATAATCCCTTTAAAGCAATTGTTAAATAAAAGATTCATCACAAGCGTATTTTATTCGTGTAATTAAAAAAAAAACACCTAATTGTTTGTTGTTTGTTGGATTTAAAAAAGGACACGGCTGCATTACGAAAATACCGTGAAATGTACATACATACATATGTTTATAGGAAAGCCGCCAAAGAAATATAACGTATGAAACTTAGTTCATGTAAGTTTGTTCAAAGTACTCGGCGTTCACCTAGAAATTTCTTTATCCTGGATAAAGGATTAAACTTCAATTTTGGTTGCTTTCAAAAGAACAGTGATCTAGGGGCTCCCGCGCCTCGTCTATTCCGGCTCAACGATCCAAGAATTTGAAGTTACATTACCCAAATAGTCGGACATTTTTATCGCCTGCGAACGCTTGCTCCTTTCCACATTTTGGAACAAACGACAACATGCGAACGGCTGTTCTGTTTTACGTGACAGATTTGTTTGCCGTGCTGCCAACTCGATTGCCATTTATAGCATTATTTAAAGTCTGAAAATAGTCCGAACACTAAATTATTAAGTCATTGGGCAACTAAAAACAAAAATATATGAAGTAAAAAATTGTTTTGAGATGCATTTAATAGTTTCAAAATATATATTGCTAAATAATTCAGTGCCGATTCAGCATGTGCCGATTCCATCGTGCCAATTAGAAAGAAACGTTACTTCTTAATATCAACGCAACTTGTATTGTCCGTCAGTATATTTGCTGTATATTATTTAATCAATAATATCCTTTTCAAAATTACCGCCAAACTCCATTTAGCGCACAAAAAATACTGACATTTTTCGAACTCAAATCGTGGTGACTTTCCCCGTTTCTTTCGTGGTGTGAGCCGCATGTTCCTAACGGGAACGCGCATGGAACGTAGATTCCCGTAAGATGCATTTGATTTGTATGGGCAAAATTTCAGCAGCATGAGGAAATGAAAAGGCAGCATTGTTCTGCAACTTTGGCACGAAATGAGAAACAATCTGCATACCTTGGGAAAATGGATATTATGGACTTGAGATATTGTTTGTAATTTCAGGCTCGAATTAATGCAGATACTACTCAGTGTCTGTTTTAAAGATATTAACGAAATTTTTAAGCTCACGGCCACCAATAATAGGTATCAGAACCGGGGTAAATGTATTTATACAACACAAACATATGCATTAATAGGTAAAAAAACATGTCAATCTAGGATCAAATCATTATTAATGTTTCAATGAAGTTTGTAACAACAAATTGAACATCAATTAAAGGAAATATGGTACACACAAGCCCATACGCATAGAAGAAACTTGGTTGACCAGCAACAAAGACGTCTCATTTAGTCAACATTTACGTTTTATGCTTTGGCCGTTTTTGTTTGAACCTTATTATGTAAACAATCCAATGAAAAAGAGTTCTGAAAACTAGCTGATCCTGAACAAAATTTATGTATCTATCGGATAAAATTATTTGTTTAGGGCTGAGAGGGCCAACTATCTAGTAATATTAAACTGAATATCAAAATTGACGAATTTCATATCACAAAATATCATGGTATGGCAGCCCGCAACAACTACGAATTGCACGAGTCTGGCAACGCCACAAAATCGACGTCACATTCGTTTTATGTTGTTTTTGTTTAAACCTTAATATGTAAATAATCCAATAAAAGGGACTTCTGAAAACTTGCCAATCTTGCAGAAAATATATATTTCTATCGGATAAAATTATTTGTTTAGGGCTGAGAGGGCAAACTAGCTAATAATATTAAACCGAATATTGAAATTAAGGAATATCAACGCATCCGTCAGTATATTTACGGTATATTTTGATAATGATATGAAATATTTTGGTATATTTATGGGGGTCTGACGGTATATTTTGCCCATAAATCCGCGGTCACACTAGAGAAGAGCGAAGAAGAGAAGAAAGAAGAGAGAAGAAGAAGACCGACCTTCTGGTTAAACAGTTAAACAGTATTTGTAAAAATTTGTGAAAGTACTAAAATAAAGGAATAATATGGTATGTATTTGAACGATTAAATGATTAATAAAAATATAAAAAAACAACTACACATATATATATACTTGTGTGTGTGGTATATATGTAAAGAAAAGATGTATATCTTGATGTACAAATCCATACACATTTTGCATGTTTCGATGAATCATATAAGCAGCTCCTTTGAAAGCTGTATATGTATTGGATATGTGTATATACATTTTTTCAAGAGTGCGTGTACATATATGTATGTACATCTATTCAAACTTTTTGTACGTCCAATGTTGGCTATATTCGGCGATATATGTACATGTGTATGTATACATCCATCCACATATAGACCAAATTAGTCATTGGTAGGAACGGATATTACTCATTTATTAAAGTGCTTCCATGCTTTTCGCAATTCACTCAGATTGCCAAATGGCAATTGCAGAAATAAATCGAAGAAGAAAAGGTAGGAGGAGGTGCATTTGTATGTACATCTGTACATTTTTCTCTTCCAAATTGATGGCGGAGGCGTCCTTCTGGGCCGAATCGAATCAGAAATAATTAAAAAAGAAAAATTGGAGAAAAATAGGCACGCTTGCACACACACACACACGCATTCATACATACATACACATGTGTGTACACATATGCATGAGTGTGTGTGGGCATATACCGCTTTTTTTTATTTCGATGGCTATAAATATGTACACATGTCTGTATGTATCTATCTCCCACGGACGAATGTACAAAAATATATAACTATACCGAAATATGTATAAATATATATCCATATATGTATCTGCGGCATACATATTTAAGGTGTGGAGAGCGATCTTTTCCTTGCCGCCGCGCCGCCTATGCGTGTGTATGCTTGGATACATGTTCGCTTGCAATATGCATGAAAGTGTGTGTGTGACGGCCACAGACATTTGTATGTATGAACAAAAGTATTGCCGAATATTGCTGGAAAATATGTGTAAATCCTTGGGAACTTCTTTAAATTAATTAACCATGTGGCGTTTTTCCAACTTGACCAGAACCCACAACATTTGTTATTCGAGATTTTTGTTTGCCCTTAGGTTTGCCGGCAGTTGTAAAATTACCCTTGAACTCTTGCCGGGTTGAAACTGTAAATGGTGCCACACCCACTGCCATCCCTGTAAATTATTTTCCTACGTTTGTGTTATTTTGAACATATTAAGATATATGTACTATGTAAAGATTTGATCAAAGTTTTGGATAAATACGGATAAAATAACAAAAAGTTATTACTTTGCATTTTTATTTGTTGTTATTGCCGGCAATGACGGCAACATTTTCGCAAAGCTAGAAAGAGACGGCAATATTGTTGGTTCAGCCACAGGGGCGCACACATATAGCTATGCATAGGGAGAAAGGTTTTTCCCGCCTTTACAAACATTTAAATTTCATGTTTTAGTTCTTGCTGTTAACTTGCTATTTAAATTAATGAATTCGAACTTTCTTTAAATTTTGACAGGCTTCTGGTGTAACTGTGTCCGATGTCTGCAAGACTACATACGAGGAAATCAAAAAGGACAAAAAGCATCGCTATGTCATTTTCTACATCCGTGACGAGAAGCAGATCGATGTGGAAACTGTGGCAGATCGCAACAGCGAATACGACCAGTTTCTAGAAGATATCCAGAAATGCGGTCCTGGCGAATGCCGGTATGTTTTTACTCGCATATATCACGACTAGTTTTAGATGAAGCTACTGCCTAAGATATAGTAGTGTCTGTTCCGCATGAATCCACATTTTAAAATCCAAGACAAAGTAAATGTGATTTCTCAATTATTGTTTTGTAATAGTTTAAGGGATCTGTTCCTTTGAGATTCTTACGTTTTTTCCCATTATTTTATCTTTATTTTGTCTGTTCGTATCCGTATCGCATCCGAACAACTGAAGACTTTAAAAGCGGGATTCACTCCGCACGAACCAAGCAGATCTACGATTGTAAATGTAGCTTAATCTTGACAAAACCGGAAAACTCGACAAGCCTATTATAACTGATTTTTATTTCATTTAAACAGATATGGACTGTTCGACTTTGAGTACATGCATCAATGCCAAGGCACCTCTGAGAGTTCAAAGAAGCAAAAGCTGTTCCTTATGTCATGGTGTCCCGATACTGCTAAGGTATGATATACTTACCACGCACCATTGAGTCACAAACCACTTAAACCTAACTCATTGTTCTATTGTTCAGGTTAAGAAGAAGATGTTGTATTCCAGCTCTTTCGATGCTCTCAAGAAATCGCTGGTGGGCGTACAAAAGTATATACAAGCCACTGATCTGTCCGAAGCCTCCCGTGAAGCCGTCGAGGAGAAGCTTCGCGCCACTGACCGCCAATAAACTGTATGGGGAGAGCACTGTGCGTTGCATTTAACGAACAAGCAAGGCATGCATAAAACAGCGATCAAAACACACGTATCCTGTTGAGATCGCCAATTTGTAAGAGAATTTTCTACATAATTTGTATTTTCAGTAGAAATAAAGAAAATGAATGAAATATATAACTTATAATTTATTTGTTTGCCGCCCCCTGGAGGCCAGGCTAAGCAACTAAAACACTCGATAAGGCTATCTTTACAATACGTTTTCACCGATTAGAACTTAGAACTACTGCCAATGGACATTTAATAGCCATGCTGAATCACTAATGTCTGCAGAACCTTCCGGATGGGCGGGCAGGTGTTCAGGGACGACTTGAGGCCTAGGGAGAATGCAACCGATAAGATTTCAATGGCATGCTCCTGCAGTAGCACCGACATCTCTGGCAGATTGTCAATCGCTGTCGCTGCCACCGACGAATTCTCGTCCCGGAGGCACTGTATGTAGGCGTTTAGGGTGCACACATTGATATCCGAGTTGCCCGGGTTGTGCTTCAGGTGTCTAATCAGGATTATGAAGGCAATCGATCGAATCTGGGCACTCGGCGAGAATATCAGGTTGAGCAGCCGCTCGAACAGTTCGTTAATGAACACAAACCTTTTGGATGTGAGGCATTCCAGCTCCTGCATGGGCCCCAGAACCACATCCTCGGTGTTGGACTGCTTAATGATCTTGATCAGGTCAAGAAAATGCGGCGATATGTCCGTGTAGTTCGATCTACTGTACGAGCTCAGGGTCAGCACCGAAGAGGGTCCGCGGGCACCCACAACGTCTGTCGCCGGGACTGCGCTCGCGCTGCCCTCCAAAGGCTCAACCTCGGCTACCACTGGCTTGCTGGCCAATGGCTTCACATCAAAGTGCTCGTCTAGCTCGTACTCGGACCGAACCTCCTCATCGTCCAGCTCCGAGGTGAAGTTCGACTTGTGCTGGAGCAGGGCCACCGCCTGGACGAGGACCTGCAGCTTTCCCAACGAAGTGTACTTGGCGGCCAGCTCCATCAAGATGCCCACGTACTGCTCGATGAACAGCAAGGCACTGGACGGGTTATAGTTGATGTATGCCTGCAGCACCTGCACAAACTTGCTGAGCATCTGGAAGGCCTCCTTGACCGAGCTGTGGTGCTTGAAGAAGTTGAAATAGCAGGAGAGCGTGGTCTGGATTTCTGTCTTGTACGTTTCCTCGAATATAGTCGGCTGCAGAAGCTCCAAGGTCCTAAGGATCTGCACGAAACGATGGAAGTGATGCTCCTCGCGAAGCGCCTTCATGGTGATCTGTGCCCGGCCCTGCATTATGGAGGAGAGTACGCTCAACTGGCGCAGAAACAGCAGCGGATGGGATGCGGCCAGTTTCCGTAAAAGCAGTTCCGTGTCAGTCGATAAGGTTTCAAAGTCTTTCTTTCCCACCAGGCTGCCCAAGCACGTGATCAAATTATTCGAGACATTGTCTGCCTGACAGCCCTTCAGGGTCTGTAGTTTATAGGATCTTTCGCCATCCTTGCTGGGCCTCAGAAACTTGATGCGCGGATACATGATGTACATCTGTTGCTGGACCTGCAGTTTCAGATAATCGGACACCGAGCTCTCCTCCACATAGTCCATAACCTTGACCATCATGTCCCTCCGCTTCTCTGTCAGCTTGAACAGCAGCTGCATTCTGGAGCATAGCTTGAAGTCGTAGCCTCTGCTGTCCACCTTTATCTCAGATACTCCCTCGTGCAGCATAAAGTGTGTGAATGGCTCGAGCTCTGAGTCTTTGAGCAGGAAAAAGGGATCGGGGCGAGCGTTCTTCGAGGAGGATTTCTCCCTGCCCTTCCACAGCTTCGGATTTGTGGTGAGTGCCTCGAAATAGTTAAGTACCGTGCTATAATCGTAGTCTGCCCGGAACTCCCTGAACAAGAACTCTGCTATCCTTTCGATGGTGTCCCAGTTGGTTTGGTGGTTTATCAGCGACAGCAGATAGAATCGAAACTCACTGCACGACTTGGAGAACAGGAACTTCTCCTTCAGCAGCTGGGTGGACACTATTTCGGGATCTACTTCCGATAGCCAATCGATGAACAGTCCATTGTGAAAGATCTGATCATTGTGGCAACTATTCCCTCTGCTGATGATCCCCTTCTTGGGCGCATCGAAGCTCTTGATGATGTCCCTAACGATCTTCTTTCTGGCCAACAAGGCACTGTTCCCCTTCAATTGTTGGAAGTAAATGTCCCGAGAGTTTCGCAGCATAAACACCAGGCTATCGTGATACAGCTCGGTGCTCTGCAGCAGGCTCAAATCCAAGCTAAAATTGTGCTTGAATATTTTGAAATTCTTTTGTAGGCTTTTCTCCAGAATGCGATAGCTGTCGCGGTGCAGCATGCAGCTGAAGAATGCCCTCAGCAGGGTGCTGGCATGTTGACTCATAATGATGGCCCTTTCAAAATCCACGCTACGATCGGGGGGCAGCTTGGCCACCACTTCGGTTACAGCGGCCAGCAGATCGTTGCTGCTGCTGCTTCTATGTGAACTTATCACAATGTCCAGCAGATGATGGATCAATGCCCGGCAATCGGTGCGTGAAATCCAATCCTGATCTGGCTGCGTGAGTACCCTTTGAACCAACTGTTTGGTTGAGTTGTTGTTGCTGCTGCTGCTGGCATCAGTGGCCTCATAGTCCCCAATATCAATATTCTCCTGAATAATGACACTGAGTCTGGGCAGATCGGGCACCGTCTGTGAATGGGAATGCAGGTCGAGCGCTTGGACCGTATAGTGTCCGTTCTTTGCACCGCGAGCCTGCTGAATCTCAATCAGTTGCGCCAGATACGCCTTGTTGAGTATGGCATTTTTGACCAAGTCAAACTGCTCGAGCACTGCCGTGTCCAGCATGGCCAGCAGCTTGGACATGGAGTTGACGGGGGTGCCAAAGTTCTGCACAAAGAGCACAATCTGGTCGGGCGTCAGGTCATGCAGTGCGGCCTCGATCAGCCTGTCCACCGAGGATCGGATCATTTTCAGCTTCAGCCAGTCGGGCAGCAGCTGTACCTGCTCCTGTGGCATACTCGGCAGAAAGGCGACGGGCGCCGGTCGTCCGGGCGGAAACCAGTAATCCAGAATCGGTATGGACTCTGGCATGTTGTTGTTCGAGTACGTGAGCAATATGATAAAGGCGTGAATGATGTTGATGTGCAGAGGGAGCTGCACGCCATCATCGAACTGCACCATGAGGAGATCCGGGTACTCGGTCCACTCGTATGGCTCGTGATACTCCCTCAGCTTGATGATGTAGTTGTTGAACATCACAAAGAGACACTTGAGTGTCTGGATGCGGGTGTCGTCTGGCGCATAGTCATAGTCCTCCTGGGATATGATGATGTGCTGGAACATGGTGCTGCGCTCCACAATCAGCTGCGCCATATCGATGACATGGTCGAGCATTTCGTTCACGGGATCGCCCATCGTGTGAGCCGTAATGAACTGAATGTAGGCCATGATCAGCTCTGGGCAATTCTCCACCTGGCAGGCAGCTCGCAGCTGGGGAATTATGAACGGCTTCACCTCGAAGAAGTGCGGTATCTGCTGAATCGATTTTAGGAGCCATTCGTGCTCGTAGTCATCCGAGTGCCTGAAGATGATGTTGAGGCCAGAAAGAGCTGCCACACGCGACTGCTTCACAGTGGACGAGAGGCGCCTAAATATATAATCCAATAGCTCGCACACGATCTGATGGTTTAGGCTAGCGTCAAATGTCAAATTGCGCAGGAAATTCACCAGTTCGGCATCCCGGCTGTTCTCCTCGTTAATATTAACGGCATTGAAGAGCAGGAACTCGCACAGGCACTGCACGGGCAGGTGACTAAAGTCGCCCTCGCTATTCTGCACCAAGTCCGACAGCCACGGCATCGATTGGGTGGTTCCCTGCCTTTGTATTATGTCCAGCAGGAGGTCGGGCTTGCGACAACGGCAGAACAAATGGCCCAGCTTGTAGGTTTGATTGAGGAACTTCATTTGATCCAAGACCATAGACGGCACCTTGCGCGGTGCACCCAGCGGGGCCATCAGCATTAACTGGGTAATCAGAATCGCATTCTCTTCCGTGATGACTGCATTCGGAGACGTTTGGGCGGCCAAATATGTTTCAAACTGCAGTATATGGTCTCTTTCCACAGTCATTATCTGTAAAGTGCCAAGAGGGGGATGATTACATAATGGAAATGCTAGCGCTTTCTTCACAATTTACCTGCAACTCGTCCTTGCTGGCTGCGGTATTCACAAACTGGCTCGTGATGCATATCTCAATCAGCATTTTCATCGTGGGATAGTGATCCCAGCAGAAGGCCCCGAATGTCGAGGGATTGTGGGCGGATATCATGAGCAGAATCAGCCAGGTCTTCCAGTAGAAGGCAATGATGGCCAGCTTCGGGGGCTCGTAGTCCGAGGGCAGACGAATATTTTCCGGATGGTGGTACTCGGACATATTGAACAGAAAGTCTATTATGTCAAACTTATTGGCCTGCACGGCGGGAATATTGCTGGTCTTCATCCCAGAGACTCGCTTGATAACCAGAAACAATATGTCAAAAGTGTTGGCAATCGTAAAGGGTATGTCTTTGGTGATTCCAATCAAAATGATGCGCAGCAGGGTCTCCTCGTGAATGGGTGTCTCTGAGATGATCCTCAATATGGCCACTCTCTCTGGCTCCGAGGGCCACTGATCGCACCGTGAATACTGCTCGGGAGTGTCCAGCAGGAGCAGCTTATGCAGAGCCTGGTGGTACTCAATGCCCGTAATTTTGAACACGTTCGGCACTGTTTCGTACATCCACGAGACCGTGTCCAGTTGTATCTGTCCCATTTGGTTGTACAGCTTGAGCAGGGCTTGGTTATTTTTCACATCGCGATTGTTCTTCAGCGAAAGGCTGGCCTCACGCGCCTGCGGTGTTGCCGAAAGGAACATGCAGAGGCAGACAATGTCCACCATTGAATGGAATATGCGCTCCTTGAACTCAAACTGTTCGATCTGCGGAGTGAGGTCCTCTCTTTCGCTTAGAAATGTTTTGCAGAACCTAACGAGATTCACGTCGAAGCGTAGCATACGCACAAGCTCTCGTAGAAACACACGCAATGTCCTCAGGCAATCGTCCCGTTGTAGTAGAAATTCCTGATAAATTTCAGCAAGATTTGCAGCCGATTGGTCCGCAGATGTTTGAAACATTGTGGCTGTAAAAAGTACCAAACAAATAAAGTAAAAACCAAGATAAAAGCTTAGTTAAACTGTTAGCTTACCCAGCATTCCCATATTGTTGGGATTCCTTGTGTTCGAGAGCTCGTTTTGAACCACTAGCTTCATGACAGTGCCCAATATATCTGGCTGCAAGTAGATCATTTCCTTCAGGCACGACATGTAGTGATTGATCAGGGGCTTGGTTTTCAGACGCATTTTCACCAGCACCAAAAGTACTTCGTTATCCTGAGTGTTGCGCCCCTTGATGTTGAAGCAGATGTACGAGAGCAGTTGCTGTGCGAATTTCACGAGCTTGCCATTGTGTATCCACAGCTCCAGGCGGGAAATACTCAGACAGCGAACCTCGGCTATGCCTGAAGTGGCACAGAGGAACTTCAAGAAGTTCCTTGTGTAATTATCCTGCTGCTGGCGCTTGTTTAACTGGTCCCGAATCGCCTCGCTGACATGCTTCTGGACAGTGTCGTCGCTGAATCGAGGCTTGACGGCGCCAATTGAGTCTGGCACCGGCTCGAGCTCGGAATTTAAGGGGCTGGCATCTAGACTTTGCGTCGAATTATCTCCAGAGTCGTCGTCGATAGTGACACTGTCCCTGTGAGCCGATGGTATGGCCGTGCTCACGTCCCAGCGCAGTAGGCTTATGTGAGGAGTGCGTGTTTTGAAAGCGGCGCACACATTCTTTACGTAGGACGCACAGTACTCATTGTCCGCCCAGTAGCGCTCGTTGACAGCGTCGTCGATGTACGTTCGCAGCAGTATCTCCGGCCATTGTGGTATGTCCGCAAATCCCCTGGTCAGCAGGTTCGTAAACAGTATGTGCAGATTGGTGTTGTACCGCATCTTAACATTGGCTTCACGCCGCAAAAACGACAGCAGCGCGCAAGCCACGATATCTGTGCAAAAGACCTGCGGCTGCAGCTTCGCCACGTATATCAGGGCAAGAATGCCAATATTATCCACTTTGGATCTGGACGCATTTGATGTCGTGTGCTTTATGACTCCACATACTAGTCTGCCCACGGAATCAGTGTCGTTTTGCTCCAGAGCCGCATATATGGCTTCAATGATATTTTCCAAGTCGCACTCGACGGCAAACTGTTCCCAGGTCTCATACTGACTACTGCCAGTGGAGGTGTCCGCTCCAGAATCTTTAAGATTTCCTCGAAATCGTTTGGATGGATTTCCTAGGGCGGACGAGGCTTCCCGCTTTCTTTCGGATGATGATATGGGTTTAATGGGGATAATTTTGGATTTTGCATCATCTCGACAGCTTTTTGTACCAAGGGCAAACAGTTCTCCACCCAGTGGCACCTTTTTCTGTGATCTACCCGATCCACCTTTTCCACGATCCATTTTTTTACTTTATTGTGAGGAATAATACATCGAGGTGTGGCCAGATTGAATACGGTGCGACTGCTGCAGTAATGCGAGCAGAAATGTACTAACGGGTTCCACCTTGTTGGGACGGGTTACTTCTACTTTGGAACGATGGAATACTTAAACAGTCCACACTTCACATATAGTTATAATTGTTGTATAATCGAATACTCATATTTTTATACATCAGATAACCCTTTCCTTACAGTTAATTATGGTATGACACTAGACTTGTCTAACTTTTTATGCAGAGACAGAGAGCCAAAACTCAAAATTAATGTTAGTGCCCGTCTTCAGTCACGTCTCCCAGCAATATATAATGATTAATACTTTATGTTCTCCAACACATCCAGCTAAAAAAAATGTCTCAGAAAAGTATAAAAATTGATCATCTCTACCGAGGCGCATATATTTCTCTCGCAGTTAGTCAGTCGGTTATTATGAAATTTAAGTTTATTGCTCATTTTTGTTATTGTTATTTGCTATAAACTTCTTAATAATGAATTATATCTATAGTCACAAAATCTCGATATGAAAAGTCCCTTGTTTCTATTCTGCGTTCCGTTCCGAATATTTTTCTTCAAAAACGGTGCCTTTATTTACCTATTCAGTTAAGGTCACTCTGAGCTGTTTGTTTATAAAATAAAAATTGTAGATAACTCACTATTTGGATTATTTATAGTTAGAGCTTAAGCTTGAGAATTGCACTCAAACATGTTTCTATCAATCGCCCCCCCGTTAATGGACTTCGAAGACGAATTGCTGTGGATAAATCAGTCAAACAGCGAAAAACTGAAAATTTTATACGACAAATCGAATTATGTTACCCCCAACACAAAGCTCCTCATTGAACAAGCATTTATCCAGCCTCTAAGTCTTCAGGACCAACAGATTCTATTTGATGATTTGCTGAAACAGAACTCCGACATAGCGCACCAATATGGATTGACACCGGCAAAGGTATGATTAAATTTCTTTAAAATTTGAATATTATATTGATAGTACAGTTTTGTGCCTTTCATAGCTGCCCCTGCTGGTTGAAAACAATCCACTCATTTCTATTGAAATCCTATTAAGACTGATGATGACCTCGGACATTACAGAGTACTTTAACATTTTGGTCAATATGGAAATAACGTTGCATTCCATGGAGGTTGTCAACAGGTAAGGTTGTCAGAAAAAAATGAAGGTTTTATTTTGCATTAAATTAATTGTTTTTCATCCTTTCTCCTCATTAGATTAACTACATCGGGTCCTTTACCCACAGAGTTTATTCACTTGTACATCAGTAATTGTATTTCCACCTGTGAAACAGTCAAAGACAAGTACATGCAGTCCCGCCTGGTACGGCTAGTGTGCGTGTTTCTGCAGTCTCTAATTCGAAATAAGATTGTAAATGTCAAGGCAAGTGACTGAATAATGTGGCAATATCAGCGTATTAATTACTTTCAATCAATTTCAGGAATTGTTCATTGAAATTGAGGCCTTCTGCGTTGGTTTTAGCAAAATTAAGGAAGCAGCTGCATTATATCGTCTCATTAAACATTTGGAAACAGGAGAAAGTGCACTGTCCTCGAATTCCCTAGCGAAGCAATAGACAATTCTATTATTTATCCACATGTGTTTGTAACTTTTTTATACAATGAAAAAGTTGTTGATGAAAAGCCAATTCAAATTGTATCAAATAATCCTGGGAAAAGAACAATAATGGATATTTAAAAAAGGAGGGAAACGCATTTACTACATGTAAAAACAAATTCGCATTTAATAACTTAAGTATCTAGTTGAAGATTTGTATTTTATGAGTGTGTGTTGGCTGCCTCGTTTGGAAGAAAATATGGTGGCTCGGCTGCGGGTTTTGGAAAACGGCTTAGATAGCGTTCTAGTCTTAGAAATTTAATCGATATTAGGCGGTTGTCGAACCACCATCCATTGATCTCATTGTGAATCATGCCAGCGTCCTCCTCAGTTGCACAACGTATGTAGACGCAGCACGACTGTATATCCAGCTGCACGTCGCATATCTTGCAGCGTGGTCCCACCTTCTCAATGATTGACTCCACGATGGACTGCTTCAAGTTGGGTTGTTCGACCTCCGTCAAATCAAACATGTGCCTGATCTTCAGACAGGGTGTGGGTGGGTTTGCAATCTTGTTGGAATTATCGAGAGCGGAAATCTGCCACTTCTTGCCCAGTTCCTTTTTCTCCAGGTTCCTGTTCCAGGCAATGGTGCGCAGGGGCTTCCCGTCTCGTATGGCCATGCCGAAGAGCACCCGGCTATCGTTCTTCTCCAGCATCTTGAGGGCCTTATTCCAATAGGATAGTTGCTTAGAGCGTTTCTCGGAAGGCACAAGCTTCTCCTGCAGCTGGTTCAATATCAGCTCAGGGCTTTCAGACTGCGAGCTCTGATTTTTCAGCTCTTGTATGATGTCTTTTGTGAATTGGTCCACAGCAACCAGGGCTTTCTTTTGTTGCATACGATACACTACTATGCCAAAGTAAACTATGAAGACGCCGGATACTACCAGAATAAGAGTACCCATTACTGCAAAGAAGCGTGTAATTTTCTTATAAACAACGCACTTGAGCGGCAAATTTGGTTCAGACAGCTCAAAGTAGGAGCCGAGTACCAGAGTGCTGGCCGATTCCTTTGGTCCCAAAATGTTTATCATCCACTGCGGATTCTCCGTGATTAGGTATTGAGTGGCCAGCAGATTGCTGTGCATATTTGCCCTTGGAGTCTTGCTGTTGCTGACTAGCTCTCTGAGAAACTCATTCACTTCAAGGGTCGGCGACTGGCTGGCATCTGTGCAGTGATGGAGCCTGGCTCTCTCGTTCAAATGCTTAAAAAGTTCCTCACTCATGAGCAGCGCACTTTTTAAAAATTCTTTTCTTATGCACTGAACCTTGATGTTCACCAATTGCAAGTCATTTTGGTTGCACAATGTATACTTCAATGCCGTTTTGTCAATGGGGCTCTGATCGAATTTCTTGCTCGCATAGAGGACTGTAATTATTACTAGAAATATCAGCAAGAGACCAATCAGCATTTGTGGTATGATGTATTGTCTAATATCGGGGTTTTTAAAAAACGATTTAAGGTCGGATAAAACGAAACGTTTGAATTTTCCATTCCTTGGTGGCGGCATTCTCGACATTTGAGCAGCGTGTGTGAGTTTGGGACTGATCTTCCTCTGTAGTGTGGTGTCCCGAAAGCTTAGCAATCGGTTAACGACGCCTCCATCTGACATTTTTACTTTTCCACCCTGCTTGGCATAGCTGTTGGACGAGTCTATCGAGAAGGGCATGGAGCACTGTTGGCGGTATTTGCCATTCATGTTCATATTATGCGGCATGCATTCGCTGTCGTAGTTGGACGCCACAACAGGTGGTGGGGCATACATCTTGGAAGCCGACATTTGCAATGTGCTTAAATCGGGCTCGTCGTAGTTACGCTGGTTAAATACTGAAGGATTTCGGCACAATTCAATGTCATTGTTGTTGTCTATAGCATTTGTAAAGTCAAGTGGCTGTGTGCGCAACTGTGGATATTTAAAAATTGGTGGGTCGCTCTGCTCTTGCGAGTACAGGGCGTACTTATTACTTCTTCTCTTTAGTTTCTCCGCCTTTTTGTGTTTTTTCAACTTCTCAATTAACACCGCTCTGGTTGTTTCCGTCACAGGAGTGCTTGGAAATCCGCATTGAATCAGTTTTCTATGCAGATCGAGGTCGCTTAGCCTGTTTAAGCTTTCCGTTGACATTTTAGGTATTTGTTCTCTGTAAGAAGATATATGAAATGGTAAGGGCTGTATTTAAAAAACTACAAAAATTGTCAATTGAATTCCGGCATACTTCTACATACATAGGTACATGTGTAAATATGCATGCATGTATGTACGTATGTATGCACTTGGGCTTACAACTGAATTACAACTGCATTACTTGGTTAAATCCACCTAGGATCACATGAAGTGAAGGTATGCAGATTGGTGTGGATAATACTTCAATAGTTGCTTCGCTTCAACCAAAATAGGTTCTCGTCTCTCAAAACTATTTATAGTTTCACAAACATCGAAGCGAGTGTGCATGCACTTGGAAGATAACTTACATACACAAATACACGTGGACGAGTTGAACATATGAGCGAATCACAATTTGCAAATGTAAATTTTTTAATTACATAAAATAAAAACGAAAACTGTAATTTTTTTCAAGCAACAGTTTCAAACATTTGATTACAAATTTATACGGCACATACTAAATCATTCCGAGTCAAGCATGCGGCGTCAAGTGCATTTTAATGGAACACATGAAGTGAAATACATCTCCCAATATCGATATAGTGACTATCGGTAGAAACTATCAACTATCAAATTAATAACTTGGATTCGATCCCAGTGTGATCATTTAGTAATATTTTACTAATGCGATGCCTTTATAATGGTTTATATTATGTTGTATTTACTTTATTATACCTTAATTTATGTATAGATCTATTACACAATTTATTTAGTTGTATATTTTTAGATATTTGTATTCCACCCTACTTCAGTCGAGCCGTATCTGAGGTTTGGCTATGTCATCGAACTGGTAGAAGCGAAGCGGAACTATAGTTGAAAAGAATATTTTGTCTAGATGTGGTGTTGGGGAACAGCCACAGCTCTTTGACTAATATTAGTTTGGAGACGGCTATCTTTGTCTTTCAGTCTAGATATTACTTAAATTCTGGTGAATACAAATGGTTGTACCATTAAAAGATTTTCTTTATCAGAGCTGCGGAAAATAAAATATTTATGTTTCTTTCAAGACATTCCGTTTAGGAACTTACAATTTTCGTACATGTATGGCGTGTATATCGCACAGGGTCGCTCTGAAATCGATGACAAAACTATCGGCAGGGGCCAATCAGTTTTCTTGAAATGTAGATACATTTATATGTGTTTGTGGCTTAAGAATTAAAATATTGTATGCCTTTTGCAAAGGTAAATATACGGAACATCCCAAATCAAATTTAAACAAAAACTTACTGCGGAGCATTAGCATGATTCGTTTTCCAAATGTGAATGGCCAAAAAACAGAGTGCTTACATGTATATACACATATTTTTTAAATGCATTTGGGCCTTAAGACAAGTGCACACATACGTACATGCGTATTAATATACAAAACGCTATAAACATGAAGATTTTTATGGAATAACACAATTGTACTTAAAAGACGTCTATTAATTTCAGGCCGAACCGCATGTCCTTTAATAATTACTGTAGGCATGAATCGTAGAGGTTTGAATTCTGGAAATACGATGTCTTCGCAATCAAATATTGACGACGGTAGCTGGAAAGGAGTATCTGAGGGCGGATCTATGTTGCCCACTTCGAACTCGTCAGCTCTCAATCCGGATGGCAGTAACCAGAGTGGGTTCTCTCAAGGAGGATTGCCGTACAACTCGGGTGGCAATCCGTATCCACCTGCTGGCCAATCCTCTCCCGCTGGAAATCAGTCTTTAGTGTTTCAAAACTCTAATCAACCTGGATCGAATACACCTCAATATACCTCTTCACCTGCACCCTCGGGGTCATCCACACCGGGTCCTGTTGGTTCACAGAACATTCCTGGGAACTATCCACAGTCGTCGACAGCTGGAAACTTCAATGGTCCTGTGGGCGGACCCTTTGGATCGCCATCTTCTGGCTTGGGCCAGTTCAGTCGACCAGCCAGTTCGGGCACTCCCTTCAACAGCGGGCAGGCAGGCCACTTTTCATCGCCCACGGTCTTCGGAGTGGGCGGTCAATTCAACCCAATGCCACCAGCATCTCCATTTGGCCACGGAGGAAACCACCCCATGATGGGCGGTCCCCAGCAAATGGAACGAATTGATCAGGGCTTTAGGAGGCACAACTCTTACTTCAGTCACACCGAACACCGAGTATTCGAGCTGAACAAACGCCTCCAGCAGCGGAACGAAGAAAGCGACAATTGCTGGTGGGACTCATTCACAACGGAGTTCTTCGAGGATGATGCCAGATTGACAATCCTGTTTTGCCTGGAGGACGGACCAAAGAGGTATACGATTGGCCGAACACTCATCCCGCGCTTCTTTCGAAGCATATACGAAGGCGGAGTGTCTGACTTGTACTTTCAATTGAAGCACGCTAAAGAGTCGTTCCACAATACGTCTATCACCCTGGACTGTGATCAGTGCACGGTAATCACTCAGCATGGCAAGCCCTTTTTTACGAAAGTATGCGCTGATGCCAGGCTGATCTTGGAGTTCATGTATGACGACTATATGCGCATTAAGTCTTGGCATATGACCATCAAGGGACACAGGGAGCTCATTCCAAGATCCGTGATTGGCACCTCGCTTCCCCCCGATCCGATGCTTCTAGATCAAATCACTAAGAACATAACAAGAGCTGGCATAACCAACTCTACGCTTAATTATCTACGATTATGTGTTATACTTGAGCCGATGCAGGAGCTAATGTCTCGACACAAGGCCTATGCACTCAGTCCACGGGACTGTCTGAAGACAACTTTATTTCAAAAATGGCAGCGCATGGTGGCACCGCCGGGAAAAAAGGATCCCCAAAGGCCACCCAATAAACGGCGCAAGCGGAAGGGCTCCAACTCGGGCGGCGGTGCCAATAATGCAAACACTCCGCCAGTGACAAATCAGAAGCGATCGCCATCTGGTCCCAGCTTTTCCCTCTCCTCGCAAGATGTAATGGTTGTGGGGGAGCCCACCCTGATGGGCGGGGAGTTCGGCGAGGAGGATGAGCGGTTGATAACGCGGCTGGAGAACACGCAATATGACGGTACCAATGCCGTGGAGCACGATAATCACACCGGATTCGGTCACGCCGACTCGCCCATCTCTGGCTCGAATCCGTGGAGTATTGACCGAGCGGGAAATATTCCAGCCAGTCCTGGCAACGGTGCAGCGCCGCAGAACAACGCGAATATATCTGATATAGATAAAAAGAGTCCCATTGTATCGCAATAGAAGTTAATAAAAAATATTTCGCTATATTGTCAAATGTATTTTCATACTTGCATGTAAAAAATATTTAAATAAAGCTTTCAAGTTTTAGGAAATGTATATAAGACATACATACATACATACATATACATACATACATATAAATATATTATAGATTACACTTAAGCTGTCTTACTCTACACTCTATTATATAATTGTAGCGTAGGAACTACTACTACTTCTGTCTTGACTGCCTTTCAAAGTAATTTGTGTTTTAGTAAAGCAGAACTTTTAAGCACAACGCTCAAAATATTATAAGTAACTTTATTTGCCCACATCCAGGCCTGTGGAGAGAGCCGCATCCCGAACCTTAGAATCCGGTAGTCGGGCCAAGTGGATCCCTGCCCCGTGAATAGTTACTCCGTCAGATCCCTTCTTGACGGGCCTGGCTATACCTCTCATTATATAGCCGATTTAGATGTGCCTCTCAGATTTTTAGCTTGCTCACTGCATGCCTTCAGCTGATCCCCATTTATGGTTGAGACTGTAAGTATAGAAGGAAAAGTATGCTAGAACAGGGACCCAAGACCCATGTCAAGATCTGTTCTTGTGAAGTTAAAGTATATCATTTTGTAAGTTTTCTGTTAATTCTTTCGTAATTTGAAGAACAATTAGAAGAGAACAAATATTTAGATACTCAGAGATCGAGTGGAAAAAATCACATATTTGGCATCGGCTGATTTTTTTTTTTCCAGTGATAAGAACTCTGGCCGTCACATTTGAGATTTCGATTCATATCCGTAACTGGATGGTGACTAAGATATTTAATGTACAGCCTCTTTTGCGCATGCACGAATAAATGGGATACACAGTTTCTGGCTCTCGTTCAGATACACAGTCATACAATCGCGTATTCAAAGGAGTAGTAATGCTTTCATTAAATAAAAATCAGGCTCAGTTTTTGGTTCTTTATTTTATTTTCTTCATCAGTTTTATTTCATCAAAGGCGCATGCCGAAGAGAGAAATATTAACAAGCTTCTAAATAACCAAGTCGTGGTTAGTCGCCAAATTATGTGCATTTTGGAAAAAAGCGAGTGCGACCAATTAGGGCAGCAACTCAAAGGTACTATGAGTACCTTTTAAAAGACATTCACAATATCTGATTCAACCATTTTCAGCTGCTCTGCCAGAAGTTATAACTAGGAAATGCAGAAACTGTTCGCCCCAACAGGCTCAAAAGGCACAAAAGCTGACAACATTTTTACAAACAAGATACCCCGATGTCTGGGCTATGCTTATAAGGAAATACCAAAGTGTCTAAATATACAAACTACACAGGCTATTTATACCCATGAATTCAAAAATAAAATCGTAGTATCGAAAAATTTCCACAGCTTCTGTATGCATTTTTTTCTGCACTGCGTGGCATACATATATCCATGGAAAATGTGATGGGAAACGATATGTCTGGCACAACACTTAAATTCCTTACATTTGGCCTTTGGCAGCATCTTGGTGTTTCTTCCGCAGATCCTGGAATTTTTAGTAGACTGGCAGGCAACCCAGTTGAACCACACAAAATAAAGTGATACGACTTTTATACACACGAATGTATATTATATCTTATTATTATATAAAATCTACATATGTATATGCATTTACAGACAATTAATTATTTACTGTGACTATCAACATAAACTGTTGCATTATCTACGCCCAAGAACTGGTGTATACTCAATGTGGAGAGCATTTTCATCTGCCCCTGATAGAGAACATCGGCGATTATTTTCTCCGCATATATAGCTTGGGTGGCTTCCATGGAACGCAGCTTGTGGGCAATGATTTTCCCGAAATTCGAAAAGTGGTCGTCGAGCTGGTGGTCAGCACTTTTGAGTGCTAGCGAGAACAGCCGCTCGAAATCGATTGTAGATATATCCGCACGAAACTTGGCAGCGGGAACTACTTCATTATCTTCGGATAGTTGCGATGATAGCGAAGATGAGCGCTTTCGGTTAATTTTGTTCTGTTTCTGTTGGATAGCGGCCACCACTGGCCTCACCTGCTCGGCATCCCCTATTTGTTTGGGATTATCGGGTAGGGACTTTCTTCGTTCCGAGATAAGTCTGCTGTCCGCCGATGTCATGACGATTTCCACCTCCTTGATGGTAGCCCCTGAACCATGGTTGTTGTTGTTGTTGGCGTTGACTGTTTGAATACTGATAATGGGGTCAGCAGCGCATGCAGCAGATGCGTCCTCGAACAAATTGCCACAGTATTCGGTTGCACAGTTTTTGGGTGATAACTTTTGATTATCCGCTTTGTGCGGCTTTGTCAGACTCTCTGCATCGGAGAGTTCTTCACAGTTTTCCGCCGTGATTAAAGTTACAGCGCTCTCGGAAAATTGCTGCTGCAGCGGTGGGTTATCATGACGCTTTGACTTTTTATCAGGAATCTCTTCGTCCTTTAGAAACATTAAGGACTCGAAATATCGCCGCTTGGGACAGTAGGGCTCAAATTTCTCGCCTTTCTTTTTAATTTCATTGCATTTTCTTAATTGATGACGAAATGCACACCGCAGATTGTTTATCTTTTGCTTTGTTCTTTCCACATTGTAAATCTCTCCATGCTTGGTGGCCACTTCTATTAGCTTCATGTAAGCTTCCTGCCTCTTGCTCCTGTTTCTAAAGTCCACAGAATCTGCTTTCCATAAGCACGCATTGACTTTATATTCCTCTATGAAATCGTCAATAAAATCCATTTTATTTTTGTTTACCAAATGAAAACTTAGTCCAAACTCTATGTTTGTGTGAGTATATGTGCCAACACAACGTTAAAAAAATTTAATTGGAACAAATGGAAGTGAAAAACAACAATCGGTATCACCGCTATCACCAGTATATTATAGATGTGCCGGCTGGTATTTTTGCGGATGGTCCCACAGTCTTCGGCTCGTGTCGAACATGTGTCGCAATACGCAGTATAAATAATGTTTTAATAGATTATAGCCTAAGAGTTTATATTAGTACTTGACTTTAATTACATTTAGTCTTGCAAAAAATTGATATACATAATAGTATTTTAGGATTCGACTATTTCTGGTATTTAATACGATTGATACGCCTTAATTTTTGATCTGGTCACACTCGCAGAATTACACCCACATTGAAATAAAAGAAAATAAACATTTTAAGAAACAAAAATGAGTGGAGCTCACAGAGAGGCGATTCAAAAGCAAATTCATCAAGACTGGGCGAATAGGGAATACATTGAAGTCATAACAGCCAGCATTAAACGTATTACGGACTTTTTGAACTCATTTGGTAAGAAAACATAGCATTGCATACAAACGTACATATATACATGTTTCTATGTGAGATCACATCTGCCGACATGTGTTTGTATGTGCAATTTATACATACAATTTATATACATATGCATATAATATGTTTGCATGTACAATTTTTGATTATTGGCGGACGTAAAGAGTGTCATTGTCAGCAAGGTGTATTTACACTTGTTATGAATTGTAAATGAACGCCATATCTACATACATATAACGTGCGAATTTTAGCGTCGTTTGTACATAATATTCCTGTCCGTTGTCTGTCACAAATCAGGTGCTACTGAGGTACATTATTATCCGGTAGTTATTATGTGAATACACATGATATGCAACTAGAAATATTGTGATCCCACCTATTTAACTTTCTGGCACTTTATTCAGTTTTTGTTTTTTGCTCTTCCGGATGTCCAGAGAGTTTTTCGCGATCTAGTACTATTACTTATGGTTCCCATGCATCTATAAATTATCATTTTCCATTATTATATTTGTTTTGATTATTCTCAAAGTTGTGCGATTTTGTTAAACTAGTTTCATATGTATCTTTTTGTCTTTTCAGATATGTCCTGTCGGTCTCGATTGGCAGTACTCAATGAAAAACTAACGATCCTAGAACGGCGCATAGACTATTTGGAAGCCTGTGTAGCTCAAGGGGAGACATTAACGTAAATTCGCCACAAGCTATGTTCTCACCATTATATTAAGCTTTGTACATTTATAAGATTATTAAACAATAATGATAAACCCTAGCTATGGCATATTGTTTCTGAATAATTTTTTATTATGAAGTGCCAATTTCCATGACATAAAAAACAATTGTTATTACATTGGTTGTTCTTTGAAGGCTGTCCTTCCAAGCTGTTTCTTCCTTTCACGGTTGAATTGACGGACAAACGATCCGATTCGTTTCACTGCCCTGCCCCTTCATCAAACTATGTATACACAATATATTATTAGGAATACGTCAGAGACTAGACACGCACGCTTTATTGTATGTACGAGTACCTTCGAAAGCTGTAGCCGAAGATGACGTAAATTGACTCACCATATAATAATGTCCAGACGAGAGGTATATTCTCATATTGATAATTGCTGTCTCTGGCTTTAACAGAACACATTCTAAGTGGGTTATTATAGTCCATATAATATACATGCCTACGTATTATCATCCACTGATTTGTCATAAGTTGCTGCGCTTATAAATAATTACCATTTGAGTCTGGAATAATTTATACCTACTGCACCTTCGAAAACCATTTTGTTGGGATAGCCAAAAGCGTTATGTACAAAATGAATCTCTTTATTCAGCGTACGATCGAAAGATATACAAATTTGATGAGCGGATAGACATATAATAACAGATAACAACAATTATAGATTTTTTGGCAATAGAATTATGCATGCAGATCACGATTCCGTTTTGGCAATAGAATTAGATCTTGATTCCAGCGTCTGTTGCCTGTGCACGGTAGCGCTTGATGTAAATATCCTCGGGATCGAACTTGACTTGAAGCTGCTTCCACTCCTCCGGCTTGTTATCGATGATGAACCGAATGACTTTATCAGTGTTGGACCTCTGCTTCTCGCTGCACTTGCTGCATTCTGTTTTCAAGGCGTCCGGCAGGGACTTCTTCAGCTCCCGGCCTTCGGGTGTGCATTTGCCAGTCTCAATCAGACATTTGAAATAGTTGGTGAAGAGTCGATCCGATTTCAAAATTTCATCCACATCCAAGTTATCATATTTCGTGGTATATTTCTCTTCGGCGGCAACCAGCACCACTCCAAGGAGCAACAGCGTGATTAGCAGTTTCATTTTAAAAGTGGAGCTGCAAAATAAGTAAATACAATTATGTGTTAAGTGGAGTACTTTCGTAATAGTTGTAATAGTCATTGGCACTTTTAGTCACACCCCACAGCTCAAATAATCAGTATATAGGTCTGTAGGTGGGTCTGTTTTGGTTGCAAACCAGTTTGAAGTTTAACCCAGTCTGGGGGTTTTGATGGACAGCGCCAAGGGAAATCGTTATAAATCTGATTATAGATACAAATGTATCTGAGTGGGACTGCATTGAGCTCTACTTATGAATGCCTGATTCAGAGATTCGAACTCGAGACACATTTATTGCCCTACTGAGGCTTTATCACTGCCAAACGCGAATCACTCTAAATTGTATTCAAAAACAGGTTCGATTTGGCTTTGAATAAATTAGATATGCAATCGGCAGCACTAAATGTAAATATTGGCAATCTTACAGTGGAGAGCGACTAGGTAACGACGAACTACAGGTAGATGCGTAGCAATGCAGCAGCTTGAACTAACTGACAAATGTGTCTATGAAGTTTGCTTTTATACCTAGCCTAGGCTACGATTGAACTTCAAGTGTAATATATACATACATACAGACAGACATCGATTTGTAAGCGTGTATTAAGGCTGTACATATATACAGACAAGAGACCAGAGACAGACGCTTAGGATTGTAGATACTTTAGACTTTGAAGCTCAAATCGCTATTGCTAAAAAGTCAACCCGGTGATTAGTCAATCGTCGTTATAACTTTATATAATGTGCATGGGGATAGTTAAACAAGCTTAATTTGATTTTAATATTAAGCAGGTGACATACGAAGCTATTCTACGAACTATCAAATCGCCGTGTGTGCACTAAATGGCATTAAAACGAGTGAACCGAAACACTTCAATCATAAAGTGCCTTTTGAATACTCAACGTATAACGTGCAAATACAATCAAATTAATGACTTTTCCCCATTCGATTACACACGTTTTAGCAAGGAAGCTTTGTGTTTTGTTCTTCCCAACATAAGTCTGTGGAAATTTCTGGAATACCGCTCATAAGAACACTGCATATTCTTGGATGAGATGGTCCAGAACCGTGCTCGAATCGTAAGTGATGGATAGCGACTCGCCCAATTGAAATATACATATTATTTTATCCATTCAACGAAAAACTTGATATATATTTTTGTATTATGTTTTATTGTAGTTACAAATATTGAAATGTAAAAAGTAACAAACACTTATACATTTTAGAAATCTGTACAAGGAAAGTAGCTGTAGACGTTTTTCAAATGATGGTATGATAGTAGTTTTGTCATTTAATGATCTCTGGAGGAATCATAATCTTTAGACCTAAATCTTGTTGTGTGTTTCAAAGTAAAATGTCAGGAGGCAGTTGCAGTTCGTGATCATATACATATATTTGTGGAACAAATCACAATTGAGTCTGGGCGGTACGTTGGCGTTGGAATATCGACTCAATTGTGGAAAAGACATCGCTGGATTTTCTAGCGGCATCGACTTTGTAGTGCAGACCCCGCAGGCCATAGTAGTCAACTAATGGGCGAGTTTGCTTGTGGTATGATTCGAGTCTCTTTTTCAAGGCCTCAGCGTTGTCATCGCTTCGTCGCATCAAAGGTTCGCCAGTAATCTAGAGTAATATGTGTTGGGGACTAAGTTTCTCTGATAGGAAATTAAATTATCTACTACGTACATCGTCCTTCATTGTGACTTTGGGAGGAGCAAACTCCTCGTGATAAGATCTCCCACTGGATTGGTGGATCAACCGTCCAGTAATTCTCCTCACCAACAGGCTGTCATCAATTGCAAACTCGATTACAGCATCCAGGTTAGCTTTCCTCTTGTCAAGCAGTGTGTCGAGCTAAATATACGAACAAAAATTCATTACAAGTATAGCCAATGACAGATTTGAATAGATCTACGCTACCTTTTCAGCTTGAACGACAGTCCTGGGGAATCCATCGAGAAGGAATCCGTTTTTACACTCGGGTTTGTCCAAATTGGAGTCAATCATATCCACCACAAGCTCATCGGATACCAATTTTCCAGCGTCCATAACTTTTTTCAATTCAGAGCCAAGCTTGGAACCGGAAGATATTTCCGCCCTCAACATATCGCCAGTTGACAAATGGCAGACACAGAACTTCTCCTTAAGAAGGGGGGCCTGAAACAGGTAATAATACAATGTTTTATTAATTATTATTAATCTTGGGTTTGCCGAACAGAAGAGTAGGGGAATCCCAAGGCGGGAAAACTTATTGTCATCAGAACACAAACATTAGATAATATGTTCATCTGTTTATCTCTGACATCTCATTGTTTACATGGTTTAAGTCGAAAATTGCTAATCTATATATGGGCGAAAATACTTCCTTTAATGAGATGTATGTACGTATGTATGTATGCACATGTGCCCACATGTAGGAATGCGGCCTCTGTAGTTATGCATATGGACATAGTTATATAAGCGCACTGGTTATATATCTTTGATAAAAAAAGAATTGATAAATGCGTCCAAGGTGCACGTTCACACATACACACGTATGTGTATACAAACGTGCGTCTATCACATTAATCACATTATGTAACATTGAACCCACCTGCGTTCCCTTGCCGGAACCGGGCGGACCTAACAGAATTGCATTGATTCCGGTAGTTTGGGGCTCATATCGCTCCACTGGTACAGCTAAATTCGGCGCCATCGTTTGGTTTATTTACAAAACTATTTACTTAGAGTCTTAATTCAAGAACTTAACTAAACGAACAAGAAATGAAGGTTAAACAGATAAGATAATAAAATCCGCAGGGCTGCATTCACAAATTCAGAAAAAATTTACACGAGCCACCCTATACTCATTTGAAAACAGACATGTTCCAATTCCATTGCCTCAATTCTTATTTATTTTAAATAATCTTGAACTTAATTCTGCTATCCGCAATTATTTTTTAAAAATACGAGAACAGTCTTGATACTATAATATTTTTATGTCTTGTGGCACTTAAAAATGTTGTCGAATTAAATTTCCAAGTGCCATGCCACACTGGGCATATTGGATGGCCCAGCTGTTAATCTGAACGGAATTTGAATGCGAAACAAAATTTCAACACAAACATCTGGCAGCAGTGCACAGCAGAGGTGCCATAAATATATCCTTTAATATTAAAACGCAACCTCTTTATATTTCTATAACAATTTTTTAACTATTTATTCTGGAATTCGTGTATTACAATTGCCATGATACATTTTGATATTGCCATCGCATCGAAAATATGCGTCAAATATGTCACTATATCCATGATCTTTCCACCAAGTGCAAAGCTGCCTATTCCACACGCAATCTAATCTATATATCAAGTTGGGGTACTCGTATCCCAGCAAGGTGAAATAATCTTGGTCTCCCAAATGACCCTTGAAGGAATATTTGGCGACCAGCGTCTGCACTTCAGAGTTTGTAAGCTTTTCCAGGTATGAGTTTGAGCTCCTTATGCGATCTAAAAGCAGCAGTACGACTCCAGAGTTCAGACCCGGATAACCATGGCGCTCATGGTTGTTGCGATTGTGTTGATTTCCCATTTCGTGGTTAATTGGATAATATGGGTTGCCAAAACCAGATTTTGGAAAACGTACGCGGTAACGGTAGAGGATATGTCGGTAAACTGGAGTAAGTTCCGGCGCCAGTCCATAGAGTTGATGCGGCAGAAAGTGATCAAATTCATTGAAGAGTAACCGAACATCAGAACGGAAGACTATATCACAATCAAGCAGAATGACTCTGTTTAAGCTTGCATCGGCGATTCTATGCAACCCGAGGGACAAAAAAAACATCGAGTCGCTATAATAAGAGTTGGGTCCTGAGCTGAAGTATGGCGACAACTTGGCAGCTATATCCTCTATTATGGTAGAGCAGACTTTGACGTCATACATCGTATATATCAATCCAAATCCAAATCGGAATCTTCGAATTTGCCGTTGAAGGATCTCCATCACGGAGCTGGAGCTCTCTTTGTCGGTGATTACATGTAGATGGAGTTGGGCACTCGTGTGCTTAAGCAGACTGTGTGCAAACAGATCGAGTTTTAGGTTTAGATGGTAGTTTTCTTTGGTATAAATTATAAATATATTATAGTCCGAAGAAAGGTGATTCAACTGTGCGCCCAGTTCCAGCTGCGGGGAGGAAAAGTTCAGCAAATAGTGGATAGGCTTTAAGATGGGCTGTTGCTGAAGGACCGTCGTTGTTTTTTGGGCATCGGAATATTTTGTCTCTTGGTTTTCAATGTGTGATAATTTGTTAAGGCGGCTCGAAAGAAATGCTGATAGTATGTTTCCCCGAACTAATACATGCGTGTTGGCGTAAATAATAAGAACACACATACAAATTAGTATCAGCAACAGCACTAATTTCTTCTGCCATCTGCACCGAAGTACGTTCCACGTCCAGCTCTTTGGTTTGGGGCGAACAGAATTTCGACGATTGATGATTAATGTCACATTTTCCTGCTCCTCCATTAACTGCGACTTGCACTTCAGCATACCATACATGCTAACGTCTGTAGGAAACGTTTTATGCTTTTGACTGATTGTTTTAAAGCTGTACTTTGCCATTTTTAAATTATAGTAGTGTAAGCTGCACCTGTATCATAACAATACAATACACGAAAAAATGATTATCTTGTGTTAGAACACACTGAACGGGAACTTCGAGCATATAAGCATTAGCGCACTAAACATTACGACTGGCTTTAACTAAATTTAACTGCAGTAGAACGGTAACAAGCACCCAATCCCAATGGAAAAAATCAATGGAGTTGGAGAAATATCGATGTTTTTCTCACACATCGATGTGATGTTTAAAATATTTATTTATTTTTCTTTATATTTATTGTGGGGAACCGCTTCTGGGATAGAGTTTTCCGTATAGCCTATTACCAATAACCATATAGTATATAGAGTGCCAGTTCATACAACGAATGTCCCATGTCCCAGGGCCTTCATCTGTTCACAATCGTTGTATGGCTAGGCTTAAAACTCGAAATATATAGCGATATATCGATACGTCCGTACGTATATCGCTAAAAACCTTAATCGCTATGTTTGTGTGTAAAAGAATTATACATAAATCTAATCATGCGCAGAAGAAGTAATGTTTTTATCAGTATAAGTACATGTCGTTCCAAAACACTGAGACCGAGATTTACATTAAGAAAATGTAATATTATGAGCATCGTATAGACTACAAAGTGTTCTATTGCGGTCTTCAATTGGATATACGCTTATATTTGGTGCAACACAATGGACGTTCATCGGATTGAAGTTCCTTTGCGATCTGGAGGCGGAAAAAAAATGAAAAAACGAAGGGAGCTCGATGCCCTTATAGCGCAGTCATCTTCGTCCAAAAGAAACACCCGTAGAACTGCTGGAGCGACGCATTCCCAGGATAAGCTGCTTTCCGTGTCCACGGATGACCCTGAGGATTATGCATGGGTAAGTAGGGGCCAAACTAATGATGAGACGTCAAGTACAAGGTTATTTATAATTGGTGTATACATATGTATCCATGCACATATGTACATGTGTACATGTACATGGAGAAGGAGTTTTCTTCACCTTGTTTATAACCTTTATAAGCGATGTAATATGACAATACATTAGTCGCAACCTTGATCAACGTCATGGCCGAGTGGATGAAGCAAGTACATACCTGCGTGATTCATTTGTGAATGCAGGTAATAAATACCTGGAACACATTTATTTACCTTGTGGTTTGGTTTTCCAGACGAATGTTGCTGGCACTACCCGTCGTAGCCATCGGAAAATGGCGTACTTTCGCATGTGTGGGCCCCTGCTCTTGGGAATCATTGGCATATTAATTGTTTCTATATTGTACTGGCTCTATTTCGATCTTCGCCAGCAAATGTCTGATTACCGTCAGAAAATCGAGGAGGGTAAGTCACAATTATCGCGCATACTGGACGTCTGTAGTAATTATGTAACTCTTATACTTATAGTATCTGCCATGAGCAAGAACTTCCCGGATACTCTGCAAAGATGGCATGAGACATCGTCCTATCTGATGAAAAATCAAACGGCAGTTATTTACGAAATAAACGAATTGCAAAAGGCTATCGAGGGCTTGCGCATGAACTTTAGCAGCCTCGAGGTAGCAGTGGCTGTTCAAAGGAATCGTGGAAAGGATGAGAAGATGGTGGCCGACTTTGGAGCCAAGTTAGAAGCTGTCGCTACAGATATTGAGGGTATAAAGGAGCATTACAACAAGTACATGGAGGTTCAGAAAAGTATTCAGGCTGAAACGGAAGCTTTAAAGGTACGTGATCCGCAACTATCCATAATACCACAATTTAATAAGATATGAAAACTCTTTCAGGCCAATTTGTCGCAGTTGCCGATGCTGCATGCCAATGAGATGCCCACAAATTTATCGGATAACATTGCAGATCTTAATCAAACCACTCTTAATTCCTTGAAGATGCTGTCAAACGACTTGAAAGTCGTGAACAACACATTGAGCCAAACAACGAACATGCTGGGAGAGGAAATATCTCTCCATAAAGTAACTAACTAATTGGCCCTCAATATTAGCTCTACTCTACCATTAACCTTTTACCTCTTGCAGACCAAAATAGATGATTTGATGGATCGTTCGGAAAATGTAACATCACATGTGGCCACCATAAGCAATAGCTGGCCGGAATACAAGCAAAAAGTAACAAACTTAGATGAGGCCTTGGACAAAACTGAAAAAGAGGTATGGAACACTCGTACTTGGCTTCTAATTGCTTGTTAATTCCTTTTTTTTTTATCCCCTAAGATTTCGCTCTTAAACAGCAAGAATACAATGCTTACTGCTGCAGTTGAGCAGTTGAAGAACTTTTGCATCCAGCGTATCCAGGGTACAAACAGCGAAGATGCATCAATTATTCCAAAGGTAAAAGCAACCGAGCGCATTGTTTCAGTTTCGAGCATCACAAAATTTGTTTCTACTTCGATTCACAGCCTGAAGTCAAAGCCTCTGGTCAGGAATTTATGAATCCGTCAGAAAATGCCACAGTTAAATTACAGGAAAACCCCAAACTGTAAGAAATGCAATACTGTACAAAAATATGGCATTTGTTCAAAGCTATTAATTATTCAATCCCCATAGCCCATAAGCCTGGGTGAAAGTCACAGCCAACGATTGAAGTGAATTACATTTAACACACGAAAACTGCAATGTACATATATGTAGTTCGGAGAGCTATCTAACTTAATGACAAAATATAGGATGGGGATGTACGAGTACTCGTGTGATTTCAGTTAAGTTTACTTTTAAAGTCCGTCTTAGAAAAGGTAATTGTAAATAGAAGTTTGTAAGGCAATGCAATATAATTCTTTATAGGTACAATATGCATTTTATGTCCAAATAATAAACGATTCAAGCTCACATGACCATTGCAATTTTGATATTTAGATCAGATCAGTTCAGTTCATTTCAGTCGATGCTTGCTATTGTAACTGTAATCACAATACATTTTATTTCAATACATAATAAACAAGAAACATTGAATTTAACAAATTATGGCCTTGGCGGGCTTTGTACTAATTATCTTCAGATTGATCATCGGTCTCGTCCCCGTCCCCGTCCTCATCGTCAAATTCTTCGATGTCTTCCCCAACAGAAGCGGGCTTCTTTTGCTTGCTGAGCAGCCATTCGCGATAGGCAGCCTCCTCCTCAACAGTCGGATCACTGGCCTCGATAAAGTCTTCCGCCCCATGGGTATACTCCTGCTGCACCATGGGCAGGTGATTGAACGGCATGTTGCGTGCATAGTATTTGTGCCCCCAGCCCAAGTATATTGATTCGCAAATGTTCTCGAATATGAATGTGTGGGCGCCTGGCCACACGTTCGATTGCATGATTAGGACGCGTTCCTTTTGATTGGTGTACTTGCTGGTTTGGCGTATCAGCCATGGCACTGCTATTTCCGGACTCATGTCGTTGGCGCACGATGACAAAATACTGGGCCCTGTTTCCGGTTGATTAAAGCCCTCAATCATGCCCTCTTCTTCGCCCTCTTCCTCATCCTCGACCTCTTCTTCCTCCTCCTCCATCTCTTCTCCCATTTCCTCCAAGAGTCGCATTTTCAAATATAGAGCTAGAGCCTTCTCCCGCTCCTTTTGGGCCTTTTCCTCATCAAACCACATGACCCGACCCTGGTTCAGTATATTCGATCGGACGTGGACCCATGCCACTGGAGTGGACAAGGATCCCAGCGGTTCTATTTCATATTTTTCATTTTTTAAAAGCATAACGTCGTTATCTGTAAACCCATTTTTGCAATCCAATTTGAATTGTGTGTGACATAAATGTGCTTGTATTTACCTTCAATTTGATCTTCTTCGCCTTCGTTTAAATTTTCTTCCACCTCCTCCTCCTCCTCCTCTTCCTCCCCTTCATCGAGATCATTGCCCTCGAACATTCGCTTCTCCTTTTTGGTCATGCGTCTGTAATAGCCTATGGGGGCGATGTAGGTGCCAGCCGTAATGCGGCCGATCATGGCGCGCAGGTAATGCTTTTCCTTGCCGGGAAAGCATGGATACGAGATAACATCCGCTTCCAGATCGCCAGTGAGAAACTTCTTGATTTGCCGCGAGACGACCACTTGGCGGGGCGTCACTATGGGCAGCTCAATCCAATCATCGGACAAGGAATTGACCACAAAGTACGAATAGCGATTGCAGCCAACGCCAATGTACTCGGGCGGTATATCGTAGAACTCAATTTCCTCCACCAGGGGGACATCTGCTGCTTTTGGCTCCATGATATCTAGCTCTTCAAATGGATAATTTTCCCAACCGTAGATGCCTGGAGTGAGTTCTGGACCAATGTGCGGCGGCAGTGGTCGCTCCTCTCTGTCCCGGCGCATCTTGATGGGCAGCTGCTTCTCTCGCAGCTCGTCCTCCATCATCGCCATACGGGATTGTATTTCCTCGCGAGTGAGCGTGGCCTCCACTATATAGTATGAGGCCTTCAACCCATTGATGCAGCCCCAAAAGCGGCACTGCATTATCGAGGAGTGTGTCTGCAGTCGGTTCATGGCGCAGGCCAACTGGAAGATGTCATCACTGCTAATGCTGAAGCCGCACTGATTCCAATAGAACTGCAGTTGCTGGACGCGTTCGTTGAAGGTCACAAACAGACGCATGGAGTCATCGATGGCTAACCGTAGCTCTTCTTCATCATTTGTTTTCCCGTCTTCGCCATATAAATCTTCTGCACCAACCAAGTCTTCGCCCTCAATATTGTAGGGTAGCTGCAGGCATAATTATAGTAAACCTTTCAGATTAATTACATATATCTTAAGTTAAGTACCTGCATTGATTGGAGAATCTGCTTTGCGACCTTGAAGGTGCGAACCTCGTCAAAGATTGCATTGGGCGGAAAACGCTCGGGCAAGTGAAATTTCTGCTCGCGTACATTTCTGCTGAATTCCTCAAAAAAATCAATCACATTCGGCGGACGCTCATCAATGACCCGCTTGATAATATCGCTCAAGTGATCAAATCTATTTGGAAGATGCGTATTGAGAAGATACTCGTACTTAATAGTCACAGTTAAATACACACAAGTTATCGCCACTCAATGTGCTGTACTGCTGCATTATGGCCTTGGCCACATTCACTTCATAGTCAATATTGGGAGGCTCTTTAACCAGGGCTTTGTTGAAATGGCAATCGGAGTCGAAGGCCCCCATCGATATGGTGGTCGAGGAGGACGACGATGTCGATGTAATCACTTGCGAGCATTGTGGCGACGTCTCCTGCTCCACAATAATCGCATCTGGTTTTTTCTTCTTGGTAACACAAGGCGGCGGTAGCCCCAGCTCAGAGCTGGATGTTGAGCCGAATGAGAAATTTTGGCACGAATTGTTATCCATCGTAGTATTTGTTATTATATTTATTTGATATTTGTTGTTGGTAGACTTATAAAAAAAACTATATGTGTTGTATGGCTTCAAGGCAGACAATGAATGATGAAGTAACAGCCAACATTGTTTTTAAGTTTTCAATTTTTATTTGAATTTTACAGTCGGCTCTCAGGCAGTCTATCGAAATCGAGACAGTCGTTGCCTTTTAACAGAGTTATGGGAGTTGCCTGCAGGTGTGTGTGTGTGTGTGTGTGTGTTTTTACCTGTTGTTTACCTTACATCTAATTCTCTCCTCTCTGTTTGGTGTGCGGAAAAAAGAAAGTGCCCAAGAAAGTTGCGATGTGCTGATAGTAGTAGAAACATTTCAAATGTTTATTAATTTATAAATCAATTGCATGTAGAATCTCTTTCCCGAATTCTCAACCAACTTTCTTTGACATAGAAGACTTCCCTTCCTAATAAAGGTAGCAAATAGATCGGATCGATTGGTTGCATTTGCGAACAGGGAGGGGCTGCTGCTCCAGCTGATCGAGCATAACTCGGAACCTCTGAATATATAGCACAGCCTATAAAATGTATTATCTTAATGAAACAACTCTTCCGTCGACGGAGAACTACGCCCAAAGAGAAGCCCATGCATCCAACTTAGAGCTAAAGACTGTATCCATTAATCCAGATGGTAAGTAACAAACCCCAAGTAAGCCCACAAGAGTATTGATATTGTTATTGTGCAGATACATATACGGTTCAACAAGCAATTAATGCATTCGGATTTGGATGGTTCCATGTGAAACTGTCGCTGATGGTGGGGCTTTGCTGGATGGCAGACTCCATGGAAATGGCCATTCTAAGTATTATTGGTCCGGCATTGTTCTGCGAGTGGAACGTGAGCAAGTTACAGCAAGCTTCAGTCACAACAATTGTGTTTTTGGGAATGATGATTAGCTCTAGTTTTTGGACCCAGCTGAGCAACAGATATGGCCGCAAATCGGTAAGATACTCTCCAGTCTTTAATGGTCTTCAAATTAAACTAATTAACATCTTTGCAGGCACTCACCTTGTTTGGAGTACTATTAGTTTTATATAGCATTCTAAGCTCAGTTGCCCCCAGCTATGCTTGGCTTCTAACGCTGCGAGGGCTCGTAGGGTTCACCATCGGATGCGTCCCACAATCGTGAGTACATATTGTCATAAAGAGAAACTCTTCCATACTCAAATAAATGCACATTTAAGTGTCACGTTGTATGCAGAGTTTTTGCCCACAAAGCACAAGGGAAAGTGCGTCGTCCTAATGGATGTAAGTATCTGATAGTTTGGCCTCCTACATCGAATATTTGTAATTTCCTTTTACATTTATGTACGAATATCAGTGCTTTTGGGCATTGGGAGCGTGCTTCGAGGTTGTCTTGGCCCTGGTTATATATCCCTACTTTGGATGGCGAGGACTTTTGGGATTGTCGGCTACGCCGCTATTGATTTTCACACTGCTCTCCCCGGTATTTAAATGGACTATCTATTAACGTCAAAGAAATATATTAAAAACTTTCAGTGGCTTAGCGAATCGGCTCGATATCACTCAAATAATGGACGTAACGATAAAGCCTTAAAGGTTCTAGAGCAGGTACGAACACAGGGATATAGTTCATATAGTGAAGTCAACTGCTAACGTTTAATTTGATTTGATTTTAATTGGCACAGATAGCACAGAATAATAAGCGTCATATGCTGATCGGTCGCTTGATTGCCGATGAAGAGCCCAGCTCCACCGAGAGCTTCAGGTCGCTTCTGAGTCCCAATCTGTATCGGACCACTCTCCTATTATGGTTTATATGGCTTGCCTCGGCTTTCTGTTATTACGGATTGGTGCTGGTTACCACAGAGCTGCTGGTTGCGCGAAACAAGGAGAAATATCCGAATGAGTGCGTTACATTTATGACCTCCGATTTCATGGACTTGCTCTGGATTACTCTGTCGGAATTTCCCGGTATACTGCTGACAATCAAAGTGATTAAACTGTTTGGAAAGAAGAAAACAATTGTCCTACAGTACTTGGTACTGGTCTTGTGTACTTTCGTGTTAACGACAGTCTCGAGGTAATGTTTCAATTATTATTTTAGCATCTAATAGATTTATAATCTTTATTTTCAGTCGATTCTCCACTTCGGCTACACTCTTCATTGCCAGGGGAGCGATATCAGGAATTTTCCAAGCGATATATGTCTACACTCCCGAAATATATCCCGCTGCTCTGCGATCCATAGGTGTCTCAGGATGCTCTGTGTTGGCCCGGCTCGGCGCCATGCTCACCCCGTTCGTGGCCCAAGTACTGATGGAGTCGTCCAGAGTACAGGCCGTTTCTATCTATGGATGCGTTGGACTCCTCGCAGCCATCGCGTGCGCTTTTCTGCCCCGCGAAAATATGGGATATCACTAGTTGTGTGTCGGAATGAAAGCGAAATTCGAAATCTAAATGTAATGCCTGACCCATAGCAGAAATTGCTGCTCAATTTCCAACCACATTTAAAGCATTTGCCTAGTTTTGGGCTTGTGTGTAATAACGGTGGGCACGACTAGTTTCTTAATTGTTGAAAAACTAAAATAAGTTTTCTTATTTTCTCAGTATTTTCAATGTAGTTGATGCTATTCTCAAAAGGGAATCTTACATTCAGTTATGAGTGCCAAGAAATGGAGCCTCCCTTACTACAATGATTGTAGGTTGTGGTTCTGATGTTGGTTGCTGTTCCTAAGTAGTCTCTAGGATAGCTGGAAATTCGCGGATGAATCATCTAAAATTGAGAGAAAAAAAGCTCAATAAGTGCTCAATGAGATGTGACCAAACCAAATGATCATTATGCTCTAGGTTTTTAAGCTTTTACAGTTCCCTCCTTTTTGGGACCAGAGACCAGATGCTTCTTCGTCTATATTCAGTATTGGGAGTAATTAGACTGGGATGTTTAACCCTAGTGATTAAAGTACCCTCCCCTCACCGCCCTTATGCAACAAACAATCGACTATATATAATTCATCCTGTTAATATACATGCATACATACATATGTACAAGCAATATAAATATTTAAATTATATTTTTACAAAACTGATTTATATATTACAACAATACGAGTGTGGTGTGTGTGGTATGTAAGGGAAGGGAAGGGAAGGGATGTGCATACGTACCATACATTAATATATACTAGCATAGTGTGACAGCTATAAACTTTTAGAACGTATTTGTGTTTGTGTGTGTGTGTTTGTATTAGAAGTAGATGAGAATCTAAGCACATACATCTGTATGCATATGTGTATGTATGTATGTATGCAGCTATGCACATGCATTGGGAGGTGCATTATTTTTAAATTCTGAAACGATTTTTTCGAGGAAAGCTTTTGTTGTGATCAGCAAATATCGATCAGTCGTACAGTTGTCGGGATGCAGTTAAATTCATTGGTATCTGCACGCGGCGGCTGGTTCTTTTTTTCCTTCTTATTTTCTCGCGACGACCGTCTATAAGGAAATCTAATATACTGCGCGCTACATCCGAACCGATCGAATATTGCGAACAAAATTATGACAAACGAATTCCGGTCATAGCCTAGCCCATAGCCGAATAATATAAACAGCCCATCCTTTGATTTACGTGGCGCTAGAGCGTGTCCAAAAACCCTGTGCAAATAAATAGAAACGAATTTTTGAGCTGCCTGCAGTAATAAGTTATGCAATACAGAAGTGCATTCATTTATGCAGAGAGTGTAATGTGAATTAAGTGGAGTGGATAACAAAGTCAATCAGAGATCCAAAACTACTATGGATAACGTAAGTCATGCGTGTCGGGTCGGGTCGGTTCCGTAAACATTCAACATAAATTCGTGCGAGATATGAACATGTGCCAAAATTTACTTATTAATACATTTGTGCAATGCAACCTACATACATGCATACATATGTGCTGAGAAGAGTATATGTACATATAGTAGAGCACGATTACTGGGAGCATTTCGAATAATCAAAGACAATGGATAATATTTGAATTTGAAACCATTCTGTGGGTTAAATTTTAACTCTATTGGAAAATATCATATTAGAATAAATCCATTCATCTGATCGCTGAGAGAAGTTTTTTTTCTAATTTCCAATATTTCGGGGATACAATCAATAAATTGTTTTCAAGAAGCTGATCCAATAATCCAAAATATTAAATGTTAGACCTCCGGGAAAGTCCAAGTTTACATAGTGCGTAGTGCCAAATGGATCTCGATCGATCGTAAGGAAGCCCCGCTAAAGAGAGGACACTGTGTTGCACCGTGCAATCAGCTGATGTCGATCGTATCAAGCTTTGCACTCAGTCAAATTGAAAAGCGGAATAAATAGACGAGCCATGCCCCGCGTGTCTATGTCAACCGCAAAATAGAATTTCAGCTAACGAGCTAATTTTTGCACAGCACAGAGACAGACTGAACAAGCTGCGAGCTTTCCGCGCTCTTAATTAAATATCCAATCGTACATTGAGTTAACACTCCGTTGTAGTGCTTCCTCTTTTGATTTTAAAGAACGCTACACCTTGTTTATCTGTTAAATCAACAGGTTCCGGACATTGTGTTCGTGAGTCGTGACTATCAGGCTCAAACATTGGCCGCGGACGAAATCAGTGTTGCCCGCGGAGACCTGGTCGAACTGTTGAGCACAAAAGCAGCAGAAAAATCAAGGTACGTTGGACTAACCAAGGTTTAAGGCTAAAGAGTTTAGAATAGTGAAAGCGATTGATTTTTGGGGGTCTTGTTTTCCCTCCCTTGCAGATGCTTTGTGCGAATGTTCGATAGTGGGGATTCCCCCAAGGAAGGCTGGGTGCCAATTGAAATACTGGAATTTAATCCCAATATGAATAACTCAAATGGAAAAGAAACCGGCGATGCGGAGTTTAAAAAGCGGTAAGCATTACGAACTAAAAATCTGTACCACCTATTGATCGGGTTATTTTCAGAACCATCCTGAGGGAGCTGGTGGAAACCGAGGAGGAGTTCTCCAGGGATCTGCTCCATGTAGTGGAAAAATACATTAAAGGCATTGATAAACCGGTGGTGCCCAGATCGGTGAGAGACAACAAGGATGTCATATTCTGCAACTTTCTGCACATTGCGGAGTTTCATAATAAGTAAGTTACCCAAGGCAGATTCGATCCGAGAAGAGTATCAGTATTGTCTATCGCACATTTGCAATTGCAGTGTGCTCAAGGAAGGACTCAAGTGCTACAGCAATCAGCCGAATATGGTGGCCAAGACCTTCCTGCGCCTGGAGCGGGACTTTGACAAGCATGTGGAGTACTGCCAAAACGAGCCACTGGCCCAGGAGTACCTCAGCTCCAACCCTGAGGCAAACAAATACTTTCAAGTGAGTTATCTCAACACGAGACTCCACCGAATTGGCAGCTAGTGAGTCTTTATTTTGGGATATGCACGGGCATAAATTCGCCATAGATCATTTTTGGTGTCGATAATGCTTTCGTTTCATCTGTTCCTTGCAAGCTTCTGGCCAAAACGAAAAAATATCTTTGACTTTTACTCGTATTTGTGTAATTATTGGTTGAATTCAAGCTGCCCCAAACGTTGGATCGGATCGTCCACACATATCATGCGTATGGGTACGAGTATGTGCGAGAATATCAGTTTATTTTTAAAGGCAAGACGCTTTCCACCCCAAAGCTTTCGCAGTTTTCAGTTGCTTCCGAGTGGTGTTGGCGGTCGTGTCGTGCTAATTATTCCCATACGTAACCGTTTCGCTTTAGGTACTTGAAGTTCCTTCCAACTACTTTTGTCATAAATGAAATCCACAAAGTTATTGTGACAGTTATCTAAATAGTTATAGAGACTTTTTCCTTAAATGTTTAAAAAAAAAAGGGTTTCAACCACACCATAAAACGATTTAAGATCGATCTGCTTGACTGCTTTCGATTGATGTGTGAAAAAGTGAAGCGAGAACCAAAAATATTTCAAATCAATTTGTTAATATTTGTGACGTTTTCCCGTTATGCAACATTATTTTTCCGACATTTTACTGTGCACGATAATACTAATGTACATATGCATATATATATTTAAAGATATGTACATTAATACGTATATATATTTATAAATATATATATATACATATGCGAAGACTTTTCCCGCAGCCACAGCACACTTATTTGACCTCACATCTAAAAGTATTCAAATGCGTGTATATACGGGCAAATATATTTATTGTAACATTGACTTTAAAGAGATCGCATCGTGTCTGCTCGTAATTGGTTCAGCAGTGAATATTCGTGGTATTCGTGGTCTGGTGAATATGAAGAGTGAATAAAAGACATACCCCCAGTCCATGACCGAGTGAATCGCTCTAAACATATTCTTATATTCACATATTGAGTATACATATTCGTACATGGATGGCAGACACGTACATACATCTGACTATGTCTTTCCAAACCGAAAATCATTCACGCACACATATCCATTTTTGCAACAAGTGATAAATTTTTAAACATCGTTCCAAAAATAACCCAAACGCGAGAGAGATAGAGAAAAAATTTTTGTTTTGAATGTATAAGTGAATATTCAATGCTCTCGTGGATGGGAACGGGTGGGTGGGGATGGCGAACTGGCGCAAGTCCAAACCCAAACGGATGCACAAAACTATCAAATCCGCAAATATCAACAAATATTATTATTCCATTTTGCCATTTTTCAATAAATTCGATTTATTTTTTCATAGATAGAAAACATTTTCTAGAACATTTTCATGTCCTTGGTTTTGCAGGAACTTTCAAAACAACTTGGAGACGATAAATCTCTTTCGGAACATCTGAAGCTACCCATCCAACGGATAAACGATTATCAACTTTTGTTCAAGGTTTGGACATGACCATACAGACATACATACATGCTCGTATATTCTCTACATACATATATATATATTGTAGTTGTTCAATCTGCAATCTTTGTTTTTATAAGTTACACACAATAATACTATGCTAGCTAATCATCCTCTGCTTCATGCTAAGACTACTCTATAAATGTTTGTTTTCGCAGGACTTCATTAAATACTCACTAAGCTTGAAAGAGAATGTTAAAGACTTGGAGCGGGCCCTAGAGTTAATGCTTAGTGTGCCGAGTCGAGCATATGACAACAGATTTCTTTCCAGCATCGAGGGCTGTCGCGGCAACATCTACAAATTGGGGCGACTCTTGCTCCACGAGTGGTGCACTTTGATCGACAAAGACGGCAAGGCGCATGAGCGCTACTGCTTCCTGTTCAAGTCCAGAATACTGATAACCAAGGTTCGCAAAATATCCGAGAGCAGATCCGTGTTTATCTTGCAGAACATCGTCAAGCTGCCGCTCTGTAATATCGAGCACAGAGCCGATGAGAAACAGATTCTCATAAGCCTGAAGGTCCCCGACGCAAACTCAATCTTTCCGATTAATATTAAGCCGCACGGCGGAGAGGCTCCCCTCACCTGGTTCAAAGAGATTTCCTCGCATGCCAACCAAGACGTTACCCTGCAAGAGCACAACGCAGACGATCTGAAAGTCGACTCCTCCCAAGTAGCCGCCGAAAGCGAGCTGCTGCTGCACCTGCCTCAGCGCGCAGAGGCTCATGATCCCAGTTCTAGTGTTCGTCCCTCCGATGTGGCCGAGAACTACTTCCTGAGCAAGGAGACCAAAGAGCGTCTGCAGCTCGAGCAGCAGGAACTGCTGAAGCTTGAGCAGGAGGCCATCGAGCTGTACAAGAAACAGCACGACCGGCAATACACTTCAAAGACAATTACCGAAAAGCACACCAAGGCCGAGTCCATACATATTTCTAGTTCGCAGTCGCAGTCTACTTCGTCGGAAGTTCGTACCAAGACTGAAGCCACCAGAGAAGAGTTCATTTCTAAGGCTGCTCCAGAGAGGTCTACTCCATCTCCATCTCCATCGGTTCCGCCAGTCAAAGAGGTTGCACCACAGCCCAAACCGGAGGCAGCTTTAGTGCCAGAATCGACTTCAGATTCCAGGGAAGTCGAGCAAGTGGCTGTCGCCAGTTCAATTGCAAAGCAAGAAATACACGAGCACGTAGCTGTATCTGTAACTGAGAAAACCACCGAGTCAAGTGCAATCGAATCGGTTGTTCGGAAAGAAGAGTCTGCCACCGAAACCAGCCAGATTGAAGAGTTATTAGCTGGTAAGAGCCCCGAAGAGCTAAAGCCCAATACTTCACAATATTCGATTCCAAAAATTCAAGTGTACAATCCAGTAGAAAACGAAAACGTAAACGAAAACAAAAGCGATAACACTGTTGTAACTAAGCACAGACCCATAGAGCTCAAAGATATCGTTGGCTACAGCGAATCCCTGCAGGATAGCGACACTGCGCCGAGGGGTTCGCAGGGCCGACAGGGATACACTGCTAATATAACCGATAATGCTTCATTAACCATTTGGAATAACCGACTTACCAACATAGCAAACGATAGGGGCGGCGCTAATCAATACCTGCAGCAGACAGGGCCGCCTCCGCCTCCAATTCCGCCTCATTTCACGCGAATGCCCGGCTTCTTCCAACCGCTTCCGCTCATTTCGTATGAAACCACCATCGAGATACTAATTGTCAAAGCACGCCCACCCTCACCGCCTCCACCGCCGCCGCCCACCATCAAGCGCCTCCTAGTCCATACTGAGAGTCTAGAGCAGAAGACACAGAACTTCTTTGAAGGCATCTACGACGTGTCCTCGTCGGACACCTCGCTGCGCAATGCAAAACAGAAAATTCGAAGCATTAAGAACACGGTCCTCAAGTCGAAGGACTCCACTAACTATGCCCAGGACACTGTACAGAAGGCAAAAGCACGCGACTTCTTGCACATATTTACCCCTCCCGTTAAGAAAAGACCCATCTATGAGATTATCGAGGAGCCCGTTAACATTTTTGAGCTTGAACGCGATTATACTGAGTCTCTTGCTGACGATTTCAGAGAGCCAAGTGCAGATTTTGAAGCCAGAGGCCAAAGCGTCGGTGGCATGGATGATTATTATTCTGGCTACTCAGTGGCTTCCAAACGGCGCTATGAAAGTAAGTTGCAGACTCTCTGTTCCATTCCATTTCAGTTCAAATATAATTATTTACTTGTATGTGAAAGTAATTTGTGTGACTATCGATGGGATCGTTGGGATCGTTGGGATTGGGACCCATGTTAAATGTTCATAAATGTCCAAATGTCAGGAATAGGTTGTTTTTGTTGCTCTTATCTTCTAGCAAATCAAATTCAGAAAGTTTCATGTACTTTTGCGTGAGTTTCGCATGTTCCGTTTTGCCTGCTGTCTACGTACTGCAAAACATGAATGTGTGCGTGCCGAACACTTCTGTAGAGTCACAAACGTTCCTCGTTCCGTTCCTCGTAAATAACTGTGTTCAAATCAATTCATCTCAATGTTCAGATCAGATACACAGACTCTGCTTGTTTTTAATTAACAATTTATTTGTGTCTATTCCTTCACAATCCTCCATTGAATCCCACACACATGTATATCCAATCCTTGTCAGATTTCCCCAATTGGTTTACAGTCAATTCAGATTCTAAAGAATACAAGAAGCGATGCAAAAATACATGTATATCGATCTGTTGTATGCATATATTTTTACGTTGTGCTTAATTGATTAATGAAATCGTATTAAAATATACTTTCCATGCTTCGCCTCTCGAAACCAGCATCCTCCAGAACGCGGGACTACGACAGAGGTACTTCGTACGACAGCACTGCCGAGAAGCACTATGGAGTGAGCTCCAGACGCGATCGTAGCTCCGTTGACAAGGTTGAGGCACGCTCATCCCTTCTGGCCACAGGCCGCACAGAGAGTCGCGCCGAGAGTCGAGCTGAGAGCCGCGCATCCTACTCAGTCGCCGAATCGCGTGCTGGCATCCGGTCTGCTTCCCGTCAATTAGAGGATCGACCCCTGCGCTCTGTCGACAAGCCTGTTGTCGTAAAGATGCTAAAGAGCGTCCAAGTGGACAGTAAGTTCTCTCATACATAATTATACTGCTGCTCAGACTCAGCCAAACCCCGTTTCAGTTGGAGAGACAGCGCATTTTGAGATCCAGTTCAAGGATCAGCCCGGACTGGTTACCTGGCTGAAGGATAACAAGCCCTTGGAAGATCGTTTGGCTGATCGAGTGATTCAGACGAGTGCCCCAATGAATTCGTATCGGTTGGACATCAAGAACTGCAGGTTTGAAATACATTCTAAATGAGTTTCCCCCCTTCGAACCCTTAATATATTTTTTTGTTGCAGTGAGAGCGATGCAGGAACATACACCATACGCGCTCAATCCGCGTCGGAGACAACAACCCTATCGGCCCAGCTGGCTGTTGGCCAAGGTATGCTAGAGGTTCAATAAAGCTTAATAAAATTACTTCATTTTTCATTATTTTACACATGTTATACAGCACCTGGCCATGATGAAACTAAAACCAATGTGGCGCCAGCCTTTTTGGTTAGCCTGAAGGATGCTGAAATGATTGAGAACACTCTCTTCCGTTTCATGATCAAAATCAAAGGCGATCCCAAGCCCAGGGTCAAGTTGTAAGTACAAAGAGAAAGCCAAGCCTCGGTCGAATGGGTCGAATGAACCAAATTTTATGTTATTTTCAGCTACAAAGATCAGGTGGAAATACTGGAGATCAACGATCGCATTCAAATTATCAGAGATAAGGACTATTTGGGTTTCTATGAGCTGGTCATTGCCGATGTACAGAAAAGCGATGCGGGAGCCTACACGTGCAAGGCCTCGAATAAGTATGGCGATGCCAGCTGTGAGGCTGTGGCCACCACAGTGGGTAGGTATTCGATGATCGATTGGCATGTCCATCATTGCATTAAATTATTTGATTTTCAGAGGACAGGAATCCGTTCGGTGCGCTCAGTGGTCAGATTCTGCCTGCCGGACGAGAAGCCCGTGTTCGCATGGAAGCGAAACGGAGAGGAGTTCGATCCCGAGGAACGCTTCAAAGTGCTCTTCGGCGAGGACGAGGACTCGCTGGCGCTGGTCTTCCAGCACGTCAAGCCCGAGGATGCCGGCATCTACACGTGTGTGGCGCAGACATCCACTGGCAATATCTCCTGCAGTGCCGAGCTGTCGGTTCAGGGCGCCATTCAGACGCTGAACAGGGAGCCGGAGAAGCCCACCTTGGTGATCGAGCACCGCGAGGCCAACACGAGCATCGGCGGAACGGCCATCCTGGAGCTGCAGTGCAAGGGCTTCCCCAAGCCAGCCGTCCTCTTCAAGCACGAGGGCGAGGTCATAGAGGTCGATGACCGGCACAAGTTCATGTACGAGGACGAGGAGAGCATGTCCCTCATTATAAAGAACATCAACACAGCCGATGCCGGAGAGTACACCATTGAGGCTGTGAATGAACTGGGCCAGGATGAGTCGACCATTAATCTGGTTGTGAAAGGTAAAGCTTACAATTAATTATAGAATGAGAAAATTAAGCTAACGCCTTCCCTTGTAGCTCCACCAAAGATAAAGAAGATTAAGGACATTACTTGCTCGGCGGGCGAGACAATCAAAATGGAAATCGAGGTGGAAGGCTTCCCGCAGCCCGAGGTGATTGTTACCAACAATGCGAAGGATGTGAGCAGCGAGAGCAACGTGAAGATCTCATCCAGCTCCATTGGAAAGAGCTTGGAGAAGGTGGTGGTCGAAATTTCGGACATTAAGCTCGCCCAGGCGGGCAACTACTCGATACGGGCCACCAACGACATCAGCCAGACGTCCGAGTACTGGAGCTGCACCGTCAAGTCAAAGCCAGTGATAGTCAAGCACTTCGAGTCCGAGTACATCCACGGGGAGAAGGAGAGCGTGCAGATCACAGTCCGGATAGATGCCTATCCCGAGGCGAAGCTCCTTTGGTACCACGACGAAACTGAGATCAAGCTGAGTGACTCCAAGTACAGCGTAAGCACCGATGGGAACGCCTACACTCTGAAGATCAGTGGCGCGACCCGCGTGGATGCTGGCAAATATACGGTCAAGGCCACCAACGAGCACGGCTCGGCGACCAGCTCCACGCAGTTGCTGATCAAGTGCACGCCGGAGTTCACCAAGAAGCTGAAAAACATTACCGTGGTGGAAGGCGACTCCAATGTGGAGCTCGTTGTGGGCATCGATGCCTATCCCAAGCCACACGTCAAGTGGTACATTGACGGCATCGAGATCGATGAGAAGAGGAACGATTTCCGTCATGTGGAGGAGGGAAACGACTTCAAACTGGTTCTCAATAAGGCGGCCACCAATATGCAAGGAACATACTGCTGCAAAATAATGAACGACTATGGAAAGCTTGAGGACAATTGCGTTGTGACGGTCAACTGTGAGTGTGCCTCCCCTTTATATTTTCTGTGCTCGCTGATTATTCCTTGTTATTTCCAACCCAAGGCAAACCCAAGGTGAAGCGGGGTCTCAAGAATATAGAGGTGCAGGAGGGTAAATCCTTTACCTTGGAGGTCGAGGTGTACAGCGAGCCAGAGGCGAATATTAAATGGTAAATGGCAAATTATACAGATTTTAATTGTTGAGATACCCAACACACACACCTGCATATTCGTGTCTTTTACCTAGGTTCAAAGATGGCCACGAAATCTACGAAGATGCACGCATTAAAATCTCACGCGACTCTCAGCGCATTGAAAATTACTACTTGACGCTGAATCTGGCCAAAACTGAAGACTCGGGTACTTACGAGGTGAAGGCAGCAAACTTCATTGGCGAGACGACCTCCACCTGCAAGGTCGTTGTTTTGAGTAAGTTTCCCTGGGCATAACAGAAGCGAAGATTTAATTCTGTGTGTATTATAATGTTGGGGGGAACGAACCGTAAATTTAGGGCACAGAAAAGGAGTACCATCAATCCGTAGGGTTTTTCTTTTGAAATTACATTGAAAACGTAACCTAATCTTCGATATGAAATTTTGATACAGCAAGCGACACAATGTCTCTGGAACAAACAGTGACTAAAACAATGATTGCGACGACTGAACAACCTGAAGAAGGGGGTAAACCACAAAAACATTTACAATACATCAACAATAAGAGCCATAAAATAATAACTTAATGGATGTGGAATGAACAAATTAATATCGAACATGACAACATTAACATCCCACTCATTCATCCATCATCCATCCAATCAAAACTGTACAAAGAACAAAACAAACACTAATCCAGACGAATATTAACCATCTGTAATAAACGCGAATTGAATGCCTCTCTGTGTGAATCGTTTTAAGGGAATGGAATGATTCGAGTGGAGTGGAGTATGTATTTACTTACAAATAAATAAATGCACGAGCATCTAAATCCGACATCGACTCTTACCGAACGCAGAGTAATAGCACTCACGAGTAATACTCGTGCCTAAAAATAGTTTATAAGCATTGAATGTCTTTTTATACAATGTAAATGCACTGCTTTAGGGGTGATATCACTTTGCTCACATGTGTACATATGTATCTCTTCAAAATAATCATCAGCACTCGACCTTCTGGATACTGTGATATTTGATTGGATTTTCAGAGCTCTAACGCAGGAACAAATCTGCAGCATCGTTCTGCTACTGGAACATATTAATTTAACATATTAATTTGAATATTTTTATTGGATATGTGGGCTGGGTTTACAATACTTTCAGTGACAAAAGGCTGAAAGATTATGGATAAATGCTGCACTGCAAAACACTAACCAAACAATTCGATTGTGTACTATAAGTACTTATTCTCTGTACAGATATATGATAGTGAAAAACTAGCAATTAAGTTGAGCATTTATTAGATCCACACTTATCTGATAACTGCCTCATTTGTAGCTGTTCCTGAAATCCTGCACGTGGACGTCTTCCAGACGCACAGTTTTGAGAGTGTTCCACTCAAATACGAGGTCATTGCCACGGGCATACCAAAGCCGGAAGCGATATGGTATCACGATGGGAAACCAATTACATCGGATAAGCATACGGCCATTACCGTGGATGGGGTTTGTTTCATCTGAATGCCTGAATACACAACTACGGGATATTCGAGTAAAACAATTGATTTATTGCAGGATCATTATAAGCTGGAGGTGGAGTCCCTAGATCTGGTGGATGCTGGAGAGTACAAGGTGGTTGTGCAAAATAAATGTGGCGAGAAGTCGCATCAAGGAGATCTCTCTCTCTCAGGTGGGATATGCCATTCAAAAATATATCAATATCAATATAATCAATTTATTCCATTGCTCATCCGTTTGAAGGTGTGGCTGAATACCGCAAGCCGTTACTCACCAAGGGATCGGGATTGAAGGACATTAAGGTGAACAAGGGCGATAAGGTTTCGAAGCCTGTCATATTCACAGCTGATCCAGCTCCCGAAATCGTGTGGCTGAAGGACGGCCAGCCGGTGAAGGAGAGCAATAACCTCAAGCTGAAGGTGGAAAAGAAAGAACTTGAGCACGGGCTGCAGCAATATACCTGCACGCTGAATATTTCGGATGGTATTGCAGTTCATTTTGTGTAAAGTTGGTAGGATACTCAACTCTCTATTCGATTACAGCTGATATAAAGGACTCGGGACGGTACGAGCTGAAGGTGAAGAACAAGTACGGAGAGCTGGCCACCAGCGGGTGGGTAGATGTTCTGGCCAAGCCAGAGATTTCCGGACTGGTGGACAGCAAGTGCATGCCCGGCGACACCGTCTGCTTCGAGGCCTTGGTACTCGCCAACCCCAAGCCGAAGGTGTCCTGGACCAGGGGCAATGAGAACCTCTGCAACAACGAGAACTGTGAGGTGATCGCTGACGTGGATGCCGACAAGTACCGACTCGTCTTCCAGGCAGTCTCTCCAAGCGAATCCTCCAAATACACCATTACCGCAGTCAACAGCGAGGGCAGGTCCAGTGTTGACTTCAACTTGTCTGTGCTGGGTAGGCTCCTTTTGTTTGGTGTTCCCTTGGTAATCGCTACAACAAATTATTTAAACATTTTCCAGTGGAGAAGCCCACATTCATTGTCAATCCTGAGAGCCAGAGCATTCATGACTACCGGCCAGTTTCCACTAAGGTTCTGGTCCATGGCGTCCCACTGCCAACCCTTGAATGGCTCAAGGACGATAAGCCCATTAACTACGAAGCCATCAACAAGCCCAACAAGGACAAACTCTACAAGAAGGAGGACACCAAGAAGGGATCCGATCAAATCGAAGGTGTCTTCGATATAAAAACATTCAGGGACAACGATGCTGGAACGGTAAGTGAAATATCCCATCCAATCCATTCCATGAACAGTCAGTATCAAAGTGCATATTAACTGGAGTGCCTTGCCTTGCTCTTAGTATACCTGTGTGGCCACCAATGAAATCGGAGTGACAAAAGCATCCTTCAAGCTGGCTCTGCTCTCGCTGGCGCCAAGCTTTGTCAAGAAGCTGGACAATGCCCTGGACGTGCTGCAGGGTGAACCCCTCGTTCTGGAGTGCACCGTCGATGGCAGCCCTCTGCCCACAGTCCAATGGCTAAAGGACGGCGAAGAAGTGAAGCCCAGCGATAGGTATGCCACTAGCAGCAACCCGACACCGACACAGCCAATAATGTACCACCTATACCATTCTTTTCAGTGTAAAGATCTCCACTAGCCCCGAAGGATTGGTCAAATTGGAGATCAACCACTGCGAACCCAACGACTCGGGCGCCTACAAATTAATCATATCCAATCCGCACGGAGAGAAGGTGGCACTCTGTGCTGTGGCTGTTAAACGTATGTAATGCATCTTTTATCTTCTACTCACTAAAGTATATTGCTTTGGAATACAGCTGAGGAGATGGAGCCGAAGTTCATTAAGCCACTCACGGGCCAAACTGTTGTCGTGGGTGAACCTCTGAAGCTGCTGGCTGAGGTGTTCGGTTTCCCAGCTCCCGAAGTCAAATGGTACAAGGACGGCATGTTGCTTCGTCCCAGTCCGGAGGTTAACTTTATCAACAATCCCAATGGCCAAATCGGACTGAGGTAGGACACTTGTGATATACATATTACGGCAAATAGGGATTCAATCTATCATCCAATGTTTAGCATTGATGCTGCACAGCCGCAGGATGCCGGTGTCTATAAATGCCTGATAATCAACAAGGGCGGTGAGATGGAGGGCGTTTCCAAGGTGGAGGTTGTGCCCAAGGAGTCCAAGCCGGCATTTGTGGCCGAGCTGCAGGATTCATCAAGCATCGAAGGTTTCCCCGTCAAAATGGACATCAAGGTGGTTGGCAACCCGAAACCGAAACTGCAATGGTTCCACAACGGACACGAAATTCTGCCAGACCCCGAGCACATTGCGATCGTGGAGAATCCGGACCACAGCACGAGCCTAATCATAGAGAAAACCGTGCCCGGCGACTCCGGATTATACGAGGTGATAGCTCAGAACTGCGAGGGCACCACGGCGTCCAAGGCCAAGCTGTACGTGGCACCCAAAGTGGACGAAACGGCCACCGAAGAAGCGCCCCAGTTTGTGTCCGCACTCAGGGATGTGAATGCCGACGAGGGTCAGGAACTCGTGCTGTCTGCGCCGTTCATTGCAAACCCAATGCCCGAGGTGATTTGGACCAAGGATGGAGTCACTCTCGCTCCCAGCGAGCGTCTGCTGATGACCTGCGATGGCAAACACATCGGACTGAGCATTAAGCCAGCCGAGGCAGCCGACTCGGGCAACTACACCTGCCTGCTGGCCAATCCCCTGGGCGAAGACTCCTCCGCCTGCAATGCGAATGTCAGGAAGGTGTACAAGCCGCCAGTGTTCACCCAAAAGATCTCCGATCAGCAGCAGGTGCTTGGCAACAATGCCAAGATCCCTGTGACCGTCTCCGGAGTTCCCTATCCAGATCTGGTGTGGTACTTCCAGGACAAGCCCATTCCCAAGTCGGACAAGTACACCATCAAGAACGATGGCGATCACCACACGCTCATTGTCAACAACTGCGAAAAGGGTGACCAAGGCGTCTACAAATGCATCGCCAGCAACAGGGAGGGCAAGGACATAACCCAAGGACGTCTCGATATTGTCAACGAAATGTGAGTATTTTGTGTACGAGTATATTTCGCTCTAAAATCTCTACTGATTCGATTCGATTCGATCGCAGCAAGAAGCACTCGCGATCAGAGCCCCCAGTATTTCTCAAGAAGATTGGCGACTGTGACATCTATGAGGGCATGATTGCCAAGTTCACAGCCTGTGCCACGGGCTATCCAGAGCCAGAGGTCGAGTGGTTTAAAAACGACCAGAGGCTTTTCCCCTCAGATAGGATCCTGATGGACATCGAGCCGAACGGCCTCCTGCGGCTGACCATCAAGAATGTCACCGAGTACGATGTGGGCCGTTATTCTTGCCGCATTTTCAACCCATACGGAGATGATATTTGCCACGCGGAACTCTTCTACGACTGTAGGTGCAGGTGCTCTCGCTTGGGCTCAGATTATTCTCAGACCATTTCTATTGCAGCGCTGGACAGCCAGCAGAAGCCACTGGAGGATCAATACACCGATTTCAAGAAGTACAAAAAGTCCGGAGCTCCGCCACCATTGTCGGAGGGTCCAATCATATCCCGTATGACCGATCGGGGATTGCTGCTGTCGTGGAACCCATCGGTGCCACTGACGCCGCGCTATCCCATCACATATCAGGTAAATGATAAGGAAACTTATCCACTTATCCTCAATCAATACTGACATAAACGCTGCAACGCTATAGATCGAAATGATGGACCTACCCGAGGGAGACTGGCGTACCCTGAGAACTGGAGTGCGCAGCTGTGCCTGCGACATCCGCAATCTGGAGCCATTCAGAGACTATAGATTTAGGATTCGAGTGGAGAATAAGTTTGGCGTGAGCGATCCCAGTCCCTACACTCAGACCTACAGGTGAGCAGAGGACACCTTTAAGGGCTACACTTTTATGCATTAATTGGTTCCTGTATAGGCAAAAACTGGTGCCAGAGCCACCGAAAATCTACACCTACCTGCCACCGGGCACGGACTTTAGACCAGAGACTTCGCCGTACTTCCCCAAGGACTTTGATATTGAAAGGCCGCCCCATGACGGATTAGCCCAGTCCCCCCAGTAATTCAACAACTATTTCAGATCCGCATGGAATTCAGCCACTAAACATTCGTTTTTTTATTTTCTGCTGCTGCACAGATTCCTACTGCGCGAGAACGACATTAGCTACGGAGTGAAGGGACACAACACGGAGCTCATGTGGTTCGTTTATGGCTATCCGAAGCCAAAGATGACCTACTACTTCGATGACATGCTCATCGAGTCGGGTGGCAGATTCGATCAAAGCTACACACGAAATGGACAGGCGACGCTTTTCATAAACAAGTGAGTCCCAGTCGTACTCACTATACTCGTATAATAATTACCATTACACATTTGTGTGTGTGCATAAACATAGAATGCTGGATCGCGATGTGGGCTGGTACGAGGCAGTCGCCACGAATGAGCACGGTGAGGCGAGGCAGCGGGTGAGATTGGAAATTGCCGAGCATCCGCGGTTCTTGAAGCGACCGGATGAAACCTTCATAATGTCCCGCAAAAACGGAAGAATCGAGGCCAAGCTGGTGGGCATTCCCCTGCCAGAGGTTCATTGGTATAAGGACTGGAAGCCAGTCGCCGAATCATCTCGCATCAAGGTGAATATTCTTCGAGGTTTTCCACTCTGGCTTATGCATTGACATATTTGTTTGCTTGTTTGCCTTTCTGTAACCAGATTAGCTCCTATGACCCCGACATCTATGTGCTCTCAATACACGATTCGATCATCAAGGATGGCGGACTATATTCGATTAGTGCCAGGAACATTGCTGGCTCCATTAGCACCTCGGTGACAGTGCATATTGAGGAGAACGAGGATCAGTACATTTACAAGACCTACGGCCGACATCCGTATGTGCGATCCAAGCAGCTGCGCTACCAGGACAAGTACGATATTGGGGATGAGCTTGGACGCGGCACTCAGGGCATTACCTACCATGCCGTGGAGCGTGCCACTGGCGATAACTATGCGGCGAAAATTATGTACGGCCGACCAGAGCTGCGACCCTTCATGCTGAACGAACTGGAGATGATGAACACGTTCAACCACAAGCACTTGATCCGTCCCTACGATGCCTACGACACGGACCGCAGCGTGACCCTCATTATGGAGCTGGCAGCTGGAGGCGAGCTGGTCAGGGACAATCTGCTCCGGCGCGACTACTACACAGAGCGAGACATAGCCAATTATGTGAGGCAAACTCTTTGGGGCCTCGAGCACATGCATGAAATCGGAGTGGGCCACATGGGTCTCACGGTAAGCGCGAGAAACTGCGACTACACATTATCTATCATCCTGCTACATATGTAAATATTGCGAATTACAGATCAAGGATCTACTCATTTCGGTGGTCGGCAGTGATTACATTAAGGTATCGGACTTTGGTTTGTCGAGGAAAATCAACAAGCACAATCTTTCGACACTGGACTATGGCATGCCGGAGTTCGTGTCCCCGGAAGTGGTTAATAAGGAGGGCGTGAACTACTCGCACGATATGTGGACCGTGGGCTTGATCACCTACGTACTGCTGAGTGGTCGCAATCCGTTCCTGGGCATAGATGATAGGGAGACCTTGACCAAGATTCGTGAGGGTCGCTGGGACTTCAAGGACGAGCTATGGACTCACATTTCTGATGATGGCCGCGACTTTATCAGCCGTCTGCTGCTCTACAGCCCGGAGGAGCGCATGGATGTGAAGACAGCGCTGAAGCATCCGTGGTTCTTTATGCTCGATCGCCAGGCCTCCGATCACGACTATCAAATCCGTACGGATCGTTTGAGGAGCTACTACGACCACTTCAGGGACTGGTATGCAAATGCCTCTTGCAAGAACTACTTCCGCAGGCGTCGTCTGAGCGGCTGCTTCCAACATCCATCCAAAATGGTATACCCCCCCGGACACGTTTACACCCCCGAGCAGACGCCAGAGCCCCTGCCAGAGCCACGCAAGCGAGCGAAGCGCGAGGAAGTTGTTTCGAAATACTTGCATCCCGACTACGAGCTAGGTCTGATTCAATCGGAGAGCCAGTAAGTATACACATACAGCAAATGATATATAAAGTTTAATTTTCCTTACTACTTCCAATCGTAGCTACCAGTATGGTCCCGATACATATTTACTGCAACTGCGGGATGTCAACTTCCCCGTCAGATTGCGTGAATACATGAAGGTGGCCCACAGGCGATCCCCATCGTTTGCCCTAAACGATTCTGTGGATTGGTCGGTAAGTGTACAGAGTAGCCGCCACTTTATTGTTAGTCGTGTCTAACTATAATACATCCTTTGCAGCTGCCTGTGATCCGAGAACGACGTCGCTTCACTGACATTATGGATGAGGAAATCGACGACGAGCGCACGCGCAGTCGCATCAGCATGTATGCGGCCAATGATTCCTACTCCATTAGGCGCCTGCGCACGGAGCTGGGGCCACGTCTGGATGAGTACACCGAAGCCGAGGCCATGATAGAGACGCAGCGCGAGGGCTATCCGCCCTTCTTCCGGGAGAAGCCCCAGACGATAGCAATCACCGAGAACCAGCCCAGTCATATCCACTGCTTTGCCGTCGGCGATCCCAAGCCATGCGTCCAGTGGTTCAAGAACGACATGGTCCTGTCCGAGAGCAAGCGCATCAAAATCTCAGTCGATGAGGATGGTCGCTCCATTCTGCGATTCGAGCCAGCCCTCCACTTCGATGTGGGTGTCTACAAGGTGGTGGCACGGAATAAGGTCGGTCAAACTGTGGCCAGATGCCGCATCGTGGTGGCCACTCTGCCAGATGCACCAGACTCTCCCGAGATCTCTGCCAACAGCGGCACGGAGATTCTCCTCAGATGGAAACAGCCCCGCGACGATGGCCACTCCACGGTCCTGTGCTACAGTCTGCAGCACAAGCTGAGCAACTGCGATGCCTGGACCACGGTGGCCGACAACATCGACCATGAATTCTACCTGCTGCACGATCTGCAGCCAAACACCAGCTACCAGTTCAGGCTGGCCTCCAAGAATCGCATTGGCTGGAGTGAAATGGGAATCCCCGTGGCCGCATCCACCGCGGGCCATGACGCCCCCAAAATACACATCACCAAGGCAATGAAGCATTTACAGCAGCTCACCGAGAACGGTCACCAGGTGATACCCGAAGAGGAGCGCGTGCACACCGACTACCACTGCGAGCGAGAGCCCCCCAATTGGGTGACCGACTCCTCCGTAAGCGACAAGTACAGTTTCATCTCGGAGATAGCGCGCGGGGAGTTCAGCACCATCGTGAAGGGCATTCAAAAGTCCACCGACACAGTGGTGGTGGCCAAGATTCTCGAAGTGACCGATGAAAACGAGGACTCGGTCGTGGCCGAGTTTGACAACTTTAAGACTTTGCGGCATGAGCGCATACCGGCACTATTCAGTGCCTACAAGCCGCTGAACGTGCCCATAGCCATATTCGTGATGGAGAAGCTCCAGGGAGCCGATGTCCTCACCTACTTCAGCAGCCGCCACGAGTACTCCGAGCAAATGGTGGCCAGCGTTGTCACCCAGCTGCTGGACGCCCTGCAATACCTGCACTGGCGTGGCTATTGCCATCTCAATATACAGCCCGACAACGTGGTAATGGCATCCGTTCGCTCGATTCAAGTCAAATTGGTGGACTTTGGGTCGGCCAAGAAGGTGAACAAGTTGGGCGTCAAGGTGACGCCATGCGGCTCGCTGGACTTCCAGCCGCCGGAGATGATCAACGACGAGCCAATATTCCCTCAGAGTGACATTTGGTCCGTTGGTGCACTGACATACTTGCTCTTGTCCGGATGCAGCCCATTCCGCGGGACCGACGAATACGAAACGAAGCAGAATATTTCCTTTGTGCGCTATAGATTCGAGAATCTGTTCCGGGAAGTTACCCCAGAGGCAACACGATTTATTATGCTCTTGTTCAAGCGTCATCCTACGTAAGTACACCAGAGTACACAGGCGAGCATACATATTTTGCATTTATCAACCTGTTGTTATGCACATTTCAGCAAACGGCCATACACTGAAGATTGCTTGGAGCACAGATGGCTCATGTCCTCTGACTATATGGTTCGAAAACGAGAGCGCGCTATATTCTTGGGCAGTCGTCTGAAGGTAATGTTCGAGTCCCTATGCTATGCCAATTTTACTTTGAAGTCTCATAATTTATTTTCCCTGATTTAGTCGTTCTGCGATGAATACCATGACCACAAGAACGCCACAGCTACATCATCCAAAGTCCTTAATACGGTTGCCGGTGGACCTACACCAACTCAACTGCTTCGATCGAATAGCATCCAAGAGGAACTGCTCACAACATTTTAGTCAATTAGTTCCGACGTACGCATAAGAGAATGTTGTTTTTATTTCTTGTATATATGGAATATAAAATAATTATACAACATCCGAAAGTTCTATATATATAAATATATTATCTGGTTAATTAAATCAAAACAAAATATACTGATTTGAATTGAATGAATTTTTGTTTACAATGTTGTTGCGCCCACACGGTTGCCGACTCATCGCGGCACTCCCACGTTCGTTCTCACCTCCACAAATCTATAAAGCGAAATGCGGCCATAAATTAATAGATATAGTGTTTTTCCCCCCCCCGAGTTAAAAATAGCTAAAGGTCATCCATCAGGTGTTTCACAGAGCACACAGAATGTGTAAAAATTTATTCCCGCAATGAATTTTGGTCATTTCGGAATGAAAGCTTTCCGCTCGGCCTTTTTCTACGATGCTGTAAATAAAATCGGAATAAGGGGCATTTCACTGTCGCGTCATAGCTTTCTTAATTGTTTAATTGAATGCCAATCAGTGTTCATATGTATGTATGCTTAGGTGTATATTGTATGCGGCAAATAGTTAATAAAAATCGGACTCATAAATCGATTCAATAAAATCATCTCTGTAAGAAAGCTTCTTAATCTTAGCAAAAAGCTTGTAAAAGCTTTCTTATCATTCTATTGATTAAATTTTCCCCAGAAGCTAGAACACCGAAGTAAGTGACAGCAGATACAACACGAAAATATATTAACGTATTTTAAGCGAAACCACTGGCTAATCAAAATGTAACGAAAACCAAAGCGGAAGTTTCGATTTTATAAGACACCTGAAACATACATCACAATCAGAGAGCATTCATTTGCACGAGCAGTATAAATGAACGACACTTTTTGGTCACAAGATTTACAGTCCAGTCCAGCAATTAACAGCTAGGTACAAAATCAGACAACAACGACACACACTTTTTGGCCACACGCATACGTGCATACGCATGTACATATATAGTATGTATAGATACGCGAATATGTGTAATAAAGTAGCCAACTAATCTAGTAACCACTTTACTTAACCCCATTTTAGAATTTGGACTCAACACTCACTCTCCCACATGTCTCTTCCCAACGCTACCACATAAGTCTTAGCAGAAGCAGATCCAACTGTTTTAACGTGTTCAAACCAGCAGCACAAACGTCAATCGATTGTACATATACGTACATATACGTTAATTTTTAAAATGGCAGAGGAAGATTCCATTGCACGTGTCGAAAGGTAAGTTCCGATGCTTCCATCTGTAATAAGTACCTGCTTTCGGTTGTAATAATTTCGCCATCGTAGAACCGAGCTTCCAGCTCCAATGATATCACGAAAGGAAGTCAGTATCTGGGCCATTCTCAAGAATTGCATTGGAAAGGATTTAAGCAAAATTACCATGCCGGTAATGTTAAATGAACCCCTGAGCTTTCTCCAGAGGCTGTGCGAATATATGGAGTATGCACAACTGTTGACACAAGCAGCACGACAGGAGACTCCAGAAGACCGAATGAAATATGTTGCAGGCAAGTATCAAAATTGGCTTCAGACTGTTGCTGTGATAAGCACATAAATCAGGACTAGCCGTTTGGTAACTTTAACACTTTAAGTTAGTCCAAATTGATTCACATTGTTATTTGTATTATCTACGTACATACATTCGAAAAATAACAGGGTGCTCATGGCTAATAATTTTTGTAAAGTGTTGAAAGTTTGACCCAAGTCATACATATGCATGTATGCAGAAAAATTAATATTTTTTAAATACCTTTAGCTTTTGCCGTTTCTGCTTTGGCTTCAAACTGGGAGCGACTCGGAAAACCATTTAACCCCCTTTTGGGGGAAACGTACGAATTGCAGAGGGACGACTATCGAATTGTTTGTGAGCAGGTCTCTCACCATCCTCCGGTTTCTGCATTTCACGCAGAGTCCAATGATTTTAAATTCCATGGTTCTATTAACCCAAAAATAAAGTTATGGGGAAAGAGTGTCGAAGTAAATCCCAAAGGCACGGTCACCATTGAGTTTCCAAAGTGAGTGTGTTCGAATTAATTCGTTAAATCATGCCAACTAACGCTATCCGTTTTTTGTCAGATGGAAGGAATCTTACACCTGGACTAATGTTAACTGTTGCGTGCACAACATTATAGTCGGAAAGCTTTGGATCGAGCAGTATGGAAAGATGGTGATAACAAATCATTCTACCGGTCACGTCGCGAACCTAACATTCAAATCAGCTGGGTCTGGGGCCAAACACTTGCACCGAGTTGAGGGCTTTGTACGAGATTCCAGGTAGGGGATGGGATGAGAAAATGCTGAGGCGGACAAATCTTTATTTCTAAATATCATATTTTTAGTGAAAAGAATATATTCTTCCTGTATGGTAAATGGACAGACTTTATCAAATGCTGCTCTGCGGAATCCTATGCGCAGTATATAAAGCAGGGCACCAGAAGAAATGACGATGGTGAGTCCGCTGATTCACCGAATGGAACCCCGAAGAGGATGTTTTCCAAATTGAACAGCTTCAAGCTGAGCTCTTTTCGCAGCATGTCCATTCAAGATGTGAGTTCGCGTATGCATGCCAGAAGCAAAAGTTTTCTTGAAAATTGAATTCTGTTCCAGAACGACAGCATTCCACCTCAAGAGCAAGAGACAAATGACATACCAAAGAGCGACTCTGCATATTCGCTTGATGTACCAGACTCCACAGTATTATGGAGTTGCAAGCCACGACCTTCCAACTGCGACGAGGTACAATAATACTGGATATACATACGTATTTTAAATATGACTAACCTAATATATTTGCAGTACTACCAATTTACGAATTTTGCGCTGCAGCTTAATGCAATGGATAGAAATATGAAACCACCGCTAACACTTTGCCCTACCGACTCGCGTCTGCGACCTGATATATTATACCTAGAAGACGGAAATTTAGATGGTGCAGCAAAGGAGAAGACTCGTCTAGAGGAAAAACAAAGACACACTCGCAAGCATCGAAAAACCACCAATGTCGATGATTGGACACCGAGGTAAGATCCATAACCATGAGTCTAATCAAAAAAAAAAAATCCTGCTAAAAATGTACTTTAATTTTTCAGATGGTTTAAGAGTGTAACCAACCCCCACACCAAAAGTGAAGATTGGAACTATATTGGAGGATATTGGGATCGTAAATACGACAACGCCAATACAATATTTTAGAAAAATTTTAGAGTATACATGTGATTACGTATTATATATTGTATTTGTATAAAGTTTGTGAGGTGTATTCACTAAGCAATCGTTGGTAACTGGATGTACGAGTATGTACATGGTACACGGCTCAAGTCAGACAATTGCGTTGAATGAAGCACGTAATCGCATATGATACGAGCTTTTGGCATACCTAAAAACACAATCCAGTCGCACAAGCATCCATTGATTGTTTTAAAGCAACTATTAAGTTACAGCTTACTTTTCGTAGTCAAATATATATCTATGTGTGTAGGTGTTAATTATCTGACAATTCCATATGATGCAAATAAAAATGTTATTCAGTTATTTGTTGCTCTACATAAATATTAACTACCACAAAAGCTTGTGGCATGGAGTAAGTCTTTGTATGGAAGAGCCAAGCAACAGGTTGATTGACACTATAAGGGACAATCAGCTGCACCTGTGGATTCCCGAAAGACTGCACTGGAGTATTCACATGTCCAGATCCCAAGCTGCAAGTAAGTCTCTACGAACTATCCATTGCATGAGCTTCTCAGCTTTTTTCTGTTGTGGTCGCAGAAGTAATCACTGATTCAAAGCACTGTGAAAATAACAGTAATATTCGATTTATTTTGTTCATTTTAAAAGATTCCAGAACCTTCCTTTAATTGTCCTCTTCACATACAGCTATAGACTTGCAACTATTTACATGGGTAGTTATACTTAAAATTTACACACCACACATAATAAAACGAATCATACGAGCACAAGTACAAGTATTACTTCAAGTTCAGCGTTTTGGGTTTCGTGTTGACGTCGTGCAGGCTAACTACGTTATAGGCAGAGACGCAGGGTTCGAGTTTGTTTTTGAATATATCGTTTTCCGATTTTGAAGAGGATATTTGCTTTCCGGGCTCAGTGGTGTGGCTCGCAGCAGGTAACGATAATCTCAATTCATGATTACTGATTGACGAGTTCAGTTGAAATTGCTTCGCGTACAGAGTTTCCATCTTATTATGCTTAGCTGTGGCATTAACAGAAAGAACGAAATTTGATTGTCAATAAAATAACATTAATGTGCATCGCATCGCATCGCTTACCTTCAATGTTCTTATATAGTTTAAGGCCCGTCCTTTGAGTTGCTGGCAGCTTTGGCAGCTCCTCTTCTGGCCCGCCTATGGACGAGTCTTCAATGTGAGAGAAGCTCCCCTGCGGCGAAATGGTTGACAGTACTGATGTGCTGGAGTAGTAGCCCATGAAATGAATGTCCGGCTCTGCCTCATACGCCTTGCACGGTACAATCCATGAGAAATTAAACTGCGAAGAACTGACGTCCTGCGTGAGCCAAGGATCGTTGATCAGCTGCAGCATTGTGCAGCGGTATTTGGGATCCTTGTTCAGCATGGAGGTCAAAAGACGACTCAGCTGCTCCGATACCATCTTTGGTATTTGGACTTCTGCCTTTACAGTATCTTCGACATCGATAAATGGATTCTCGAAGAACATCAGGACATACAGAGTGACGCCGAGGGCCCACATTTCAAGCTCGGGACCAACATATCTATTGCCAGCCAGGACTTCGGGACTGCAGTACTCGGTCGTTCCATAAAACGTGGAAAAGTATTTACCCTCTTCCATGAACGTGGCTGAGCCGAAATCTATTAGCTTGATGTTAAAATTATGATCAATGATTATATTCTCGTCCTTTATATCACGATGGAGTATTTTCTGCTCGTGCAAATAATAGACGGCATCTGCGATTTGCCGGAAAATATAACTTCCCAACTTCTCCTCCATTAATGGCCGTCGTTCAATGAACGTCCACAGGTCCATCCCCGAGCCGTGTTTCTCCATCACCAGCTGGTAGAATAAATCATTCTCAAAAACATCCAACACGGATACTATGTTCTTGTGGTCCAAGGTCTGCAGGAGATGGATCTCGATAGGAACTTCCTTACCGTCCCGGTTCTTAATCATAAACTGAGGGCAAAGTTTCTCCTTCAAAATGAACTTTGTTATCACCAGCAGCCGATCCGTGTTCCGAAAAGCCATATTAACATATCCGTAGGCTCCCTTGCCAATTTGCCTGATTGAAGTGTAGTGCTTGCTGTAGTCCCCGGAGTAGAGCTCGTCGTCGTATTTGGACATCAGTGAGAGAGAGTTTGGTCTGCTGGAGTTCTGAGCTGCTGTCGTTTTAATCACCTGTCCCAAGGACTGCTCAATGGTGCTTGCCATGCTGTTGAATGTTGATGTGAGATTGGCATAGTTGTACTTGTCGCTCTCCAAGCGATTGGATGGGTCTCGACACACCCAAATGCAATACACACGGCGCGAGCAGGGCAACACATGGAGCAATACCGAGTAGACAACGTCTATGACGGTTCCATCGGCGTGTATGGCCTCGCCCAGAAAGTTTCCATTGATGGAGCTGAGTAGCTTCGTTGCTGGATTACTGCTTGAAGCATCAAATGCCTCTGTGGACGGCGACTTTGCCTTGTCCAGGCTCATTTCGTTTTGGTGGGATGGCGACTCTTCATACTCATCCGAGGGGAACTTTTTCGAGGGATTCACTGGTGTCAAAATGTCATCGATTGTAATGTCTTCGGGCGGTCGAATATTGGTAAACATGTCGCTGCTATCTTCCTGGTTATAGGCTTCACCATTGAGTCCCGCCTCGTTGAGGGAATGTTCACTTGCAGGTGGGATTGTGGACAGTTTTTTGCAAGATTGAAACGAGGACTCGTTGTCAACGATAAATGGATCTGTGTCTGGCTCCCAATCATTGCTGGTTATGGATGTATTCGAGACGTTTGGGCTCTTGTCCTCGCGAAAGTCCTTGCCGAAATTGGGTAGTATTGATGATATATGCATTTTGGTTATTTTTTCCTGGCCGTATCCGAACATCAGCACAGAAAACGGCTGATTGCAAGTCTGAATGTTGCCTATTTCATCAACAACAATAAGTCCACTCAGATTTTGGAAAACCCACACGGTTATGTTGAAGCACGTATTGCTGGTATACGCCGTGGAAGAACCACTCGACTCCGGAGAAGTTACAAGCAGGCACAGAGGAAACTTAACGTTGTCTGTGGTGCGTCCTGTGGCCCTTTGCTTGCGCAGGCTCTTCGATATCTCTCTACTGTCAGGATCTGGGAGTTTTATGAAGGGTATCAGCGTTGTGATATTCACGCCAACGACGTCCTCGGAGGAGAAGTATTGGAATATTGTTGCAGTGGCAGCGTCGGCCATTGTTATCGCACCGAAGCGGTCAATACTTATTTGGCAAATGTGTCTCTGAACCGGCTCGGCGACCGCTATGTTCCGTCCCTCGTTGTCTATTTGTCGAATCCAAAGCGAGACCAATATCTTGGTGCTCTGTTTTGTCTTCATTTCTATCACTTTGCCACTGAGCAGGACGACTCTGCCCTCATCCACGTCAATTTGCATTTCCGCCAATGACGAAATGTGACTTTCTGATTTACAATTTAATAAATCAAAAAAGCTTTTGTTTCGCAATTCGTGCGACGTATATCCCAACAAGTGGCATGCTTTGTTGTTCACAATGAATATCTGTCCAGTATTTGAGTCTATTGTAAATATTGCCTTGTTCGGGTTTATCCCCTTCGAGGAATGCAGGTTAGGAGGAGGCATATTAAAGGAGTTCGGATCCATCATATTTATAATGCTCGACGTGTCCTGATAAGAGCGGGAACAACTGAGCGTGCTTTCACCTGAAAGACATACCATTCGGAATTAATGTACAGACATTTCCAATTGCTACAAATAAAGTTTATAATTCAGCTGCATGGCACGGATGTATATTGAAAGCTTTTTTCAATTTTTCATGTTAAATTCTTAATGACAAAATCAAAACAAATGTAGATATAGTTGCATCAGGGTCAATTGTGGACTGGGCTTATGGTCGCATACCATTTGTAGGTTCCACCATGCCGCAATGATCCTCCATTTATGGTTAAAATAGTTTCCAGCCTCTGCAATCTGATGTTGTAGTTTTGAAGCAGCCTACAATAATATCGAAGGGAAATCACTAAAAACATGGGAACCAACCGTGTTTATCACAAAAATCAATTGGTTTGCGCATGCGAACAAACGTTTCTATAACGTCACTGCCATTCAAATTGGATACGGTCCCATTTGCTCGCTTTTTCTAACGACATTTAATTAAATTTGGTTAAGTGATAAATGAAGAAATTATGAAGCTCATTATGAAGCTCATTACGCTATCAAATGTTTTTATTTTTAAAAATTAACCATATGATTATCGGCCCTGCCATCGATATTTCAATACGACAACTATCGATAGCCAAATACACATATACTAAGCTGGGCCTACGTGTGTAAAATGTATCTCACAAATACACATTAACCTAGGCAAACGAACAGTTCTTCCACGTAGATTCTTTGTTTTAATTTCCTTAATTAATATTAATATAATATAGACTATATAAAAAGACACATCAAAGGACAAACGAAATGGCACGAAAGATTGGAATCTCAACGCCATTGTGGTGCATTTTGCTAGTCAATTTAATAAGTGTGTACGGCCTGGTGGATCAGGGACAGGGGGTGTACCGAAAAAATAGTTATGACTCCGCAACAGGCTCCACAGGATCTTTCCCCTTCCTGATGCCCATGGTTTCACCGAAAACTGTAAGTAATCAATTTGTTATCAAGTGACATATGTTAAGCGTAATACTCGTACCCCGTGCTCACAAAAGTGCTATTCCATGTGCATAATGTATGTATGTGTGTATAACTAAACACTACAGATGGCTCCAATAACAATACAATTATTTATAAATAAATAAGTCATACAGAGAGACACTTCCATATGGTTGTACCTATTGGTGTATTTTACAGTGTAGATACACACCAATCGACTGCCATGCCATATGGAATGCATTGAAACCTGTAGATTGTGATTCGACGTGCCCTAGGACACGATTAGAAAATTGCGATGTGCGCTGTAGATACATACAGATGTACATACACATGAACATCGAAGAAGAAAAAAACCATACCATATACGCTTAATGAAGGGCACTCTGTACTTGTAAGCACCCAACTACTATATGCATATTGTTTCTAAAAGAAAACTAATCTAAAAATCTTTTGTGTTTGTTTTTTTATATACGATTTATTACTAACATTTAGCCGGATTTGTACTTGTGCACTCCAATAAAAGTCGATCCAACTACCACATACTATATTGGTACGTCAAATTGTTTTAGAGGCGTTCTATTAAAAGATTTTCTAATTTAATTTGTTTGCTACAGTTGGATTTAATCCGAATGCAACCATGAACACGGCGCACCATATGCTGCTGTACGGATGTGGCGAGCCGGGAACCACTAAAAGCACTTGGTGAGTTTTGCAAAGAATTTCAAACTACTTAAATCCAATATCGAGCCAATAATGTAACTTATTTCTTTTGCAACACAGGAACTGTGGAGAAATGGCACAAACAACGGCTGAGGAAAAGGCCAGCCCCTGCGGACCCCGTTCACACTCTCAGGTAAATTTGATAATAAATAAAAACCTTAACCAGTATTGTGATACAAGTGATACAAATCACAGCAAAATTTTATATAAAAGCTATAATTTTAGAACAATTTTATTCGCCAACTGCACTGCACCTTAGGCAGATGGGGTTTCCGTTCTCGATATCAAATTTATCAGTGGTAATTCGGCTCCCACAGTTAAAGCATTCGAAGCAGCGGGGATGCCATTTCGTGTTCAAGGCCACTAGGGCATTCTTGTCAATCGTCTCTCCACAGCCGGCGCATCGCGACGAAAAGGCTTCGCGGAAGTCACATTTACAGAACAGATATCCGTTAACTTCGAAGAATGTCGAGGTCACCAGATTTTGACAGCAGCCCACGCACCTAAAGCATTCTTCGTGCCACTTGCGTCCAACGGCGGCAATGGCACGCCCCAGTATCAGATGGCCGCAGGAGTAGCATCTGGGGGCATGCTTATTCAGGAAGCATTCGCTGCAAATCAGCTCGTTCTTGACAAGCCTAAACCGAGACGCTCCTATGGGCTCCTTGCACACCGTACATGTAAAGTGCTCCGGATGGTACGTCTTCCCTGAGCTGCATATTGCCTGGTCGTCTATTTCTCCATTGCACTTACAGCAGATCGTGGGGGCCATATTTCAAACACCTATGGGGTAGCCTCTTCACCACAGGTTCCATTTATGAATGGTTAATTAACGGGTTACTTACGGGCTCAAAATTTGCAGTGTCCAAATGGGGTTGAATCAAAATAATGTTTCTATTTTTACTTACTTTAAAAATACATAAATACAAATCTAAATATAACTGACTGCTACGATTGTGGTTCCATTACAATTTGTAAATGTAGAAGGCCTGTTCAAGGCAACAGCTGGAAAATTACCAGTCCTTGACTTTAACCTCGGAAGCAAATACTTACATATACTTACATATGTATGTATATACAGAGGTTTTGTTCTGGTTAACTGATTACACACGGCGGAGTAGCTTCAGTATTTGTATATGATGTATATAATGTATTCCAAAGTGATAACCATATTAATCTGTATATAACTTAGATCCTATATGCATGGGCGAGAGATGCCCAAAAGGTAACTTTGCCTGCGGGTGTCGGCTTCAAGGTGGGAAAGGACTCGCCAACCAAGTATTTGGTGCTGCAAGTGCACTACGCTCACATTGACAGATTCAAGGGTGAGTAACCAAGTTTGCTAAGTCGAAAGGTACTCGTATGATTGAATCGAGTGTTTATTTTTGCCCGCAGATGGTTCCACCGATGACTCTGGCGTGTTTCTAGACTACACAGAAAAACCGTAAGACCACTTGTGGTTTTTATCCACTGTTTGGTGATTTCATTATGCACTCTCCTCTCTCAATAGCCTTCAAAAGTTAGCTGGCACATTGTTATTGGGCACAGACGGAATCATTCCCGCACTGAAAACGGAGCACATGGAATCAGCTTGCGAAATAACTGAGAATAAAGTACTAATTCCATTTGCCTATCGCGTGCACACTCACGAAATGGGCAAAGTTGTGGCTGGATATAGAGTGCGATCGAATAGCGAGGGAATTCAAGAATGGGTTCAACTTGGAAAGCGGGATCCGCTTACGCCTCAGATGTTTTACAATGTCACGAACACCGACCCCATTTTGAGTGGAGATCAGCTTGCCATAAGGTGTACCATCAAAAATACCCGTCATCGGATAACTAAAATTGGGTATGTACATATCATTATGTACTATCATAATCTTGTTTCTATTGAACGGGATTACATTTTCATATGCTTTGCAGCCCCACCAACGAGGATGAAATGTGCAATTTTTACCTCATGTACTACGTGGACCATGGGGAGACTCTGGATATGAAATATTGCTTTAGCCAAGGTCCGCCCTACTATTACTGGTCCAATCCCGACACTGGCCTACACAATATACCACATATCGAAGCGAGCACCTTGTAATTTGGAAAAACTCTCGTGCTGTGGATGGGATGTGCAATGTGCAATGTGCAAAATTGAAATTAAAGTATACTAATTTATTATCGAAATTATTTGTATCGTGTAACCCAAATGATCATAGTTTAATCTCATAGTGTATTCTATTATGTTGGACGATGTTTCTTGTTGATTGATGTGTGGCCACCAATGATTGATGTAAAATATATATACGTGTAAATAAACATATGTAGATACTTCGCAAAACTAATCGTTTTTTTTTTTTTGAGAGCTACTATATAGTTGGTTGGGTTTCAGTAATTCAAGAAAAGTTCTGCTCCACGGTATCAAATATTTTCAATGCAAAGCATTTTATTCTTTTTCTTTTTTTTACGTATGTATATACTCGTATATATAGAATTTATGGAATATATATATATTGTATGTATAGATAATTTGGTGTAAAATTACAAACGTATAATTATATTAGTTATAAATTACACAAAACTTAAAGGTATTTCTCACATTTTATCATAACTTGCAAAAGTCATATTTGTTGGTGTTAAACTCTAAATGACTACCAGGCTGAGGCGGCAAGTCCTCAAATGTGTAAGATAGAAGATCTCCGTTGTTATCATATGTGGTGTAGCTGAGATCATTGTTTGTTTCAATTACATTTCCGGTGTAGTCTTGGGTTGTATTGTATGTACATGTGTTCACGATAGCGTCTGATTCAACGAAACTATTGCTTATGCTGCCGCTATAGAAGCCGATTTGTGGCGAATGTGAGGCGGTTAGTATGCTGCAGTCGCTGTCTTCAGCTGCCGACGGTATCGGATTGAAATCGTCATTGGATTGGAATGTATGCCCGCCATCTCCCCCATATGGAAGAGTGCTGTTGTGTATCTCGATGTTCATCGTTACAGTTTGCGGTTGGACCTCGAATTCCACTTGATGGGAGGACGAGTTGTCGCCACCGGCACAGTCTTCGGCAAAACACTCGTGAGTTTCAGGCACATACGGAGGTATTTGATGGCTGGCCGAATGCAAATTGGCATCATTTACAATGTTGTCTTCAGAGTCGAATACGGGCTCAATGATATTGTGGCTATCCGAGAAGTTCGGGTGCGACTTTATCACATTTAAAATGTGATTGGGATTGTGATTGTGATTGTTGCTCCCATTGCCGTTATTGGCAGTGCTCACATCGAATAGGGATTCGTCACAGAATGGCAAATACTTCAGGTCAGCTTCTCTGGCATTCATTGGACTTATATCGGATATATTCTCCATCAGTCCTGCGTTTGGATCCGATTGATTGTGGAGGCTGGTGGACGAGGAGTTTACCGCCAACTGGGAGTCGTCCTCGTTGTCGGTGGAGCTTGCGATATATGGCAAATACCTGAGAACATCTTCGGATAAATTCTCTCGTTGATCGGCGGAAAGCTCTGCCATTTGACCAGCATTTAGGTCTGAGTGTAGCTTTAGATCGCAATCAGCATTGCTATTCGTGTTCAGAGGTAAATATTCAGATGATTTATAGCTTAAAAGAGTATCTGTTGACGGTAACATAATATCAACGGCATTGTGCTGCTCTATCGGAGCTTTTACATTTAGATTGTATTTAGGTTTCGAAGTATCACCCGTGTCATTATTTCTTATACGTTTCGAAACTGAACCAGTTTGACATGTAGAGGTAGATCTTTTGCTTTTCCGCCCGGCAGTGGGTGTTCCATTAATTGCAATAGTGGACAATGTAGCATTGTGTGTGTCATTTTTAACTTCGCTGCCATCCGCATCCGGATTCTGCTTCAGCGCTCCTGGAGATCTCGACTGCTTCTTTTGTGGCCTGTACTTGTAGTTGGGATACTCGATCAAGTGCAGCTTCCTGAGCTTCTCTGCCTCCGCTATATACGGCTGCTTATCTTCTTTGCTCAGGAGCTGCCATCGTCTGCCCAGTTCTTTGGATATCTCGGCGTTATGCAAGTCTGGCGTTCGCTCACAAATCTTCCGCCGTTCCATTTGACTCCATACCATGAATGCATTCATAGGTCTCTTGATGTGGCCGGGAGAATGTTTCTTCGTCTGAAAAGAAAGAACAGGTGAAACAGTCATCAGCGAGGGCTCAACAATGAATCTATACACAGTACGAGTGAAGGGGGGGAGGGAAACTGAATTTATATTTTATTATTTATCTGTACGGTCTGAATGATGGGATGTGGCCGTGAACCCATATCAGGATCACTAGACAACTGAATTGTTGATATGGATTCCGGAATGCTAGGTAAATTTCAATGAATTCCCCGAATATGTTCTAAATGTATGCAGGCGCGGAATTGAAAGAAGGCCTCGAATGGATATACCTATATTTTTATACGAAAACACATTTCCCTATTATAAATTCATTTATATACAGATGTACAGATATACATACATATGTATGTACATATGTACATACATACGTTCCTCAGATAAAGAGTTAGGAAATAAAAATTCACACCAAGCGCAAGCACCGACTGCACGCACACTAGTACGGACATTTAGTATAGTATAGTATAGTACCGTACATCTGTGTACCCTATATGTATATATATATATATGCATTTTGTGTATCGCCTTGTCTATGTTCGTTCGTATGCATTTGTATCTGTACGAAAAATACGTATTCGCAGCGTTTGAAGTTCAATGTCCCTCGCCAAGGTTAATAAAACGCTCCTAAAAACGAAATATGTCTGTGCATACATACATACATACATATGTACGAATATCTGTATCTGTATCTGTTCGGGTATACTTGGGTATATTCACATTCGATTATTAAGATACACAGACAAGTGCACGAATGTACTCGCATGCATTCAATTAATAAGTAATTCCGCAGCTGCTTCCTGGTTATGCTTTTGTGCGCTTAATCCTTTAAATCAGAACGAACGAAATCACAAACAGAACAGTGTCCGAGGAACGGAACTGAGGAACCATTTGGAATAGGTCATCGCTATGGTGCGTCGCACAGTCAACGTGTGGCTAGCCAACGCGAGAGGAGAGAACATGGCCAATCCAATGTGAATAACCGTTTTATTCACACAAAAGAGAGACGGCAAAAACTACCTATTAATAGCGTTAACTTCGACCTTGCAGCAGTTCGTGTACCTCGTAAAGTTCATCCACACGATACCCTTGGCAGTAACGACGCCTGAGCAGGGAGCAGTAAGCAGTCAGTCAGCGGTGAGCAGTGAGCAGACTTTCCGCCGAAACGAGTGATGGAAACCGAACAGAGCTCTGGGCACCGACGATGGGATGGATGCGATGCGATGCTCCATCGGCCATTGCCGTCGTCGTGGCTGTTGCTTTTGCTTTTGGTGTTGCTGTTGCTGTTGCCTTTGCCTTTGCCCTCGCCACAAGTCTGCTCCAATACTCACTCTCAATGTCGCGTCAGACAGTTCAAGTCTAATAAGCAGCCCGACTCTCGTAGATCCATACACACACACACCACATAACACAGACAGTGCACACAGATACACGCAAACATAAACAGAAGTTTACTCTGCAGACACCCGCATCCGTAAGATACTCGTATATATACATATATGTATATGTATATATGTATGTATGTATGTATGCATGCATACTCGTACACTCGAATAAGTAAAAGTGATGAAATGGGGCTGGGAGGGCTGTTTGTTGGCTTTCGATTTTAACTGTTCTTTACTCGGGGCGGCTGTGGGCTGTGGGCTGTGGGCGGTAGGGGGAATTCCGCTCCTGCTGCACGCTTAGGGCCAAAGGTCATCCCGGCCAAATACTTATACACTTACATGCCACATTAAATGCATATACAATATTTTTGCAATAAAGATACAAATGTATAAACAGAAGTCAACGACGTCTCACTAAATACATGTGTCCTTATGTGCGTCTTCTGTGTGTGTAGAATATACATACATGCATGTATCTACGTATAGTAAGTAATACGCAATTGAGTTTGGTGTTCGTGACGCTGCTTCTGCTGCTGCTGGCGGAGCCATTGCCTCCTCTCCCCCGAGTCCGCACTAATAACCGTAAAAAACAAACTGCTAAGCAAGGTCAATGCACCAAATGTTCTATGAGTTTGTACGCGTATATGTACATGTACATACATATGTACATTGTGTGCACACAATCGGACATTCCATTTCATTGCTAATATTATATTATATTATTTTTCACATTATGTGTATGTACATATCGTCCCTGCAAGATGTTCTATGCATGTTCTTGAAGGAGTTCTTGAATAGGGAAACTTTCCTAGATCGTATCGAATTTTGATCAGGTTGATGGTTGATGGCTATAACACGTATACCAGGAACATTTTGATAAGCTTTAAAATGACGCTGACACGAGTTGCGGGTATCGGTCAGAGTGCAATATACAGATGGGCACTCTTAATCACGTACTATTCGTGTGTACAAACATACACATAAGTAAACACATACATACATATGTATGTATATTCGCATTTACGCCTGCATGAACGTATTTCCTACACGACAAATGCACGTGAGTCATCAGGGAAGCAAACCGCGGGTACAACCGCCCCGTTTAAATATGCATTGGTGCAAAGAATAAAAAAAAAATAAACGACAACAACAACAACAAAAGACTGAATTTCCACTGAATCCATGGATGGTAGCGTAGCACTACAAATGTCTTGGGATACACCAGAAAGGGGTATTCATTTAAAGAATCTGGCATTTGCCTGAAATCGATCAGTTCAATGATACACACATACATACATACAATTCCGTCCCCTGAAACTGGTATTTCATCATAAGAACACACAGCTGCATCCAAACATATATCAAAATAAATAAATACAATACCATGATATTCGTACGCATTCGTATATGTATTCGGTTACTAATCTTGTTTAATTGTTTTGCCATATTTGTGTTTGTAAACAAAGAAATAATCGCAAGAGAAATAGAATCTAATCTACAGGAAATCTTATCAGTCAAACTTTTTGTTGACCTGTCCAGTCTGGAAAAATAATGTGCATATGTATGTATGTATGTACACACATACATGTGTATAATATATTCATCTACGACCTGCATAGTAGGTCTTTAGCCCAAAAAAATATCAGCACAAAATTTTGTCAAGGCTTATCTAAGTGTTCAGTTTAGCCAGAGCCGATAAGGAGTGTGCATCTTTAACTTACTTGGGTTGCATCTGAATACGGGGTACTTGAATTAACAGGCACCCGTGCAGATCCAAATACTACACTGGAGTCGTCACCCATGTTGACTGTCATATCGGTCATATCGTTCGGTGCAGCTGCAGCTGCAGCAACAGGCGCAGGCAGAGTCCCAGCCACAGCCTTCGTCGAATGAGTAATAGCTTGCGCGCTTTGTGTTTTACTCGCTGGTGTCCGTATCCGTATCGGTTGGGTTGGGGCTAAGTTTATTGGGGTGGCTGCAATACTAACAGTATCGGTATCCGTATCCGTATCGGTGTTGGTGACGAGAGTTCCCTGATTTGGCTCAGCTATCATCTTTCCACTTGTATCTCAAATTTGAAGCGTGTGGGGCGCCGTGTTAGTGGGGTGCATCGCACAGTTAGTTATCCAAGTGCATTCGTCTAGATCTTCAGCAGCATCAGCATTCGCAGTAGTAGATACACATTTGTGGGTCTGGCTGGCAGTGGTATATTGGTATTGGTGTTGGTTTTGGTTATGGGATTTGTTTGTGTACACTCGTCGTAGCTGTAGCTGTGGATTTAGCTGTAGCTGGTGATAAGGCTCGGGCTCTTCCAATTTTATCGGGTATTATTAAATAGAGCGGTTAGCATTTTAACCGCACATTACCCAGTGCCGTGCATGTTTATGCATGTAACTTATGTACGATTATGTATTCGTAGTCGCCTGCCTGCCCGATCGTGCTGTTTCATTTAACAATATACTCGCGCGCACACAGATACTCTGTCTTCTTTGATTGTGAATGTGTGTGCTCAAGGTGAAACTGGTTCCTCGTTATTTATTTATTTTTTGTTTTGTGTTTGCAATATTCCAAGACTCACGTTCGCTTCGCGTTGCGTCTGTGTAATGGGTTTATACTTATGTATATATATGTATATGTATGTATGTTTATACGTATACGTATATCTTATGTATATATATTAGTTTTTTTATGCACACTCTCAGCTGAGCATTATATTAATTTATACATAAATGCACTGTATTTAATAGATTGGATTGGTCACCACCACACACACGCACACACGCGCACACACAGACGAAATGTTTGTTTTACGAACTGCAGTTTTGTTTTTTAATTTTATTTAGAACTTTACCTCAATGCTAACACGTTATTGTAGATTTTTCTGTTGATTTTTCTTCCAGGTGCAATGGCAGATGGATTAATTGCGTATAAGTATCTCGGGTATTAAACGGGGTTTGGTTTGGTTTTTATTTTATTCTAGAGTTTCGTTTCAATCACAATCCAATCTGATGTATGCACACACGTTCCTGTTAGTGTTAATGTTACTTGTTCTCCTCCGCTGAGCTGCAGTTGAACTGAACTGCGTGATAGTCGGGCTAATCGCGGTCTGTTACTGTGCTCTGTGTTATTATTATTTGGAGTCTCGGCTCTCTACGGCTACGCTACGGTTAGTGCTGCTACTGGGTGGTTAGGGACGACGGAGCAGGCGAACGACAGTGTCGCGACAGCCAGGGCATTTCTTGTCCTGGTCAAAACATCGGCAGCAGCAAATAAGCCAGTCAATACTGCGCCCGCACAAGACAGCGCGACGAAGATACGAGTTCAACTACGCAAAAGATTTTACGTTTTTACTTTGCTTTGTAGATGCATATACATATATGTATGCGCATATATGTATGGTGTATATAATGTATTATATTTATTCCGGACAACGGCGTCTTGATCTCACAGCTGTTCGGTTCGAATGAACAGACTGCACAGTTACGACTTGAATCCATCGTACGCACACACAGACACATTCACGCATACGTGCACACAAAATCACACAGCACACACACAAACACACACTGTGTGCATTTATTTTGCTAAGCAGCGTAGAGAGAGCGAGAGAGCAGGTTGTGTACTCTTTGTTAGTGTTTGCGCTCAGTGACGCATCGAAGTTGTTTTGGGGCTACGAAAACATTTCCATATATTTGAGTGGCCACAGATAAAGTGTTTCAGCATGTTAATGCTTAATATCTAATGTACTTAATTGCACTAGACTCGTATCCGCTAATTTGCTCTCGAATTTGTTCCAAATCAAAACTGCGTCTAATTAAACCGAACAAACAACCTACCCTCGATTCGGCCCTGTTGTTGGCGCTATCAACTGTTGCACCCAGCTGGTTGGTGTGAGTAACATGTGGGAGAGAGAGAGGGTGTGTGTGTGTATGTATGAAACGCGTATGAATCAGCTGTTTCGGTGTGTATTAATCATATGGCACACATAGATACATACATTCATACACATCACATCCCCCAATACACATCCACACAAAAAAGCGAGAATACTGGCTGCGTACATACATATGTAAAATCTAAATAATACGTATTATACATCCATAGATAAGTACAATAATGTATCTAATCACATATGTTTGGTGCTATGTATGCTGATATTTGCAATACGAGCTAATTATTAATGCACATTAATGTATAAGTCCATGTACTTACATATGCACATATTTACTTTAAAAAGATCTAAGTACATACAAACATTTTTTATACGTGCACATGCATACATACATACATATATGAACATGTGTAAATAAATGCATGAAAATCCGAGGATGACGCAGCGGAACATGCACTTGCATTTTTTACAGTTGCAGGTATAAACATCGGAAAAAAAAACTATTTTTGAAATTTACTCGTGTTACGCGTGATTAATCACTTTGATCATATCACGAATCAAATCTTTTTTTTTTTCGGAGATGTATTATTTAGGCATTAGCTTGCATTCTCAATAATAATGGGATAACATTTCTGAATAGTGCATTTTGAAACAATTTTGCACGTGATAAAATATTAAGCTTCCAAATTGTTCGGTAAAGTTTGATTTGATATTGTTATTATGTATCCTTATTGTACATATGTACTTGTATGTACATATGTATATCGCCATCTATTCCACCAGATATAAAGATGTAAAAGCTTTATTTTATGGGAAAATCGGGCAGTGGGAGGGAGATAAATATATGATTTAGGTTCACAGCAGAGAAGCGGCAGAATTATAATAAAAAGTGGAAGTTCGGAAATTAAACCCCTTGGTTCCTGGGGTGAACCATTTTTTTTTTTTTTCATTAAAAATAGTTGTTTTATTTCAATACAAAGATGTTTTTATTTATAAATATTCAGTTAATTAAACATACTTAAAATAAAAAAAATTTTAAGTTATTTTAAAATTTGTATTTATCAACTAACAGAAATCTCCACAGGCGTATAAAATTACACATGACGTTTGGTAAGGTAATTTTATATTATTATATTATTTCTCACCCAGAAACAAAAAAAAAGGAAACCCACCGGCCAGATTAACCGGATTAAAAGTGCATGAAAACTGCAAACCATGGTGCGAGAGATACCAGGAATCGTCGGATGATGAACAAGAAATTATTGATCAAATCTTAGATGTTTAATTAATTAATAATAAAAATGATTTAAATAATTAATGTATCAATTTAGTCGTCCATGGGGGCAGGTCCGGGTTTCCTGCAGTGTTGGTAAACTGAAAACGGTGTATGGAAACAAACAATCTAATGTTCCTATCGCTAGATATCGGATGGTCCGATCTATCGGATAGATCCGATATAATTGATGCAGGTAGTGTGACCGTGGACTTATACCCAAATATACCTTCTAATTTTTATAATACACCGTAAGTATATCTGGTCTGTATCGCTGCGTGGGGCAATACAAAAATTCTTCCAGATATTAGAACCATTGATTATAATTTTAGAATCGCCAATGCAATAAAATGCCCGGTTTAATTTCTGGACAGTTCTTATTTGTGTACTTTGAAAGCATATGTCTCGATTTAGCGTTGACTCGGCAAGGAATTCCTTGAACCAGCTGTTCATCCTCTCAAAAATTTAATTAGTTTCAGTAATTCTTGACGAATTGGTCGGGTGTACAATCTGTATATTTCCACAAAGCAACATTGTTCAAGGTGATATATCGATAATGATATCGCCAAACTTTCAGCTCTAGTGAAAAAGTATGGAACTACTCTTGTGTAAAACGTGTAAAACTATTAATATTTTCGTAACTGGACAATATATTTCACTGTGTATACGCAAAACCAAAACCCAGCAAGGCTACAATTGATAAACGATCTTTTCGAAACGGAACGGATGACACATATACGTAACATTTCACAACATAGATGCATGATTTCATTCCATATTCCATTTGTTCATCGAGTAATCATGGATAAATCTGCTTCAAATTAAAGTTGGCTTTATACAATGCCACCCAAAACAAAACACAAGAAAATGGCCTTTCAAAAGGAATTCCACACGCAGACTTGTGTTTTGAAGAATAGATGTCGAAATTTCACACCCTTATGGGAACGCTGCTTGACTATTTCCTCCTCTTTGTTCTTCGAATGATTGGCAACATGAGCTCTATCGAACACTATCGATGCGCCCCGTCGCGCCAGCATCAGCCAGGATCATTGTGGACACCTGACAATATGCAGGAATCAGAGCCAGCACCTTCGCTTGAGCAGCGAACGGGTGCGGAGAACCTACTCATGGACTCTCTGGAGCCACAACCTTTGGCCAACATGTTAAACTCGCTGCAACTAATGGCTATTAATGTTGTCAACCACATGCAAACGGCCTTGAAGAAACGTGTGACGTCGAAGGCGCCACCAAACGCTGCAATGCCAGGACTCGACGCGTTTCATCAATGCGAACCGTCGTCTTCATGCTACTTTTTTATCGATCTGCGAAACACTACAAGCCGCTTCATGGACTCTCACGATGAGTTTAGCAATAACTCTAGTCATATAGCTAACGACAAGAACAATAATGCGGATGACACGGCTGATTCACCTGCTAAGAAGTCTATGCATCGGCAGCGGAGTATTTCGGAATGCAGCGATAACAGTTTTGATATTTGCTTCGAAGACGATGACGAGAGTAGCGTGCAGCCGCACACAGCATGCAGCGAGGATGATGACGATGATGACTACGAAGAGTCCGACGTGTGTGAATGCAGCAACGACAGCGCGACAACCAACAAAAAGGTATGGAATCTTCATAAATGTAAATGCACTCGATGCTCATTATTGTTATTGTCTCGTTGATAGGTGCGCTTCAACCTGAAACCCGAAGTACATGTCATGCTCGTCTGGAACTTTGCTTATCGAGCAGCGCGGAGGAGCGAGTGGCAAGTTATGGCTCGTGATCGTTTCAGATTTCAGCAGCGGATACATCGTGTTGCTCCAATTCTAAATCCCATCCTGACTCCAAATCACAGAGAACAAGTCTACAAGGCTCGATTCCTCAATGTAGAATAATTCGTTTTATATTTTGTATTCATACCTGAATTAATATTTGATGTACATACATATTACAATTTGGCACGATTGCGATTACATTTATTAAGCACACTGTTTGAGTATAGAGTAATCGATGTAACCGCTGAGTTTGTGATTGACCTTTTCCAAGCCAAATAATATTCAACCTGTAATGGCTAGCACGTCAAACGAAATTTCATTTTGCTTTTCCGCTATTAGTTAGTACCTTAAGGAAATTGGATTTGTTGATAGAGGGATAAGATAATATTAAACTGCTAAATAAAATAAGTTTTAGACGTATTTGATGCTGCCTCACTGTAACTGGTAATCAAAAGGTGCTCCCCCCTTATATAAATGTGTACATATATTACATAAATCATAACTTTCTCAGTCAATCAATGAAGTTATATATTTTAAAAGCTAGCGACTTCTTTTGGGCTCTTTATGGAGAACACTTGAACAGCAGTCTGATAAGCTCCGATAAGAGAATCGATTCATCTTGCAACGTTGAATTTCATAATTGTTATCACGTTCCGTGGCTGATTTCTTCATTCTTTCTTCTGTGCCTACTGAATAATGGGTTCCCCGATCCGATTTACTTGGCCAATTGATAAACTCCACCAGAAAATAGAAGCTTATGCTCTCTTACTTTACGCTGCAGGAAGTGCTTCAGCTCGTCCTGAGTAAACTCCACCCCTCCGCTGTGTGAGGCGAATAGTTTGAGCATCTGATGGATTCGATCGATGGGCATGGAATCGAGATTCGTGAGCATGCCCACAATATAGGACCAAAATACCTAGAGCAATTTCAAATTAAATAATCGCTTTGAAGTGAGTCTGGGTTACACCTACTTGAAGTTCTTCCTCCCTTTGATCGCTGGCAGATGCCATGGCCGACTCCAAGTCTTCTTCGTCGGCCTCGGCCAGACTCATTTCCTCAAACTGTGACTTTTCTGTTTCCTTTTCCAGCAGTGTGAATATTCCTGGTGACGATTCTGATATCAAACCATGATTTTGCCAAAAACTAATGCGACGCCTGAGTGCTGATGCGGGAACTTTTGTGATTGAACTAAGTTCTTCAATGGCCCATTCACCTGTTCAGATGGTTTTTAATAGATTAATGATAGTTCGTTTCTATGGCATTTTTCTTACTCTTGTTCTGGAAGTGGTATATGATCACGGCCAACGTGGGGCTCACCACCATGTCCATTGTTCGATCGCCAATTTCAATGACAATATTGACGCGACCGGTCACCGTACGCCAGTTGAGAGTACGGTTCCCTTTGTAACCCTCATAGGCCTTTGTATACTTTTTGAACTCGTTCTCGATTTCCTCTGGCAACTGAAGACTCTCCTTGTTAAAGGATGGCCAAAACTGGGCAGATATAATCAGGGAAGAGATGTCAAACATCTGATCTAAAATAGCAATAATAATAATATTAATAGTTCGGATATCCTCCGCATATCGTGGGTTGTTTACTCACTTTCATTGACATTGCCATCGCCATCGCCGTGAATGTGCGCGTTGATACGCTTTGAATCGGTTACGTCCTTCAACATCACCTCGCAGCTATGCAAAAGCGATTCCCCAAAGCGAATTTTCAACAGTTCTAGATTTCGAATTTCCTTTTCCGAATTAAAGTCGAGGTGTGCGAGCAGTCTGTCCGCCATCAAATTGCGATATTCAGTCATAAATAGCTCTTTACTTCCGTATATATCAACCACCATTGATATGATATCAGCGGATCGCATTATCTTCGAGCTGTTGTATTTCATGAGATTAGCATCGATTCCAAATGGATCCGGTTCCCAGTTCTCCCAATTGCTGAACTCGTCGGGACCAGAGTCCTTGCCATCTTTGATTGACTCTCCCTTGGCTAATTCTTCAGACAAGTCGGTTGGCCCCTCTTCTGTCAGACCTGTTACAACGCGTCGAACTGTGTCGCTGCGTTTCCGCAGATAGTCTTTGATTGGGGCAGTAACCATTTCCAAAATAACGCCAGATTGGTCTAGATGACGAATTGCCTTTATGGCTGCAACGTATCCAGTTAAAATATCCATCGTGTTAACCCCGGGATGCAGAATTCTAGCTTCCAACGAGCTTCTCAGCGACTCCGTTAGGTAGACTCGCATATCAATTTTCTCCATGCAAATCTTCAAGTCGTCTATGGCTGGTATTGAATCTGGATAGTCTACAGTACAAAATTGGATGTTTTAAAGGAAAATAATAAACATAATGGGCCCAAAAACCTACCAATTATAATACTGAAGAATTGGCCAATAACACTCTGGGCAAACGTTTCGTACATATAATACGTTAGTTTGACTTTGAAGGATTGAACAGACGCGGGCACTTCCAGTTCTTTGGCACTATCTTTGGTCTGCCATTCGGTGAAAATACTCTTTAACCACGTCATTATAACATCTGCCAGCCACTGTAAAGGATAGCCCACAATTAGCACAAGTTAGCCTCCACTTGGAGGACTGCAACGGGGCTTACCTTTTCAAGCTGCTTTAGGTGGCTTATATCAAACATACCCTGGCATGTGTCGTTTATATGCTCTTTGATTTTAAGCTTTATAAGAGACGTCAGAGCACTTCCAGTTAAACGATCTATTAGGTTCATCTCAAACAGTTTCATATTGGTTTTGTTCACCATTTCAGTTAGCCGCAAACAGCAGCACTGCTCTACGTCGAAATTGCAGCCCACACATAACAGCTCGTCGAATACCTCAGAGTCTACAAACAAGAAATCATAAAGTTGGAAAGTAAATTATCCATAATATTGTATATACATAGCATGAACATACCGACTGTTGTTAAAGCAAGATGTGACGCTTTGGTGTAGAGTTTGAAATGAACCCAATAGAAGGCACCCACAACCACACTAAATGCGGGTGGCAGCTGGGATAGCAACGAATCACGTAGGTATGATTTAATAGAATCTTCGTGCAGCAATTTCGCCGATTTTTGGGCTGAACTATTTTCCGGGCTGATAAGATTCGCAAGTCGGGGTTTAACTTGCATTAAACAGTTGAAGCTATGGTACAGCTCATTAATAGCATCAATAAACTGGGAAAACAATTTGTTCTTGTCCGGAAGAGCTTCTATGACCAGCGCTTGATCTTTGATGCACGTTTGCAGATCTGTTGGCACGCTGTCCCCATGAAAATGCTTCCAAAACTTGGGTGCAAGTACATTTCGAATCACCGACTGAATTTCTAGATCCAAAATTGCCGCAAATGTCTCAATGCTTCCCAACTGCTGTAGGTGCCGGCGAACATTCTCGTACACATTTTCTTGAACCGGCTGGGCAGGTCCAGAGCTCTGTTGAAATTGTATGCGAATAACGAATTTATCCAATCAATAGCAAAACCTACCACTCCACCCAGAACTGGAAACAATTTCAGCACATCCAGCCACAAGGCATCAAAGTCGCACATCTTTTTCTATTAAATAAATGTAAACAACTAACTGGGATGGTGGAAAGATGATTCGATACTTCGATACCACTATCGATAGCCTGCTGCTGCACATTATGTTTTAAAGAGATATTAACTATCTGGTATATGTACTATTTTAATAAAAACATCCCAGTCCATTTAAAAATACATGCATAAAGTTAAAGTTGTGAAAAATTCATTTAAATAAAATTTGTATATGATATACAATGAAGAGATATTTACACACATAAAGTTACGAGTTACCAGGAATAAATATTAGATAGGAATATTGTTAAATTGCAGAATTATTTATTTTTATTGTACTGTGTGTCACCCAACACACGCCCGTTTTAGCCAAATAAATTGGGATGCCAATGGCTTTGTAGCTTATTGATTATTTATGAAACTAACGTATTTTCAAATGCGTCTGTTGATGCTTTTTCAAATGATCGCTACGTACAAAGCGGCGACAGCATTGAGGACAGGCATAGGGCTTCTCGCCAGTGTGCGTTCGTATGTGACGGTTAAGATCATCCTGCCGTTTAAATCGCTTTTCACATTGCCGGCAGCGGAAGGGACGATCCTGCACAAACTGAGGTATACCATAGGTACCGGGACCATCCTGTGGCGGTAATTGAGACAGTGTATTTACAATTTCGTCGGCAGGCTCGTATTTGACCTCAGGCTTTGAGTTAAGGAAAGATGGCATCTGACTGTCAGGTAAAGGTGCTACAATCTGGTACTTGTCACTATGCTCGGGTCGCTCCAATTTGATTTTCAGTGGCTTGTGCTGAAAATCAACTATATCCGCAGGCTGTTGTTGGTGTCGGTCTATGTTCTGCTCTCCTGTACCCAGCACAGCCATAAAGTGGAATCCCGACTCTGGTTCTGATGTCTGTTTCCTGGTTGATTTTAACCGAACATTGTTGGGTATCGAACGTTTCGGAGTGCTGCTCTTCAGTTGTCGGTCATGTGTGGCCAGGTGCTTCGTTAGGTGATCGCTTCGAGAGAACTTCTTGGTGCACTGCACGCACTCGAAAGGCTTCTCACCTGTATGTGTCCGCAGGTGCCTATTAAGCTCGTCCGATCGGGTGAAACCCTTTCCACACTTGGGCTCGCTGCAAACAAACGGCTTAATGCCCGTATGCCACGTGAGATGGGAGCGCAGGTGTGAACTTTTTCCATAGCTTTTCGTACAGTTGTCGTAGGGACAAACGAATTTTCGTTTAGGATCAGCCGCATGTGGAGTAGCTAGTAGTTTGATGGTGGGCATTATGCGAATTTTCGAATTCCCGGTGAATTGTGAACCATCTCCGTTTGAATTCCGGTTATTCTCAGTCTCAACTTCGTTGTGTACATTTTCGAGATCCAATGGCGCTGAACCATGCTTAAGATCGCCAAAAATGGTCGAGGCCCTAAGTATTATATCTGACGCCTGTTCATTTAAATGTGTGCCGCCCGCTAGTGTCGAGAACGCTGGTGGTGGTTTCATGGATTCTATAGGCGTTAACGTTGATGTCGTCAGCATTTGGGGTGTGGGCGTGTTTGCTACTTGTGACATTACGCTCACGTTTGAGTTTCCTTAAAAGCCGAAACGAAATGTGTTCCGTATCCAGTCTGCAATTTCAAACAAACACATATATACAATCAAATACGAAATGCAGTCTAATTATTTACTTTACCCTTTTTATATGTGTCCAAAATTCATGTAAAGGAAATTCTGGTCAGTGGGCGTCGGCCGTATTTATCAGTAAAATGGGGTCCCTCGTCACCATAGCCAGCACGGATAACAGTTTAGTTTTGTATTGCATGTGCCGTGCACATTTTTTATAGATTAAAACCAGCAGAAATATATTCAATTTTCGTATTTTCTTCGTGCCTTTTTTTTATTTATATACACTGCGAATGAGCACAAAAACTTATTTGACTGACAATTATTGATGGCACTCTGCCGATAAACTATCGTCAGAGTTCAGTCCAGACAGGATATCTCAGGCTAGGCGATCATTTAGGCTGTTTATTTGGTGCAGACATTTGATCTTGACCGACTTGTCGGTCTTATTTTGTTTCTTATTATGTTTCTGAATTAAAAATATTCGGGATCAGACTAAATATTGAAACAACTGCAACTTTTGTTATCGATAGCTATCGCAATAGTTTGTTGCTTTAAAGGAAAAGAAAATACAAACAATGTTAACATGTCAGCAAACAATGTGGGCCGAGGGCGACGCAAGCCAACCAGTATATGGACCCGCGAGAAGATTTCCAAACTAATTCAGCTTTACAGAAAATCTGATTGTTTATGGAACCACTATTCGGAGTTGTATAAAAACAAAGATTGCCGCAAGAAAGCGATTGAAAACATTTGTGCCTCCCTCGGAATTACCAAAAACGATTATGGCAAAAAAGTACATAATTTGAGAAATCAATTCAATTCAGAATTGAAAAAGTTGGAGCGTCGCCAGGAGGAGACGGGTGGTTCCAGTCCCGCGGCTGACAAGACGTGTCGCTGGGAACACTTCAAATCTCTGATGTTTTTGCGGTCTATCATTGAACCCAGGCCTGGATATCAAAATGGCCCAACGCAATGCAAGGTCTGAGCCTAGATGTCACTGAAATATCCTCATTGTTAATTATTTCCTATTGACTATTTTAGAAAATCAGTGCAAAACTGGAGGGCGACCAAGAATTAGAAGCACAGAGACCATCTTCAGCATCGAAATGCCAATTCGAGGCAGTGGACCAACTGGTCACGGTTGTGGACGAAAGTAAAGCGCATCAACAAAGCATCTGTGATACAATTGAAACGTGTATTCCTGAATATGTATCCGCCATCATATCTGCATCGACAACTTGCTCAAGCTCTGTCGCAACCCGACCAGGGGATGCGGCAGGAGCCGTGTCTGTCCCGGCACAAGTCAGCATTGGCCGGGACCAGTGGGACTCGTTCGGTGAATTAATTGCTAATGAGTTTCGCAACTTGAATTCGGATGTTTCACGCAAGAGACTGAAGCGAAAAATAATGCAAGTGATGCTGGAAGTCGGCGAAGAGGATGACCGAGAAAACGCTGGACCCAATAGTTGATGTACATCTAAGCGTTCTGAGCGTAATATAATTAAACAAATAAATAGGTTACTTAAATTCTATAGATAATTAGGTTGCATTTTATTCGGTAAATGAGAGTGGGTACATAAATCCAACAGGGCTTAATATTATTAAAGCATCAAAACGTGGAATACGACATTGTGCTCATGGGAATTCATATAGCTGAGGGAAAATATAAATTAGTCGGCCAAATGGGTAACAAGTTCTTTCTCGCTATGGTGGAACATACATTTGTCAGAACTTCAAGTCTTTAATTGCCTGGGGCAGATCGGGTAGCTTTATATCTTTAATCTGTTGTGGAATGTTCATACTCTTGACGGCACTCACGGCCCGAGCAGGTGCTGCAGAAATACCCGCCTCCTGTTTGACAATCTTGTTCTGCTCCTCAATTCTAGCCATTATATCATTCATATTTGTTTGGAGCACCATCCCACCCATGACCAATTCGGATAGAATATGGTGCACGGCATCAGCATGAAATATGAGATCCAGTTCACAAACATTCTCAAAGCACTTGTCCAGTGTCTCGACAAACACTTGTATCAGGTCCAGAATGCCCAGTTCGCTCTCCGAAGAATCCACGCAGAAGACAAAGTACAAGGTGGCATAGTGACGGTATATCAGCTTATAGTCCGATCCACCAATCAAGCTATAGTTAAATACATAAATATATTTGTGCACGGAGGTCTTAGGGATCTATGGAACTCACCTGCCTCCTTCTAGAAAGTTGCAAACATTATCGTCCCTCTTCGAGACGAGTTGAAACGTCTCTTTTATAATTTGTTGCTGGAGGTTTTCATCCTGGAACATAAAATATAATGTATAAAAATTGCAGTCGTCATACGTTTTTTCAATCGGCAAACAACGATCTCTCGTCATAGTTAATCCCACAACAAATGTACTTACGAAGTATTGATAAAATTTGGAGAGCCTGGGCTTCCCATGGTTGTTAAATACAAGAATGGCCTTAATCATTTCCAATTGTTTGTTAAATACGGAGAGGAAACAATAATTTGAGCAGCCAGCTGTTTTCTTTCGAAGTAATCGATATTTTTGATATGTGTATAGTGTGCATGCACGGCACTTATTCCATTCTACTTCACTACCTCTCTAGTCTGAAAGATATAGATGTAGCATGAGACAAGTCCACGCAAAGCTCATTCAGACATATTATTTAATGACCGCAGCTTGAAGTTCACTGGAACTCGATCACAAGTAACAGGTGCGTGTTATCGCCATCACTAATGACTCTAACGTGGATGTTTTTTGTTTTGTTTATGCCGAATTAATGCAGGATATGATTGAATTGAGATGAATGTTTTGACGAAAGTAAACTTTACATGCAGGTTAAGTTCAGGTTAAGCACCTTTCTGAGCCACTATCAGTAAATTGTCAATTGTACATCCGCAGAGTGAGCTCCGTGTTGAATAAAGACGTGAAGCAGTATGGAAAGCAGTACATGTTTGATCTGAACGATGATACCTCTTGGAGCTCAGATGAGGTATTATATACCTCATACCTATTATATATATACTTTACCATATTCTCTTTAATAAACCCAACTTTCGCTAGGGAACCCCTCAATGGATTATCGTGACGTTGGATGAGCCGCAAAATGTCAGTGGGCTGTGTTTACAGTTTCAGGGCGGATTTTCTGGTCAGCAGTTAACGGCTTTGGTGTATTCACGCGAAGGAGATCTCACCTGTCAAGAGTCATTTTATCCCGAAGACATCAACTCTCCTCAGCAGTTTCACTTTAAGGATGCATCTCTCACAAAAAGCTGTTCAAAGATTAAGTTTTTATTTGAGTCTAGTTCCGATCTGTTTGGCAGAATCATTGTTTATAATCTTCAAGTACTAAGCTAATTATTTTAATCAAATTGTGTAAATTAATAAAAATTATAGTCGGCCTTGTAGTGGCAATCGCTATCAGCATACAGAAGAAATATTTTTCCCCAAATGCAGCGTCACAATTACCCAGAGTAAATTGATATCAATTTCATTATTCGGTTCGGTAGATGGTCAGCGCACTATCTACTGGTACTATCTATTTGCTATTCGACTTTGTGGCAAAGTTCAAGGAGAAATTTTCCAATCTATTTTCTGATTAGCATGCCACACGCACCTTCCTATCGAAGCTGACATTTCGAGCAAAGTCTTATCCGCACATTAAACGAGAGAATCGCGTGATAATAAATTAATTAAGGTAATCAATCGTCATGTTTAAAGCACCAAAACCATTTGTTTATTTGTCCAAAACCATAAAAAGAATTAAAGCCAAAGATTAATATTTTGAATGCTTTGGTTAACTATGCTGCTACAGAGATTTCCAGACGCGGGCAGTTGGGTATACCACACTCGAGGTCGGGACACGTATCCTGGTGTCCGCAGCTCTCAGTGTTACAGAACATGCAGCCGTTCGGGGACAGCGGAACATTTGTCGACAGATCAACCATTTGCCAAACCTTCTTCAAGTCCGTAACGAGGGCGTTCATCATTTCGAAAGTATGAAAAGGAGTCGGAGCTAGTCGAAGTTTCTCCTGGCCGCGGGCAACCGTTGGATAGTTGATGGATTGTAGATAGTGTCCGAATTGTTCGATTAGCATGTTTGAGATTTGGGTGCACTTCAACGGGTCCCCAAGTTTAATTGGGATGATGTGGCTGGGAGTGTCCTCTACTGGAAAACCTAAAACCAGAAAGCATACAAAACAGACAATTAGATCAGATCCGAAGCATTTAGATATATTCAAATTGTTGCAATGTCTCTTCTATTTACAGCACGAAACATTTAAAAATAGATTATTCAGAAAATAACCTTCACGTTACATAAAGCGTAAAACTACACGTACCTTCTCTTTTGAGCAAGTTCTTTAGGTAAGAAACGTTTCGTTGGTGCAAGCTACGAAGATGACGCCCTTCATCCGAGGCCAGAACGTTGACAGCTTCCAGAGCGCCACAAAGCACCGTGGGTGGCAGCGACGTTGTGAAAATAAATCCAGCTGCATATGAGCGAATCATATCGACAAGCTTATCGGACCCTGCTATGTACCCCCCAATGTTACCAAAGGCCTTCCCCAAGGTTCCAGATATGATGTCCATTTTGTGCAGCACTTCCTCGCGTTCACCAACCCCAGCCCCATGGTCCCCATACAGTCCCACCGCATGGACCTCGTCAATGAACGTAATGGCACCGTATTCGTGGGCAACATCGAGCAGCTCTTCAAGTGGGCATATCGCCCCTGTCATGGAATGTACGGTCTCAAATGCTACTATCTTGGGAGTGCTTTTGTCCAGTTGTTTTAAAAGAATGCGCAGATGGTCAACATCGTTATGCCTGAATATATGCTTTGGGACTCCGCTGTTCCGTATTCCCTGAATCATTGAGGCGTGATTCCCAGCGTCCGAAAAGATGTGACATCCTGGCAGCAGCTTGGCGAGCGTGAACAGCGTTGAATCGTTGGCCACAAAGCACGAAGTGAACAGCAAGGCTGCTTCCTTTTGATGAAGATCCGCCAGCTTCTCCTCGAGTCGCTCATGATGCAAGGAGTTTCCCGAAATGTTCCGAGTTCCTCCTGCGCCAGAGCCGTGCATATTCAGAGCATCCTGCACCGCCCTTTTCACACTAGGATGTGCAGACATGCCCAAATAGTCGTTGGAGCACCACACGGTAATTGGTCGCTCCGTCCGTTCTGAATATTCGAGTGCGTGGGGAAACAGCCCGTCGCCAGCTAGTCGGTTCACCTTCTTGAACACGCGATAGGAGTGGTCTCGTTTCTTCTTCATAATCTGGTCGTTGAAGAACTTTTCGTAGGGAAAGGTTTCCCTGGCCCTCTCATTCTCATGGCTCCCCTTTGCATCGCTCCCAAAGCTACTCCCGGTTGAGTATTCACGTTTGGACAACGGCCTTGTAACAGTTGCAGCATATGGCAATGAGGCGACGAGAGAAAGTTTTTTCTCACTCCCACTCCCACTACTCAACGTCTTGCCCACTACGGGGCAGTACATTCCATATGACTGACACAAAACCTCCGCATAATTGCGGACGAAGTTGGCAGTAAAGCGGTTTAAAAACGGACACTGCATGACGACGCACTTCTCCGAACCTACTTTATTGAACTTTGAGAGTAAAGTGAAATTAATTCAATTTCAATTATGCAAGAACGACCACAGTGTCGAAACTACACCTGAACACCTGAGGAATCGAAGTCTGTATCGATAGTATCGATGTTTTTATTCGATTTATACCTTGTTGTTGAACTAGTCTAGGTGTAAAATGGTGGAAGAAACTGGTTATATATCGATAATCGATGTTTGTGCTGTATTAAATTTGAAATTTGTTTGAATTTGATTTCTTTAACGTTAACTTAAAAGTTTGCATTTACTTTATTGCTTTAAGAACATTTCACTAATTCAATTTCACAAAAGTTTCATCATCGACAATCGCAAAGTTGTCCCCACGGAAATGCAGCAAGTTGTCGTTGAAGCATTTGCTGCTCTCATTGTGTAATTTTGTCATGACAGGCTTGATATTCTTCACTCCAGCGGTTTCTGCCAAGTCTGTGAAATAGTGAATCTAAAAGCAGAGGAAATGAAGTAAATTTTAATTAAAGACATTCAAGATGTTAATTTTTACCTGTTTTGGTCCCAGCATGTGTGCATGTCGTTTTCTGTAGCCGTCTTCCCAAAGCTTGGACATTGCCGTTTGTGTTTCCTTTAGCATTTCGTCTCTGGATGGTAATTGATTCGATCCGTTATAGTAGCTCAAAATAAATCTGGCTTGGATGTCCATCATTTGTGCGGCACAAACGTAAAATGGCAACCCAATTAAGGCCATGGTTGGGTTTCTTATATTAATGCAGTGCTTATAGAGGTCTTTAACATAATTCTCCTCAACATATATGCCAGAATCGGCTGTCAGAAAGGGAAAAGCAAATTTATATCCAGTGCAAAAGAAGATGGTATCAAATTCTTCGTAAGAGCCGTCCATAAAAAAGGCTCCCTTCTCGTCGAGCTCTCTCACATCCTGTTTCTGATGAACATTATCATAGAATTTTGTGTGTTCAATGTCATTTAAATGGTGACTTAGTGTGACTCTCGTAGCAGATCTCGATATTATATTGGATAGATCCATGCCACTTGGGCCAGCTCCGATAACTAGCACAGTTTTATCTATAGGTATATGGGTTACTTTGATTTTATTTAGAAGGTAGCTGAAGGTAACTTGCCTTTGAAGACACCACTAGTTCTGTAGTCGTGACTATGCAAATAGTCCCCCTGAAAACGACTCATATTCGGAACCCGAATATAGTTTGGCGTATGGTAATGACCGTTGGCCACCATGATCTTATCGAAATATTGGAATTCTATTTGGTTAGTAAGCAGATCTTTGACAAGAACCTAAGAGAAAATGGTTTATATGAATAGTTTGAGTAAATTTCTTTATATAAAGCTTACCTGCCACTTTTTATTCTTCTGGAGAACTCGAATAACATAGCTATTAAATTTGATATACTGTTTCAGCTTGAAATGATCCGCATACTGATTCAAAAAATCGCAAATTTCATCTGATCGTATATAGGAAACGTCGTTTTTTGCAATTTCAAAGTCCGGAAAGCCCATAACTTCTTTGGGCAAATTAGTTCTGTACAGTCAGATAGAAATATTGTATATTTTAATCACAAGAAATCGATGTAAATGATACGAGTACTTACCGCAAATTCTCGTACATACTAGAATGAACATCAATACCATTTTTTACACCTGTTTCCTGGTTGTACACCCACGTTCCTCCGATACGGTCAGAGAGTTCAAAAACCGTTATTTGGAACCCATGCTCAATGCCATGTCGGGCACAGCAAAGTCCCGCCGTACCAGCACCAATTATACATAAACTCATCATGGTATTACAAATAGCTCCGATTAATTGTTTCTATGGGCGATACGCTGATCTTGCTCTGCTCTCTACCGTCTGATTGATTTTACGAAACTGAATTCGAATCAAGAATCAAGAGCTTTATGGCTTCCCTTATTCGGTATACCCTTAAGAAGAGGGTGGGTTATATTTTTATCTCATCAATCTTGACACAATAGCAAATCTATACTATAAATTTGTAAAAAAATATCTGTGTGTAAGCGGCTATCTCCGCAACGCGTGCACCAAATTGCATGCTATTTTTTAAAATGATAGCCAGAGAATGTGGCATGGTTTGCACAAGCAAATTTAAGAATTAAAAATTAATCAAAAAATCTTAAATTTGGTCCAAAATTGTATGTTTGAACGCCTATTTCATTTAATTTCTCCGCAACGCGTGCATTAAATTGCATTATTTTAAATGATATCCAGAGTATGTGTCATTGTTTCTATACCAAAGTTTTTACTTTTCTATAAAGAGGTTCCTCAAAAATAAAAAGTTAATCACTAAAAATTCCCAAATTTGGTCTAAAAATGCGTGTCATTCTGTAGAATGATAGTATGATAGTAAATTGTTTTTATACCTTTTTGTATGAAAAATTGTTTTCTGAAAAAATTGCAATTTGTGTATGTATATTTGTTGCTCGAAGCGCCCGGGTCTGCTAGCTATGACATAAAATATGTTCTATATATGGATGTATGTACATACATATATGTTTGTACGTGAAGTATGTCATACATCTTTCAAATGTTGAAACATTTTTCGGTTTTTGAAAAGATGGAAAAACGAGCGTTGCACTTTCAATATATTTTCGAAGTGTATCTGCTGTTCGGGATACGACAAACCAACGCTTTTATTTATTTTACTGATTGCTAATAATTTACTGATAACATTATGAGCATTCAACAATCTTTGCTACTTACTGAGGCCAATAAATATATATGTACAAATGGGTTCATGTTTATACCCGTAAAATATGCACAAGGGTAAGTACATATATTGTACTCGTGTAAATGCTCGTTAGTCTATAAAGACTATAGTAGACCACAACCTCGACATGAAATATAGTCTTGGCATGTTCAACCAATTCCCAAATATCGTTATGTATACTGTATGTATTCTCTTTGACTGTATTACCATATCAATGATTATTCTTTTAGACAATTCATCTAAAAAATGCATATTTAACTTTGCTAACCCACCTCTTACTCGTACATATGTACATATGTTTGAAGGTATGTCACTTGTCCCACACTTGAACATAAATGTGGGAAAAGTAACACGGCTTCCACTGCAGCGCACCGCACTGTTGCAACTTCAGTTAAGAGTTACCTGTTGAGAACGTCAAACATGGGACTAGCGGCTTGTATTTGTACAAAAATTCTGCAACTTGCAAGTGTCGTTACAAATTCACATGGAACATGACCTACATACATATAATCGTACATACGTGTTTCAATTGTTTTATTTTCTAATAAACTGGATGAGAGATCTGAAGAGATTATTATCTAATAACACACAATACAAAACAGAAATGTTCTAGCAAATCAATTTGCCTCATGTACCATGTGTGTGTTAATTGTTTACAGATATCTACAGTCGCTGCCTTAATTGTGAAAAGATTGTCCGACAAACATTCAGAGAGAGTCTATGTCAGCAACCAGAAGCAATCAAGGGAATGGAGGCTTCTGAACAGCATTTCAGGGACAAAGGAAGGCGACGATTTCAGTACGCTAACCTTCGTTGGATTCACATTCATTTCTTCGGTTTTGCTTCTTACAAGGTAATTGTAGTTGCATGCCATCTCAGCTCTCAACTGCACCATTGTTTTTCTCTCAGCTCTCGTGACAGGTCTAATCAACCTTTTCTTCTAGGATAATTCAACGAAATTCAAATTATGATACTTGCGAAATAATTCTCTTATGTTTTGGATGTCTGTTCTTCACAATCGAGGGTAATTATATATGAACCCATTTCCTTCAGATACCAATAAATAAAACGGATTTTGATTGTAGGATTGCTCATACTTTTCACTGTGGAACAGTTGCCTGAGGAGATTTTAACTTTTGCCTTCCTTCTGGGAGCACTTTCTTTTTTTTGTGCGGCCTTGTTCGCTGTGGATCTGATGCTGTTCAAGAACCTGCTGAAGTCCAAGAACGCCTCTGCCCAAACGGATCAGCAATTGAAGGAATCTGCAACTGTGACAATGAAAGTGTTTAATGTTTCTAATGCAGACAAAACCAGTTGTTGCAAGAGCTCTAATCTTCCTCAGTTGAATGTGAGAAATGAACAAAGTGTTTTACGCACCGATCTGTAAGGGAAATGTAACCCATTTACGGTGAACAAACTGGCCGATCTGTGCAAAAATTAAATTCACCTTTTTACATACATACATATACGCATCTGTCATTACTTTTATTGCCTTAATTTTTCAAATGTTGTGAAACAAAATATGCATTTTAAGATCGTGCTGTTTGAAGTAACTAATTTGAATTTGAATGATTAATAAAAGTTTGACATCAATAAACGCTAAAAGCATTTCCAACAAATACACAAAATTGTATGATTTTCAAATACCTAACAGTGTACACTATAATATAATGAATTTAATAAGCTGCTCTGGCTCAGAACAGTAAAAATGATACTCTCGTCCTTCTAGCGTCTCCCTTGGCTCTGCGAGCCATCCCGTAATGTCACATGCTCCCCTCGCTGCTACTGGTCGTTCCTTTGGAGTCACACATTCCACCGGCCATATTCTCGCCGCCCACAGCCCCGGATGTGAGTCCACCAGTTATTCCAGTTAAATTTAGTTTGTACTGCGAAAGAAAGAGTGAAAGTATTTAGATATCATATTAGATTTGAAAATTTAAAATTATTCTATTGCTAGCTGCTTTACTAAAAAATGTGTTAAACTTGGCGATACGTCAGTTCAATATTGTTTTCGAACGTACCGGTGGAGTCTTTACCATCCATTAGCTATTTAATCGTGTTGTGTTGATACGATATTGAAACACTTAAATATAATGCATCCTTCGGATTCAAATACAAACTGACCTGCAAATCAATCTATCTAGCTTTGGATATTTCGTACTGATAGATGTCTTTGAACTAAATTGTTTAGCATTCCTATTTTACAGGCAAAAACTTTGATTTATATCGGAAAACATTTCAATAGGAATTTGAAAACAAGCACCATACACTCTTAATTAACCGTAGGAAACATAATAGTAAAATCATACCTGTAATGTGTATACTGGTATCGTATCTTAGTTAAACATAACCCTAATATTTTTAGATTTAAAAATTCGTTTAGAGAGTGTTCAGCTCAACAGAAAATAGTTTTGTGGGCTTGGGGATTTTCCTAGTTTAAGTTACCTTATTTGCGCACTCAAAGCACTTCGATACTACTTTATTAATAACGTTCATAAGGTTCTTCGTTTCTCTGATGACATGATCGACTTTAACAAAGGTGGCTGCTTTTCCAACAGTGTGATCTTTGACTGTAAATTGCAGAGCTTGGACAAAAGTCGGCACTCTATCTAAAATGTTAAGAAGATCCTTTTTATTGTCACTAGCGGGAACCTAAAAGTTGAAAAAAAACGTGAGTATAAATGTTTTCCCAACGTTCTTGAGCACAAGGAGTTTGTACCTGGTATGAAAAGTGACGTAGGACTTTATAAAGTCGATTGGCTTCTTCAGCAAAATATTCGGCTTGAGTAAACAAATCCTGAGTTGTTCTTAAAGAACCATTTCCTTTCGTAAATTGATACATGAGGAAAGCCATAGCTGACATGTTCTTGGCTCTCTTTAATATGTCGTTGTCGTCTGACAAGTCTTCACTCCATTTTGATTGATATGTGCTTAGATCTCCATTATTTTTGCCTTCGAGGCCCGAAAACTCGACCATTTCTCCATCATCTGATGCAGGTACACCGGATTTTGATAGTTTATCTGTTCCTTCACATTTCTGTGGAATGAAAAGGGAAGGAAAAGAGGTACATATGTAAACACATATGTGTATGTATAAGGAAAAGATCCACAAATACTCGTACCTCAGTTTCAGTTTCTCTTTCACTCTTTGTTGGATTAATTGATACAAGAATCTTCTTTGCGATCATTGAGATCTCATTGGTCAGCCACTTCCACATGTCTGAGAATGATTCAAAATTTTCATTTGCCGCACTGCTGTTTGAATATTTCCAAAGAATTTTGGCGGCAATAAACACCTGCGGCCCATAGATCCGTAAATTGATAGCCAAGCATTTGGCCTGAACCTGCAGTCTTTCTGTAGGTGCTATATGCTGCAACAGCTTGCAAATATCGAATATATGATCGCAGCAGTCGTGGAATTTTGTAGAACGTTGGTTTAGATTATCGATGTCATAGGCCGTGGCCAGCACATGGAAAGATTTGACCAGCTTCGAGCAGATCTTGAGTGATTCATTGAAGTCCCCAATCTGGCTGGAGACAGACATAACGAGCTGCTTGCACAGCTCCTCCAAGCTCCTCAGCATGCCTAGCTCCGGCTCCCGACCTTTCACCTGAACTCCAACATTTTCGTGCTGGTCTTTCATTATGGTGTTGACATACATGTCAAACTCCAGCTTGCAGTTATCGCAGTAGGTTAAAATGTTCTTTCGATGATTGTGACTTATATACGGGGAGTCTGTGAAGTCATGGGCTTTCTCGAACAACTTCTCAAACGCCAGGGTAAGCTCTTCGCGCAAGTCCATGCTTTCTGAATTTAAATGCTTTCTAAAGTTAGTGTTATTGATCATTCGACCAGAACCACCACCGCCAACACCGGATGGGGCTACGTTCTTTTCCGACTTCCAAAGATCATCGTCAAGGAAATTAAAGTATGAATCGGAATTATTATTTCCCTCAGTGTTGCTGTCATAGTAGCTCATTTGGAATTTGTATCTTTTTATCAGGTTTACAATGCGCTTTATTGTCGTGTATATGCTCTCATTCTCGTAATGTGGGTTGCTGGCTTGCTTGTCGTAGGGCATATGTTTCGCCGAATCGAAGATGCTGTCCTTGACCACAAAGTGTATCAGGTCCATGGCTCTTCGTATCTGGCAGAACACGGTATCCCGGTTCTCCTTTACTATAACACAGTCACTGTGTATTAGGCTATTTTTCGATGAAGTTAGTAAAATTGCGATGGACTTTTCCAGAATTTGACGGGCAGAAAACATTTGAGCTCGCCGCCGCTCCTCTTTAAACGAGTTGCGATGGTGGCCCGTGAGGTAGGCTAATTCGATCATTTCTGTGCCAAAGACAGAAAAAGCACGCACAAATTCGGTGAAGTTCATCACAGACTCGAGCTTCTCCAGGCTCTCCGAGGCTCGTTTCTTAGCAGTTAATAATTTTTTCACAACTATAATGTCCACGAGAAGCAGTATTCGTGTAACCGAGGAAAGCAGAGACCTGGCAGCCAAGATTATTGCACCATAGTCCTTCAACGGCTCAATATTATGCCGAAGCTCCATACCACTCAACGGGGATATTTCACACAGCCGTTCAATGGATTTTCCTGTGGAAGAAAATCAATTGTGTAAACTGTACTTTAATACACCCATATCAGTCACAGGCAATACATTAGCCATTTTTTATGCGTTCCATTTTAATAGGCTTATAAAGGTAATTGACGTTAACGTACCTGCGTCTCTTGCTTCCTTGGCAGCCTCGTACATGTCCCCCTTTATATCGATGTTCTCCTCTGCAATTATTTCTCCTATTGTTATAAATCGTTCGACAGCTATGTTTAGCAGGTGTCCTATGTTGCCAAAAGTGGACATGATTTGCTCGTTATCAATATCACGAACCCGAAAGCGTTGATTCTAAAACAAAAGCCGTTTGTAATTTTTCAATTTCCCCACTCTGGACTGTTAGCAAATAAACTTAACTACAAATTTGCATGCCGGTTTGAAACTTACGTTTACTGTTGGTTGAGTCATTCCGTACATTTTGGATACGTCACTTCTCAATAAAAGAATTTACAACTTCCTTAATATGCACAAATTGTATTTTATTCATGTAACCTTTTTATTTACTCCATATTGATTTTTCTCATACATAGGTTTGCAGAGTTCAATAGGCGTTGCATTAAAACTTAATCAAGTGTTTTGGCACCTGTTAATACCGTTACGTTACTGTGTAAAGTAAGAGAATTTACAGTTAAGCTCGAAGAAAAGTCAATAATTTATATCAAGCTAACGAAAGCTTAATTTAGTGTGATAGATATATTTAGCTTTCTGTAAACAACGTGTTTACTATATGTGTATATATACTTATACACTTTCAGGGGATTGGTCATACACATATCGATTACATATATATCGATATACGACCATATGATTGAAACTTGGTTACGTTACCTAAACACGAGCACGACTAAACTAAAAAATATTTAAAACCTGTCAAAGAAGGCCATTTCAACATATTGAGCAACCAGATGAAGAATTTGAACGTGCAATTACCGGCAGAGTGACGCTTAATAGGAGGACAGGAAATATATAAATTGTTACGTGAAATACATTCGTTATCAGAGTGCGGTGGTATTGACCAATGGTCGAATTCGTCAAAATGATGCGAAATTTTGGAATTTTATCAATGAGAAAGAGTAGCTGGATAAGTTTGCTAGGCTCCAAGGAACGGGCGTGTGCTTCTACCATGCGACTATACTCCCCATGCACAGGATCATATAACTACAATTGGTCAAAGTGTGAGCGGAGTAACAACATTCAACCAAAACGTAGTCTTCACGAAAATAGTAATGCACAGACATCCGCCAAAGAAAATGAAAGTGTCCGAAAGTCTGCACCTGAAGATTTGGAGCGGGCTTACGCGGTACTGCGAGCCACGCTTCCCAAGCTGTTTGTGGAACCGCTGGACTATTCAATATACAGCCCAAACCTCATATTTGAGAACAACATCACCGGCAAGCACACCGTCGGCTTATACCACTTTGTTAAGCAAATTGCCATTCTTCGAACAGTGGGGCACTTAAAGTACGCCTACGTAAAGTTTGAGGTTCTTAAAATTACAAAGCATCCCGACGACCAGACTGTGCGCATAAGGTGGCGCGTTAGGGGAATATCCGGCCTTAAGGTGATGTTCCAGTTCTGGAAGTACAAGGTGTGGCAGTTGAAGGAAGTGCTGCAGGATCAGGAAGCATGGTACGACGGGTTCTCCATCTGCTACTTGGGAGATAGTGGTCTAATTGAAAAGCACGTCGTTGACAAAGTCATGCCGGACGAAAGTCGAGAGTCAGTTAAAAATACCTCTGAAACAACCCTCCCAACCGAGTCCTTGGCAGCGACAGCAACACAGAAACTAAGCTGTCAATGAAACTGTAGCTAGATTTAAATGTTACTTATTTATTGCATTACTTTACATAATAAACAGCAACTGTGAAGATGTTTAGTAACTGCATTTGATTTTTTTTTTTGTACAAAATCATTCCCATATTGGTTCTCAGGTTCTCATCCATCATTGCTTGAATGCGTATACGGAACCCTTTTTTATGTACTTGTATGGACGCAATCGGGATCGTTTTGCGAATGCACTTATATAGGGCTTTTCCTTGTTGTACTCTATGGTAGTCTGCATAGAGCCCTCTGTCTCCAGAAAGATGTCAAAACTATAAATGGTTCGGAAAAGCTGAGCGTAGAGAAAACGATCATTCGCTTCCAGCTGTTTGGGCTGCAAGGAGTTTGTCCAGTATTCCATCATCTAGAAATAGATAAGCAATAATATATAACCTTGTGACGCATATAACTTTTAAGGCGCTAACCTTGATAGCTGGATTATTCTGCGATGTGTGGCGACCGTTCCAATGTACACTCAATATCCAGAGGGGCATTTCCAATGGATAATTACTGGGTATGCGTATGAAACACTCCATTTTGGCAGAGCCTCGAACAATCACGGCGCGATACGAATTATATGTTATGCCCTTATTGTCCGGAGAAATATTGAGTACGTCCGAATTTTGGGCTAGAAATTCCTCGAGAGTGATCGCCGTCCACTGCACCAGGCTGCACGACAAGGCCGCAGGATAGACATTTTCTTTTAGTGTGTACAAATCGATATCCTTGTTAGTCAGACCACGTATTTGCAGACTCAGTTTTAGCCAGGCGTTCCAACGGCGTGTAATGCGAGCTATGATCTCCCGCATGCTTTTATTCAAGTTCAGCTCATGCTTATACAACATCGAGCTGTTGACTGTTGGTATAGAGCACATACTCTGTAACCAACAATATGCTTTACCAAAGTCCTTAGACTCCAGATATCGTATACATTCCTCGGGTGTCAGATCCTTATTCTGTAACTGAAGTAAAATATTTAGATACGAGTATAATAACTTATTGCTTTGCCCTACATCGTATTGGATACCGGGGATAGGTATTTCATTGCCCAAATCGTTTACAAACAAATGCCGAAGGAGATGCTGAACGAAATTAGGATCACTAAAAGTGTGAAAATATTAAAAATAGTAACTACTGAATTAAGTGGGTAGTTTTAACTCACCCTTGATGGTTCGTGTTATTGGCAATGCTCAATTGGGGCCAGACTGTGGCACATTTAATTTGTTCGAAATAGCGAATGAGCAACAACAGTTGAATCGAGCCAGTGGCACCAAGCTAAAAATCATTTAAGCGTAAAGGTATTTCAATATATAGCCGAATTTCTTGGTTTAATCTTACCGTCACACGAATGTGCAGAGGATGAGGACTTAAGGCTTTGTCCAACGGATTTTCCACAGATTTTCGCGACAGATCGATGTCCTTTTCAGAATAGTCCCGCCTTGCTGTTGGATTTTGCTTCAGGTTTGTCAACTCCTGCATTTGAGCTTCGCTTTCATATCCTACCACTTCAGCATTGAACGATGGCTCCTCGCTGGCCCGTTGAAGGCTTTGCAGGTTGATGAATAATATATAAAGCGGCTTGGGCAGATATTTGACCACAGCGCTTAGCTTCCATTCCACATCAAGAGACAGCTGCAGTGCGTCATGCAGGGGCTTTGTAGCACTCTTCAGAGTGCGTAGAGCTGGGGCGAATGAAACGTACCTATGATTCTGGTTAAGATTCTCTTGCAGCAGCTCCTGTTTGGCGTTCAACAAAGAGCTATACTGTTTATCTAGGTCTTTCCTTAAACGCAGCTCACACTCTAAGCGCTGCAGATGCCTATGGTGCTTAGATTCTGGCTCCGCTTTACTGTCTTCAGTGCTCGGCAGCTTGATAGAATACTCATTATCTGGGAGCAGGGCCAATTCGGAGTCACGGCTCTTGAATTTCTCGCAACGCACGATGTCCTTTTTCAAGTGGCTCACTTCGTACAGAAGATTTTGCAATTGCAAGCGACTTATGTCCACTTTACATTTCTCCAAATGTAAGTTATCCCGTCCAGACTTTATTTTATGTTTAACTTCCCGATTGGCATGCTTTAATGCAACAAATTTTAATGCCGCCGCAGTGCGCAATGTCTCCGAGTTGTGACCCTGCATCAAAAATAATGTATTACCAGTGTCTCTGCAGCTATTAAACACTTACGCTCTTTTTGGCCTTCAATATTTCCCCGATGATATCTTCCAATTGCTGAAACTGCGTATTTAAAATAGCCTCCATCTCACTAGAAACAAATCAAATTTGATTCGAAAGCCGCAAAACAACAATTTTTTAATGCTGCTTAGAGGTGTCAAACCATCGAGGGCACTATCGATAGTATCGATATTTTGCTGCTAGCCTCTACTATCGATGGTTTTGAGACTATCATGATAGTATCGAGCTACAGTCGTTGCGCTTTTAATATGTTTGGATTGTCTGCTATAAGATATGAAGACAAATTTGTAAACAGATCGACAGGTGGCATCTAATTTTTACAATGAACAAGATCCTAAAAGGTTTCAATGGATTTTTAATAATTATTAGAGCTATCACGATAGTATCGATTGTTTTTTCAAAACATTCAACGTTGATATTTCTCGATTTTGATATTCCGTTTAATATTACTAGCTAGCTGGGACTCTCAGCCCTAAACAAATAATTTTATCCAATTCCTCAATCAATTTTGTTTAGGATTGGCCAGTTTTTAGAAGTACTTTTTATTGGATTATTTACATATTAAGGTTCAAACAAAAGCGGCCAAAGCATAAAACGTAAATGTTGACTAAATGTGACGTCAGTGTTGCTGGTCAACCAAGATTCTTCTATGAGTATGGGCTTTGGTATACCTTATTTCCTTTAATTGATGTTAAATTTGTTGTATCAGGCTGATTTGAAACATTAATATTGCATTTTCGTAAGATTGAGTTATTTTTTACCTATCTATGCATATGTTTTGTGTTTTATATATACATTTATCCCGGTTCTGATACCTATTATTGGTACCCATGAGCTACAAAATTTCGTTGATGTCTTTTAATAAGAGACTGAGTAGTTTCTGCATTAATTGGAGCATGAAATTACAAACAGTATCTCAAATCCATAATATCTATTTTCCCAAGGTATTCAGACTTGTTGCTCATTCCGTGCCAAAGTTGCACAACAATGCTGCTACTTCATTTCCCCATGTTGCTGAAATTTTTCCCATACAAATCAATTGTATCATACGGGAACGCGTATGGAATGACGCAACAATGAATCTTCATTCCATATGCGTTTCCGTTAAGAACATGTTTCTCACACCACGAAAATGAGGGGAAAGTCACCACAAAAACGCTCTCTTCACCACTGAAAAGAGAGCAAATTTTAAAAACCCACCACGAATTGAGAGCGAATTTTGAAAAACCACCACGATTTGGGAGCGAATAATATCGATATTTTTGTGCGCTAAATGAGATTGGCGGTCATTTTCAAATGTACATATATGGAAAAATAAATATTTCACTTGATTTGTTTTGTCGAGTGGGACTGGAACCTCAGAAACCGAGAAAAAAATAACTTAGCCCCGCTCTATTTGATCAGGTTAGTAACCAGTAAATATCAACTACAAAAAAATTAATAATTAATAATTATTTGAGCTCGATACTATCACGATAGTAACGTGTACACGAACAATCTTTAGCTTGAAGAGTAGTGGAATTCCTATCAGAAATATCTAGATTTTGTTTTGCAGCCCTTGGAACAAAAGAACTTGGTTCTTTATTCCCAAGTTCCTCATCCCATCCCTCACATAAAGCGACTTTGTAAATATTAAAAAAAAACAATTAGAATTGCTTAAATAATATTGTTTAAAAATTAAGAAAACGGAACAAAATGCTACGTATGCTGCAGAAAAGAACTAGTATGATAAAGCTCATGGTTCCCAGACCCCGGCTACAGCAAACTATTGCGCAAACCACAATAAAGGTGAGTTAAATGGTTTTTCCGTACATGGATTATTCCTTCCATTGAAAACCAATATCTTGTAGGAAATACCAACTATTAAACATGCTAGTATTTCAAAAAGCGAGAAAACAGTAGGAAGATGGTTTCTGGGTGTCAGCGGAATGGTTTTTGTTGCGGTTGGCCTTGGTAAAGACTCTTGACTAATTTGCCGGCTAAGTACTAAGCATTAAAACACTTCCTTTCTTTCCATGCAGGTGGGGTAACGAGATTAACAGAGTCTGGCCTTTCTATGGTTACTTGGAAGCTGACTGGGGAACGCATGCCAAGAACTCAAGAAGAATGGGTCCAAGAATTCACCAAGTATCAACAATATCCGGAATATAAACTGCAAGTATTAAATGCAGTCACCTATTACATAAAGTGTTAATGCTTCAATTATTTCTCTTTAGGAAAAATGCACGCATGACTGTTGACGAGTTCAAATTTATATATCTCATGGAGTACATACACAGAATGTGGGGTCGTGCCATTGGTGGATTCTTCCTTGTCCCAGCAGCGTATTTCTGGAAGAAAGGGTATTTCTGTCCAAAAACAAAAAAGAGTGTCCTACTGCTGGGGACTCTGATAGGTCTCCAAGGGCTAATGGGATGGTACATGGTTAAGTCCGGATTGGAGAACAGATTCGAAGACCAGAATGATGTGCCGCGCGTCTCTCAATACAGATTGGCCTCCCATCTAGCGGCAGCATTTGTTTTGTATGCTCTTTCCCTATCACAAGCAATGACGAAGCTATTCCCCTCGGAGCCATTCGTGGTGAAGGCAAAGAAAGCATTCAATATCAAAGGACTGTCACACATGACAAAAGGAATGGTGTTTCTAACTGCCATCTCTGGAGCTTTTGTAGCCGGACTTGACGCCGGATTAGTTTACAACTCATTCCCGAAAATGGGAGACAGCTGGATCCCTGACGATATGTGGCAGTTTAAGCCCATTCAAAGGAACATCACTGAAAACCCAACGACGGTTCAGTTTAACCACCGCATCCTGGGCATTACCACAGTTTCCTTAGCTACAGCTTTATGGCTAGTCACGAGGCGAATGCAGTTGCCCAAGCGAACGAATTGGGCAATCAACGCTGTGTTCGCCATGGCGTGGACCCAGGCTACGCTAGGGGTTACGACACTCCTAAACTACGTGCCAGTACCCTTAGCGACGGCTCATCAGTCTGGATCGCTGGTCCTTCTTAGCTTTGCGCTTTGGTTATCGCACGAGATTCGGTTCCTAAAGTATTTGCCCAAATAAAACTGGAATGAAATGAACTAAGGTAGCATTTGTTAAATGTGTAAGTCGATTTGTTGTCAGTCAGTTGCACTCTAATAAAGTTTTATTAAATGGTGGGCTGAAGCACTAACCATACAGTATATAGATGTGCCAGTTAATACACTCCAAAATATATGATTGATCGCACAGAGTAATTTTTAGCTGCCGAAAGCGACTTTGCTTGAGATTTCAGTTTACGTAAATGTGTCTGTGCCATGTATTCTCACATACTGTGCTGTATTTGTGGTAAAAGTGGATGTGTGTAACGCAGATAAGGAAACGTTTCCGACCCCATAAAGTATATATATATTCAGGATCAGCATCAATAGCCGAGTCGATATAGCCATGTCTGTCTGTCTGTCCATCTTCACGAGCGCCTAGATCTCAAAGCTAGAGCAACCAAATTTAGTTTCCAGACTCATGTGATGTCACACTGCACAAGTGTATTTAAATTTCGCCCCGCCTCCTTTCGACACAACAAAGGAAGAAAATCAGTGGCAGCGACAATTTTAAGGATACCAAAGAAGTAAAAGCGTAGTATCGAGAATCGAGAATGACCATATCTACCAGATTGCCGAATCTGAATCAGATCGGATCATAATTATAGCCAGAATGAAGAAATTCATTTTCAGTTACTTCCCCCGCCGCCTTCAGCAAGAGACCCGCTACTCATTCTATTTCTCGCTCGCACACTCTGCCTCGTTATGCTCGCAAGCTCATAACGGAGGAGATGTAGAATCTAAATGGTACATCTATAATCAACATGTTAGATGTAGAATATTCATAGAATATGTAGATGTAGATAACAGATGTAGTAAGAAAATTTGAAATGTAAAATTTTTTTTTTTAATTCTACTTATTCTACGGGTATAAGTAGAGTCGCGTCCCCAGAAGCGATTCACACGTTCCTTTTCGTTATATTACGAAACAATTGGTCATCCATCCGTGAGCGCTTGGACTGTGCATATTAATCTCAGTATTATATACGGACATGAAAAATACGGAAATGGAAGAAATTATGAAAAGCGAGCATTAAAGAATTACAGGAAAAGCTTGTGGCGGCCTCCTCTGATATGCATACTCGCATAATGGTACTGCCAGTTGGAATGCGGGGGCCATACATCTATCTGCATTATTCGGTTGTTTTGGTATTTCAATGGGTTTTGCTTTGGCCATATCGTCGTTGTTAATGGGCTGTCTTTATACGTGCATGCGCTGCCGACTTTATAGCTATCAAAACGTGAGTCGTGTGCATATGAATAATAATATTCAAATGATGACTTTCCAAAGTCTTCGCTGCTTTTTTTAATTTCTGTTTTTCTCTTGTTTCTCTTTCTATTTCGATGCTCTCTCTTTTCGATCTACGTTTTCTCATTTTCTGCCTCCACTTTCCACCTCTCCAATGGCAGAAAACGGTTAAATTCAAATCTGAGATACCAGGCGAACAGAAATCAGCAGAAGGTCGCTGCTTTTTTATACCCGTACTCCAAAAAGAGTTAAGGGGTATATTAGATTTGTGGTAAAAGTGGATGTGTGTAACGCAGAGAAGGAAAATTTTCCGACCCCATAAAGTATATATATTCTTGATCAGCATCAATAGCCGAGTCGAAAGAGCCATGTCTGCTGTCCGTCTGTCCGTCTTGTTTGACGCCTGGATCTAGAGACTATAAAAGCTAGAGGAACCAAATTTTGTTTCCAGACTCATGTGATATCACACTGCTACAAGTGTATTTCAAAATTTCGCCAGCCCCCTTCCCCTCCCACAAAGGACGAAAATCTGTGGCAGGCACATTTTTAAAGATACGATAAACTAAAAACGCAGTATCGTAGAGAATGGCCATATCTACCAGATTGCCGAATCTGAATCAGATCGGATCATAATTATAGCCAGAATGAAGAAATTAATTTTCAGTTACTTCCCGCCCCACTCTCCGCCGCTCCAAGGACAACGCAAATCATTTTCCTTCGATCGCAAGCGCAGTGCCCAGCGGTGTTTCTAAATGTTTTCCATTCATGTTAGTGTGTGCATTGTAGGGTTTAGTAACAAATGTAGCAAA